GTCTTTGGAGGAGGAGGAGGAGGAGGAGGAGGAGGAGGAGGAGACCGCTATTTGTGTGTTTATCTGATTTCAGTCAATCAATTAGTCAAGGATTAGGTGTTATATGTAGAGATTGAGGGGTTCATACATCGTCAAAGCCGATTTGTTTGAATACCGAGGTATTCTCAGAACTGTGCTGTCGTGGCTGTTGACTAAGACTGCTTTGGAAACGCTGTGTAGAGGGGTATGTAATTTTGCGTAGTTGGTATCTCGCTGTTGAAACCGTCCTGGATGCTTGCGACGCAATCTGAATGTTCCTCGAGCCAGAAATCAAGCTGCTTCGTGCAGATGATGAAGCTCGAAAAATTGAGTTTGCGCTACGGCGGGCGATGACGCCTGGTAGATTGCCGGACATTTTATGTAGATATAAATCCTGGGGAAAGGAGATGGAAAGCACAATGGTTGATCGTAACTGAGATATTCCAAGATGAGGTGGTTGAGTTAAGCTTCTCCATATTTGTCAGGAGTCTCCCCCCACTGGCCGCTGATGTCAATCCGATTTCGCCGCTCCGGCTCCCGTGTTTATCTACATCGCAGAAAAATTCTATGTGTGAACGACTGATCATTTCAAAATAACTTGATTGGAAAATATGTACTGAATTGATATCATCATCCCCAGAAAAATGTATTAGTAGTTGCCCTTTTGGTATGACACGCGAGAGAACAGTCAAAACGAGAAGAAAGACTCGCTTGCGTGTCTAAGTCTCTATATAAGTAGCTGTCGCTGCTGTTGACTCAGACGCAAGTAAAACGCCCCATTGCAAAATAGAATTATTCATTAATTAAAACGTGTGTGGCCATCCTCCAGCTCTCGACTGAGAAGATTGCTCATGTTATTACAACAAAATGCCCTGGTTCTGCCTTGCTTGGTCGCGAAGGTATCGGATATAAAAGCTCGAATTTATATGTATCAAGGGTCGTCATTTATTTTTCCCGGGGAGTGAAGGTGAGATAGCAGTCATCCTACATATGTTTAGTATATATAACATGTTCCTTGGAAGAGTGAACATACCTGGGGGAAAATAGTGGCAAAGACCTTAATCTCCTCGGATTGAGGAGTGACTTTATGCGTCCAGTCAAGGTGCATACTAGCCTTGCCAATTAAACCCATGAGGTTATGGGTGGCATATACCTGTCCAAGACAGTAGTGCGGGCCGGTTCCGAAAACTAGCCAATTCTTTGTCTGATTCTCGGCGGTACCAGTGATCCAACGGTCGGGGATGAAGCTGTCAGGATCTTCATAAGCCTCGGGGTCGTGAGTCGATGGGTAGACCGATGGAATAATCATAGAGCCCTTGGGAACAGTGTAGGTGTCCGTAATAGGGAAGTCCTTCTTTGCGACATAAGGGACCATGATGACAGGTGGGCGGTAACGAAGACATTCCTTGACAACCGCACGGGTGTAGGTCATGCTTTCCAGCATATCCATGGTCAAAGGAGCGTTGCGGTCGCCGTTTCGCAATCTGTAGTTTTCCTCACGAACTTTGTCGAGAATCTCAGGGCGGTCGGCCATGATCTGAAACAGCCAGGTACAAGCCGCACTGGTAGCATCTTGGGAAGCAAACAGAAAAGTGAACACAGTTTGAGCGATTTCGTAGTCGGTAAAGTCACGAAGAAGAGAAGCAGGCTTCTCGGAGTCATCCACGGGGATACCTTTGGCGATCTTCTCACGATAAGCAGCAGATTCCATTTGGAGCTTGATCCAGCCATCCATGATACAAGTGATTTCACCACCAGCGGCAAGATAAGCTTTGCTCTTGGCAGCACATTTGGCAAACTCGACCATGACCATATCAGCAGCCTTCTTTCCATACCAGGTCTTTGTGAATGGGATGATAATAGGGAAGTTGACAAGCTCGAGAGCGGCAGTAATCAAAAAGTAGTCATCGGCGATTTTCTTAACTGTCTGGTCGTCCATGTGGTCTCCAACAAATGTCTTGCAAGAAATGGCAGTCATGAACTCTCGGAATTCACCCATAAATTGGACGGGCTTGAGATCATTCTTGCGGGAGACTTCGGCCCACTGCTTGAAGTACTTGTCGTAAACTTCATCTTGACCAGGTAGGTACAGCGAAAGAGCGTGGCGGGKAAAAARGCCGTTCAAGCCTTTGCGGAATTCGACGTGGGCCTTGCCATCCAGAAAGACCCAATTGGTAGGGCCCAAAAGCTTGTGAGCGGCGTCGACGACACAGGGTTTAACGAAAGCGGGAGAGTTAAAGATCTTGCGAGAGAGATCGCGGCTGGATGCGATCACAACGAACCTGCGCGCTTCCGTATTAACGATGGACAACAGCAGACGGCCCGAAGTCAACTTACTTGTGGAACACGGACACACAGCTCAAGGAACCGCTATTCCACTTGGCCTTGTATTTGGTGAAATTGGGAAATACGGATTCGAGGAAAGGGCCCATGAAAGGGATTTTCATGGACGGGCCGACGATCGAGCCTTTGAGATATATGTATTTCACTGCCCTTGTTAGATTGTGGAAGCATACGCGACTAGTAGGTCGTATATAACACACCTTGATCGTAGACAATCGCTGCAAGAAGCAGGTAGAGGAGGCCGCTCCAGATAGTGAGGCCACTGACAAAGGAGTACAAAGCACCAGAGGGGTTGGCGAGTTGAGCAATGACACTGGCGTCTGCCACCGGGGAGGCAAAGCTCCCATTGAACTCGACCATGACGGGCTGCGGGATGGTGCTGACAAGTCGAAGAGACGGGTTTGCCTATGTCTGTCTGGGGGGAGTCGCAGATGACACAAGGGAAATGTTGGAGTTAAAAAGGCAAGCGCCTCGAGAGGAAATGTAGAGTGGAGAAGAAAAGGAGTCGGCCGCGCCAAGCCTTGAGGAGAGCCGGCAACGCTGCACGGTTGTATCAACTTTCTACGTAGCCCAAAACTACCTAGTAAACCCTTAGTTTTGCGAGTCTAAACGCATCAGGAATCAAGGATAGATCATTCTCTTGTTACTTGGAGAGAAACTGACCAATGTTATGGTCGTGATTACCGTCTTCGTGTGGAGTGTACGTTCAAGACTTGCATACTCGATTGTACTCTGTACTTTGCATCACTGTCCCCCTCTATGCTGTTTTGTAGCGATTTTTAATATTTACACTAAATTGTTTTGCAATTCTGTTTCATAGTATACACAGAACAGATCTGTAGCACAAGTTGGCGATTGCGTACACACCATGTGGTCAGTAAGAAGCATCAAGATGGGGTGATTCGGCATTGGACTTTCCGGCCGCCTCAGGGCTACATGCATCACATGGTGTGAGCTTGCCCTATCAGGTCCCAAAGGCTCAAAACCCCTGCCGCTAGCCCTAAAGGAGCAAGGGCGGACCCTGATTCAGGCCTTGGAAAACCCGAGTCATGTCTAGACCTCTGTCGTACGTACATTTCACTGCGAACTCCCAGTCTGGCTAGACAATATTGATTGTTATTTGTTATATGGTCTTAACGCTAGCAGAAATAACATATAACTATAGATTTAGGCGCTCCTTATCTGCCTAACGTCTAAAGCCGAACCAGCCACGGCGCCCCTCTGTGCTTGGCGCTTCTTCTTGTTCTGTTCGCTCGCGAGGATATTGAATGTAGTTCCATGCAACGTCCAGAAACAGTGGCTTGACGGGAACTGCACGCATCTGGGGCGGGAAAGGAACAAGTTTATTGAGGTCGAGGCTCTCTACCGCGTATTCGTCCATTCTTTCAATTAATGGCAACTGGAAGCGCGCAAGGTCCTGCTTTGATTCGGATAGTCTATCAAGACTGACCAAGCCTCGGTATTTTGCTTCGAATCCCTGGGATATCGTAGCAAGAAATGCAATCTCCTCAGCTGAGACATCTAGCTTGGGTGGACCCGCGCTTGCCGTAACACCTTTGCCGCTTTTTTGGATAGCGGCGGCAAGTTCACTACTGCGGGAGAATAAAGCAAGAGCATTTTTAGTGTTTTCTTGGAATGAATGAGAGCGGCCGATAGCGAAACACCTGTAGCATAATCATGAGCAATTAAAATCAATGGGGGCATGATTGAGCGAGAGCCTACCGCAATGCCCGGAAGTAGTTGCGTTTGAGTTCGAGCTCCTCCACAAAGTCAGTGTCGCCTGCAACACCGGGCAATTCTTGTACAAAGTCCAAGCTTTGCAATACAGAATCATATAGTGTCACCTTCTCACGGAGTTGTGACAGAATCTTGCCGCCGCTCTCCTGACGAGGCGTCTTTCGACGTTCATCAGCCTTCGTCTGCTCACTATCCAGCAACAACCCATCATGTTCGCCGCTTAAAACACGGTTTCTACCCACTCTCCAGCTAACGAGGGAATAGTTGACCGCAGTCCTGGTGACCTGCAATGCCTGCATTCTCCGATCGCCCCTGTCCACTCCTTCGTTGGTGAGGTCGTCAATGGCCGTTTTAGTGGCATCAACAATTTCTTGACTGGCTAGAATGACATTGTCGTAAGCCGCAGCTTTTTCCCTGGGCGATGCCGAAGGCCGCTCCTGTAAAAATGAAGAAAGCTTAGACTCAGCAGCGGTAGCAGCTGCAAGCGCTTGTGCTATAGATGCGTCTTCGATGGGCACCGAGCGGGACCTCCAGGTAATAGTCTCAGGCAGTTTCTCAATTTCACCATCCGCCAGTCTTGTAGTTCCCGCAGCGTCCACAACCAAACAATTAGGGTCAACTTTCTCGAGCTCGGCACGAACGTCGTCGTCTCCTGGAAAACTTTCAATTGCGAGCGAGGGTAGAGGCTTGTTGCGGGATATCTTGAGTTGGTACGCGGCGTAGCGGAGGGAAGGATCAATTGTGACCGATATGATTTCACGATATGCCTCCTTCCTCTCTTTCTGGCTTAGAGCAGAATATATGATTCGGGCTAGACTGAATTGCCGAAGGCATTGATCCCATTTCTGCTTCTCCATGTGTAATCCGCCTGACAACAGAGCGAGGTAGGCACGGGCCTCTAGAAGGTCGATATCTGATGCGCCCGAGAGAGACTGGTCTTGCAGAACAGAAACGAGTCTTTCGGCATACCGAGACGCTTTGTCCAATCTGCTGACTATGTGTCGTCGCGTAGGTCCCATAACGCCTTTTGCTGACGGATCGGCCGAGTGGACAGCTTTCATATGCATTGCCTGTGCCCATGCTCGCTCGGCGCTTAGGATAAGTAGATGGGCAGCTCTTTAACAAGTTAGCATTGGCATGAGCTTTGAAACAGTCCCACACAGAGCTCAATGACATTAAACATACTGCGGATTAGAAGAAACATCTTCAGTAGTTACAGGAACTTCAGAATTGAACTTTCGACCTTTGGGGGTTGTGCGTCCAAGCTTCTTCCGAATAGTGTGCAAACGACGTGACGTTTGTGCGCGATATATGTTGTAGTCCCCAGAAAGGAGGGATTCTTCCCTGCGCGTGAAGAAGAGATCTGTGATGTCCATCTTGCTGAAGAATGACGGTCTTACTAACAATTGAGTCTCAACATGGCGGGGAAATATCGGTGCTGGCGTCTGCCGTCGGGTGTGTGCTCGGGKAAAGGATTGGCCGGCGCCGGGGACAACTTCTGACTGCGAAGCTCTAATATCAAATTGTTTTCCAGAATGAATTCAATGGCATAAGCTGTGTACAACATCTCTCTTTGCTTTTTATTTCTTTGGCTCTTTCTTTGTTGTAATTAATGTCTTGATCGCCAGATTCATCAATCTTTAATTTTTTTTTACAGCGCTCTTTCATCGCCGCTTTTCCGAGGTGCAACACGTGAGTTAAATCCAAGCTGTCTACGTTTTTCATTCTAACTGATTAAAACAGTGGTTAGACTTCAACAATCTTCGATATGTTCGTCACATTTTCTCGAAATTGTCGCACATGAGATCGTTTCCGCACCTACGTGTCCGACCGAGTAATGCTGGAACGAGCTGTAGGATGTCTCGAGTTTGCCGGCCAAGGCGTGCTGCACAAATACGGAGGCGTTCTTCGCAGCCAAAGAACTCTCGACCCTACTTTCTGGCAGTACCAATTCTCTGATGCCGACTCGAGCCTTTGGCAAACTGGATATCATCATGAGCCCAATTCCGGTCGACCGACCCCTATCTCCACTCAATCTTCGACCGACGTATTCCTCGACTTCCTCTACCCTCAGAAATGTCTTATTAGCGCCGCCGTATGGGCTTCGAAGACGAAAGGGGGAAACGCCAATATTCATAAAAGACGCCGGGCTTCCAAATTCATGAGGAGTTACTCTCAAGCGTCTCGCTCTCGCAGCCGGCCTGCAGTCCATGTACCGTCCCAAACCAGCATCCCACGACTTTCGAGACGAACACATGCCTCCGCAGCTCCATATAATTCACCTGATACTGAAGACATTAATGCCAGCTTGGTTTCACGGACCAAGTTACATCGAGATTACGACCGGGCATGGATTTTATGGGAACAAGGCGATATGGATCCGAAGTCAAGATTTCGTCTCATGGTCTGGTATTCTATGTCGGACAGGGCCTTCGATATCGAGCGAGCCATCAGCCTGCTTGAAGGAATTGATCCTGATAAACGCGTCGCGAAGGACTATGAAATTATGATCCGGCCTTTACTTAAAGCAGGTCATCTTTCTGCCGTTGAACGTTTATGTGAAGACGCTGTCGTAAAGGGCCTTGAATTAGATGTGTGGTCTCTGGCCACTAAGATCGCTATTCAATCCTCAAAATGGCCAGAGTTGTCATACATTTGGAACAGAAAGCATGAGGATCTAATTAACGTATTGTCGTCTATCTTAGCTTCGGTCAAGGGGCTGCCTCATCATCTCGACTCTTTCCTTGAATATCTCGAGAATAGTTCGGCAACCTCTACTGATGTACAACTCGCTTCAGATGCGCTCGATTTTGTGTTCAAGTCCGATGAAAATATGCGTGATATGATTGCTGAGACTGCACTGTCTCTGACTCGGAGATCGGCCATTTTGGGTTTCCTTCAACAAAGTCACTACGACGCCGCCTTTCAGACTTTGCTCAGGATTGGAACGCGTACGAGCAGAGTACTAACGATGGTTCTTTATCGGAATTTTCGGTGGCATTTGAGTACAGCCAGGCCATCCAAAAAGCTCCTTCAACAACTGCTGGAAATGTTGGCCGATATGAGGACCCATTATGGTGTTCAGTTTCTCCTTGATGAGTTTGCACATTTTTTCAAACAGCCGTCGATAGGAGCATGCAATGCCGCGCTCCTCGCCTTCTCTCGATCAGGTGACGTCTCAAAAACACAAGAAACATTCAACAAGATAGTAGAGCTATATGGGACCTCCACAAAAAACCCCAAAGTTAACCACAAAACGCCGAGGACTCCGAGATGGGTTGCACACCTTATCTATGCTCATGCAATGATGGCTGATTATGAATCAGCGGAACGCGAGTTCAATAGAATCGCACGCATTTACAAAGTAGACCAAAGTCGATATTGCTGGAATGCTCTCATTTTAGCTCACGTCAACGCTCGCAATACATCTGGGGCTTTTGAAGTGTGGCGTCGGATGCACCGTGGGGGCTTTAAACCAGACTGGTACACATATGGTACTTTGATGGGCCTGTGTGCCAGATTGGGTGATGTGGAAAATACCATTGCGCTATATCAGATGGCGGAGAAAAAAGAAGGCAAAATGCATGCACCTTTGATGGATGCGGTAGTCGAAGTTTATTGCCGAAATCAGCGTTTTCAGGAAGCCGAAGAGTTGGCAGAAAGGTGTCTCGCTACATCTCTGTCTGGTTCGCGCACTCGAATGTGGAATGTCCTGCTTTGGTCGCACGCCTTTCGAGCAGATATCGACTCGGTCTCTCGACTTCAAACTCGTATGAAAGAAACAGGGATAGAGTTTGATGAGATGACATATGCTGCTATAATGCTCTGTTTTGTCATGATCGGACAACCCCATTCAGCTCGGCGCCTTCTTCGAGGCCTACAGCGAGGCCGAAAAATTCAGGCCACTGAATTCCATTATACCTTAGTACTTTATGGCTACGTTCGACAAGACGACCGGGATATGATTTATCTCATCAAGAAGGAAATAGAGCAGAGATTCAAAAACCCCGGCCTGAGCGCTCGCGCTCTTATATTGAGGTCCACTCTTCAGAGGGACGCTTTCGTGCTCTCATCTACGGGAGACGGTCAAGAATCTGAGTATCGTCTAGCAATGTCCGAGGATCTTCTGTTCAATGCATTGATTAATTTCGATCGGCGACAATTCGGCAACAAGTACCCTCGCCCTGGAACTGGCAGCTTACCCGTGCACGAGGCGTTCCCTTCGGTGCTCTATGAACCAATATTACAAGCTTATAGTGCGGAAGGAATGCATGATCGGACAGAAGAGTTGGTTAGAGAGTATTCAAAGACTGTTGAAACCGCCCTAGCTTCAGACGAGCGCACTTTCATTCCCTCTTTACGCTTCCTGGCCGTGTTGATGGAAGTGTATTCACAGGCTGGAAAATTGGAGACAGTCCAGAAGTGTTGGGAACTGGCATTGAAAAGAGCAGGGAAAATGTTGAAAAGAGAGAGTGTTGTAGCAGACATCAATGCGGGCAATCTGCCAATACCCAAGGGCAACGTCTCTCTACCTAAGAGTCCATCTCAGTTAGCTTCAAACAGCAAACCCCAATCAGCTTCTTATGATGGGAAGGAGTTTTCGGATCAGCCAACAAGCAGTTCAGAAGCCCCAGCGTCCAAGTTTGCCAGCAAGCGTGACAAAGATCCCGTATATCCAGCAGAGGAAGATATTATCCCATCGCAACGTTTCATATTGTCGCGACACTTCTCCATTTATATGGCAATGGTCGGAAGAGCCGGTCAGAGTTCAAAATTATACGAAATTGTTGAGGATTTCCAGAAGCGCGGATTTTCCATGTCATCTGAGAACTGGATTGCTTACGTGAAGACACTTGCTACAGCAAACACAGCATCTGAGCAGCTTGAGGCTTTTTCTACTTTTGAGCGCATCTTCATGCCTTCTTTTCCGGGCTGGCGACTGCTAGCACGTGGATCTCATTTGAGACCTCCAGGTGTTCCCAACACGATTGATCTGTTGGACAGATTCCCAAAAGGCAAATTCCCAGAATTGATGGGCAAGAAAGGGCGTCGATTATGGGGAAAGTTAAATCCAACATGGATGCGACCCACGTACAGTGTCATGATTTATCTCGCAGCAACGTTGAAAGACTTCAATGAGAGAAGTCTTACTGAGGGAAGAGAGCAACACGATACTCTTGCATCAGTAGCGCCACGGACGCTGGAAGCCATTGCAGCGATGCCATACCTACGCGAAAAGTATCAAGGTGTTCTCCTCAGAAATCGAGTCGATCAGGGTGATCCTATGCCTCAGCCACGTGTAAGATATGCGTGGAGTGGTGGAATTTTGGGCGTTGGTGGCAAGTCAAGGCCTCGCGAACCCCTTGAAGAGGCTGAGGCACTGTTCGAACAATCTGAGCCTAAATCTGATCCGAGTGAGCTTGAATCCGAGATCCTCGTTGATGATAGCAGCGAACCCGAGGAGCACATGGAAACGACTGACCCCATAATTGCGCCGGAGGACGAGCATGATATCGAAACGGAAATCCTTATCGCATCTAGACGCCGTGAACTGGGCATCGATCCTCTTCGAGAGGAGGAACGTTTAGATAGAGACCGCAAGTGAGGTGAAAAAAAAAAAAAAAAAAAAAAAAAAGCGACTTTGTGCACCACAAGTAACTGTTCTTGGACAACCAGCGCTGTACAATAATCCTGTAAATATATGCCAGGTATACTGGCGCTCATGTATATTGATTTTCCTTTTTGTTTCTGTGTCATCCACTTCTCATTTAGCGGTGTTTGCATTTGGGCATTGCATCGACTGTGACAGGCTCCAGACCATGTATACTACTTACTATGATCGAGAAATACCTTAAGAAAGATGACATGTAAACTGACAATTACTTTCATATGCTTCCGCATAATTCTTCCTTACAAAGACGCGAAAATATACAAAACGGGAACTCGCACGCTGACTGGCTAGTCTGGCACGCGACCTCGACGCGTCTCACGCGTTTCAATTATACTCTATTTGGACTAGCGCCAAAAACCAACCCTTTGAACCTTTGGCAGGACCTCACTTACGATCTTTTCTCCAACAACTCCCCATCCCATTTTCGCAGAAGAAAGACCTTCAATTCTCATCGTTCTTGTTTCTTTTCCACCACGGAACGTTTGCACTCTGCGTCTGGTTGGATTTCTTTTTCATTTCCGACTGCGGCTTCTCCTCGCCTAGAGGATCAATTCTCCCACTATGAGCGAGTTTCAATTACCAGAGGATACTGCGGAGGATCGCGTGTTGGCGGCCACCGAGTTTTTAGATCCTAGTAAGTTTGAGCGAATTCATCTGCATTTCGAGACTCTGAGATTGCTAATCATTTTTGTCATCTTCCAGCCGATACCCGTGCTCGAAGGTGCGTCCCACTCGACTGATCATCGACATGTACGGAACGACAAGTTACTAACTCGACGGGATAGTTACCGCGCGGATATCGTGTTGATGCTCAATAGGGGTTTTCGAAGATTGACAGTGAGTAGACTGGGCGCAGAAAATAACATTTTGTCGACTCTGGCTGACTGGTCAACCTGCAGGTCAGCATCGATGAGATACGATCGCACAATCGAGACCTTGCACAAGGGTATGCTGGCCACTGATATAAAGTGAGAAGTGAATGCTAACCTTTCCAGTCTCCTTATGTCCCCGTTTGAATACACGGAAGCATTCAACAAAGCCCTGAAGAATGTCATCAAGACTCTTCCCAACCGGCCAGCACGGGAGACAGCCGAAGATGTGGTTAGTATGCCCTGTGGACTGCCTATGAACAATCGCTAAGATTTATAGATGTATTACTGCGCATTCATTGGCGCTTTTGGTGAAAACGCTTGCAATCCCCGAACGCTTAGTTCCTCCCACCTCAATCGCATGATATCTTTCGAAGGTATCGTCACAAAATGCTCTCTCGTTCGACCGAAAATCATTCAGAGTGTTCACTATAGCGAAAAGAAGAACAAATTCTTTGCGAGAAAATATAGGGATCAGACTATGACAGCTAGTGGGGCCACAAGCTTGAACGTGTATCCTCAAGAGGATGATGAGAAAAATCCTGTAAGAGAACCTCGAATGTCCGTCCTCGATAATTTTCCATGCTAACGGTTTTTAGCTCACTCTCGAGGACGGCTATTGTACGTTCATGGACCATCAGACTATTTCGATCCAAGAAATGCCCGAGAGAGCACCCGCTGGTCAATTGCCCCGAGGAGTGGATGTCATCTTAGATGATGACTTGGTCGACCGCGCAAAACCTGGTGATCGTATCCAGTTGGTAGGAATCTTCCGCTCTTTGGGAAACAGAGGCGCAGGATCGGGTTCCTCGATATTTCGAACAGTCGTTCTTGCGAACAACATTATTCAACTATCTTCAAAGTCTGGCGGCGGAATCGCACAAGCTACCCTTACAGATACCGATATCCGTAATATCAACAAGTGGGCGAAAAGCAAGAAGACCAAAATTTTCAATATGTTGGCCCAATCACTGGCTCCCTCTATCTACGGGCACGAATATATCAAGAAGGCCGTCTTGCTCATGCTTTTGGGTGGTATTGAGAAGAATTTGGACAACGGCACCCATCTTCGTGGTGACATTAACATTTTAATGGTCGGCGATCCATCCACCGCCAAATCACAAATGCTACGTTTCGTCCTAAACACTGCGCCACTAGCAATTGCCACTACTGGTCGAGGTTCATCAGGTGTCGGTCTTACTGCAGCTGTGACCACTGACAAAGAGACTGGTGAACGAAGGCTTGAGGCCGGTGCTATGGTTCTTGGCGATCGCGGTGTTGTCTGTATCGATGAATTCGACAAGATGAGTGACGTTGACCGTGTTGCAATCCACGAAGTCATGGAACAGCAGACTGTCACAATTGCTAAGGCAGGTATTCACACGTCGTTGAACGCTAGATGCAGTGTTATTGCAGCTGCGAACCCAATCTACGGCCAATACGATCCTCATAAAGACCCTCACAAAAATATCGCTCTACCCGATTCGCTGCTCTCTCGTTTTGATTTACTATTCATTGTCACGGATGACCCAGAAGACAAAGGTGACAGACTGGTTTCGGAACACGTACTGCGTCGACATCGCTATCGCCAGCCAGGTGCAGAAGAGGGTGTCCCGGTTCGCGAAGGAGCAACTCAGACTCTCGGCGTCGGAATAGAAGAGTCTCAAGATTCCAACCAACCCACAGAGCCCCTGGAGAAGTATAATGTCATGTTACATGCTGGCATGGCAGCAACTAGCAAGAACGGCAATGTCGAGGTGTTCAGTCTACCATTTATCAAAAAGTATATTCAATATGCAAAGACTAGAATCAAGCCTGACTTGACCAAGGGGGCTGCAGATCATATTATTGCCACTTATTCTGCGCTTCGAAATGACGACCTCACTGGTAACCAAAGGAAGACGTCTCCCATGACTGCCCGTACACTCGAAACACTGATTCGTTTATCCACTGCTCACGCCAAAGCTCGTTTGTCGAATCGTGTGGAGGAGAAAGATGCCAAAGAAGCCGAAGCTATTCTACGATTTGCTTTGTTCAAGGAAGTCGTTGAAGATTCAAGAAAGAAGCGGCGCAAGGTGACCACCTTCGACTCCGACGAAGACTCAGATGACGACTCAGAAGACGAGAGCGAGGAACCCTCAGAATCTGCTTCAAGCAGACAACCCGGCAGGCGAGGCGGTCTCAGATCTACTGGAACAGTTGACGATTCAGCCCCCCTTGAGTCTGAAGCTCCTGAAAGCAGCTACAGAGAACAGCGACAATCTAGCCGAGCCACACGACAGACACATACTGAATCCCAGATGTCCGTTGCCTCGTCTCTTCCTGCTTCCCAGCTTCTCCAGTCGCAGACAGATTCTCAGGCTAGCTCGGTTGCGCCCATTCAACCGGCCCGACTAACCATCTTCCGTCAAACTCTCGGACCCCTGATGGGTCAAGTATTCGCCAACGAAGACAGTGCGGATCTGGAAGCCCTTATTGGTGCAATCAATACCGCTATCAGGGCAAACCAAAGCCTGGGTGAGCGTAACGTCTTCCAGAGGCAAGAAGCTATCCAGGCTTTGAAGGCAATGAATGAGAGAAACGAGTTAATGTAAGTGCATCTCAAAACAAGCGAAAGATCTTATCTGTTCTTTACTAATCACATAAACACAGGTTCCTTGAGGAAGACGATACGGTCTACAGAATCTAATGTCAGCTCGTAAATGTTGTTAATGATCGGTTTGGAGATACATGGAATGGCGATTGGTCTAAATGGTGTTCGGCGTCTCATATCCTCACTTCCATAGGTTGTCTTGATGTTTAACGAATGTATTCATGAAACTAATCCTATAACACATCCTCGTAACCCATTTTCCCAAGTCATGTCTTATAGATACAATGATTTTCTAAACCAAACTAGACAAAAATTGCCCGAAATTTGTATCTCGCATCTCATAATCGACGCTGCAACAACCCACGTAACCAACTCATTAAGTGATTTACCCGATCTTCCTCGACAATATCCGCGCCAAAAACGTCATCAAACAACTCCCCAAAAAGCTTCATATAAGTCTTTGGTGGCTTCATGGCCTTGCCATCTTCTTCCCCTTCTTGATCACTGCGTAACATTTTCTCAAGATACGTTCTACCCCTTGGCAATAAACGCGATAATATGTCCCCATCAACATGCATGGACGAAGGCTTCTTGGCTTGAGGCTCGATATCAGCCCATGTCCAGCGTCGTTTTCGAGCGAAGAGGAACGGGGATAGAGTGGAATCTTTGCTGCAGAGGTTTTGGAGGAAGCGAAGTAGACGCCATTCTTGCTCGGTGAGGATAGAGATGCGGTAGATTGCTCCATCCATTGTAGTGCCGTATACCACTGCTGTTGATGAGGATAGAGGGCCTTCGCGAGCGTTGAGGCGAATGATTGAGACAGGTAGTTGCGCCTCGGCAAGCGCGGGAGAGATTATCTTGTCCATGTCGGTGACGCCAGCTGCTGAGAAGGCGCTGACTGTGCCCCCTCTGTGACTGACGAGGGTCAAGTCATGTTCGCCGCCGATGTATTGATGCGAAAGGCTCTCGTGTCGCACCCCGTCTTGAGCATACAGCTCCAATTTTCTACCTACCACTTGCAAAATCACGAGCGACTCTCTGGCTGTGCTGACATAGAGCAGTGTATCGCGCACTGTAATTGAGACTCCAGGGGATGTCAATTTGAATCTCGCCGCGGCGGCCCATTGCTCACCACCATTTGGTAATCGGGGCGCAATGGGGATGATATCGTTTCCTGCGGCTACCATGATGGTTGAATTGCCATATGCGGCGATGGCACGCACGGGCCCGTCGAATGTATGGATGTATTTCAGCGAGCAGTCAACTTGTTCTGGATTCGCCGCGTTGCGTTTGGCGTTCAGGAAGACTACTCGCCCACATTGCTCTTGCGTTTTTCGCGCAGTTCCAATCACGAGTAAGTGGTATTTCTGTCCACCGGTTTCGGGAATCCAGTCGAGTATACAGGTAATCCGCTCGCCGGACGAGCCAACTAGTTTTTGAGCGTGCGAGGAATCGGATGAATCAAGGTTATGTTGATGAGACAGCAGGTGAGAATTAGAAGCGTCAAAATTCAGGAAGTTCAAGTGAGGACGCATGTAACGCTTGACAATGCTCGTTGCCGGATCGGCCACCGTTTCTATTTCTAGTTCGGATGTGATGTATGCGACAACAAGACACTTGAGTTGTTCCGAGTATTGGATTCTATTGGCTGTACCAGGTAATTCAATCATACGCGGTACAGCTTTTGCTCGTTGGTCAAGGGTACAGACAAGAAGCTGGTTGTCGCTGATACAGATCAAAGGTCCACCTAAAGTGTTTGGAGAGGAATCCTTGGAGACATCCACAATCGTGAAACATTCAATGCTTTTTTGGGCATAGGTAGACTAATTTCATATTTAGTGCATGTTCAGACTTAGAAGCTAATCAGTCACTCACAGCATTCTGGTCAGTAATCCAGATTCGTTGGAGATCAAAGTCAGATGCATTGCCCCCCATTATATCCGATATGCGCCAGAAGCCCATGCCACACGTGGCCAGTATCGTGTTCTCTTTTCTCAGGAGCTTGACTGATGTCTGACCAAATCTCTTTGCAGTTCGTTGCTTGATACCTAAGCACGCGTTAGACGAAAGGTGCTGATAGAAAGAAGGTTGATGGGGGACTGACTCATAGGATTGGAGACGATTTCAAGAGAGATAAGCAAGCCACTACGAAGGCCACAGTAAAGAGCCGCCTTCTCCAATTCAGCCCAATCGACCAGAGCCATGCTCTCTATGGCCTTGGACTCATGATCGTGAGGCAGATTCAGCATGTACTCGCCAACATAAACTATCTCATCCATATCAACCCGATAATAAGCAATACGGCCATCACTTGTGCCGGTAAAAATGTATACACCATCCTTCAATTCCTCTATCATTATGGAAATAGGCTCATGCTCGATTTGAAGTATTTTGCCTGTGAAATTGATATCGAGAAAGCCGTCGTTCAATATCCCGACTTGTATACTCAGTCCCTGCTCAGATCTGAGGGCAATGGCGACTAGTCCCAATTCTCCATTAACGGCGGCAACAAACGCAGTTTGATCTGTTGAGAACTGCGATACACGGTTCGATTCTGGTTCACTAAGTAGCACTGAGTGTACGGCTTGCGGTGTGACTTGCAACATAACGGCGTGAGATGTGTAGCCTACCGCTAGAGTTTGTACTGAAAGGTCGAGGGATAAATTCGAACCATCAACAGCATATATCTCATCATCACCACTAACACTGCGTGTAAGATGCATTAGCACTGAAGAGAAAGGATCGGAAATTAAGAAATAGGATCCGTTTTGGAGATAGTCCGGTATGACCCAGATTGCCTGTATTGAGGTAAAGTCTTCCAAAGGAATGTAAATACCAATTTGGGCCTCGTAGCCATGTCGGAATTCATATACGGTGCCACTCTTGTTTGATGAGGCAGAGGATACATAGAGATGAAGATCGTCGCTCAAATCTTTTGTCGCGTCAGTCTCATATCCAGCCTTCTTCTGACATGGCGGCACTATGACCGTATCGAATACAGGCGCCCAGTTAACAAATCTCTGCACACATTCTGGGTTCTGCCTTGCAATTTGAATAAACAGTCCTCCATGCCCCGTGCTACCTCCTGCGATGAGAAGATCGCCCCCGTGGCTGGGGTGGTTAAAGTCAATGGTATCAAAAGCGGCATCAACTTCGCAATCTAATTGTCCAATCACATTGATGGACACGATTTGGCTTTTGTTGTCTATTTCAACGTAGGTGAGACGTCCGTCTTCTCTACATAAGAAAATGTCATCATGCAATTTGTCATATTGCGGGTGCCTATATGGACGAGCCCACTTTGCCCATATGGTTGGAGTCTTTGGCATCAGATCAGAACAACGCTTCTTCACGAGCTTGGGATCTGTACCCAGAGGGTTCCGATTAATGATTATAAACGAGGGCGTTATGAGCAGATAATTTGATGACTTTGTAAGAGGAATGAGCAGATTCGGTAATCTGCAAAAATCTGGAAGTGGAGTGCTAATTGTTTTTTGTTGAACCTGTTTCAAGCCTTTTGCGGTGTCCCAAATGTAAAGCACGGAATGGGTACGAGAACCTCGAGATACTATGAGGAGAAGGGTGATGTAGTCTTTCTGGTCCTGGGGAGATAGAAAATCCATGAGTAATATGTGGCCTTCTAGCCGATAGAATCGCTCCTAAATCGTGTTAGCAAAAGAACAAGCTCAAGATAGAATATCTTCACATACCTCAGCAATTGGTGTCAACGTGCCCCCTTTGATTTGTGACTGGAGCTCCTTTGATGGCTTGAGCATGAAGACACCAAAAAACTCAGAGGCGGCGGCGATTGCAACGGCACGAGACCTGTAATTTGAAAGTCATTAAACTTTGTCTTAGAATATGGTGATGTGAACACTCGTTACCTCGGATCAACAGCTAGATGACGCCCAAATCTCTCAGATATGCTCACATCGGATGGTAAAGCTCTGCGGAAATGGATAAATCTCACATCGTCTTCACGAGAACCGGTTTGACAGTACAGAAAAAGCAGTTCCCTCGAGTCTAGTGTCAGGGCTAGAATATGACCTGGCAGTGAATCATCTGGTCCATTGTCTTCTAAAAGATTTTGCTGGGCGTCAAATCTAAAGTCCGATATCTCTGGAGTTTTCTGAACAATCTTGACCGTTTTTGCAGCAGTTATATTGGCGTCGAAATCTGAACTGACCATAACATCTTCCAAATAGGTATCTGAGATGATTTCACGAACGACCAAGGACCTTTCATAGACAAAGACGACATCGTTATGGCGCCTGTCCCGCAACCGAGCAGGCAAGGCGAATTGGATGCTCGGACTAGGTACCAAGGTCTGCGATAGCAAGCCGATTTTTGGCCTTGCAAGGCTCGTGATATCTGACATCTTATATAATTGGGCCCCGGTACATCAATCTCATGTAGATTGGGAGGCCTGTTGGGATCAGTTGCATTAAGCTTGTAGCAACAGACCAGAGATAAGGAGACAGCCAAAGACGACTTGTCTCCTAGATTATTCAGAAGTCCTATAGACTGTAATCTCAGGGGGCTGAGATGATGCCATCAACCCGGTGGCTCGTTTTCAACACCGACGAGGTGAAGAACGAGGAATCAGCGATTAATTAATGCCACTGAGAAATATCAAGACCTTAAGTAATGGACAATATCGAGCTTTGTATCGATAAAGATCCCATTGCTTGAGTGAAGTCGAGATGAGAATGTTGTGAGGCAGGAAGAGCTCGAAAGGGTTTGGCGGGGCCTTTCTGCAGCTAACTTCCCAAAAAGTTAGCGTGGTAATATTTCAGTTTTAGCATTGTATTAAGCGTATTTGAGGTATTAGATACGAGCATCTCAACTTCAATTTCTTACAACCACTCCCTACTTTCGTCGACTACATCTACGGATCAATACAAGAAGATTTTAGAGCGAGAACATTAGATTATATGTCTAAAAATATGGACAATCGCACCAAGCACATTCAACGCAAACCAGAAAAGCGCGGCGATGAAGTCCGTTTCGAGACAAATATGACCTCAGAGTTGCCATTGCTTCCTTTCCCAAATCCTTATGGGAATATAAAGAACAGTCGAGACCGCTGCGCCCAAAATCCAACTGATATCAGTCCCGTAGCTAGACCCTGGTATTGCAGCAGCGATAGGACCAATCCACCAAGTCTGACTCATGGCGACAACTGAGATGACGGTACCGCACACCCAGGCCACGCTTGCTGCGATGCCGTATGGCAAGCGAGTATGATCATTCCATACACCAAGGTCATACTCATACTGTCTTCTCCAGATAAAGTGCTCTAGAATAATGACCATGCAAAATGGCACCAACCAGTATGCACATACGAGAAGAAAATCTTCTAATACAGCCTCGAAATGGTCTCGAAGCGCCAATGCAATGGCAAGAAATGCGATACTTCCGACCATAGACCAAACAAGGCGGGGTACAATGACAAGTTTCTTTGTAATCATCTGCATGCTCAAGCCTAGCGAGTAAATGTTCGTTGTTATGACAGCTGCTGTGGACAGGCCAATGAGGACTTCAATGAAATATCCGAAGCCCCGTACTCCGGGGTTTATTCCTTCATATACAGAGCCGAAGAGCCCACCGAGACCATGCTGGCCATAGGCCGTTTGGAAGCGTGGATCGGTGTTCATGACCAGTGTGCCGATGGCCGCTCCAAGCAATTCGAGTAGAATTTGACTCGACAAAAGACCGGCATAAGCCCAAGAGAAAATCACAGAGGACTTGGTATCTTCACGCATGTAGACACCATAGTCCGCTGCAATTGGCGCCCATGCAGCCTGAAATCCGATAATAGATGTGCTAAAAGAAAGAATGTTAGAGGCCTCGAGAGATCCACTACCCCATGGCACGTTCACAAAGTGGCGCGCACCAAATCCTGCTGTTATGATAAAGCAGACCAGCATGACCATCCAAGAATATCTCGAATAAAAGTGTAGCACTTTATACCCGAAGAGACCAAGAACGATAGCTATGATCCCCACGATGATAATGGAGGCAATCATTGGAATTCCGTGGCTACCTACATCACTCAACACTGCCGCACCCGATATACAATTGACCACTCCCCAGCCGACTTGGTTTATGACGTTGAGAATAGCCAGAACCTTTGCGGGCCACCATCCAAAACTGTATCGCGGAATGATCATGGTGCGGAGTCCGAGTCTCGGGCCTAGGGTTGCTATCACTGCTGGGAAAAGCCCGCCGAGCACGTTGAAGAAGATAATTGCGAGGAATGAATCCCACCATCCAAGTCCAAACGTCACGGGTCCGAGAAAGCCAGTTGCCAGAGTAGCAGTGTTACAATTCGCAGAGAAGAAAATCGTGAAATAGTCGCGCGGATGTTGATTTGTACGAATTTCCTCCGGTATACGTTCTATGCCAAATTCTTCAGCGCCGATTTTGTTGGACCAAGAGCGTACCTTGGTCCACATTGTGTAGCGAGAAGAATCGCCATATACTGGCTGCATCTCAACATCTCCTTGTGTCGAACTTCCATCGTGCTCTTTGGCGCTATTGTGTGTATCTGTATAGGGTAACTTTTCAGCTTGAAGCCCCTTATGAAAGGTCGTTTTGGTATCCATATGGCTCAAGGATCGAGGTGCAATACATTGATTAGAATTGTGGTTTCTTGATTGTCCCCATAACAGCCGCATCTATATGCGGAAACTCGGTGATATTTATCCATGTCCGTATTCGAGGAGGCTGGCGTGTTGGAACGTACGTAGATACCTGAATCATAGGAGAGGCAAACTGAGGGAGGAGATAAGGGAACGAACTTTATTTCAATCGTTATCTCGGTGGATAAAGCACGTTGTCTTCTATCTCTTAAAATCTTCGCATAGGGGGCATCCATCGCTCACCAACCGCCGTCGGGGAACTCATCTTTATCCCCCGCAACCCTAACCCATTCAGCAGCTCATCTTCGCCGCCGATTTTGTCTCTACTTCTTTTACTTTGCCGTCAGCGTCGATTTCGGAAAATCGCCATTTTGGATAAGGGCTAAGTTTCGGAATGAGATTCGAATTATACTTTGACCAATTATGTCACCTGGTGATACCATCCCGGCCAACGAACGAGATAAGTCTCCTCGAGGAACTGGTGATGTTGAGGAAAACACGGCTGACTTCGACCAATCAATTCATCATCCATGACCTGTATGTGTAAGAGAAAATGATCCTTCAGAGATCTGATCTGCAAAGTCATTTCGATTGGGAGTGCAAGCCACTATCATGAACAATGGATACGAAAAACAGCCACACAAACTCTACGGAGTATGATATCGTGATACTTGGTGGTGGTCCTGTAGGACCTCTTCTTCTTGCCAATCAGCTAAAGCGATTCGGGTAACAGCTTGTTTACTAGAGAAGTACCAAAAGGAAGAGCAGGACCAGTATGGGCGGGCTATCGCCTTGTTTCCTAGGACCTTGGAACAACTGCATCAACTTGACCTCATTGAGCCCATGCTACAACCGGGGTTTGCTTGTCGGACCAGTGTGACCTACAAGGATGGAAAAAGAATGTGAGCACGAGTATATCAAATACATATGAGTCTTGTTTACTGATATGAGAACGCACTGATACAGACTTCCCGGACGAGTCTGGTATTTCATGGAAGACATCAAAGACACTACCTACGATTTTATCTTGGTACTTCGTCAATGTTTACTGAGAAGGTTTTGCCCGAGAAACTTAACAAAGTAGGCGGCGAGTACTACCAAGGAATTGAATGTATTGACTTCATCCTAGATGAATCAGTTTCGATGGATGACTATCCTGTCACGTCAAAATTTGTTGACAAAGGTACCGGTAAAGAGTTGAATTTGAAAATTTTTACCATGACCTCATCATCTAGTGTTATTTTCCGGCTCTGAATTGTCTCCAAATCAAAGATTTTATAGAAACCGACGACGGGCGAAGTTGTGTTCGACGACATACGGGAATACCACTCGAAGAAAGCAGGTCTTCAATGGATCCGCATAGACGGGCTCATTGAAACCAACATGCCCCTTGTGCGCTCGTACGGGTTGGTTCAATTTCGTACTGAGTATCAGGCCTTGCTAACGTCCAACGATAGAGCGATAGAAAGCAAGACCCACGGAAATGTGCTCTGGGCTACCCTCGATCATGCTGCTACTTGAATCGGCTTTGCCTATACTGCAGATATTTCTGCCATGTATTCTGATGGTGTGACACAGGAAGTAGCTGAGAAAGAGGCCATAAATTCTATGAAGTCATTTGATGTGAAGTTCAAGGAAATTCACTGCTGGACCCTGTACGTTCTTGTACATCCATATCCCAATGACCACAAGTAAAAGCACTCATACCGCTTTCATACAAGTACACAATCGGCCAAAAGATGGCAAAAGAGTTCTCAATTCGAGAACGCACAATCTTATGCGGTGATGCCGCTCACACCCATAGCAGCGTTGCCGCGCAAGGCCTCAACACCGCTGTCCACGACGCCGTAAACCTAGGTTGGAAGCTCGCATTGCAAACCCGGGGGATAACAAAGCCGGAGATCCTCCAAACCTACAACGAGGAGCGCAAGCTTGCTGTCAGTCAGCTTATTGAATACGATAAGGATATATCTGTTTTGATGACACACAAGTAGCCTAAGTGGTATGAAGGGGATCCTACCGCTGACCCTTATGTTATACTTGGAGAGATCTCTGAAAAGGCTGGATCATTCAACATCGGGTTGGAATTTCCTATCCCATAAACATGGTCAATCAAGCTACTACCTCTATTCTCAAAGTTGTTCCGGGGAGTCGAGCACCTGACGTGGAATTGACGATGCCCGGGACTGGCCGAAAAGTGTCATTGCACGACGTCACCCCTATTCTTGCCAAATTCTGGTGGATTGCTGTTTTCGCAGGGAATACTATTTCTACAAAGAACTCTCTACTCGAATTGAGAGAGTTCTTCGAGAATAAGACTCAAGGTATCCTTTCAGATGAATTTACTTCGTGGATCACCATAAGTGCCATCAACGGGTATTCTCCGTACGAGACCTTGGGTACGCAGCCAATTGGAGACACCTTCTTCGACACCTCTAGCTCGACTCATGAAAAGTTTGGCTTTGATTTAGAGCGGGGAGGTATTCTCATTCTTCGACCGGACGGCCTAGTAGCTCATGGTGGGCCGATTGATGGGCAAATAGTGAAAGACTACTCTACGAAGCTCTTTCGGAATCAATTGAGTATTTGGGTATTTGATTAGTGAATAAGCCAGATTATTTATCATCTTGTTTTCTCCAAAAAATGATAATTGACTTGAACTTAATATGAAAAGTATGAGTTTCCTTATGCGATTAACATTATAGGTAGCTTAGCACTTCTACCTAGGTAGACATTCGATGTATAAAGCMATTTTATATCCAGAATACTCAAATAGCTATCGTTTCACCAGAGTAACGGTACGAGCACATCAAACAGTGAAGGCATTTGAGGTCTTACGCAATTGCCGCTAGAAGCTCGTGTCGACGTATCGGCGCTTTGGTGCTTTCCACCGGATTACATAGTACAGTGGGTATGAGAGTACACAACCTTAACCTTTATACAGACCTCGATGCCATTGCTGCGGCGAGTTTCTTTTAGGAGAGAGGTGAACAAAAAGAGCTAATGAATCTTTGGCTATTAACTAATCTCGCCTCGTTGAGCTCGCAAAATATCATACTTCAAAGCTGCCCCCATAAGTACTTCTGCTCCCAGTATGCAATCCTCTGGACTACAATATTCATCCGGAGTATGACTCATTCCATTTCGTGTCGGCGTGAAAACCATGGCTGTTGGACATCTCTTGCTAACATTACAGCTGTCATGACCTGCACCGCTTGTCATGTGTCTCCAGAGACGTCTGTTTGATGGGTTTTGGTCTGCCGGGAGAGAGGCGCAAACTGCTTCTGCAGCACTCTCGACAGCAGAAATACAGTCCGGATGGAATTTCACTGCTACGTTCTCAGTGAGTGTTTCCCAGCTCACATTTACGCCTCGCTCGCTGTCTTCTGTGGCTATTTTTTCGAATGCTTGACGGCATTGTTCAACCATGCTAGAGACCTGCTCATCTTGAGGGTGACGAACGTCCATCGTGAATTTTATAGTATGCGCCATGGTATTGATACTTCCAGGTATCGCTTGGAAGATACCGGTTGTTATTAGCCCCGAAGCAGATTTGGCGATTTGATTTGATGCAGCAATCATTTTCGCCGCTGCGAGAAGAGGGTCTCTCCTAGCAGATAAAGGCGTGGTACCAGCATGACAATCTTGACCTTTAATTGTTATCTCAAACCAGCTATATGCCTGGCCAGCGGTAACCACACCAATCTTTTGTTCTTCATTCTCAAGAATAGGGCCTTGCTCAATATGAAGCTCAAAATGGGCACCGATTGGGAATGCCTTGTACGATGCCGGTGTCTCTCCTAAAAATCCGATGCGAGCCAACTCTTGCTTCATTGTTTTCAGCTCTGGGCCTTGGCTTAAAGAAGCCACTTCTCGACAATTCCAGGCAGTTTCGAGTGGAACCACATCGGCCCAGACGCCAGACGAGACCGTCACCATGGGAAATCTTGCCCCCTCCTCGCTTTGAAAGTTGTAAGATTAAATCAGACAAGTTCAGTAGAGCAGGAAGAAGGCTTACTTGGTCCAGTTAACTAGCCCGATAGGACCCTCCGTTTGGTAACCACTTTCGTGTATAGTACGCAATGCTTCAAGGGCAGCAAGAACACCCAAAATGCCATCATATCGACCGCCCGTAGGCTGCGTGTCTAGATGAGAGCCCATCATGACAGGTGGTGCTGTCTTGTTTCGTCCCGGTCGAACAGCGAATATATTTCCCATCTGGTCGACTGTCACCGAACACCCCACGGCCTTGACCTGCTCAATCAACCATTCGCGAACTTTCTTATCATCGTCATCAAGAGCCAARSGAGCCATTCCGGTCTCTGTTTCGTGCCTAATACAAATTAACTACATTCAGATACATGCCGCGAAATGTGTTTACTCACTCTCCATAACGATGCGCCTTTCCGAACTCGCAGGTTGAATGGATCGACTCCATCAACCGAAGTGCGTTTATTTTTGTGGGCGCTTGCATGGCGTCGCTAGGCCCTAGCCTCCAATTTGAGAATGAAGACTGTAAGGAAAACCCCCAAATCTTAGATTGTAGCACGGAAGGGTGAGGCGTGTTGATGACTGTTCGAAGGAGCGAGCGCATTGGGTTGGAAGTGAAATCCTCAACTTGGCTCGAATAAGAAACATACGTATGTGGAAATTTAACACATCGAACAACGTCTACTTCATATATCGTTATCGGCCGTTGGAGGAGTCGGTCAAGGTCACTCATTGGCGGCCAACGTTTAGGTCTGTTTAGGTCTATTTCGCCCCACAGCGTCGGCCGTGAAATGATTGTCGGGGGAAATTAGGGCATAGCAAGCACAAAACATGTCGAGATGAGTCAAGCCCTCGATATCTAGATTTTAGTCGAATGACAACTGCCAGTCAAGTCGTATTCGGATGAATGAGGATGAATGGGAACTGGAAGATATACGAAAGGGAATAAGTTAGCTATATATCTTTATATACTGAAAACATGCTACAGAACTAAATCTACAGCAGTATCGAAAATGAGGCCTATTCTTAACAATCTCAAGATACCTTCTTTTCCACACGCAGCCGCAACGTCCTATACGTGATTGTTCGCGATCAGAAGTCGGCTGTAGCCAGTCCGACAGTTTAGCAATTACAGAAGAGGCGTATGGTCAATCAACGATGAGACATGATAGAAGTGGTTTGCTTGGAATTGAGTATGATGTAGTTGTAGTATGTTTAGGCCGGGCTGAGAGGGTGAAACAAAGAAGTAGGCAGTAAGCCTACGCCTCCAGCGCGCGCACTACATTCGTAGCACCAATGTAGCCAACAATAGTCCACTCTTATATTGACAACTTGAGGCGATGGGAACAAACCAAGCAGCTTAGGGAAGCCATCCGGGAGCATCAGGAACTTCATGTTCACTGGGACTTTTCCTCCATCCATACGTGGATATGGAGATCAGGACGCTCCAGAAGCTTCTCAACATGATGGCAATCCTAGAAGCTCGACACCATAGAAACGTTGGAGGAAACTGTCTAGCAATAAGATAGTTCTGTAACTCACTACAGTCTTGCAAGCTGGATTAACAGTAGACGTTGTTGTCAGGGTTAGTTGTGGAAGGGGCGAAGCTTGACGCAACGTAGAGTTGGCATTCTTAACCGGCTAAGCCCAATACGGTAATATTGGATTACGGCAGACCACGCAGCCAAATTAACCAGCCAGCAACTCTGATCCAACTTCTGACGTCTACAACATCCAAATTTTCAACTATCATTACCCGCAATACTTATTCTTAGTGATGGCATGAAGCTAATGCATACGGCAGGTCACGATGTATGTGTGAATCGCAAGTTTGATCTATAAATTTCGTACTTGATCCACCGCCCGAGGAGACCTGAAACAACCTTCAAAACAAGCTTCATCATACCGCCGGGCGACTTGCTCTTCGCTTCATCAGCCCTATCTTAAGCAAGCAAGCTTACAGTATGGATGAAGAGCCATCCGAGAAACTTTCACACAGCAAGGTCCTAGACCAGTCTCTATATGTCGATTCCAAGGAGACCACTGAAGAGTTTGACAACAAACGAAAGGCTATCGAGAATGCATGTCAGAGTCGGGATGTCGAAGCTCTAGTCGTACATGCTACCTCCCCAGGTGGGCTTTTGACGGACAAGCTTCGTCAAGCTGTATGTATGTATAATCCCCTTTCTGTAGCCATGACAACTGCTTATCACCACGGAATGCAGGGCCTATATTGCTCGGTTATGACACTGAGAAAGAAGAGTTGAGAGAATACAAGCCGGACTGGAAAATGCTACCGCGACATGGCGATGAGGACCAGGTCGGGCTTGATGTCAACCGATCATTTGTCTATTATCCGCAATGTTAGTATTTTTTTTCCCGGCCATATCGCGGCATAAATATCCCGAGCTAACGTTTCATAGGCGAAGAAGGAGAGTTGGACGAGAGAAAAAAGCAATTATCGGATCTAATTACCGAGACTCTACGACGCTATCCAATGCTCTGCTATTTTCAGGGCTATCATGATATTGCACAGGTCCTGCTCCTGGTTCTGGGGGCTCAGCTCGCTCGGCCTGCCTTTTCAAGAGTATCTTTGCTGCGCATACGAGACTACATGCTTCCGTCATTGTCCCCAGCCTTGAAACACCTTCATCTTATCCCAGCCATACTTGAAGTCACAGATACAAGGGTTCGAAGGCATTTAGCGGGAACTCAGCCGTACTTTGCTTTAGCAGCTGCTTTAACACTTTATGCTCATGATATCGAAGATTATCAAGATATCGTCCGACTCTACGACTTTTTACTCGCTCACGAGCCGGTTGTTGCGATATATCTATTTGCAGCCATCATCCTCAGTCGAAAAGATGAACTTTTAAATATACCGATTGAAGAGCCAGAAATGCTGCACTTTACGTTGTCAAAGATGCCGCAACCGCTGGACCTAGAAGGCTTGATATCTGATACATTAAACCTCTATCAAAAAAACCCACCTGAATCCCTTCCCTTCCGAGTTTGGAGGCAGCTTCCGCGAAGCAGCGTACTCAAAACATCTCGCACGGTTGGAGAACACGCCGATCTCAACGAAGCCGAGAACCATTTTTTCCAGCAAACAAAAGAGCTGCGAAGAGAGGAATTCCGAAAACAAACATATGCACTCCTGTGGCGATATCGAAGACCAATGGGTGGTATTGGTGTTGCGATTCTGATCGGTCTGGCATCGATATATCTTCGCAAAACAGGGCTTGAAGGGCCAATATGGTCGTATATTGGCAGAATCAGGGCTTACTTCACTCATTGACTTTTATAGTGGACTTGCAAGATTTAGTATCCGCGCTGACCACACTCTACTGTGACCATCAGTGATAGAATTGTACTTATATAGACTTAAAAGACTGGAATTTAATTACGGTTACGCATCATGACATTGGACTAAAAGAGTAGCCTTTGAGGTTGGAATAAATATTGCCAATCATATAAGAACCCTAACCCTAGATGATGTACGCGGCCCGGCGGAGAAACCAAGTGTCACTTTGGCCGACCACTCAGAAGCTCCGCTCCCGTGCTTCGATTACCTCGACATCATCAAACATTGCTGCCTCAGGTCGTGAATTGTCGCTCGCTTTCATAACAACTGAACTTGAATCTCCTGATAGAACGAACAGGATTCCGGTTTATTTCTGAGATGGCCAACCAAGGCTACGACGTCGTCGTGGACGTTGATGCGGAGGTAAGCATCACAATCTCTCGAGAAGCAATGCAGCGTCATGAACTATGAGCTGGAAAAAAAGTCATTAACATTCTCAATAGGGCGACCTCGGTCACACTGATCTCCAAGAGGATCTTGAATTCCATCCATCAAGTACGTGACAAGACAACTTCCTGGCGTTGTTGACTTATATTTACAAGACAAAACCTCTAACCACAAAGAACAAATAGACTTCGAAAGCGACCCCCGCAGTGCGAAAATCCAAGCCGACTCACAACCCTTCCTAGGCAACGATGGCGGCCCATCACGCAGCGGCGGCGGTGGAGGACTCTCATCTGGCAGCAACGTCGGCGGAAAGCGTCATCTCTGGACAATCCAATACTACAGCCAATTCTTCGACGTGGACACCAACGAAGTCGTCCGCCGCTGCGTCGCTGCTGTATACCCACGCTCCAACTTCCTAGACGTTCTTGACGGAAATCCGGATTTGTACGGACCATTCTGGATCGCGACTACGGTTGTGATTATTCTGTTTTTGACGGGGACGATATCTCAGTATTTGGCGCATGAGCATGATGAGCATTTTGAGTATGATTTTCGACTGCTTTCTGGTGCCGCGGGCCTGATATATGGGTATACGGGCGTGATCCCCATCGCGCTTTGGGGAGCGTTACGCTGGTTCGGCAGTTCGAGCGCTGATCTGATCGAGTGCTGGGCTCTGTATGGGTATGCGAATCTGCTCTGGATTGCGGTTGCGTTGGCAAGCTGGAGTCCCCTAACGGCATTGAATTGGGCTCTGGTTGGTGTCGGATTTGCGTGGACGGTGTTTTTCCTCCTGCGCAATTTGTATCCCGTGCTTAGTGCGACGGATGCGAAGACGAGCAAGATTTTGCTTATATTGGTGGTTGTATTGCATGTGGGTTTGGCTATTGCCATCAAGGTCTTGTTCTTTGCGTAAGTCACCAGTCTCCTCCTATATTACTAGCTTGCTAACAGATGCTTGTGCAGTCATGGCAGCCCTGTCTCGAAGAAGAACAAGCACGATGACGACGACAAGGACGAGAACCATGATGACAGGCGTATGTTTTTCTAGGCCGACAAAGAGTTGTCATTGTAAAAAGCAATGAACAGTGGGATGTACTACGCCGACGGATCTATATGTTTTTTATATTCTTAGCTAGGTTTGTTCAGGCGTATCGATTGGTTTATTGTGTACAATATACTTTGTCAATATTGTTATTTCTTATGAGCCAATGGCATTTTCGAATCTATGCAATTTCACAATCATCTCTTCACATCTGTAATACGGCGGAATAATAACAACCATAAGTGACATGAACTTCATTCATTTGATACTACTATCATGATCCACGCCATCCTTCCTTCTCACGCTACTTTAATTATTTGAGAAGCTGAGACACCCATTCCCAACGACCAACTCATACTCAATGACCGCGTCTAGGAAAAATAAAAGGGATCGTTCCTGCAAATTTCTTCTCATTTCACTTTAAATTTTTTGCTTGCATAATTTGTTACTTGTAGAATATTCGTAAAAATCCCACATTTAGACCCCCCGGTGAATTTATGAAAAGACGCCAGCAAGAACGACGCAGAAAATACAAGCGTTTGATTGTTGGAGGATGCGAGAGGAATGGGGAGAAAGTAGAAGAAGAGGGGCGAGTCGTTTATTTGAGCTTCTTCTTGGGGCGGAGCTGGTTGGTGTGTCCGCACTTGCGCTTGCGGCAGTTGGTGGCACGGGGGGGTAGGCGGGCCTGTAAAGATTAATGTATGAGTATATTGCGTGTTGTGTGGTAGATTGGGGAGATGGACGTACGTAGCACTTGCGGCAGATGGACTTCTCGCAGTTGTACTTGGAGGCAAGGGCCTTCAAGGAAGGCTCAATGATACCACCACGGAGACGGAGGACAAGGTGAAGAGTGGACTCCTATTTAAAATTCATCCGTCAACATGCATTCATGTTTCCTAACAGGACCCCAGATCACATAGATCGTATATCGGCTCCTTCACACGAATCAAAGTCGTACCTTCTGGATGTTGTAGTCGGAGAGAGTGCGGCCATCTTCAAGCTGCTTTCCGGCAAAGATCAGACGCTGCTGGTCGGGGGGGATACCCTCCTTGTCCTGGATCTTCGACTTGACATTGTCGATGGTGTCGGAGGACTCGACCTCGAGGGTGATGGTCTTGCCCGTGAGGGTCTTGACGAAACTATATAACGACCGTTAGTCCACCGTGCTCTGCGTTTCGTTGTTTCTGCTTCTTCTTCTTCTTCTGGCGTGTATTTGTGGTGTTTATCGTGGAAAGGACAGTCGTCGAGTGGCGATGGCTTCAACGTTGGAGGATGGATAGAACCTACATCTGCACTATAATCGCGAAAAGGAAAACGTTAGCAAGTAAAATCAAATCAATCTTGTTATCCAGCTGGAAAAAGATACATACTGGTTGCGATATTCGTCGATGTCGTTGCGTTCCTTGTCGTCGATCGAGGAGACAGCCGTCAAAGCAAGAGTCGCTCAGTTGAAGACGTTCAAACCTTCCCGGCCTAAGCGAGGTGTGGACCGATGACGAATTAGGACATAGGGTTCGATTGCCCTAATCTAAATTCTGTTTCGGGATTAGCTCAACTGCTAGCGCTGCGGCCTAAGGCTTGCATCAGTCCGGGCAAGCCAAGGTCGGCTATGATTGGTCCAGATCTAGAGATGTATGCATTACTTAGTACTTCATCTTTGAACTTTTTTTTATTGCTAATAATCTAGTTCATCCCAAAGGTTTTCATCATGTTCTTCCGCTCGTCTCAAGTCATACTGGAAGTTCTCCAGTTTGGACTCTATGCGGTTCACTGTAGCGACAAGCGTCTTCAGTGACAACCCTGCCAGATCTGCTGCTGTTTCATAGAACTTGCGAGCTGTTTTTGGCAAGTCCAATTCGGTTTTGTAAATTCGATAAGAATAACCAGGACGAGGGATTTTATCCTTATCCTCATCCGAGTTTCCTTCACCGTCAGTTTTCTTTTCTCGTTCGGCCTGATCGTGAGGAATGATTTTAGCTAGGCTGATGCTGGCAGTCATCTCACGGACTTTCTTGTCAATCGCTTCTTGAATCTCAACACCGGTCTTGAGCTCCGGACGACTATCTGATTTTGTAGGCGGTAGCGGAAACATGTCCGCAAGTGGATGACATGCTAAGATGATGTTATAATTTGAACTTGAAGCCGCGGCTGTATCCTAACTCACCTTTCTTCTGATCAAGCCACATATCTTGATACCAGTCCAAATAATCATCCAATTGACCTTCCGTCATATGGAACACATTTCCTTCATTGACCTTGATTTCTTGTCCCTTCGATAGCCGCCCTGGTAGGTTATCCAAGCTTTCAAATTGCTTCTGCGCTGCTCTCCACAAGTTCCAGTCAATGAGCTGTGCAGCTGGTTCTGTAGGTACAGATGGGAAGCCTTTCGCGATGCTGAATGGGAATATTAATTTCGTAGCAACGACTATGAGACCTACTAGCTGGGCCTCGGGGTAATTCTCTGCTTTGAGTGTCCACTTTTTCTTCGATGAAAACCTGAGGCGGAATTTGATAATTTGTTGTAGTCTTCTGACAATACGGTAGATTTCCACTATATCTCATTAGCAGAAGTTGGTCCTAAGCATATAGGGACGAAAATCTCACAAGGCAAAGCTAACTGGCGAATGAATTGAAATAGCATGAGTGGCATGTTGATCGGCGGAAAGGCGACGTTGTATTCACGCGAATACATAGTGACTAATTGATTCACGGTTTCATGAATATCTTGACTCTCTGGCAAGACCTACTTTTCATTAGCTGAGAAATCCACATGGAGCCAAAGCGAGAACTTGCCTGTATGCTTAGATCCCTTGTATGTTGCGGCGACATTCGATCTCTCATCTCCTGCGGAATAGACTTCAGAGCTTTAACGAACGGTATTTCATTTCTAATAGCATATCTGGTCATGATCAATATAGTGTTCAGGGCTAATCAGGCAATGGGTCATACTTGTAGATGTCACCAATGCTCACTGGTAGACGTAGTAGTAAACAAGCCAAATAGCATAGTCCCAGCGTTTCTTTCAAAAGAGGACTATCGGTCGACTTTCGAGCACTGATATGAGTTGAGTCTTTTTTTTCTACGCTTGCAGCCGGGGTTTGTGAACTGAAAACTCCGCTTTCCGAGCCATCATCTTCACGGGCATCGTCGAGTGTGATGTCAAATCTGTCTGTCAGATTCTGCAATCTCAGGGCCCAGAGATCTTTTACCAGTCTCTAATAATAGTATATCAGTATGTGGGGTAGTTTCAAGTTTAAAAGTACTAGAAGATACCTCTATATCAGCAGGAAATCCTTTTTCAGTTATCAGGGCCCGACATTGCTTCCACAGTATGAGCTGATATGCTTGGATAAAAAGCCGATACCCTTGTCTCCCAGTGTATGCTGTTTTTCTGTCAGTAAATGCGCATCAAGAATTTATAAGCAGAGAGGGAAAAATCACTTCTCTGTATTTTCTCTACGGCCGCCTTTTTTAAGCGGTGAACAGTTCCTCGTTTGTTATAGTCATCAGGGTCTTCTTCGATTTGGCGGCCCTGTTGACAAGAATTAGCGGCGATTTTCCAAAACAGTCATATTAATTCTTGAAGCACGAAATGAAATACCTCTTGCTGATGGCCACGCCTGCAAAACCAAATACCGTTATCCAGATAGTAACGAGTTTCTCGGCATCCTTCCTGACCGCACGGCCCACGCTTGACATATTCCATACTGACGGAGCCGTGTCATGTCGAATACTAGGTTAATGAGCAAGGATGAGTCTTTCTAGAAAATATCCTGCGTCATTCGAAATCCGATACTTGTAATGAGGTTGTTCAGCGCATGGTCAAAGTCGATTGTAGATGGCAAGAACTGATCACGGGTATCCACCTTGAAATGGCAAGACCGGCAAGCGAATCATAACGCCACAATTATAAGGCACCCTTCATCCTGGAACTACATTCTACTACATTGGAAGTACGATACGGCAATAAAACATCATGGTATATCATCTGACTTTTCTTATTTCTTGTTCGTAATCTCACATCGAGAGCTATGAGAAAACAATCAACAGTTATCCTGCTGACAAGCACATCCGTTCATGGTCGTCGTAAGAGCGAATCGATTGCAAGCTCAGTCCAATCCACTAAGAAGACGTCTTGCTCGACTTATAAAAGGCGAAAGAACGAACAAGCCGGAAAAAGCAATTTATAAATATAACACTTTTCCGGCGTCAGTGGCGAAAGATGAAATTGCCAAAGAACATCGTGAAGGCATGAGATTTTAGACATGAAAAAAGGACGCAAGCTAAAGGAAAGAAGAATCAAGAGACATTTTAACCGCTCTTAGGACCCTCCTTGGCTTCAACGGCAACCTCCTCACCCATAGCAGACATGACGGTAACGTTGACATCCTTGCCCTCTTCGGTGAAGAGCTTGTCAATTCTGTCACCAATTTCACCATCGGGCTTCTTGACATCGTCCTTGGTGTTGCCAGCCTCGTCCATCAAGGAAAGGAAACCGTCATCGGTAACGTCGAGCTGTTTGCAAGCAACGCGGTTAGCGCTGTTGTCAATCTTGTCGCTGTGGGTGGTCATCACTTACGAGCTGGAATTCCTTGCGGGAGACGTTGGGGACGTCCATGTTGTGGGTGGAGGGAGACAAATCTTCGAGCTTCTTGCCAGTGAAGATGTCGATGGCGACCAAGTGGACCTTGGCGTGACCGTGCTTTCCAGTCTTGGAGGTAGACATGTCGACGATCTTGCAGGGACGACCCTTGATCACAACGTAACCGTTCTTACGCAGAGCAGAGCACTGCATAGGGAAGGTAGCGGAGGCACCAGCATCGGCGCTGTCGAAGGTGTGCTCATGCTGTCGAGTAGATTGCCATGTTAGCATACATCCATAGTGAGCTGTGGTGCAAGAATTGTGCATCCCAGGCAGAAGAGGGGGAAAGCAGATCGAGGCGGGGCTCTCAGATAGCAAAGGCGGCGCGGGGCAAGCATGAACATACCTGGGCGTCGTTGTCGGCCATGGTGAATGATGGGTATGAAGATTTTCGGTTGATGAAAGTATAGAAAGTGAGTGATGGGAGGGAGGATGGCCGGGACAAAGAGCGCGTTCAGGGAGTGGAAGGGAGGAGGAAGGGAAAAAAAAGAAACAGACGAGCGATGGGGGTGGGACGGGAAGCAAATTTGGGCAACCGAGAGCAAAAACTGTTTTCTTCGGTTTTTCTGCCGCTAGGCCCCTTCGGGCATGAACCCCAGTGCTGTGGCGGAGAGACTCTGGACCTTTTGTTAGTACGTAGTATGTTTACACTCAGACTTCAGTACTGTACATAGTATAGTACTACATTCACCAATCCCCTTGGTTGTATTTGAGTACCACCCGTCGGCCATTTCTCCAGTATCGAGCTCCTGATATTTTCACACAGTCGGCCCGCTATTCGTTGTTACCAACGTGGATATCAGCTGTGGCGAGGTTCAAACAAGACAAATTGCATGTCCAATTAGAACCACATTAAGCTTGTTTCTCAATGCTACTCCTTTAGACAAGTAGCAACACCAGTCAATTCTTGTTTGTCATTGACAGCTCAATGAATACTATTTCAGTGTCCATGGCTCGTTACATTGCAGGTACCATCAACCTGTTCGTCTTTATTGTTATGAACTTTTGTATGAAAAGTATACCATACTGAGTTCATTCCTTAATAGCTCTTTCAAATCGAAGAATTGTAATCTAGCTTTCGTAAGGTACGCTTTCGATCTCTAAAATCTGTAAATCAAAGTAATTTAATGCCAACATTGTAGACATCCAGGCAACAAGGCAACAAACAACCCCCAAAAGGAATAGCGGCTAGTTGCCGTCGGCGTCAAGCTTGGCCATCTGAGACAGCTAAGCTATCAACAAAGCTCGCAACTCATAGATTTTACGTCTTGAGATCGATTTCTTTGTGAATACTTCCCAGGAATATCAGACCGTCGATGAATTCCTAATATCGACGACCCACTACTCGCGCATCGCGTGGCCTTCGAGGATGTGGCTTGATCGCCTCTCCGGCCATTCTACGCCGTCAGGGACACCTCCGCCGTTCCCCAACCGACACCCTTCACCAGGTCACAGACCATCACGGACTTCATCTCAGAGCTATCGACCGAGTCTACACCCGCGCTCTTCGTCGACATCCTTACTACTAACGCCTAATGACTCTACCGTCTCGTTACCAACCACTACTCGACATGTCTCGAATGGAGCGCCACAAAGATCGGTGTTCGTGCGCACACCCTCGGGCGAGGTTACAAATCCATTGGAAGTCCTCAACAGTATACTTGGAAAGAAGACGACAGACAAGCTAACTGAAGCTGTTGCTGAAAAGCCAGCTGAGTTGGTCGAAACTATCGACTTTGGAGATTTAAGTCTAGAGGAGTTCGTGACTCGCGGACAGGAATCCGGTAGTCTTTTGAGCAGCGAGGCCGGGGTTGGGACAATTGAACAATGTGGGTATCATTTGGAATATTTGGCAGGCGCTAGCTGACTAGGTGATAGTCGCAGGAGATCGAGACAAGTTTCAGGAGCTTCACAACGCTATTGCGGTGAGTAACTGTCGCTTAATCTGCCGGTGGGCTGTACTGACGTATTCAGGACTGCGATGATGTACTCAAATCGGTGGAATCCTATCTCTCCGACTTTCAGTCCGAGCTCGGTATCGTTTCTGCCGAAATCGAAACCCTTCAAACCAGATCTGTCCAACTAAACGCCAAACTCGAAAACCGAAGAAACGTCGAACGCTTGCTTGGCCCAGCAGTCGAGGATATCAGCATCTCTCCAAACGCGATCCGCACGATCACCGATGGTCTAATTGATGAAAAGTGGGTCAAAGCCATTAATGAGATTGAGACTCGCAGTATAAGCATTGAGAAATCAACTGGATCGCCACTGAAAGCCGTGGATGATGTCAAGCCACTTTTGATTGACTTGAAGAACAAGGTAGGCTTGGCTCTATGAGCTTCTGCATTATGTATTGACGGGGTTATAGGCTACAGTTCGTATTCGTGATTATTTAGTCTCTCAGATCAAGGCTATGCGTTCGCCAAATATGAACGCTCAGTACATACAGCAACATCACTTGGTGAAATATAAAGATCTGTACTCTTTTCTGACCAGGGCGCACCCGACTCTGTCGGAAGAAATCACTCAAGCATATGTCAATACAATGAGATGGTACTATCTATCTAACTTCACACGATATAGTCAGGCTTTGGAGAAGCTGAAGCTCCATGCATACGATACAAATAATGTCCTAGGTGGAGACCCATCGACGCAACGAGGAGGGACGGGTCCGGGCGGTAGAGGCTTTTCGCATGATCCTTTCACTATTGGCAGACGTATTGATGTCTTGAAAACCGGCAATCCTATAGCTATCAGCTCATATATTGCCGAAGAGGATAAATCAGTGCATGGATTTGAGGTCCCATTCCGACATTTCAATCTTGCTCTAGTTGACAATGTATCAGCTGAATACTCATTCTTGACGGAGATGTTTTCAGTCAGATCATATCAACAAATATCACGAAAAGCATTCGAAATCTTTGAGCCTGTCTTCGCACTCGGACAGACAGTGACCAAACAGCTCATTGAGAATAGTACGGATTGTCTAGGCGTACTTCTCTGCGTCCGACTCAATCAGCGCGCGGCATTTGAGCTTCAACGACGAAAAGTGCCAGTTGCAGAGTCTTATATCAATGGAATCAATATGCAACTTTGGCCAAGGTTCCAAAAAATCATGGACTTACACTGCGAATCTTTGAAACGACTTGCCTCAGGCGCCGCCCGAAGCTCCGTGTCAGCACTATCCTTAACAGACGATTCGAAGCAATCGTCTGCTCCGCATTTCCTTACTCAACGCTTTGGTCAACTTTTACATGGCATCTTGTCCCTGAGCAGTGAGGGAGGTGACGATGAGCCGGTCTCGATCAGTCTCGGCCGGTTACGAGGAGAATTCGACGCGTTGTTGACCAAGCTCAGTCGCGGATCCGGTGATCCAAAGCGGCGAGAACGGTTCTTGTATAATAATTACTCTTTAATATTGACTATAATAAGTGTAGGTTGTGTACCTCATTTTGACAGACATTTGCTGACCACCCTTGACCTGCAGGATACGGATGGCAAGCTAGCGGTAGAGCAGAAAGAGGTAAGTCGGATACTATCAGCAAAATCGATTTACGAAGCATGGGCTGACTTTGAAATCAGCACTTTACGAAACAACTCAAGAATGCGTCGAAACGTTGAGCACACCCCTAATTTTCCACTTGGGGACGTATCTATACATCGACTACCATTGAATATACCAATATTATATATAGCATGAGATACCATTTACTACAATCAAGCGCGCTTTAAATTTTTTATCGCTCTACTAATTCCGATGTTCCTGATTAACTTAGGGCAAGATCTACGCACTTACGTAACTTTTCGAGAGAGTTCTAAGATGAAAGTAAATGCGTCCAGGAGGTTTAGCTCTTGAGAGATGGCTTATCCATTGTTCCAACTTTAATATGAAGTCATCATCCAATGATGAGATCATGATAAATAATGTCCACACCTAATTGTTAAAAGCATCAAAAAGCATCGGATCCCAAGACGAGTTCTGAAACAAATCTGTCATATTAAGATCAAAATTCGCTGTGAGGAAAGATGATTCGTCAGGCCATTGTAGTTGTTCATCGATTTCATTGTTGGTATTGTTGGGCATTGCAAGTATAGAGACTTCGGAGGGACTGATGGTGGAATCGTCTGCGGCCGTTCCCTCATATATTTGTGTAGTAGTAGATTCGGAAAAGAATTCATTAGGTTGTGAACTTTCCGTTTGCTGTGTGATTTTGGAATCATAAGAGTCTTGGGCGTGGTAATCTCTATTTTCCAAAGAATTGTACGCCGTATGATCTTCTCTAAATCTAGCCGGTGTAGTCTTCCGTTTCTTGCTCCTTCCAGATGGTGTAAAAGGTTGATTATATGGTTGGTGAACACCTTTCGAGCCGGGAAATTCTTGCCGCTCTATATTCAAGAGCAATATTGATAGCGCTGTGTGACAGTGTCTTGCAATTTCCCATTGCCCGCACATGGCCTGTAGAATATCAAGGCAATCATGGATTTCCCTGATACGCTGTTAGGAACAGACTGCACAATAGAAGTTATATGTGACTTACTGGCACCCCTTGGAGATAGAATACTGCCCTAGTTGACATGCAAATGCAATCACTAACCCCGCCATGTATGCCGCAGACAACAAACCAGGCCAAAAGAAAGCTTGACCTCTTGTAAGCTGTGTCTTTAGTAGCGACAGGATACTTCTAGCAGCATCAATGCATATCTGAAGCCCAGAACAGAAATCAGGTGATGACGAGTCGAGAGATAGACACGGACGATTTATACAAAGAATGAGGTGTTTATAGAGAATGGAGAATAAGGGACTCATTTCAGGAGAAGCATCTTCAGAAGACTTTGTAGGGTTCATCAACACATTTTGCAGAGTGCTCGGAAGATTGTTCCACCATTTATGAACATCAGACACAAGGTACAAGACAGCACTTCGGCGAATCTCCCGACTGTGCGTGGACTTGTGAAACAATTCCAGGGCTCTACCAGTGAGTTCTCCATATGCGACAAAGCCTGCCAACGTAGCTTCTCGGTTGGGTGATGCCTCTCCAGAGGAATGCCGGGATACCCGACTCGGATTTTTTAAAGTGCTGTGTTGGAAGTTGTTGTTGGGTTCTTTACCTGAAGCTGCCAGAAGCGGCGACGCTAAGGGGACAGAGCGAGGGTTCCTTGGTGTATGAATTTCGGGAGTACTAGGGCGACATACGTCGATGTCTGAGTCCTGTATACCAAGAGGCAGGCCTAATGCCTGGCTTAAATACCTGTCAATAGCATAAAAACACCAAAATATCCGCTTACGTAATTGACAGTCGTGAGTGCTGAGCTGTTGATATCGAAAGGGGCAGCGATGAAATCCTGCGTGAAACACGGCTCGTAAGATAGTCCCGCCGAGCAGGGACGCATTGCGAAGAGACATGCTAGCCACAAGATATAGTTGTATAGCTAGAATGGCTTGCAAGGACAGTATGTCGTGTCGACTAAGAAGCACATTGGCTAATTTGAGTGTATGAGCGGCAGACGTGATTTTTGCTTTTTGAGCAACTTGCAAATCTGGTTGGAGGATACTCGATATATTGAAAACACATTGGAAGATTGCGGTCCAACAGGCTCTATGGTGTTCTGATGCTGCATTTGAAAGCTCATCGCCAGCGTTACCCTCCGAATAAAATGATTCCATTGCCTGTAAGAATGACGGCCCGTGGAGAAATGGGAAAAGAGGATGCCATATCTTGAAGTAGGTCATCATTAGCTGTCGTGCATGCTCCAGCCCTGGCGCTTTTCCGAGATACTGCGCGATTTCAGCATCATACGTCCATTTCGTCCGAGGTACTTGTCTCCTGCTTGCCGTGGAACCGGGGATAGATATCGGCGAACCAACCAAAGTATCCTCTGGAGCTGGAAATTCTGGAGTTGGAGCTGTTTCCTTGGGATCCAGGATTTTGGCAAATGCCTGGCGCACAGTATTGACGAAAAAGACGCCGCTTGAACTTCCCACGAACTGGATTTCATCATTGGAACTGGCTGTCAGGGAGCCAATCTCCGATGTGTTGGGGAGCAGATCCGGTGATTGCATCATGAAAACATACGGTGATCGAAATTAAGGGGTTATTATGTTGGATACCAGGTGTCGGATCATTAAGCCAGGTTAAATATCAGTCATTCAGTGCGCAACCTGTACGAGGTGTGTCGGCTCTGCCGTATGATTTCTAGGGGCGTCAGACACTGCATTATTTCTTGAGTGCTGCTTCAACCGTACACTGACATGGATTGAACCGACCATGCCATGGCAAATGACTTCCTGAAGTAAAAATGAGTCGAGACGTTATAGGTGAAGTCAAAGTGGAGATCGGGTAGGCTTGAATCAATGGCTGCCTGAGGCCACAACATCCAACTTCAATTCGGAATCTCCACCTTCCCGTCTTGCCTTCCTAACATCATTCTCACATCGATATAGTATCTCCTTCAGAAACATAGAGGTATAAATTGATGGTTGCGGCAGCCATGGTGAAACCATCAAAGGTCAAGGCGTCCCGGATTACGACCGCTTGCAACCCATGTCGCTCTCGAAAGCAGAAGGTATGCATCAATATGTCGACGCCGCATGGTTCACATGACTAACACTGGTTGTACACTTAGTGCAGTGGAAGAAGGTTTGTAAATTGTATTGAAAGGATGAAAATTTGGACTAAAAGCATTCAGACCAAACTGCGAACAGTGCACCGAATATAATCGGACTTGCGAATGGCCGGAGCAACTCAAACGGTACATGAGGTTACGCTACTGATCTCCCAAGAGCAAACGCTGACAAGCAATAGTGGACCAGCCAAAGGCTATGTCGAAGCCCTAGAACAGCGTCTCCACGAGACGGAGGATGTATTACTCAAAGTTGTCTCTCAGCTGAATCAAGCACAGCTTGCATCTATGCTGTCATCCCAAACCCCATTTCCGACGGACGATGACTCCCAAGACAAGAATAAAAGTAGTCGCATAACCCTGCTACCTTCGCGAAAACTAGGGGTAGAGTATTGGAAGTCATTTCCATTGCGTGATGCTGAGAGCATACAGAGATGGCAGCAGGACTGTTATCTTAACAGATCAAATGTCAGTCCTAACCGGCATATCGAAGATGACAATATCCTCTCACAACCCGTCAGGGCTGAGCAAACGAGAGGCAATATCAATGTTGACTGTCCGAGTGCCGACAATCGCCAAAGCTATCAGTCATTAAGGGATGATCTTTTTTCTATGAAAGTCGGAAGAGACCAGGACCCCGCTCCTCTCGATGGTAACGACCTCGGATATAGGCCGCTGAGACTCAGAAAAAACCATGTTCAGTCTTCTAGAAAGCAAGACGAAAGCAACATATCACAACTGAGCACATGGAAAGCAGCACCATCCAAGGAATTTCAACAACAGTTTCTTTGGTAATAAGACATAAATTCTATCAACTATCTATATACAGAAGCTTGTACAGTTGTTAGTCGATCACGAGTGGTCTTGTCCATTCAAGTTGAGGTGGTTTACACAACATTATCCATGTCGACTTGTTTAAGCGACGACCCCTTTTGATTTAAGACTCTGAATCTTCTCTCGACTTAAACCGACCACACTCTCCAAGACCTCATCTGTGTGCTCACCTAGCAGAGGTGGCGGAGAACGAATGCTTGGGTCGGCATTAGAGTATTTGACAGGAGGGCTGAGTACTTTGATGGGACCGCATGATGGGTGGTCGATCTCTTGCACCATGCCCCGAGCTTTGGCTGTTCAGATGATTTAATGTGAGCTCAAATCGGACTGGGTCATACACGGTAGCGCGCAATGAAAGACTTACTGTGCTCATGGTCTAGAGTACCTAAGACATCATTCACAGCTGCATATGGAAGGCCAGAGCCTTCAAGGATTTTCAACCATTCTTGCGTTGTGCGTTTAGCTGTTTCGGACTCAATGAGATCTTCAAGCTCTTTACGATTGCGTACACGCTCGTTGTTGGTGACATATTTTGGGTCTTTACTCCATTCGGACTTGCCGAGCTTTTCGCATAGAATGCCGAACAGTCGATCATTAGCTCCTCCTAGGAAGATATCTCCATCTGCGGTTTTAAAGCCTTGGTACGGGACAACAGACGCTGGAAAAACCTCGATTAGTAAGGTCCCCAGTCAAGCACAGGCGACAGAACCATGAAACCTACGGTGGGCAGTCCCCCATCGACCGCTATCCCGCTTCCCACTGATCAGTACAGACTCTGCCATGTTGGCCAGAGTTGCTGTCTGAACATCGCTCAAGCACACATCAAGATGTTGTCCCTCGCCTGTATTTGCACGGGCTAGCAATGCTGCCATGATAGAGTTGCATGCATACAACCCCGTTGTGAGATCGGTCACTGCTACGCCAACCTTGACTGGAGGCCCATCGCGTGAACCGGTCAAATGCATCAATCCGAACTCGGCTTCGACCATGACATCAAATCCAGGACGGTTGCTGTATGGGCCTGTCTGGCCATAGCCCGTGATGCTGGCGTATATCAAGCGGGGGTTTAGTTTTCGTATGGATTCATAGTCCATGTTGTATTTCTTGAGGGAGCCGGGCAAATAATTTTCAACGAGCACATCGCAGTTTTTGGCGAGCTCGTGTAGGATCTCTACACCTTCCGGATGGGCAAATGATAAACCCAGTGACTTTTTGTTTCGGTTCACCTAGATGCCGAATGAGTTTCATCCGAGCCCTATAATTTGGAAGTGCAGCTATCTTACGGAAAGATAATAAGCGCTCTCTCCCGGTCCTTTTCTCCTATCTTTGTACTCCGCAAAGGGCGGTCCCCATGCTCGAGTGTCATCGCCTCGTTCCGGATGCTCGACTTTAATGATATCCGCCCTTTCGAAGATATACGATCAGCTTCGCCTATATGGTTGATAGTGGAGGTCAATTGGTACCCTAAATCACCGAGAATTTGCGTACAATATGGCTGTATCGAGAAAACAAACAACCCGTGTGAATAAATGAATATGAGCAAATTTCCCGTGTTGAAGACTTACACCAGCTAGTACCCTACTCATGTCCAGCACCCGAACCCCGGCCAGCGGGAGCTTGCTTTTTCCAGTCGAAGGTGCATTATTCCCAGCTGATGACGATATAGTTCTGAATGATGGTGTATTATATCGGGTCAGTAAGGTAGGTGCATGAAATCTCAGAACTGGAGAGAGCGGCCGTGTTTGCCTCGGTAGTTGTATGTTCAGCAACTGCCGGCGCAGTGCTGGGTTCATGCCGGACATGTCTTTATCATGAGATCAGTACAATTTCATAGCAATAGCTAAATGAATGAAATATTGGAAATTATCAATTGATTCAAAATAATAAACATTCTTTGTACTGTTTGTTCATCATGGGAAATGTGCCTGAAGATTGGATCATGGGGCCCCACAAGTTGGAACTTTGAAGACCCCACATGCTCTCATTGTGTTGACGTCTCCAGCTTCAACTTTACATCTTACTGTCTCTGCTGAGCTCTCCACATCAATCGAAGTGAAGATTGCTACAATCTAGTCACCGCATCACGAGCGACACCATCTCCTTCACTGCGGTCACTCAATCCCGACATCTCCCACCCACGGCCCCGATACCGAGCAGGCCACACTCCAGACTTTCCAGGCGCCAAAATCCCATTCGGGTCCAGGGTATCCTTGATTCGCTCATTGAACTTCATCAACGCATGGTCATTGAAATCATAGGTCTTTGCAATCTGATCCATCAACACCAAATGCGTTCTGTACTCTCCATACCCCTTGGAAGCCGCCTCATCAATCATAGCCCGCATACAGGCGAGAGCCTTCTTTCGCGAATCCGGGTCATCGCGATTAAAGACACATTCCACAATCAGATGCATTTCTCGTAGCCCAACACAGAAAGCAGGAAATATGTCATGTCCGAATTCGGCTGCTCGGCTGCGCGCAATCCTCCAGAGCTCCGTAGCGTCGGGGCCACGGACAGGTGAAACAGGGCTGAAGGCGATGTGGCCACCGTTCGGGTACCAATTTACCCATCGTAGTTCCTCGAGGTCGGGGATACCAGCTGCAATACGATCGCGAGACCAGAAATAGTCTGTCTTGGGTAGAGTAGCGGGATCGATGCGTCGCGCTCCAGGGATCTTCGAGAATTCCTTGTGGATGATGTCCAGCTTATATTGGCGGATCTCCTTCGGGCCGTATGACATGCCGTAGTAAAGCCAGGTGAAGTCGCCGTAGTTGAGTTCCTTGCGCGCGATTTCGCGGGCCAGTTCGTCGGTCATTTGGCCTTCCCCTTGGAAGTAGCTGCTTCGTGGCTTGCCACTGTATGCGATGGCTTGGACAACGTGTCTGAGTTGGGCAACATTTTCGAGGATATTGCCGATTCGGAGAGGGCGGATGATGTCGACCTAAATCGTCAGTCTAATCTTACTACAATGGAGGAAGCGAGCTTACGAGAGGCGCAAGATCTGACTCATTAGGAAAGGTATATAACTATACCATCTTGATTAGTCAATGCCAGAAGGTAGAATGGAGTTATCACTTACATAACTCTCATAGCCACCAGGGTTAGGCATCAAGGTCATTCCGAGCTTGGTGACGATACCGTAGTTGGACTGAGAGAAGAGACCACTAAACCCCATATTAGCAGTCATCTAGACATCAACCTGAAGCATACATACTCAGCCATTGGACCATATCCATAAGGAAAAATCTGCCAGCTAGAGCTGTTCGCCATAGCACCCATGCCAGTTCGAATAAGTTCACCCGTTGGAAGGACGACTTCGAGACCAGAATGACATGCCCAATCTATACCAACCTGTCAGTCACAAGCCTTCATAGTAAGGCTTTCGAGTACGCACGATCTCCATATACAGTATATCCAATACCACGATCCAAGGTATTTCCAAGCACAGAACCACCACCTAAATCCGGACAATCGATCCAGAGATGCTTGTAACCCCGTTTTTGGATCTCTTCGTAGAGAGCATAAAAGGTTACACCGGGTTCCACGAGACAGGTATGATCGACGGGGTTGATGTCGAGGATTTTGTTCATGCGACGACCGAGATCAATGACTACCGATCCTCGAACGCGAGGCGCGGCACCGCCGTATCCAACTGATACAAAATAAGCTCTGGGTATGATGACAAGTCTGGAGATTCTAGGAGACTTACGGTTTCTGCCAATTGATATGGGAAAGATTGGGATCTTGTAATTGTTGGCCCACAGTACAATCTTCTGTACTTCTTCGGTGCTGCCCGGATAGACAACAGCGGACGCGATAAATTCCTCCTCATCCAAGACGTGCATGGCATCGTGGGTGTTGGGGTCTGTCATCATTAGACAATGTTCAGGCCAAAGTCATCCCGGCAGGTACTCACGCTCCATATACCACCCATCCTTCAACGGCTGGTCATTCAATTCCACATTCTCCTTGCCCAATTGCTCAGACAGTTCGTCAATGGCTTTCATGTATGTATTTTTCTCAACACCAGCCGGTATGGCAACTCCTCTCTTTCTATCATTTTGCTCTTTCGTCGCAATGTCTAGAATCAAGGATTTCGCATATTGGGCCTTTTCGTAGAGTCGGGAGGGGATACCGGAATGCTTTTCTGAGAGAGTTGGGGTGGGAGGGACCTGGTTGGAGGACATGTTGAAGAACGGTAAAGGAGATATTATATCAAGCTCTCAAATGTACATTAGTTGACAAGCGGATGTTTCCGTGCAGAACTGATTTGACAAGAAAAAAAAGTCAATTATTATGCCGGACCAATTCAGCCTTTTATTAGAACAGCTCATGACTATGAGGTGGTGTTCGACAACGTACTACATTGTAATTTTACACACAAAGCACTATTTCATTGTAGAGGAGGATCGAATCGAGGGCAATTACTACCAATAACAGCGCATTAGTGCAGCCAGCAGTAGTATTTCTCCGTAAAGACAATACGCGGGGTTACCCCATACTCCGCCAGTCGCTATCTTATCGGTAATTTTTCAGTATTCCCGTACATAGTGAGTCTCCGCGAAGAAATGGAATGGCCGAGGGGAAATATATGATCTTGTAGATCATTAGATTTACTTTTCCCTGCGTTATCTGGTATTCTAGGCTCTAGCAGCTCAAACCGGGCTAGAAGGTAGAAAAGTCACTCCACGTCGGCTTGATCTCCGAAGAAATAGCTCAAAAGTGGGGTTCAGAACTTTACTTCTTGTGATGTCAAAATCATCATAATATATGGGGACAGTTGATCAAGTTGTTAAAAATAGTTTAAACACCTCAATGATCGCAAGGACAATTCTGCTAACAGATCGCTCCAGACAAGTCCGGAAAGGTAAGATTGTGGGAGATGGTGCATAGTGGCAGCAGGCTAAGAATGTGGAGATGATTGCTATTTGATGCCACATGGGACCCGATCCAAATGTGAACGCGAGTGCTACAAACTCTTGTGATTACGGTAATATTATTATATTATATTCTATCTCATCGTATTTTCTTGTTGTCTCATTCTAGACCTCAAGAGGCAAATGAGTAGGCTTGAACCGTAGAAGCAGCAGCTGCGGCAATACACAAACCCGACGCAAGCAGCCGAAACGATCGGAACCCGCMCCAGCCGGTGTGTACCTTACCCGAAGCCATAAATTCAACTGATCCCCATCTTCTCCCCAACTTCTTTCCGTTCTTCTTTCTTTTCTCTCTGTATATATTTTGCATATCTTAAATTTCATAATGAAGGCCAGAATTGCAGGTCCTTCAGTTCTCCGTCCGCGATGGCGGCGAGAATTCTCATCCTCGACCTCCCGTCGAGCGATCAATAAAATTGTCCCCAGCGCTCAGGAAGCGATCAAGGACTTGAAAGGCTCGTCTATGATTTTGGTCGGTGGTTTTGGATTTTCTGGTGTTCCCAGCAGCTTGATCAATGCTGTGCGCGATCGTCCGGAACTCAAAGACTTTACTGTCGTCTCCAACAATGCTGGCATGCCTGGTGTCGGCTTAGGTGAGGCTAATGTCCGCTCAATTCTGATGCAGTAGCTCATATTTATTATTACAGGTCAACTTCTCGAAACCCGTCAGATTAGCAAAATGATTGCATCTTTTATCGGCGAAAACAAGGTCTTTGAGAAAATGTACTTGGAAGGCGATTTAGCCCTCGAGCTTACTCCTCAGGGCACAATTGCCGAAAAATGCGCTGCAGGTGCCGCTGGTGTCCCTGCTTTCTACACTCCTGCTGCTTATGGTACTATCAGTATGTAGTCACTTTTACTCCGACTCAAGACCTTTAATTGACCAGTTCAGTTCAATCCGGTGAATTACCTGTTCGTTACAACAAGGACGGCTCCGTCGCCGAAAAGTCGAAACCCAAGGAATCCCGCGAATTCAATGGAAAACAATACATTTTGGAAGAATCTTACTTTGCTGACTACGCTTTCGTCCGCGTAGCTAAGGCAGACAAGCTCGGTAACTGTCAATTCCGCAAGGCTCAGAACAACTTCAACGAGGCCATGGCAAAGAACGCCAAGGTCACTATCGTTGAGGCCGATGAGGTTGTTGAGGTTGGACAACTTGCACCTGAAGAAATTCATTTGCAGGGTATCTACGTCAGCAAGGTTATCAAGAGCACTGAAGAGAAGAAGATTGAGAAACTCACTTTCGCCAAAGACCCCAATGACCTCCTCCAAGCTGGTATGTCAAGATACCATTAATTCCAAATGATATTGCATTTAGGGCTAATGAAACTAGGTAACGGCGATGCCACTGCCAGGCGTGAACGTATTGTCAAGCGTGCCGCCAAGGAGTTCGAGGATGGCATGTACGTCAATTTGGGTATCGGTATGCCTCTTGTCGCTCCCGCCTTCTTGCCCGAGGGCATTGAGGTTGTTCTCCAGTCTGAAAATGGTATCTTGGGTCTCGGTGGTTATCCTCGCCCTGGTGAGGAGGACCCTGATTTGATCAACCCTGGCAAGGAAACTGTCACTCTTGCTTCCGGTGCTTCCGTCTTTGGTTCCCACGAAAGTTTCGGTATGATCCGATCTGGCCGTATTGATCTTACAATGCTTGGAGCTTTGCAAGTCAGCCAGTATGGTGGTATGTATCTATTGTATTCTCAGGAGTTGAGTGTTTGCTAATATATGCTAGATCTTGCCAACTTCATGCTTCCCGGCAAGGTCAAGGGCGTCGGCGGTGCCATGGATCTCGTCGCAAACCCTAGCCAAACCCGCGTCGTCGTTACCATGGAGCACGTTGACAGGAAAGGAAACCCTAAGATTCTTGAAGACTGCTCATTCCCTCTTACCGGACCTCGATGCGTTTGGAAGATTATCACTGATCTCGCCGTCTTCAACGTCCACCCTACCGAGGGTCTTACCTTGGTAGAAGTTGCTGAGGGTTCTACTGTTGAGGAGATCAAGAGCAAGACCGCTGCTCCTTTCAAGGTTGCTGAGAACCTCGGAACCTTTTAAAATATATACCTTTTGGTTTTGCAAGTTTATATGTACATATTAAAGAATGAGATGGCTCAATAAGAAATATATAAGTCAATACAAAACGTACAGAATACGTACGATCAAGGTAATGACCCCACAAATTGAGCAGGACAGTACAGCACCCCACATAAGGTAGACTCATATCAACTGCTGATTGGTCACTATGTAGTTATTGTATACAATACCAGGACAATACATCATACCGACATATATTACCATAATGATAAAGTGCTGTTCTCCATCTTCTTCTTCTTCATGCTTAACATTTCCCTTCCGCGACTCAAGAATCTTTTCAAAGATAGTCCCGAGTTCGATTTTCCCTCGTTTGTGATTTGATTACAGCTTAGATAACAATCAACGCATACATGCTCACCAAAGTCGGTCGAGAGGTCTTACGCAAGACCCCCCACGATGTCGTGGTTCTCTCTGCCGTAAGAAGTCCGATAACTCGCGCCTTCAAGGGCGGATTCAAAGATCTGTGGCCGGAGGAGATCTTGATGCCGGTACAATCTCAATTGTATATTTATCAAGTGTTTTTACACGCTAATTCATGGCAGGTAATGCAAGCAGCCGTACAAAGAGCCAAAATCCAACCGGGCGATGTAAATGACGTTCTCATCGGAAACGTACTCGCAGAACTTGGCTTCGCCAAAACAGGTCGCATGGCTCTGAATGCAGCCGGTTTCCCGAATTCGACTACCTTCCATACTACCAATCGACAGTGCTCAAGTAGTCTGCAGGCTATTACGCACATTTCGCACGCTATCATGGTTGGTCAAATTGATGTTGGTATGGGTGGTGGCGTGGAGAGTATGACGCGGTGTTATACGACCCGCGGTATCCCCGTTGATGTTTCGCCTACGTTGAAAAATTCGCCTATCAAGGATGCAAGGGATTGTATTATGCCTATGGGCGTTACGTCAGAAAATGTCGCGGAGCGATATGGTGTTTCTCGCCAGGAGCAGGATGAGTATGCCGTGGAGAGTCAGCGACGGGCTAGCGAAGCGCAGAAAAGCGGATTGTTTGAAAAGGAGATTGTCCCGATTAATGTTCGATGGATCGATGAGGAAACTAAAGAGGAGGGCGAGAGACTTATCTCTCTCGATGAGGGTATCCGTCATGGCGTGACTTATGAAAAGCTAGCTAAGCTCAAGCCGGCATTCAAAGAGCACGGTGGAAGCACGGCAGGTAACTCGTGAGTTTTTATTTCTTAATAACTTGTTTCATTGTCTCACTACGCCTATAGTTCGCAAATCTCAGATGGTGCATCATCTGTCATCCTTGCACGTCGCTCATGGGCCGAAGAGCGCGGCCTAAAGCCCATCGGACGATTCGTCGGTACTCAGGTAGCCGGAAATGCGCCCGATGAGATGGGCATTTCTCCCATCTACGCTATTCCCCAACTCTACAAATACACCGGCATTGAGCAAAAGGATGTTGACGTCTTCGAAATCAATGAGGCTTTTGCCAGTCAGACTCTGCATATTCTGAGAAAACTCGGATTGGACACGGCCAAGGTTAATCCCAAGGGTGGTGCTATTGCTTTGGGACATCCTGTTGGCGCGACTGGTGGTCGACAGACGGCTACGCTATTTGCTGAGCTGGAGAGACAGGATAAGGAGTTGGGCATTGTGTCTATGTGTGCAAGGTATGTTTTCGAATCCCTTTCTGCCATTTTGACAATGAAATCTGACCTTTTGCCACATATAGTACTGGTCTTGGTGTGGCATCACTATTCATTCGAGAGTAATTGCTCGAGTATCAAACCCAGCTTGCGGAGAAGTATCGGTGAACTGAAGCCGAAGCATGCGGCCCCGCGAATTGGATTGTAAACAAACCCCACATAAATTTTGCTGTACATAGGTAGCTAGAAAGTGCATTGACTCGAATTGACCACCATTACAAACTACATGAATGGAAAACTTGATAATTCAATGTTGGCTCCTTCTGCGGAAATCCGAATACCAAATCTGTTTTTTATTGAAAGCAATGCGTATTTTACGATAAGAAAGCTGATAAGATTCTTCCCCGCACGCTGTAGCCCCACAAGATGGGGCATTTACATGGGTAAAATTGGAGAAGCTGGTATTCGTATTTACAGTACTATGCAAACATGGCTGTCGGCTTGTTCAGTAGGAATGAACTAGTTTAGAGGACAGTTGAAATTGACATTAACAACTTGACAATCATTCTACTTGACTGGTATCATACTAGTACTATAATGTGTATGAATGCTCGATGCTGTAGATTATGGGAGAGCATACCTGTATTGTGCCTGGTATTGAGGAGAAATGGCCCGGACCCGCGTTACCATAAGATACAGCCAACTAGTTAATGTGGGTAATAATTCTAGAGAAGCTATCGCAGATTCCAGCAATCGTCCCTTCTTTCTTTCGTCGAGTCAACTCCAGACTATCGAATCAACATGTCGTCTACACTAATGAATCGAGTAATTAGAGCCGGAAAATGGCATTATGCGCCTACAAAGGCGTCTGCACTGTCAATTCCTCGCCATGCTCACTTGACCCCAGCTTCCAACGCATTTCAGAGATACCTACGACAACAGCAAACTCGCACATTGGGTTCAGTCAGCGCTATTGATTCCGTCATCTTCAGAACCCTTTTTGGCACAGAGGAGATTCGACAGGTTAGCACACTTTCGATCCTACTGAAGCAGAAAATTCCATCTAACTCGAGACATCTGGAAGATATTCAACGACGAATCCTACATAAAACGCTGTGTCGACGCTGAAACAGCCCTAGCCCGCGCACAATCCAAATGCAACGTAATCCCCCACCAGATCGGGGCACAAGTAACCCAAAACGCAGTCGCATCCAAACTTGACTTGGAGCGATTACGCCACGAAACTGAGATTGTAGGATACCCAATCTTGCCGCTTGTACGACAATTGAGTGCTCTCTGCGGCGAAGAGGCGGGKAAATATGTGCATTGGGGTGCGACGACGCAGGATATTATGGATTTAGCAAGTGTGTTGCAGATGAAGGATGGTTTGGTGGTTGTTGAGCGTTTGTTGAGGGATGTTATCAAGACGTTGAGGGAGCTTTCGGAAAAATATAGAGATACCCCTATGGCCGGAAGGACGCATTTGCAGCATGCTTTGCCGGTTACGTTTGGCTACAAGTGTGCCGTCTGGTTGTCTGGTTTCCAGCGCCATTTGGAACGTCTCCAAGAGCTCAAAGATAGGGCTTTGATGGCCCAGTTTGGTGGTGCAGCTGGTTCGTTGGCTTCGTTGGGTGACGGGGATGACGGACTTCGTGTTCGGAAGGCTTTGGCGGAGGAATTGGGTCTGACGGATCCGTCGATTACCTGGCATGTCGCTCGCGATGGAGTTGCGGAAATCACCAACTTCTTGGCTCTTCTTGGTGGATCAATGGGCAAATTAGCTTTGGATATCATCATCATGAGCTCAAATGAGCTGGGCGAAGTTTCGGAACCATTTGTGCCTCACCGCGGTGCCTCCTCGACGATGCCTCAGAAACGTAACCCGATCTCTAGTGAAGTCATTTTGGCTGCTTCCAAGATTCTACGTTCTAATGCTGGACTAGTTCTTGATGGAATGGTATCCGACTTTGAGCGTGCGTCGGGTCCCTGGCATTTGGAGTGGGTTGCTGTGCCCGAGAGTTTTGTTATTGCCGTTGGTGCTTTGTTTCAGACTCACTTCGCTCTTTCGGGTCTTGCAGTCAACACTAAGCAAATGCTGGACAACCTACATTCTACTCGTGGACTGATTGTTGCTGAGGCTGTTATGATGGGTATGGCGCCGTATGTTGGACGCCAGACAGCACATGATATTGTATATGAAGCATGCCGGAACAGTATCGAGCAGGATAGGTCTTTGCTTTATTGTTTGTTGCTGAAGAAGGAGGTTACCTCCAAGATGAGCACTGAGAAGCTTGAGGCGTTATGCAATCCTGAAAACTATTTGGGTGCAGCACCCAAGATGGTGGATGATGTATTGGCTGTCAAGGATTTGTAATTATCTTAGCCTTTGATCTACAAAAATGTAAATACACTGGAATTGATTGCGTAATAGACCCATTTTGAGAGTAAGCATCTGGCTATCCCTGAATACTCACCTCCAAATTCGGCCATACATTAGTCACGCTTTTCTGACGTTTAGTAATAGGGTCTTCCGCCGTAGTAGAGAGGAATTAGGGCAAATGGTGGCCCCACATCCAGTTCTTCCCCAGGCTCAGATGCCCTGACTCTACTCAGGGAGAGAAAACAACTGGAGAAGGCCCCACTATAGCTCTAACAGCTCTCGAAAGCTGTTCATCATATCTGCTGAGTCTTGTGGTGCTCAGCTCAGTCGCTTTCGATGATGGAGGTGGCTCCCCTGAGCTGAGGGTTAAAGTGGGAGGGAGAGGGGATGGGGATAGTCCATGCATCAGATGGATTACTATGTCACTCTTTCCATATTTGATAGTAGAATAAAGACTTGATAGCCAGCTGGCCTGCTTTCTCATATCAACTTGCACAACTAGTACTCAGTGTTTGGACTATTTTGTGAAGCATTGCACTCTATTGATACCCCTTTCTCCTTCACAAGCACAATGGCTGCGACACTACCCCCCGTCAAAGAACGGAAACCTATCAAGGACCTCCAAAAGGTCTTCCACTACTCCGATACACAGTCCCGAAAACCGACTCGCGACAATGACCCTTACGAATACCAAGCTGGATGGGGTAACCGTTTCCAGTCCGAGGTGATCMCAGGCACACTACCTGCTGGCCAAAACAATCCGCAAGAGGTCCGCTTTGGCTTGTATACAGAGGGTATCACGTACTCTGCATTTGCTGCTCCTCGTCATGCCAACTTTAGCACTTATATGTACCGTGTACGTCCGGCAGCTGCTCATAGTATGTGTAATATGTGACGTCCTTTGAAGAACGCCTGTCATGCTGACTTGATAGGTGGCTACACAACCAACGTTGAGACCAAAGCACACATTGAGAATTGCTTCCTCTCCATCAACCCCAAAGTAGAGATACTCGCCGAACAAGCCGAATGGGCACCGTTCCCCCTCCCTCCTGAAACCGAAACTATTGACTTTGTCGACGGCTTACACACACTTGGGGGTAGCGGTGATCCAAACCTCCGCGAGGGTATTGCGTTGTATGTCTTTATGATCAATGCTAGTATGGATCATCGTGCCTTCTGTAACCTCGATGGAGACTTCCTACTAGTTGCACAACACGGCAATCTCGATATCCAGACGGAGTTTGGCAAGATTTTCTTACAGCCGGGGGAGATCTGCGTAATTCAACGAGGTGTGCGGTTTGCTATTCGACTTGGACCAGGACATAAGGAGGCCCGGGGCTACATCACGGAGATCTGGGGTTCGATATGGGAGCTGCCTGATCTGGGACCTCTGGGAGGTCATGGTTTAGCCAATCCTCGTGACTTTTTGTACCCTGTTGCATGCATTGATGATAATTTGCATGAGAACTGGACTATCGTCAACAAGTCGAATGGGAAGTATCATTCCATTGCACAAGATCATACACCATTCGACTTGGTGGCGTGGCATGGCAATGTCGTTCCATACAAGGTATTAGCCTTCCCCTTTTTGTCAATTGATTGCAAGCTGACAGGAATAGTACGACCTGACGAAATTCTCATCCCAAAACTCAACCTCCATTGACCACACTGACCCTTCAGTCAACTGCGTCCTTACAGCCAAGTCCCGTGACCCAAACACATCGTTAGTCGACTTCCTCTGGTTCGGACCTCGCTGGGACGTCGCATCAAACACATTTCGGCTACCATACTTCCATCGCAACTCAGCTACGGAGTTTTTGGCGAGTCTGTATGGTAATGGGCTGGGTCGTTCTGATGATTTCTTGCCTGGTGGTGGTAGTGTGGAAGTTAGCCATACGCCTCATGGAGGTTTTAGTGAGGGCTATCAATTTGAGATGCGTGTTCAGGAGAATGAGCCTCGGCGGATTCTTGAGAGTGAGCCTTCCCCTATTTGATGGATTCTATTTGCGATATGCTGATTATTATAGATCAAATGACTATCATGGTTGAAAGTAGTCGTAGCTTCCTCTTTACAGAATATGCCCGGGGCGGATGCGGCACTTTCCACAATCAAGGAACAGACCCTAAAGTCTGGGACGTCCTCCCGGTTAGTGTACTTTACAGGCGTATTGCTTTCCATTTGACTGACATGAGATTTACACAGGACAAATTCTCCGCCTATCCCGGCATCCAAGAAATTCTGGCCCAGGTCAAGGCCGATAAAGCAGCCCGGAAGGAGCGTCAAGAAATTTACTATAATGACGACAGACTCGCCGAGCTGATCAAGCCAGTTCAGAGCCAGACAAACAACAGCGACATCGGTGTCGAGATGAAGAATAGCGTTGTTGAATCCGTTGTCCCTACTGCAGATGTTAATGGAACTGCTACAATCGAACCAATTAGTTAGGGGCAGTCGTCGCTATACCTAATGTTACGATAACGATAGACTGATATGATAGCGCGTTTCAATCATTCCTCTGAAATCTCTCCTTGTATGAAGAAGATGCTCGGTGTGTATGCCGATGTGAAAGACCGGGGAGAAACCAATAATCCCGGGGAGAAGACGTAACCACGTGAACTTTTGAATATTTTGTTCCATGTGAAAGTCAGCTTCTTGGTGTTCAATATAACCACCAATAGGATATGATGACCGGTAAGTCGGTGTAAAAGCGCACGAACTAAGGTCCTCGAATATATATAGGGATGCCATATCTCTGCAAGATCATTCGCCAAACCTCTCTATCAACTAGAATTTACCCCATGGGGTCGCCAACCACGCCTACACCAATCGCCATGAGGCATATGCGCCTCGTCCGGAGTCCGGACCATTAACCCTATGTATTATTAATGCATGTCTCTCATAGTCTCTCACAGGATGACTTGCCCTGCGACCTGGGGTGAGAAAGATCCGCGAGCTTATTGGTGAATAGCTTCGTTCGGCACTTGAGAGTTCACAAAAATCCCGATTCTGCTTTACATATTCAAAACACAGCTATATAGCTGCGCTGTATTCGATCCTGAGCTTCTTTGTACTCCAGATTGTACACTTCATAGAATTGAGATTCCTGGTCAAAGTTGATTTGATTGGGCTTAGATACAAATGGCATTGTAAGAAATACCATGTCAATACAGAAATCCACTTTATAACCGTTATGATTGGTAGAGCCCACAATTACCCTGTTTTGGAGCTGTAATTACAACAACCGGCAATCCGCTCATAGGGCCAAGTGCCGTTCCAACTACAACCACCGACTTGGAATTGGAATCCCATTTTTCCAGCTCGTCACCTTGCAAATGACCCCGAATGCTTCATCTAATTACAGCACAGCTATACAGACACCATATTCATCTTGAGTCTATTAGTCGGTAGTTTAACGACTCCACACTGCCACCATCGCATCTCCGCATTTTTTCCAATGCCCTCTCCCGCTTCTATTTTTTCTCTCCGCAACACCACTATATCACAGCTTCAGGCGTATAACTCTAGATCGCCATGGTCCTGAGAAAATGTGAAATTTGCGATCGAAAGTTCAAAAAGACTGAACATTACAAACGACACGAACGGTCTCGTATGTTCCCATTTCTATCAAGGGATCCCATGAAACTGACAGTAGCAGACACTAAGGAGCGTCCGTATGAATGCACCGTGTGCCACAAAAAGTTCTCTCGCAGGTAATTATTGCACCTTTTGTGGAAAACTAGTATCAAACTCATATCTTATGTACCCAGTGACGTACTGAGTCGCCATGCAAAAGGGCATATACAAAATGCAAATGGCCCCACAAGTGTCAACAGCGCTGCAAAGAACACCACAGCAGCGACTACAACGACAACACCCCCGGTTACAGCTGCTGATGCTGTCGGTTCTATAACGGTTGTTACGCCAATAAATACGGGTGCCTCTAATCTGGCCGCTAACCTCCAGATTCCGGCCGATCCTAATAATATACAAGAAGAACAACAGCGCATGTCGCTAGTCAATATACACTCATCTACTGCGAGCCACCAAGACAATGACGCACAACATCACTTTATCAATACTACCACTGGTCCTAGACCGGCCAACAACAGAACTTCTGTCCCCGTTTTTCCGCCAACCCCGAGAGACGTGCAGATTACGCCTCCAGGTGGACTATCGTCTAACCTAGACTTCCTCGCAGATATCTCCGCACACCAACCCCGTACGGAACCGGAGATTAACGCGATGATGATGGACGAACAAAATCCAGCTTACTTTGGCTGGGAGGATGTTTCCGCCCTCGAGACTGTCGAGCAGCAACAGCAAGCCCAACGTCCAATTACCTTTGATCCGATGCCAAATGAGATGCTGCAGCTGTGGCTGGAACCACGAGCAGATAGCGTATCGCATCACAGTTCCTCGATTGATTTTATGAGGAATATGAATTTCATAGAGGAGAATTTTATATCTCCCGGAAGACGTGATAGTCGCTCAATAGATCCCAACAAGGCTACCGATGATATCCCCAATGAGCGCTTTACACGTGTTGAGCGCACTTGGGTGGCGCCTGCCAACTTGGTGGGACGATTGATCAATAACCTCTGGCAAGATGTTTCGTGTTATGAATCCGATAATCTCTTTTCAGTCCCGCAATGGCAATCCTTGAGTCCGTCAACCGGCAACTATCCCGGAAGTAGGTTTGGTCTGGATGAAGAGTGCAGGTCGCAGCTCCAGCATGCCTTTGGCTTGTCGCCTGCTTCTATTGCAAGTATCAATTCCGCCACACCTAATGACGTTTTATCTCCAACGGCATCGACGACAGGTTCAGGATCAATTCCGACCTTTCCACCAGCTGAGATTCTCGATATGGCGCTTGATCTATATTTCCGACACTTTCACCCTTTAGTACCGTTTGTACATTTGCCGACCTTTTACGCCAAAAAGACCAAGACACCCCTCCTTTTCGTCATGTGTCAGATCGGAATGATCATTTTAGGGACCAAAGGCACGACCAGCTTCGTTTCGAAGACTTTTACCTGCTCCCTGGAGAGGATAAGTTCGGAACTAGCTAAATGTGCTATTGGGAATGAGACGTCGACAGGGTTTGTTTCTACCTTCGCCGCGGCTTTGCTTATGTTGAATCTAGCCGCTATGACTGGCGTAAGTCGTCCGCAGCTGATCCCATCCATCGAAGCTAAATAAAATCTATAGGAAAAATCACATATCCAACAATCTCAGATGCTTTACATCAATCTCATGTCGGTATGAAATAATAGTTCACGGATACGACTGCTTGGCTAGCATCACTGACAGATATAGATCGCCCAACGACATGGACTTTTCACTGCTGGTGAAGGTCAATCGGTAGACATGTCTCTATTTGAGGCTGTCCCAGACCTTGAGATGAGGTGGAAAGCATGGAGTAGGGTAGAGTCAACAAAACGGTGAGTCTTTAATCCTGTTTTCAGTGATGCTGTCTAATAAAATAGTCTCATTGTCGGGCTTTTATTGCTTGACTCGTGGTTTTCGTCATTCCTCTCGACAAGCCCGATCATTACACCAGATTCAGTACAAATTGTGCTTCCATGCCATGAATCACTTTTCCAGGCCAATTCTTCATCCCGCTGGATGCAACATATTCGCGGCGGTAAACGGATTATTACTTCCATGGTCAAGTCGCCAAACGAAACTACCGCCCTACCAGTGCTCGATGTTCCAGTTGATGAGTTTTGTATGCACGCGCTGCTGGCGATGCTTCAATTGCGTCTGTCAGAGGCATACCACCGTATTCTTTTCAAGCGACCCAGCTACCCGTTCGCTCCCTGCCACACATATGCCATAGATGGTCGAGCGCGATGTTTGACATCACTACAAGTGCAACTCATGAACACATACAGCGAATCGCTATCACGCATGAATCCGAATTGCATCATCATGTGGCATCATATGTGCATGGATCTGACAGCTGACATCCAAAATTTCGAACTAGCTGCTGGCCGAAACGGGGCAGGTCCCGCTCGCAAGGCTCTCGACGATATTACAGCTTGGACCCAAACACCCGCAGCACGTCGCGCCTGTCTACATGCAGCACAAATCTTTAAGGCAATCTCGAACCGTAGGGCATCCGATGATATCATGTTCCACTCTGTCCACGCACTATTCTCGGCTGCTCTCATACTAGGACTGTACATCTATATGGTCCCACGCGCCGCCGAAACACAAGCAGGCGCCACCTCAATCGAACTGTTGGATGACATTGACTGGCAACAAGTCGGCACAGAAGGATTCGCAAGTTTCATGGAGCCGCATGGCAGTCCGTCATCGAGAACAATGGACGATCAAGCGATTAACTTCATTCGTCATGGTGGAACGATCTATGTTCGCGGTGTTCCGCATCAGGGCGGTTATCAATCTGCGCGGCGCATATTTCTGGATTATGGTGGCTTGCTCAAGGATACGGGGAAATGGAGTGTGCGCAAGTTCTCTTACGTGCTTCATATTATGAGTGATGTTTTGATGGATGTTGATTGATGGGCTCATGATGTGATGAAATATGACTTTTACGACATGATTTAAGACATGTACCAGCCTGGTAGACTGGTTATGCGGTTGAGCGAAAGGATATGGGTTCCAGCCATGGATACAGTGCTCATATGGCCGATATCCAAGGCAATCGCTCCGTTAACCAGTCTCCGCGTCAGGGCTCTGCTCCGAGCGTCAAGAAGCCGATTGCACGGCGGGACAATGTTGGATTGTATCCATTTGGTGCGTGTAATTGAGTAATGAATTGAGGCAATGCGGTGTATATATTAATATTCTGTATATATGACTCTACGATACTACCTAGGTAATTCAGCTATGAGCATTGGAATGACCTTCTTTACACATCTCTATTTATACATTCCCGTTTACATCCCAGCTATATGAAGGCTATCGATATAACAACCCCTCCACCATCTCCCCAATTGCCAACGAACTAGTCAATCCCGGAGACTCAATCCCCAACAAGTTCACAAACCCCTCAAACCCATATTCCTTATCAATCACAAAATCCTGAAMCCCCTTTCCCGCCGTATTGGCGCTTCCCTGGCCTAATTTCGGTCTAATACCGCAATAATCAATCTCTATAGCATCGACGTCGATAGCAGGTAAGTAGCGTCGAATCTCGGGCAGGGCTTGCTCGAGGCGTGCTGGAGACGGTTTGTAGTCTGTCGGGTCGGTGGTCCATTCTACATCTGGACCGAAGCGGATTCTGTTACCCATGTCTAGCGTCAAATGCGTTCCTAGACCGCCATGACCCGGTACGGGGGCAGGGTAGATTAGTGTTGATGGTTTAGGTCGAGAGGCGCCGTAGGAGAAATATGTCCCCTTGGCGTAGAAGGGCTGTCGATGTAGTGAAGGCGGAAGGATCATGTTACTTATATGACACGCATAAAGTCCAGCAGAGTTGATGATCGTTTCTGCCGTTATCGATGATTCTTCTTCCTGTCCTGGCGAAGATGCGAAAATCTTATATCCGCCTTTCCCATTATCGATCGGATCAATGCGCGTTACTTCCGTCTGAAATGCAATGTCTCCTCCCAAATTCTCAAAATCGCCTTCAAGACAGGCCATTAGTGAATGAACATCCACGATCCCTGTCGTGGGGGACTCAACTATCCCTGCCTCAGCGCGAACGTCAGGCTCTATACGCTGCGCTTCGTCTTGACTCAAAAATCGAGTCGGAACACCGATCTTTTGTGCATGCACATGCACGTTCAGGCAGGCCTCCCATTCGACATCGTTCTGGGCAACGATCCATTTCTTCGTGTTTTTGTGTGGAATTTGTTTCTCGGCGCAGTAGGCGTATAATTTGTTCTTGCCGTCGATACAGAGGCGGGKTTTGAGCGAGTCGGCGGGGKAGTAGATGCCCGCATGAATGACCTGTTATTTGTCAGTCTGGCCAATGTAAAGGAAGAGAAATAGAATGTATACCTCTGAATTGCGACTACTCGTTTCCGTGCCTACGGCATCGTGTTTCTCGAGTAAGATCGTGCTCGTGCCTTGTCGTGCGGCGAGCTGGCGGGCAATCGCGAGGCCGACGACTCCGCCGCCAATTACCTGTTGGGTTTTTTCCATGTCAGTAGACTAGATGAGAATCGTAGAGACTGAAGCCAACAAACCGCATGAGTAAAGTCTGCATTGTGCCGCTGACTGGTTGAGAACGAGTGCGATTGTTGACTTTTGCGTTGGAGAAGTTGGAGATGACGGAGAAGTTGTCTGCGGGGAGAGGCTAAAGCCATTGATCTGTTATGCTGTGCGCTAGGCCAGTAGTTAGAGGCCAATGTAATATAATTGTATGATACCTGTCTTATGAAAGTAGAAAATGCAAAAGTCGATGCGTGAAGAATAAGTAGTAGCTGTTGTCTGATCAAGATGACTCCAGTCGATCGGAGACTTATCCGTTTCTTATCTTTGTTATCGATAAGACAGATAATCCTAATAGCCGAGGCCGGTTCGTGATCACTCGAGTTGGGTGGTTGTTGATCTAGAATGGCTGGGGAAACTCCCATTCTCAGTTAAAAAAAACTGCATAGAAAATGTTGAGGTAGGAAAAGTGAATTAGACAGTCGGCAGTAAGTATACAATAAAAATATGGGACGAATAAGAAAGACACTGTCAGTCAAATGACAAAGATGGGTTTCCACTGCAAAGGAACAACATTGACCGCAAAGCAAAATACCTCCATTCTACTTCTATTCATATACACGCAAAGACGATATCTTCCACTTCCTGTCAAATAGAAACACACCCCTATTTCTCATTATTCAAAGCCTAATTATCCTAGTATAAAATAAGAAGGGTAAGAACAATCGGAGAAAAATAAGGATACAATTTCCCTAATCGCACCCACAACGCACCACACCACACACAAACTCAGATGGAATGATGACCTAACTGCAAAAAGAGAAACTTTTACCGAGAAGCCGGGGATATCAGAAAATGGAAAAAGGAAAAAAAAAAGGTAAAAGAAAAGTCATACTAAAAGAGATAAGAGGAGAAAAAAGGAAAAAGCGTGATCATAAAAATTAACATGATGTCAAATCTTCAGAGCCTTAAGGATGAGGACGGAGCCACTCGCATAATCGCCCACTAGCCGAGGGTCTGATTATGATTTGTTCTCCTCGGAGGCCTCTTTGGCAGCTTCCTTGGGCTTTGCGTCAGCGGGCTCATCGGTACCCTTGTTCTTCATGTATTCGTCATAAACGTGGAGAGCTTCGTCAACCTTAGCGCGTAGAGCAGACTCATCATCGATGCTAAGGAATGTTAGTATAACCTTAGATTCTAGTAGCGAGAAAAGAAAAAACTTACAGGCCAAGAAGTTCAGCGTTGTCCATCTCAAGCAGCATACCAGTGATCTTGCCAGCAAGCTCAGGCTGCTGAGCCTGGATCTTAGGGTACAATGCCTCACCGAGCATCTGCTTCTGTTGTTGAGGAGGAGCTGCGGTCAAGGCTTGTAGGGTGAGAGAGCCAGGGGTTCCTTCTGGGGCAGCAGGGGCTCCAGCCGGGACATTCTGACCACGACCTCCAGGTCCAGGTCGCGGAGGCATACCGCCGCGACCCTGGCCAAAGCCAGGTCCACCACGAGGGCCACCAACGTTGGGAGGAATGCCTTGAGGGACTTGTCCACGACCGCCAGCACCGCGACCGAACTGAACCTGTGCCATCTGAGGGTAGGCCATGCCGTTAGGAATGCCTCCAGGACCAGCCTGCATGGCTCCAATAGGGATGCCTTGGCCGAAGTTCTGAGGAATTTGCTGGTTGGGTCCACCAATACCACGACCACCTTGTTGAGGGAAACCGCCAGGGTACTGGCCTGGTCGTCCACCGGGGATACCAGCCATCACCATACCAGGTTGGGGAGCGAAAGCCATTCCACGCTGGCCAGCGTTGCCAGGGAGGAAACCTTGTTGGCCAGGTCCATAGAAGACAGCGGGCTGCATGTACTGTAGGGATTATTAGTATCAAACGCATCACCGCGATCGATCATTTGACTTACAGGTTGAGGCATGCCAGCGGCAGCAGCGGCCTGCTGCTGTCTAATGGTGTTACGAGCCTGGATGCTTGCTTCAAGCTTCATGGTGTTAGTGGCAGCTTAAAAACATACGGACATGGTAAAATCTTACCTGACTCTTGCGAACATCCTTGCGCTGGGCGAGAGCAACGTAAAGGGGCTTGCCGTTGACCATTCTCTGGTTCATCTCAGTGACAGCCTTGGAGGCTTCGTCGGGGCTCGAGAAGCAAACGAAACCGAAACCCTTGCTCTTTCCGAAGAGCTTCTTGTCAGACTTCTTGCCTTCAGACTTCTCCTCGTCTTCGGTCTTGTCGTTGGTTTCTTCCTCCTTGGCCTCCTCACCCTCTTTCTCAGAAGATTCCTTGCCCTCTTCCTTCTCAGAGTCAGAACCAGCGCCAACAGTATCACGCATGACCTTAGCAGAAGTGATGGTACCGAATGCGCTGAAAAGCTCGCGCAGCTTCTCGTCATCGACATCATCTGTGAGGTTCTTGACGTAAAGGTTGACACCCTGGTACTTAGAAGCCTTCTCAAGACGAGCGGCCTCGTATTGGCGGCGGAGTTCCTCCTCGCGCTCATGCTTCTTCTGGGCACGGCCGACGTAGAGCTTCTGGCCGTGGAAGTCCTTGTCGTTCAAGTCATCGACAGCGGTCTGGGCATTCTCATGGTCGACGTAATTGACGAACCCGAAACCACGGCTCTTTCCACTGTCGTCACGGCTGATGGTAGCAGAGGTAATATCACCGAACTTGCCAAAGAGATCACGGAACTCCTCGTCAGTAACCTCAGGGTCGATGTTCTTGACATAGACGTTGGTGAAGTTGGCCTTCATTTCCTCGAACTTGCTCTGGCGGTCCTTCTTGGAGATGTGGTGACCGACGAACACCTTCTTGTCGTTAAGCAACATACCGTTGACGTGCTTGATGGCGTTGTTGGCAGCCTCGGCAGTCTCGTAGTGAACGAAACCGTATCCCTTGGAGTTACCGAACTCATCCTGAGCGACCTTGCAGCTGAGAATGTTACCAAAGGCGGCAAAGGTGTCGTGCAAAGCTTTGTTGTCGATGGCGGTATCCAAGTTCTTGATGAAAACGTTACCCTGGCCAGTCTTGCGCAAAGCGGGGTCACGCTGAGACCACATGATACGGCAGGGACGACCCTTGATAAGAGTGTAGTTCAAATCCTCAAGGGCGCGCTCGCCATCAGCCGTATTGTTGTAGTTGACGTAGGCATATCCGAGGGAGCGACGGGTAACAGCGTCACGGCAGACTCGAATGGAAGCGACCTGTCCGATGGAGGAGAAAAGCTCGAAGAGCATGGCCTCGGTCACGGAGGGGTCAAGTTCACCAACGTAGAGAGAGGCGGAATGAGGCTGGTTGGGGTTGGGAGTGGTAGCGGCATCGCTGGACGCGGTGTCAGGGGCAACGTTGGTGTTGACAGTGGTGCCGTTGGAGTCGGCAGCGCCGTTAGCGTTGTCGATAGCGGGGGTGGTAGCAACTTCAGCAGACATTTTGAAGATTTTTTATCGTTCCTGTAATAATGAGAGAAAAAAAGTATTTATATTAGCAATGAATAATCGCGACAAGGGCGTTGAATGCTGGCGACGAAGGGTTTTATCTGTCGAAGAGATAGTGACGTACAGATTTGAAAAAAGCTGAAGAATCCAGAAAATTGAGTCTGTTCGAGATACGAGAGTAATGCTTTCTCAGGGCCGAGCCTGCAAAAAAGAGAACCGCGTCGTAAGCAGGACAGTTAACACACACCGGACTCGAGAGGAATCGATGTGGTGATCACGAAGAAATTGCTTGTGTGGAAGGAACCGATAGTGGCTTCTTGAACACAAACAAAACACACAGTGATGGCTTTGAAGGTGGAGTTGAAACGGGGGTTTTTTCAAGGATTTTTCGCTTTTTTTGTCTTTTTCTGATTTTTTTTAGGGATGAAAGAGAAGAAGAACTAAGAGGAGGGGGGAAGAAAATATTGCCAAATCCTTAGCAGAGAGGGATGTGGCAGGTGGTGGTTTCTTTTGGCCCAAGGAAGGTCGAAAGGTAAAAGGTTGAAAGGGAAATTTTGTGAGCGGCTAGCCCGTTTAGGAAAGCTTGGAACGTCTTTGCTCACAATTTTTTTTTCCTGGGCCTGGTTGCGGTCACGTGAGCGTGGTGGGTTAGCGAGGAAGAAGCCTACCCAGGGTTGCCAGACAGTGGGAAGTCGCCACCAGGGACGTGCGCTCTGATTGGCCGGGTTCATATACAAAGAATACACTCTTACTGAGTCTTTCATCTCTTCATTGACATTCCTTCTAATCTCAGGAAAGACAGGCACGGCTCAAGCCACCAGGTCTAAAAAAAAGGTTCCTACAAAAATCACAAAGGCGAGGCTGATAAGCAAGCAATATGAAACAAGAAGCGGGATATGACAAGCGCCTAAGCTATGCATCAAAAGATCTGAAGCATTCCGGTCTTAGCTGACTGACAATGAAGGAAAAGGAAGGAAAAGGAAGGAAAAGGACAGAAAATACTTCAACTCAAGTCAAACCCAGCCCCCGAGTTGACGGCATACAGGAGTTTCTGCCGCAGAATATGGGCAGTAGAGTAACGTGGAAGCTTCAACAGATTCACGCAGGTGCTGGTGCTGGGCAGTCTGTCTTGGTCATCGCTGGAATCCCGGATACTGAAGCGAGGGTTCAAATGGCTGAACCCCAGCAGTGGCGCGCGTGGAGTCGAAGTCACAAATTTCAGCACCTTTTGACGCTCCTCATTGGATAAGTCTTGCATGACTTGCCAGAAAAGCTGGATAGTGGGATGTTCCTGGTTGTCATCGCCAATAGTGTATACACCACCGTACAGTGTGTTGCGTCGGAGGTCAGCGACATCGATCTCACCAGCATCACCACCGACAAGGGTCTGGAGTTCTGACTGGTTGAACATAGATAGCCACGAGGGCTGAATAATGTCACCAAGTCCTTTGAGGAAAGCGTTTGTTTGCGGAGCGGGCTGATTCTGAAGCCTATGGCGAGCAATGTAGGATATGTAAACGAGCCGATTCTGGTTAGTGACTGCAATGTTGGCACCACCGGGCTTCAGTTCTTTCGTAATGATGCGAGATTTCGATCCGGGGATAGGGATGGTATCTGTGACGGTGAAGTTCAGGGAAAAATCTTCAACATCGCCAGGGTAATTCTTCAATTGAAGCTGCAATCAACATTAGCAAACTGAAAACAAGTCATCCAATAGACGTAAACATACCAGTCCCTGATACAACCCTTCATCCAGATCTCTGAGATCATTCAAATTGGCCCTATATGCTGATTCCCGTCGAGCAGATGTTGATCCGCCAGTCAGGGCCCATTTGAGGAGAAAGAAGCCCGCAAATTGAACATCAACAAGAATGCCTTCGTAAAGACACTTTCCGACCACGCGGCCTAGAAATTCGTAACGCTTGAGTAGATCTCGCACGCCATCTACAAATTGAGGACTGCCTTCCGTGATGCCCAATTGCCGCATGACTTCTTTGCGTTGTTCCACCGCCGAAGGATTAGGGTAGAGGAGATTCTGATCGTTTTCGACGAATAAATCAAGGCCGTTCGACGGACCATTGGACGGCATAAATGCTTCATTGGTGATACTAGTAAGAAACTCTTTCGTTACTCCACCTCCATCGATTCCGGCCTCTGTCGCACCGAACTTGTCGATGAAGCTAATTTGAATTGGCTCTTTGAGACCTTCTCCAAGCTCGTAGAACTGATCAAATGCATCGTCGAAAACACTTTCGCGGTGAATGCTCGCATGATGGCGACTGAGAATATCTCTTGCTGCGGCATTGTCATCAAGTAACCGGCCCATGGATGCAGCAGACACCGACATGCGCCAGGAATCGGGATCAATAAAGCCTTGTCTCCGTCGCATCTGATCCCGGTAGATAAATTCTCGAAAAATTTGTACTCGCGTGGCGAACGGAATGAAGAATGGCATGTTTCTCAGAATTTCAAGTCGCGGTGCAAGTGCTTCCAGTTGTTTTCGTCGAACTGCTTGCTGCTGGTGACGCCGGAAAGCTTCAATGCGTCGTGCCTGTTGGGCCCGTCCGGTACCGATCAACTCGAATGACTGAGATGGCAGTTCATCCACATAGTTACTATCCTCGTGCTCCTCATCTTCTTGAAGTTGGTGTCGATTTTCCTCCTCGGCAACTACTGCTGAGATGAACCCTTCCATATCGAATCGCGACGTCATTAGCCAGTGACCTTCGGGGAGAAATTTGCGGCGAGAGCTGTATCACACGTTAGCTTGATCATACCATTGACGAGCATCAAAATGTAACAGAACTTACTCTCGCTCATGAATCATTCTCAAGAGCCCAGTGACTAGCCCCCTAAAATAATCGAGTGGAATTCCAGTAACTCCAGGCAGACCCTTCTCCTTGTTTCTTTGTTCCAACTCTCGCACACTCGGCAATGGCTCATTTTGATTGCTGGAAGGAGAAAAGTATTTCATGATACTACCAGTACTTTCAACTTCTTGTGTCTCATTGAGATCGGCCGCGTTCCAGTACAGTGTGAATCCCAAATTCTTGAGGAAAAGTGTCAAGAGCTTCACGTCTTTTAATGACAATGCGCTTTCCCGCGTCCAGGAGGATGTTGTGTTCACCCCCGTTAAAACCGCATCATTGGAAAAGAACTCTTCATCATCCATGACCTTCAACAAAAACGTATATAGCTCCAAGAACAATAGGATGATCGTCCAGTCCTGGTCGCGTTGTGTACTGTTTGTTGCATCTCCGGGTGATGGGCGTAGCAAGGCAAGGACTCCGTTCGAGTCGCGGCTGATCTTGGCAAACAGATCGGTCGAACTACTCAATCTCCAGAAATATTTGATCGCAGGCATTCTCGCGCCGGGCTGTGATGTCGAGGGGTTCAAAGAAGTGGTAGATCCTAAGTAAAGCCACATGCGAATATCGTCTCCACGTCGAGGGAAAACTCTCAGAAGCGTCAAGGCGTACGAAGCCAGAGCTTTTGCGTCATCTGAAACAAAAGAATCAACCTGAGAGAGATCATTTTGTGGTTCACTAGGTCTAACTTTGTAAAGTAAGCCTGTGATGCTACTCTGGTTCACAAGACTGCTAATTTGATCTTCGATGAAGGGGTGCAGTGGCGGTTGCTGTACTTCGTCGTTGTCGAGCGGATCTTCCGGCTCCAGACGCCTGGATAAAAACGAGGCGACCGAGTTCAGCAGATTAGAGACGACTTTAACGAACTCAGGCTCTGGGGCTTCTTCCACCGAGCTTCCGCTGACTGCAGACCGACGGAAGTATATGAAATATGCCAAGAGCCACAAGCGAGATTCCAAATCCGAGTTGCTCAACTGTTTCCCAGTAGTTCCCTGAGAGTAAGAGTCCAAAGATTTTGCCAAAAGTCTGTAGTTGATCTTAGATACTATCGTGGCAAGCTGGCCAAGATGACTTCCGAGATCCGGTATCGTGAGGTACTTGCGAGCAAACCATTCATAAGCATTCGAGGTGTCTGCTGTAATGGGCTGTAACAGTGCGAGTGTGGTGGCTACTAATTGATCTATAGAGAATCCTAGCTTCTTCGACAGCGTGTGAGCATCTATAGTCAAAGCCGTCATCACGATGTAGTACTCTTCGGCAAGTCTAGCCATCTGTCTCGGGACGAGATCAATCAAGAAGCAGAGTGACCGCAACAGCAAGTCGCCCGGTAGGTGTGACTGTCTGGTTGGAGAAGCCAGTTTCAGCGTGAGCCTCAACGTCATCTTCGCTAGGCGGGCAAGCAGCAATGTCCATCCTTCTTCATCCGACATCGTAGACACTTCTTCCAGCGTTTTTCGGAGAGCGTTCGAGAGATAAAGGAGGCGTAAGGCGTCGCTGTCGTTGGAAGCTTCAAAGAACTGCAACAAAAGTCTAAGTTGTATCCGACACTGGTCCAGGGACGAGTATGCCACCGTCGTATGTATCAGGTCGACATCCCCATCCTCAAAACTGATGTTCGTACCGGCTCTCGTCTGTTCGTTCGTATCCCACTCCGCTCTCCAGGCGTTGCGAGCCGCTCTTCTGCTCAGAAAGCCCCGCCATATTCTCTGCAAAAGACGAGCTGAGTTGAGCCGGTCTCTTTCCTGTTGTCTGAGCGCTCGCTCCTGCTGTGCAATAGCGAGTGTATTCTGGGCGCCGAAGCCATGCGGGGTTTGTCGACCGGATGCTGAGGACGCGGCGAACGGGTTGACGTTGCGGCCGGAGAGATTCACCTGCCTCGGCCGGCGAGAGCTCCCAGTAAACGACTGGAACATAGCTGTTCGGATCAACTGGGCGAGACTACCTTGAGATTAGCAACTCTGGGTTGATAATTTCGATACTCTGATTCATCGCTTTAAAAGATGGGGGCGAGCATTTTGATGATCGAAAAGGTGACAGGCGGAGAATGAGATGTTTGTAGTGGTGGTTGCGGACGATGAGTTGGATTTGAGAAGCTATGTCATAGGCTAGCCCGGTCTGTGTCTAACCCTTATCTCTCGGGCTTGACTTTAGGGTATCTGCCCGCCCAGGCACGCCGGTATCAAATTGCTTTCTTGCCACAGTACATTAGTAATACTTGCAGAAATGTAGCTAGAACATTCATGAGGACAAAGCGATACAATTAAGTATTTACTTACTCAACGAATATGTTGAATGACTCTGCAGATATAGGCTATCGCTAACGGCATAACTCTGTAACACCGAAACTCACAAGCTTTGCACACTGATGGTGCGTGCTTTCCTTGCCAGTGCTATGCTCATTCTGAGGCCGGCAGAGCATTGAATTGATACGGTGAGTAAACGTTCGATTGCCATCTCATGCAGAAACTGCTAAGTGATCCTTGTTGTAAAGATGTGACTTGTATCATCAGCCTTTGTTCTTCTAATTTATGTAATGTACATGCTTAAATCAATTTGCCAATGTAATCCCAGATCCATAAACGCCAATCTTGCTGCCGGCCAGTATGCTGAATGAGCTATACTGTCCACATATAGAGTACAGACGAGTTCTGAGATGAACCCTCTTCGTTTTCACCACACGGCGAAACGGAGATTGCACATCTTATAGTCCTTGCTTTTTTAGCTGTTTTAAGGTGCGTCCTCCCTTGAGCTTCCTCTTCTTCTTGTTCTTCTCATCCAGCTTGATGACCTTCTCCAAATCAGCCTCAGCCTTGGCCTTGAGATTGGCCCGTTTCAACCTCCACTTGTCTGACCAGTCATCGTGCTCTCGAGGATTGAGCTTCTCCCATAGATCCAAATAGTCTTCTCCGTTGAAAGCGCGGTCTTTGGATATCGTCACGCCGTTTCGATCTTCTTCCCTAGTGTACTTTGTTCGTGTTGGGGGGAAAGATTTCGTAACGAAAGGAGTGAGCTTGTAGAAAGTCAGCATAGGAGAAACAGGAAAAAATTTGAGTAGCTGGCTAACCTTGAACGTGTCCAAGTTCTCAGGGACGACATATGTGCGCAATTTGCTGGGCTCGATAATATATGTACTGCTTTTCAGGAAGAAACCCATAGAACCCGTTCGGTTACCTTTGTAGTAACCTCGATTGACTTGTTTCGTAGTCAGGCGCAACCGCGCCATCAAGGGCTGAGACGGCTTCATTTCGCACGCCTGAGTATGATTTGATTGATGCCGAATTGGCGTTCTGATCGGAGCAATTCTTGTCCAGACTCTGAGCAAAAAGTTATCCGCGCCAAGACCACCATCTAAGGAGAATTGGAGCTGGCGCTAGGTTTTCCGCCCGGCAGAATCAGAATAAAACAAACTGACCGCAATTCACTGGAATTAAATAACTTAGAGGATACATGTAAATTTACCTAATTCTACGCCAGTTCTGAATGGCTGTTTAGATTTGTTGGGTAGTCATCAAAAGGTTTTCGTACGTATATTCAAGTTGAGTGTAGATACTCTTAAATGATAACGCAGCAAATCTGTAGATTATATACTGGAGAGATGAACCCCGAGAATGGCTTKTTWAGMTGATTCGCTTGCAAAAAAAAAAAAAAGAGAGAAGGTCAAAAAGGATATGTCTCAATACTGGAGAACAGTGCATCTTGTCATAGAGTAACACGCAATACCAGCTTGCTACAGAGGCGGTTGTATTTAACGATGGTCTGAACGATTCAGAATCCTCAGCTTGATTGGACGAAATGACGTAGCTGTGGTAGATTCTACTTGCTTTCAGTCAATCATTACATTTCGCGTTGAGCGTGGGCATATGTAATTTTTGTATGATCACGGTTTTAGGCCAAAAAGAAGTATGTCTTTATGTAACGAACATTCTCTCATTGTTTGGACTGCTCCCATGAGGCCCATATAAACCCTGTCTTGGCCTGATCAACCTCATGGTTGATTTTATCATGTCAATATCGGTATGAGGAAACAAAGGTGTGAGAGTCAAACAGGTGGCATAGGAAAGTAACAAGAGTTGAGCAAGCCCATATTTATATCGTGCTGGGCTTTCCAGGCTTGAGATTGCGACGGAGTATGCTCACAACATTTGTCGAAAGATCTACTACGCGGGGAGGGGTCCTATAACAAATTCTACCCCAAGGCGTGGAACTCATAGAATAAGTCTTCGGGAAACTCCTGGATGTTGTGAAAATTTACGGCCTTTGTCCTCTTGGTGCTCGCTGCGCAAGGCAAGACTTGAGGCTGGGATCGACAAGTCAGATATAAGAAGATCATCTGTGCACTACAACAATCACAAAAAATTGCGCCAGCACCCGACGTCCTATTAGTTCAGTGGTAGAATGTTGGTCTCCTATGTCTTGGGTAACCAATGGTCTCGCGTTCGATCCGCGGATAGGATGTACTCTTTTTGTCTCTTGGCTTAGTCTACAAGATGAATCGTGCTAACTCCTGGTTTTTAATGTCGACTGAAATACACATAATGTACATAGTAGAACTGTTGAAGAGGAGACACTGTTCAGGTGGCTCCGCCAATAGAATAAGCCGTGTCGGATTGCGGAAAAAAAAATAGCTTGTCGGCCCCACAGCGATCTGGAAACAACAAATTATTTTTTATGTGACATGTTTTTTTCCTTATTATTTCAACAACCCGAATCGCAATCATGGCGGGCAGAAAATCGAATATTTTAAAGTCACGCAATGATGATGTCCCAAAGCCGAAGCAACAGAGGAAGCGAGGCAAAGGCTTAAATGCGCTTGCCATTGCAGAACACGAATTTCCGACCAATGCAAAAGTGCGAGCCCATCGGTTGGGTGAAGTCGACGATTTCCCCAAGCGTCGAAGAAACGACGAGGAAGATGACGAACCGGATACGAAACGTCGCAGAACGGACGAAGATGGCGCATCCGAGGGAGACTACGGAAGTGACAGTGAAGGTCATGAATGGAAAGTAGGACAGGTCGATAGCGAGGACGACAGTGAACTTGACAGCGATGAGGCACTGGGTGAGAGTGACGAAGAACGTTTCGAAGATTTCACATTCCGTGGAAGCTCGTCCAAATCGAATTCCAAATCCGAACGGAAACCTAAAACTATCAAGCGTCAGAAAATCGATCTCTCCGAAGGTTCTGGTTCCGATGCCGATTCTGATCAAGAAGATTATGACGACGACTTGGGTGAAGATGCAGTGGACTTGGCTACCGCTTGGGACATGAATGGCGAGGATGATGATGACGAGGACAAGACCGCATCGAAGACTGCCAAAAAATCCAAAAAGTCACAGCCAATAAATGAGTTATCGGATGAGTCTGGCTCCGACAGCATCTCCGATGGTAGCAGTGAGGAAGAGGAAAGTGAGAATACTGATATCTCTATGTCTGATGATGAGATCGACGAGAAAGAGGACGGGCTTTCAAAGCTCCAGGATTTTGTTAGCTCTCTGGGAACTAAAAATGCCGGCGCTACATCTCAACAACGAAAAGCCAAGGGCCAAGAGAATGGTGCTCCGACGGAATACGGATTGACTTCTACTCGGAAATTGAACGTTTCTGATCTCTTGTCTTCCGTGACCGATTCGCGCCTAAAGGGATCCTTGAAGCATTTGAGCTCAGCCCCGACAGTTAAGGGCGCCAAGTCGATTGCTCCAGGAAAGTTGACTGCACCTTTGGCTAAAAGACAGCAAGATAAAATAGATCGAACAGCCGCCTACGAAAAGAGCAAGGAGACGTTGAATCGATGGATAGATACAGTGAAAGCCAACAGAGAGGCCGAGCACATATCGTTTCCCCTTCCTGACCATCACGAGCAGCAAGTTGCGAGACTTGGGCCAGTCGAACCAAAGACAGACCTGGAAAGCACCATCAAGTCGATCCTCGTTCAAAGTGGTTTAGCGACCGATGAGAAGACTGCTGAGAAACAATTCCAGGCCGCCGAGGAGTTAGAAACCCGCAAAATGTCACTTGAGGAAGTCCGTGCTCGAAATCTAGAGCTTCGCAAACGCCGTGACCTTCTGTTCCGAGAAGAAGTAAGAGCAAAGAGGATCAAGAAGATCAAGAGCAAATCATACCGTCGTGTACATCGAAAGGAGCGCGAAAAGCTGGAAGAGGTGGAGAGACAAGCTTTGATCGATGCAGGCATCGATCCCGATGAACAAGAACGGGAATCTTACGACCGCCGCCGAGCAGAGGCCAGAATGAGCACCAAACATAGGGACAGCAAATGGGCAAAGAGTATGAAAGAGACTGGCCGCACGGCGTGGGATGAGGATGCTCGGTCCAGTATGCACGACATGGCCAGGAGAGACGAGGAGTTGCAGCGACGAATCGAAGGACGGAACGTCAAGACTGATGGTGACGAATACCTCGGATCGTCAAGCTCAGAATCGGAAGATGACCACGACGAGTGGGATGAAGAAGCTGATTCAGATGCGGAGGCACGAATTTTGAATAAAGATCTAGATGCCCTCAATGGCGTCGATGATGCGGAATCGACTGGTCCACATTCGAAATTGATGGCTATGAGTTTCATGCAGAAGGCGGAAGCAGGGCGCAAACAACAGAATGATGACGAGATCCGAAAACTTCGCCGTGAAATTAATGGAGATGAAGATCAATCCGAAGAGGAAGAAGGGGGCCGAAAGAAATTTGGAGGTTCCAAACCAGCAGAAAAAAAGACTACAGCTGGATCTCGCAGCAAGAATGAGTTTGAGGAAACTGTTGATTCGGAAGATGAAGACCATGGCAATGAAGCTACAGAGGACTCGGCGCAAGGTTCAACCAGCCAAACAAAAGGAGATAACAAAGCAAGGGGAGATGCTGTTGCCAAATCCACGAAAGCGAGTGAATACAGGCCGGCTATGGATGATTCGGATAAAGAAGTTGAAAATCCCTGGCTAGTGCAAAACACTAGGACAAATAGGAAACGTCAAGTCAATGATGCCGACGACACTGTCAATATCTCTGTTGGTGACCAAGAACAGGCTGCTTTGAGCAACGCCAGTAGAATCTCGAGTGAGCAAAAGCCACGGCAAGCTAGCAAGTCAAAGTCTCACATCAACACTGAAGATAACGAGTTCGGAAGTGACAGCGACGAGGAGAACGCCCCCGTCTTGCTTACAAACCACGATCTTGTGAAGAGAGCTTTTGCTGGAGACGATGTCGTGGCAGACTTTGAGCGTGAAAAACAGGAAACTATTGAGGAAGAAGGTGACAAAGTCATCGACAATACTCTACCAGGCTGGGGCAGCTGGACTGGTGCTGGTATAAGCAAGAAGCAGCAAAAGCGCCAGAAGAAGTTCCTTACCAAAGTCGAAGGTATCAAACCTGAGCAGCGTAAGGATGCGAGACTTGGACATGTCATCATTAATGAGAAGCGAATGAAGAAGGTGAGCTACGTCTCTTGCTTTTCGAGCTACTACTGGATCGAATTAACATTATTATCTAGAACGTCAAATACATGGCCACACAGCTCCCGCATCCTTTCGAGAACAGACAGCAGTATGAAAGATCCCTCCGTCAGCCCATCGGTCCTGAATGGTCTACCTCAGACACTTTCCATGAGGCCACCAAGCCTCGTGTACTTATCAAGCAAGGCATTATCAAGCCTATGCAACGGCCTCTTATGTGAACATTTGTCGAGTCTTCTATACATATACTCTAAATCTCTTCAGTTCCACACTTAGTTATAGGCCAGAGCCATTGCACTTCAAGCAGATTTTGCAGCTTAGACAAGAATTTACAATTTTAGGCATCTTTTTTCCTATGATATATTTGGGAGGCGGAATTCAACCCTCACAACTCCAAAGTCGACTTAGTAGGCCGCAACCCAGCAATACCCAAGTATGAATTTCTTTAAGTCGCGTGCTATTGGAATGTGGATGAAATTGCCCCAGTGGCTTTCACGTAAGCCAAAAACTGGGGATGCAATGCTTGCTCCATGTTCTAGGGATGGATGCAAGCGGACCGTTCCTGTACGACTACAACAGGAACTCTAAAGACTCCTTGCCCTTGAGCCTTAGCAGAACCGATCTCAATCATAGACATCAGATATCAATATACGACAATATGTAATTACAAGTTTCCAAAAGTCCCTCTGGGGTATGCCAGTCATCGTCCGGTATGGAGATTGGTGGGGAGCAGACGTTCTCATTGGCCACAGCACATACCTGAACTTCTTCTCTTGTTTCTCTGTTGCTTCATCCGGCCAGGAACAATATCTTGTTTACTTTCCGCACATTCCTAGTTTATATGCGACTATCAGATCTCAATTGATTTCCGAAAGGTGAGTATTTTGTCGATCCAATGCTTGATGGCATGCTGGTCATGCGTTGTCCCCCTCATCAACAAACATTGATCCGGTATATGTCTGCGTGTGCAACCCATGCTTAACTGAATTTGTCCCCGGAATTCTCGGTTTCGGACTCTGTTTGAACGTGGCTGTTTTTGAACGTCACTCTATAGTCTCTCGTTTATATCTTATGGCTCCTTGAAGAAAGAAAAGCGCCCCGTCACTCGTTTGTTCAATGTGCTTTTGGCTAGACGATAGTGTCACCAAATGAACCCGTCACTCGCTTGCATTAAAAAGTCATTCTTTGGAAGATTGTTTCTCTCATAAACTGCCAACATGAGTCGTTATTTATTTGTTATTTTGAATACTATACTAATATGGACTCTGAACATTCAGGGCATATACTGCCTTCCTCAGCTCCCATCGCGAACAACATATTCAGTATGATCTTCTCTTGCAGGTATGCGTTTCGCTCTACGGACTGACGATATTTAGCTACCTAAAACCTCAAGATCTGTGGTTCAAAGTCCTGCGAGCTTGGTCACACATTACCCTCCAAATACTGCAAGATTACTTGACGTTCAAACCCAAGGAGTACGCTGATACATTTTCCCAAGGTGACTAGTTCAACGATGCTAACCTTACCCCTAGACATACCAGTCTCAGTTAGAGACCGAGGGACATCCATCTCTACAGCCTTTCCCATACCCCTCCATCAGCATTGATCCTATCGAAGGACTTGACGATTTTCCTGGCTCCGGGCCCTTTACCCCTTTCGCTTCAGCTCCAGCAGCAGTAGTCACTGTTACAGTCACCGTAACTTCTACTGTATATCAATCGAGCACCAGCCGGAACAGTAGCAGCGACATTCACAGATCTTTTACAGCCAAAGCTACTGCTTCTCTCTCAAGAATGGATGGTCAAGATATCTTCGAGACAGTCTCCTTGGATGCTGTCCCTACGAACATTCCCGTAAAGGAAGTTCATCCCGTGCCGAAAGTTGGAATTGTAGGTAGTGTCCTGTCTTGTCAGGCTTCATCGCTAACATATATGTGTAGGTGAACACAACTACTCCCATTGAAACCAATAAATTCTACGCAAACTTCTTTTTAGGAACTCAGGCCACATCTTCCTTTACTCAGCCTTATTCTCTGGTATGGTCAAAGGGCGGTGGAAATGCTCAGAGTTGGGGATTGGCGATCTCTCATATCGACCTGGATCAACTGGTATATGGGAACAAAAGCAACGCACTCCCAGGCAATCCAGTAGAGTATTACTTGAATCCCATTGGCTTGCAGTCTATCACTCTCTCTGCGAGCGAATTGGGTCCTTCTACTGTCTTGAACACCGACCGGATGACAGGCTTCTCTGCCGATGTCATTCTGCGGCCTTCTGATCAGTCAAGCAACAGCATTACTTTTCCTGTGCTCCAGGGCATGGGTTTTGTGACCGGTATCTATACAGGACTACAACCACTTGTACAAAGCTGCATCACATTTCAGGACTTGGTGTGTGTGGGTGCGATCGGTCAAGGAACATATAAATACCGTGTCACTCTGGCAGATGGAAAGAGTTGGCTGTTCTACGTCACGCCTGATAACGACACCGGTGTCGAGCCAGCTTTCAACTTCGGCGATTCAAGCACTACCATTCAAGGACCGTCGGGGTTTTCTGGTACGATACAAGTCGCAAAGAATCCTGCGGGTGGTTCAGGCGAAGTTGTGTATGATGCAAGTGCTGGTGTATACGCTAGATCTGCCAGTATCAATGGGGCTGTCAGTGACTACACTGGTACATATGGATTGACTTGGGAAAAGGCTGGCCAGACTGCTACGAATAAACCTGTTTTGATGTTCGCATTGCCCCATCACGTCGAATCATTCGATGCGCAAACACGGACTGCTGTGTACCCATTACAACTACGCTCAACTACCAAAGGAAACATGACGGCTGTGGCCGCCGATCAATGGACCATGGTTGAGAGCGATCTTCCAATCGATATGGACTTTGCGCCGTGGTCACCATCTCTCGGCAGTGTTGGGACATTTTCATCGGATGTCCAGCAGACTATCTACTCTGCGGCAGAAAGCGAGCTGACCCCTGATGTCGATCCGCAAAGTAATCTCAACAGCATGTACTATAGCGGCAAGGTCTTGAGCAAGTTTGCTACTTTGGTATATACCGTCCATGAGCTTGCCAACAACCCAGACCTGGCTGCATCCACGCTTGATGGTCTCAAGAAGGCTTTTACGCGCTTTGTGAATAACGAACAGCAGTTCCCCCTGGTTTATGATAACACTTGGAAAGGAGTCGTATCCAGTGCTGCGTATGCTACGAACGACCTGAACCAGGACTTTGGTAATTCTGGCTACAACGACCATCACTTTCATTATGGGTATTTCATCCACGCGGCTGCAATCATCGGTGCCCTCGATCCCTCCTGGCTTAATGATGCCAACAAAGCGTGGGTGAACATGCTGGTTCGTGATGCCGGTAACTCTGTATCTAACGATCCTTCTTTCCCTTTTTCGCGCGCCTTTGATTGGTTCCACGGACATTCTTGGGCTAAGGGTCTTTTTGAATCGGCTGATGGGAAGGATCAAGAGTCAACATCGGAAGATGCCATGTTTGCATACGCCGTGAAGATGTGGGGAAAGACTATTGGCGACAAGAGTATGGAAGCTAGAGGAAATATGATGTTGGCCTTGTTGCGGAGGTCATTGAAGAACTACTTCCTCATGGAAGACGATAATTTGAACCATCCAAGCAACTTTATCGGAAACAAGGTTACTGGCATAGTGAGTAGCCCCTGTACCCTTGAAGTCGGCGATAGCTGATGAATTTATACAGCTGTTTGAGAACAAGGCTCATCATACTACTTACTTTGGTACCAATCTCGAGTTCATCCAAGGGTGAGTGCTACCGTCTCTGCATCATTCACTTTACTGACGATATTAAGCATTCATATGCTTCCTCTGCTACCTTCATCCGCATATACTCGCAACGAAACGTTTGTGAAACAAGAATGGGAAGCCATGTTCGCTCAAGCAGCCTGCACACCAGCGTCCTCTGTATCATCGGGCGGGTGGAAAGGAGTGCTATTCGCCAACCAGGCCATCATAGACCCAGCGAATGCATACGACTTTTTCAACCAGCCAAACTTCAACATGACCTGGATTGATGGCGGAGCTACGCGTACATGGTATCTTGCATATGCTGCAGGTATGTTCTGATTCTACCTTGCGCTTGCACGTGGTGGCAGATTTTGTCTAACCAACTTGCAGGTCTAAAAGGTGGAAACTAAGTGGGCTTTTGGACCTTTGGACTCTTAAATACTTGAGTCGAAATTCGTGGACATTTTTCAGATCTCTCCTTTTATTGGATTATCACTCCTTTGATTAATATATTTGCCTTTTGAATATAGAATTGTTTTTCCTGCCCATCATCGCAATAATCGGAGTGTTAGGGTTAGCTGACGGGGTCAGGGCTTGGTGGGTCACGTGTAAGTCTACACATTCAGTGGGAACTCGCTGTTATGGCAGTACGCACCATATGTATTAGAACGTCCAAATTGTATGTGTAGTCTCGTGCACTGTCGTCACAGTATGAAAGATCGTGTATGACGATGTAATTTATCACATCCTGCAGGCAGAGCTTGGCAGAGTTACAGCCAATGGGAGAGCTTGGATGAATCGTGGACATTGGGGCTGTGCAAAGCAGCCAGCGTCATCAAAGAAGCTTGGCTTATCTCCGCGCTGCCTCGTCCTCTTCATCGTGACTTTGATACACACTTTCTCCGTAGTTGAGACTAGCGACCTTATCCTTGGTCGTTTCACAGCACTTAATCGCCATTAGTCGGATTAAATTGCACAGAGCTTGGCCTGTGGCTGTACCCAGCTTCTCCGCACTCGTGTCTCGTCGTTCTGGGCTCGATTCGCTCTTCTAAACAGCTCGTACTGATCAATTGACGAATTGATACAGACGGAACCCAGCAGTTGATCCAAAGTGAAAAGCTTGGTGGGCTGTTCTCATTCGCCGAACCAGCAACAGGCGTACTAGGCAAGAATGAGTCGTCCAGGTAGAGGTACTTCTTTCCTTCCTTAAGAGCAGCAATATTGCTCACCCCTCTTCCCCAACAATCACGTCTTGATTTCGGCCTGCCCATACAACGTCCAACATTTGATCTCTGCTGTTATAACTGTCATTCCTTCGATCACGATAGTTCTCTTTGCTTCTTGTCACATTTGTTTGTCTTATTCTCCGCCGTTCCCTGCCAACACCGCCTCATCCATGTCCCGTCCAGTGTCACCAATCGACTCGATTTGATTCGCGCCCAACATCCCTGTATCGGCATCACTTGGGCATAGCTTGCTGACCTAAGTGACTTCCAATCCTTTATACAGCTCCATCAAACTCCTCTTCTCAGAAAAACATCTTTCGAGAGTTTCATCGAGTAGGCTCGCACCAGCGTACACGCACCATGACACGAAATGGATCAACGGATGTGCATGAGCGCTCGTTGCTGATCCACCCTCGCACCTATTCTGAAGGGTATCACCACTCTGAGGCACCTTACAGAGATGACCCTCGCTTCTGGGTTAGATGGCCTGCGCACTTTGCGCATTTGACCTGGGAAACTCTGACCAATAACTACGTCAACGTCCTGCTGGTCTTTGTCCCCCTGGGCATTGTCGCTGGTGTCCTGGAATGGAGTGCTGCGACTGTCTTTGTGCTAAACTTCCTTGCCATCATGCCATTGGCTTCATTGTTGAGCTTCGCTACTGAGGAGCTTGCTGCCACTATGGGACAGACGCTGGGTGGCTTGATGAATGCGACTTTTGGAAATGCAGTCGAATTGATTGTACGTAACCACTATCCTTCGAAGATTAACGAAAGGGAAAACTAACAAACGTTTGTAGGTCAGCATCATCGCATTAAAAGACAACCAGATTCGCGTTGTCCAAGCCAGTATGCTCGGAAGTATCCTGTCTAACATATTGCTCGTTCTCGGCTGCTGTTTCTTGATTGGTGGTCTTCGTTATCCCGAGCAGGGATTCAACTCTACCGTCGCTTCCACCATGTCCTCCTTGATGGCTGTTGCGTCGGCCTCTCTTATCATCCCCGCATCGCTTTTTGCAGCCATGTCCGATTCTTACCAGACCGCACCTGAGGATACAAGGAAAAGCATTCTTCTACTCTCCCGCGGCACTGCAATTATTCTCTTACTTCTCTATGTCATGTACTTAGTCTTCCAACTCAAGACCCACGCAAAGCTCTTCGAGGAATCATCTTCCAGCGACGCCGAAGGCCAGCAAGCTGAGGCTGAAGATGAACCCGAAGAGCATATTCTTAATCCTTTAGCAGCCGGTATTGCTTTGGTCATTGTTACGGTGCTGGTTGCTGTCTGTGCCGAGTATCTTGTCGGCAGTATTGAGGGTATTGTCGAAAAGACCGGCATGAGCAAGACATTCATAGGTTTGGTTCTTATTCCGATCGTGGGTAATGCTGCTGAGCATGTCACTGCTGTCGTCGTGGCGTTCAAGAACAAAATGGACCTCGCGATTGGTGTTGCTATTGGAAGCAGTCTACAGATTGCTCTCTTTGTCACTCCATTCCTCGTCATTCTTGGTTGGATTATGGGCATTGAAATGACTTTGCACTTTCATATCTTTGAAACAGTTTCCTTTTTCATTTCTGCTTTGGTGGTTATATTCCTCATTCAAGATGGAAAGTCGAACTACTTGGAGGGTGGATTGTGTTTGGGAATGTATGTCAACTTCCATACTTTCGAGAGGTTTCACATCGCTAACATGTTTATAGGTACGCCATTTTGGCGATCGCTTTCTATGTCTACCCAGACGACACTGCTCGGTAAGTCTGGAAGAGAAGCTTCAAGTCTGAATAGGATATATTCGTTGGCCGAAGAAAGGAAATCCATGTTCAGCGACACAGGACATATGTTCTCTCTCAAAAATGTGTCTAGCTAGTAGCAGTAGGTGAAGTTGCTGTTACCATTTGGTGAATCATGACACCGCTATGAAAACCTGTGTATATCTATCCTTATAAATTGGCTGGCTGTTTCGGCGTACTCTTGGATGATTATGGAATTTTAGCATCGTTATATTGAATAAATAAAAACTGCAAATGTATCACTGGCTCGTAGTTGACCTGTAAATGCGTACACACTAACAGCCGATCGGCGACAAAGATGGTCGGCTCGGAAAATCATTTTCCCTAACAAGAATCTTGGATTAGCCCGCAATTACTTGAGAAGGTCGATCAACGAACGACACGCAGAATCAAGCCACCAGGCAATCTGTAGACCAGCATACTGAAATCATCTTGAAAATTGAAAAATTTACTGGAGATTCGATTGGGTACAAAATGGCGCCACGCATCAATCTCTTCGCCGCGAGAAATGTTCTCCGCCAACAGTATCAATCGCTCACCATCACGTCTCGCCAGAGCACACAAACCCCTATCAATTGGAGCAATGGACGAACCTCATATATGAAGGAAACCTCTCGCCGGTTATACTCGTCCACGCCTGAGAAGGATATCCCTGAGCAGGTCGAGCAGCCAAAGGGCCCGACTCAGGATGCATTACCTCATGTCAGCGAGGAGGCTGTTGCCATTGATAAGATTATGCACGGAAAGAAGTGTGATGGAAGTGCGCCTGGATCACCGGAACTCGAGCAAGGCACACCAATTGAGGAGGTTAGTCTGATATCCCATGAAGTGAAAGCGAAGACAAAAGCATTTCTAAAGTGACGTTCTAGATTATGAAACGAGACGAAGACGCCCTCAAATACGCACCCAAGGTCATCCGCGATCAGGCAGCCAAGAAAGGAACTCGATCCTATTCCACATCCGCCAGACTCTTCCAAGAAGTCACACAACAACCCACAGGAGCCGAGGACCCATCGATAGCCACCGTCGCAAGCATGATCGATCTTGCCACAGAACGGGCTGCTGAGAACCTCCCAGGCCTCAAGTTCGGCATGCCTGCACCTCTGCCCAAGACGGAGAATTACAAGCGACGATATGACCCTGTTGTTGAGCAATTTACGAAATTGCTTATGGAGGATGGTAAACTTAGTCGTGCACAGAAGGTAGCTTTTACGTTTTGAGATTGTTGTTGGGCCATAGCTGACTCGAAGGTCTAGGATATGGAATTCGTCCTCGATACTCTGCGCACCTCGGCCCCTCCCAAGATCGACCCAAGACGACGCCTTCTTACATCTCTACCGAGCCCTCAGCTTCCACTTAACCCGGTGATATATCTCAACCTCCTCGTCGACTCTGTTTGCCCTCTGATCAAAATCCGTCAACAGAAAGGTTTAGCTGGTGGTGGTGCCTCAGTGCCCATGCCTGTTCCCCTGGCGATGCGCCAGAGACGCCGGACGGCTATCCGATGGATTTTGGAGGCTGCAGAGAAGAGAAAGGATGGCAAGTTGGCGGCTCGCGTTGCTAATGAGCTTCTTGCCGTTGCGGAGGGACGAAGCGGTGTATGGGAGAAGAGGGAGCATGTTCATAAGATTGGTATCTCGGGTAGATCGAACTTGCAGTTGAAAGCTCCTACAGGCGGGCGGTAACCATATCGTCTTGTTTGTTGCATGGGATTGGTTTTATACGGGTTGTCTTCCATATCGAAAATGTACATTATCCTCTTAATTTTGTCCACCATCACAAGCACATTATTTTGACGTCTCGTATGAATCGTATCGAGCTTTCTTAGGCATAGAGGTACTATTGGCTGATAGCTGATATTTTCTGATTGGCTCTGATAACCGCAGCAACCGCAACGCAAATTGACTCTGCCCCTATTGGCCTCTCCAACGCATTTCGTGAAGGTGTCAAGACACTCAAGCTGTGGAGCCTCGACCTCAATTCCAACCTACACAATTCACGGAAACGAAAGCCTCAATAGACATGAATTAGCGAAATCAGAACTAACGACGGCCCCAACGCTCCCACCATCAACAGTACGGGTCGAGTCCCACTTTCGATCAGTTTTCACCGCTCGAGCAATCAAACGCCGTGGCGTCTCAGAACATTGAGCTTGTCTCGCTCGAGGCCGGTCCTCCTTCTGCTACTCGAAATACTCAGACTACTCGACTTTCTACTGAGCGCGTCACACCACACACATCCTCGACAATTCACCGTCGCACAGCGACAGGGATAAATTTCGTATTCGTTCCACATGACGATAAAGCTAGCATACACAGCGGAAGTCAAGATCACGAGGGAACCGGGCTTTCACAATTACACTCCGAGGGTGTGAATCCGGCGCAGCCGCAGAATATCAGCTGCAAGTCAAATATCGGTCGACGACCTCATATACTTTGGGCAAAAGCTCTTGATACGCGACATCGCGGGCTCGACAAGTTCCATTTACGGATAGGATACGMCCCCGCCAATATGAAGTTCTCGCATAGTCTTCAGTTTAATTCGGTGCCAGAATGGAGTACTTATTATATTGCATATGATAACCTCAAGAAATTGTACGTTCAGAACTGCATCGTGCTGCCTTGGTTGCTAATGCTAGATACAGAATTTACAGTCTCGAAAAGCAGATACACCACTCCGACGGCCATGGCGCGGTTGACTCCGAGTCCTCTCCCCTCCTCGATACATCAGTTGACACGGACACCATCTTCCGACGAGCGCTAGACGCAGAGTTAGAGAAAATCTGCTCCTTCTACCAGATCAAAGAACTCACGATTTTTGGCGAGGTGGAGGATGTTCTCAAGGAGCTGGCAGAGTACAAAGATAGTACGGATGGATTGGCTATGGAGCCTGTGACGGAGGCTGTGGTTAAGTCTCGAACGTTGAGTATTGGATCACGGCCGCGGACGGGGAGTATCCTGCATTCGTTGGGGCTGGGTCCAAATCGGCGCGAGAGTACGATTAGTGATGACGATGACGAGGATGACCACGATAGCGATGACCTTGAGTCTCCCGTCGAAGAGAATCACAGACCCGGGTCTCGACATCCATCGCATGCGGGACGATTTCAGGATGCTGTCGGTGGTGACAGATCGGAGGGGTACACGAGCGAAATGGGCGATTCCCGATTGTGGCATTTCGGCAACTCGCGTCTTGATGACGGGCAGCATGATCCTCATGTGTTGGATCTTTATAATGCGGGCATTGCTTTGAAGAAACGCGTGATTAGTGTCTATGTCTCGTTGTGCGAGTTGAAGTCTTACATACAACTAAACAAAACGGGGTTTTCTAAGGCGTTGAAGAAGTACGACAAGATTCTGGATCGCAACTTGCGAAGGGATTATATCAATGGCACTGTTTCGCCGGCTTATCCTTTTACGGATGCAACGGCAGAGCACGTGGACGAGAACATCCGCCGTATGGAGCATGTCTACGCCGAGATCGTGACAAGAGGTGACCTAGCACTCGCAACAAGAGAACTTCGGCTCCATCTGCGAGAGCATGTCGTCTGGGAGAGGAATACAGTATGGCGAGAAATGATTGGCATCGAGCGAAAGGCACAAGCAGCCAACATGGGAATCCGTCGGACTCTCCTCGGCGGTGATCACGACCCGTCAACGGCACAGCGTCAAGGCGATGTTGAAAGTAAAGGAACAGAGATTCAGACACCTCTCGGTCGTTGGCGCTTTCCCGAATGGGTGTGCAGTCTATCGTTCTTTTCTTTGGTTGGTATTATTATCGTTTTTGTCATCTTGCTCTCGGTGCCGATTATGGAGAAACCCGAGCAGCAAAATTGTTTGGCTATGCTGGTGTTTGTCAGTCTGCTGTGGGCAACTGAGGTTATTCCTTTGTTCGTTACGTCACTGTTGATTCCTTTCCTGGTTGTTGTACTTCGTGTTTTGCGATCGGAAGAAAAACCACATGCACGTTTGGCACCAGATACAGCATTCAAAGTCGTCTTTGCGTCCATGTGGACATCAGTTATTATGTTGTTGCTTGGAGGATTTACCATTGCGGCGGCGTTGTCCAAGTATGACATCGCTCGTCGCATGGCTACGTTTGTATTGAGCAAAGCGGGAACGAGTCCTCGTATTGTTCTGATTACGAATATGTTCGTGAGTATGTTTTTGAGTATGTGGATCAGCAACGTTGCTGCGCCGGTGCTCTGCTACTCGATCATTCAGGTTAGTCACTCTCTTTTCGGTCTGGAGTTAATGCTAACTGTTCAGCCCTTACTACGCAACTTGCCTTCGGAGTCCAACTTTTCTAAAGCGCTCATTCTAGGAATTGCATTGGCAGCAAACGTCGGAGGTGCAGCGTCCCCAATTGCCTCGCCGCAGAACATCATTGCTTTGGAGAACATGTACCCAGCAATCAGCTGGGGAACATGGTTCTTCATCTCAATCCCCGTTTGCATTCTGTGCATTCTCGCAATCTGGATTATTCTACTCGTCAGCTTCAAACCCGGTCGCGGCACAACCATCGTCCCCATTCGCCCCGTCAAAGACCGCTTCACCGGCACGCAGTGGTTCGTCACTCTCACGACCCTCATCACGATTGTCCTCTGGTGTTTCAACCACCAACTCGACAAAGTGTTTGGTGACATGGGCGTTATAGCCATTATACCCATGGTTCTTTTCTTCGGCAGCGGTATTCTGACGAAAGAAGACTTCAACAATTTCCTCTGGACCATCATCATCCTTGCTGCGGGCGGATTGGTGCTTGGTAAGGCCGTCACGTCGTCGGGATTACTGCATACCATTGCAGGCGCAATCACAGAAAAAGTCGAGCATTTCAGCCTCTACGGCGTTCTACTCGTATTCTCCGCATTGATTTTGGTCATGGCGACGTTCATCTCGCACACGGTTGCGGCACTGATTGTGCTCCCTCTCGTGCAACAAGTGGGCGTCGGAATGGAGAACCCGCATCCTAATCTGTTGGTTATGACGAGTGCATTGATGTGTTCTGTTGCAATGGGATTGCCTACCAGTGGATTCCCGAATATGAGTGCGTCTCTACCTTTCTACTTCTGAATTTCAAGCTAATGTGTTCATAGCGGCCATTATGATGGAAATCCCTGGCACGGGACAACGATACCTTCGCGTCAGCCACTTCCTTACACGGGGTATACCGGGCAGTCTCGTCTCATTTGTGATTGTGGTTACGATTGGGTATGTTTTGATGAGTATAGCTGGTTTGTAATTATAATTACCGGTACATACCCATTCTACCTGCATGTACACTTTCATTATCTCGAGTAGCATCGGTTGGAGTACATGGTTTGATTTACGGTACTAGAAGAGAAGAGAAGAGAATTGAACATAGATCTTTCATTCCAACATGTCTTGACATCATGACTGGATATTACGCTACCTAGCAATGATACATCGAATCATAAGATAAATAAGAGACAAACGAAAATATAAGACATCGGGCCCTATATCCAAGAAAAAACGGGGAAATCGCTAACCATTCTCAAAATGATGAAATAAGGAAAAAATTCTTTCAAGTCGTGGAATAGATAATCGAGAGTCGAATAGAAGGTCGTAACCGTATCATGACGTTGTGAGATAAAAAGTTCAGAGGTTAATTTCTGAGAAAAAAAGTTGAGAGAGTCGTCAGCTTAATTCCTAGGAACTATGAGTTAGGTATGTTACTAATGATGGCAAAACTGATGTGATTGAACCCATCATCGCATTATTGTGGGCAATCAAACGAACGGCAAAAGTGGGAAATGATAAAGGGGAAGGACAGAGGGTGGACTTACAATAATCCCAGCGTAAGATCACCGTGAATCTTCGCCTTGAGCTGAATCTCAATATCTAGATTCAGATCGAGCCGCAATCTGAGCTGCTCGTCCTTGCCGCCGTCGTCGTCCTTTTTACCTCCGCCCAGAACACCACCGAGGGCCTTGCCGGCGGAATCGGTGACGCCGCCGACAGCTTTACCGGCGGTGTTTTGTACCATGTCTGTGGCTCCGCTGACGGTGTTACCGACGTCGCCTACACCACCCAAGGGACCAAGAGCGCCGTCTTGCTGTTGGCGCTGGCGTCTGCTACCGCCGCTGCGGGCTCGACGGCCACCTTTTTGTTGTTGGCGCTGCTCCATGTCGCTGCGTTCGATTTCTTCAGTGTCTTCGGGGTCTTGGTAGCGCTGAATCCGTCTGTTGGGACGGCTGCGTCGTTGGCGACGGGGTGGTTCTGGCTCTGGCTCTGGTTCGGGCTCTTCTTCCTCTTCGTTGTCTTCTTCAGGCTCTTCTTTAATGGCCTGAGATTCTTCTTCTTCGTCGTCTTCTTGTTTTGTTTCGGGTTGTTCTTCTTCTTGCTCTTCCTTGTCTTCTTGCTTAGGTTCTTCTTTGGGTTGTTCAGGCTCGACAGGCTTCTTGTTCAGCTTGCGAGGCTTCTTCGGCTGTTGGGGGGCAGAAGAGCTAGCGGAGGAACTGTTCTCCTGAGCGAGGTCGGGGTTGTTGTTGGCTTGTTCAGAGGACATGATGAGAGAAAGAGAAAATCGATTGTAGGAAAGTGGATGATAAGAGAGAAAACTTATATGATGTCTTGGAGACAGGTGACAAGATATAGATGGGCCGATCTCTTAAAAGGCTGCGGCGCGACGTCAGAGATGGCAGGCCCACGGCGTCATCGTCTCCACCGGGCAGGCCGTGACAGTCGAATATGACGTGTGAGTACTACATAGTACATGCAATGTTAAGCCGGCCCAGGGTTGTCGACCACGCTAACATGGCGGGATACTACTACTGAGTGTGTAGTACTCTGTAGCACATACTTACATAGTACAAAAGTACGGGGGACGCTAAGAGTGGAGCGCCATGCATCACCATGTGGGATGCCTTGCACCCTGATTGGCTGCCAACTGACGTCACCGGCAGGGGGTCCGCTTTCCATCTTTCCTTCTTTCCATCTTTCGTGGCTTCCTTCTCTAGACTGCAGCACTGTCCGGTTCGCTCTTTCCATTCTGTCGTTCTGCCCGGTTCGCACCTTACTAAGCCTAAAGTACAGCGTGCTACTAGCTCTTAGACTTCTAGGCCTAGAGAGATTTTTCGTTGATGGCATTCTCCATTCATTTTACTACGTACGTACGTAGAAAAAGTAGAACAACGTGGAAATTGCAATGACTGACTGACTGACTGACTGACTGACACGCCGTTGGATTGATAGATTCGACGGCGTTCGATCAGCGATCCGTGCCCAACCACCACTCGGATTCGTCTCGGAGATTTATTCTTCGTGCTATCACTAGCCCACATAGTGTGAGTCTACCAGCACGGACTCTGATCCACCGTCTGTCTGAGAGTGTGGCTTGCCTGTCATGTCTCTTCCGTCATAGCACGCCGTTGACGATGGTTAATTTTAATTTTAAGTCTGGACGTCAACTGTCAGACGGTGGATGTGGCGTGGCTTACCGTCCCTTAGTCCATAGTCCATAGTCCATACATAGTAGAGAGAATACTATAGCAGATACGTCATGCATGATAGGCACAGACGATGACACCATCTCCTTCTCTGGCTCTGGCCAGCGGTGCCCGTCCAACTCTCTCATGACGTCTAACCCATTCCGTCCCTTTATGTAGATAATCATTATCCGGATATCAATTTGGCGAGAATCACCCCCTACACCCCAATATCTTCACCTCTCACCGTCACCTCTCATACTGTCTACCTCTTACCGTCACCTACCACCGCTCTATTCAAGCGAAAAAGAAAGCACAAAACAAACAAAATGTCTGCCCCTGTCGCAGAAAAGCAAAAAAAGGAGGATCCTCCCCAAGCAGAAGAAGAAGACGACTACTACTCCGAAGGCGGCAGTGACTACGACTCCTACTCAGACGAAGACCCCGATGAGCCCATAACCGAGTCCGACGCTGAGAATGAAGGAGGACAACTACAGCGCCGAAGAAAGGCTCGTGGCCGTCAATACTATGATGATGACGACGATGAGGACGACGACGAGGACGATTACAGCGATGAATACGATGATGACGATGACTACGACGACGACGATGCCGTAGCTCCATACGGAGGAAATGCGGTGCAACAACAAGGCGGTGGAAAGATGGAGCTTGCGTCGGATGCTAAGAAGGGCATTGACGATGAGGAAGGGTTGAAGCTGAAGTTGGAGGTTAATCTGGAAGTGGAGATTGAGTTGAAGGCCGCTATACACGGTGATCTTACTCTGTCTTTACTGTAAGTTACCTCTTTATGAAGATCTGTATGAGAGTTTGACTAATTCAATGCAGCGCCTAATCATCTATGCCACACCTGTCGACATCTTCCATCACTTCAACGACCAAGCAAAACTCATCTCCCATCCGATTTTCAACATACTAGACACGACCGCTTTTCGACCAAATGTACAGATCTTCACGGCATTCAGCTCTGGGCTTTTGCACCTTCTGTGTTTCAATTATTTACTTTCATGTCTTTTCCTGTGTAACGATTTTCATTTTCATGATAGCGATTGATAGTTATTTCATGCCATGAATGCAGTTTAATTCGACCTAAAAACTTCTTTTTCATTCAATGAAATTTTAGTAATGGGGCAGAATTAGCCCTAAGGAGTAAGTAGGTGGCATACGCCTAAACCTATTGTAGGATGATACTAATGACTTCAATTTATGTCTGAACCGATTCAAGAGTAGATACGCTATTCTACTAGCCACTTCAAACAGGAAGCACTCTGAGGACTACACGTATGATCATGGACGAGTTTCGATATAGCAGGATGGCTGCCTCAGGCAGACATGTCACTACTACTACGAACAGCTACTCATTGAAGGTCCAGGCTTCAATCTGATTGTCAGCAACCAGCAATTCAAGAACAAACAATACGTAAATTGCCCTTAGTTCGAGTTGCATGTCCGGCATCGATTTCATTGTATTCTGCCTTCAGGTGCTCCACTGTTCACGATTCCGATGCCCACTGTTCACGGGGTAGAAATCGGCCGAGGTTAGACATCTCCGCTTGTATGTACAACTGCCAACTTCCAATCCATCGATCTTTAAAACGCCCAGCCCCTCTTTCTCTTCCATTTCTTTTTCAAACCTCTCTTTCTACTTGTCCCAAACAAATATTTTACGAATTCTCGATTGACATTTCAGTCACCACCAGAGCAATGAGCAGCACAATCAGCTCGAGCGAGGCCGCTCTCCCTCAACGCCAGGAAAAGCTCCAAAAACAACGCATTGTATCCCATATGAACAGCGATCACCGTGACAGTCTTTCCATGTTTCTCGAAGTGTACAGCAAAGTCCCCTACACCGAAGCGCAAACCGCCCAGATCGAAGAGATCCGTTTGTCTGGCATGACCATCTCTACCGCCGATTATCCTAATCGCCCAAAATCGTCGCGCACGAATTTCTTCGTCCCCTTCGAACCGGCTCTGAGAGGATACGAGGATGTCAGAAGCAAAGTGGTTGAGATGCACAAGTACTGTCTAAAGACGCTGGGTCGATCCGACATCACAATCCAGGAGTACCGCCGACCCCGGGGCTTTAGTGCTGTCATGTTCACCGTCTGCCTGGCCACGTTCATCGCATTCTCGCGGCGATCGAATTTTGTGCCTGGTTCCGAGCTATACTCGCGCTTACTCCATTATGTCCCCGGCTTCGCGGCGTTTTGTTACAAGATTCAGCCATTGGTTATTGGTGGTATGGTCGTGATTCACGGGATCGAAGCCCTGCATCTGTCGATTTACAGATTGCGTCCTCATAGTGTAGCGATTGGGTCGAAGGTGTGGTTGTTGTGGGTTCTGAATGATTTTATTGAAGGATTTACTGCATTGCAACGGTTTGATGCACTGGTGGAGGAGAAGAGGGCTTTGAAGGCCCAGCACAAGCCGAATTTGAGGGGATAGTTGTGGTCATTGTTGCGACTATATAGTGTACCTAATGAATACATTCGAATACTCTTCCAATCTTCAAACAAGAAATGGTGTGCCCAAGCTCTCATAAGTTACTACTTATCCACTTAGAAACTTAATTAGCCATTAATGCCTCAGGCATAAAATATTGGCGATGGCCTTCCACGTGACCTCTTGGCGACTGTCGCACTAACCACATCCAGCTAGATCAGTAGGGCACACTAAGCGAGCAAGTTCTCGGTAGGCACACTGCGACCACGAAATTCAAGACCCGTCCTCAATCGACTATCTCGACCACGACAACTTAACGACACCCAGCGCTGTTCCGGTGAACGACCACAACTATTCGAGGTTAGTGATTGACTGCGATTATTTATTTTCAGAAACCAGGAATTTTACGGCTTGCAATTCTCTCGTTTTCGGTTCTACAAGGAGTGTGGATTTTTATCGGTCGTCGTGCGTTGTTCCTCAGGCTGGCAGGGTATACGAGGAAGAGGAGGAATGAAGTGGACGGCAAAAAATATAGAAAAAAAAATCTGCCTGAATTGACGTTCACGGTCGACACGATATTTTCATGCTCTTTGGATCCGATTTCGATTGCAACTCCTAAGATTTCTGCTACGATTTCTGTTTGTTCTTCAGGCCTGAACATAACTAACTCTCTCAGTGGTCCTGTTTATCAAACGCCAATATGGGTATTTCTCGTGATTCCCGCCACAAGCGCTCGGCCACCGGTGCGAAGAGGGCCACCTACCGCAAGAAGAGGTACGATTCAAGTCTCGACTGAGGATTCACGAATCATAACTTACACAAAACAGAGCTTTCGAGAAGGGTCGTCAGCCAGCCAACACTCGTATCGGCCCCAAGCGAGTTCACCTTGTCCGCACCCGCGGTGGAAACACCAAGTACCGTGGTCTCCGTCTCGACTCCGGCAACTTCTCCTGGGGATCCGAGGGTATCTCCCGCAAGGTCCGCGTGATCGTGGTCGCCTTCCACCCTTCCAACAACGAACTTGTCCGTACCAACACCCTCACCCGTTCTGCCGTTGTCCAGGTCGACGCCGCCCCCTTCAGACAATGGTACGAGGCACACTACGGCCAGTCCCTTGGCCGAAGACGCCAGCAAAAGTCCGAGGTCCCTGAAGAGAAGAAGAGCAAGAGCGTCGAGAGCAAGCAGGCTGCCCGATTCGCCGCCTCTGGCAAGGTTGAGAATGCTTTGGAGCGCCAGTTCGAGGCCGGTCGTTTGTACGCCGTTGTCTCGTCCCGCCCCGGCCAGAGCGGTCGTGTCGATGGTTACATCTTGGAGGGTGAGGAGTTGGCATTCTACCAGCGTGCGATCAGGAAGTAAACGAGGAGGATAGCCTCAAAATAAATTTCGTCATGTTTTAACTTCCACAATAATCTCAAAATTACTTGTTCAAAAGAGTGACGGGTATGGGTGGTATTGGAGTTTTGCGACGCAGCAATTCCTTTCCAAAAAATCATGTTTATGATCTGGCATCTGCGGATCAATGTCTGTAGACTTGTCAATGGAACGATTTCTTTGCCTTAACTTTTCACCTACTAACCCTAGAGTAAAAGTCTGATCCAATTACGGCAGCGTCTGTCACGCCAGTGGGGCGACTCCATATGGGGTAGGTACGTATAATATTCAACATTGAAAGAAGCTCTGCTGCCTACGACATGTCGCTACCCTCATCGTCAAACTATTCCATACGTCTACAGTCACTTAATCTTCATTGATCATATGAGAGGAACCTCGAACTGTACTGTCGTGAGACAAAGTGCATATAGAAACAGCAACGACAACATCATCATCCACCAACATACATCTTTAATCTACCGAAACACTACAAATAAAAAAAATGACAACAAAAACACGCGTCTGCATCCTCTCAGACACCCATACCGAAACCCCTCACCCGGCACCCTTAATCCACAAACCCTACAGACACCCACTCCCCAAAGCAGACATCTTCCTCCACGCCGGTGACCTCACCAAAGTCGGCCGTGAAGCAGAACACCAAACCATCATAGCCATGCTGAAACAAGACGTAGACGCAGAACTCAAAATCGTTATTGCGGGAAACCATGATCTCACGCATGACAGGAACTATTATGCGGAAAGGGGTGGAAGGTGGCATGGTTCTGCGCGACGAGAGGATTCAGAGGTGATTAGAGCTCTGTATACGAATCAGTCTGCTAGGGAGGCGGGGATTGTGTATATGGAGGAAGAAGTCCGCACATTTACACTCAAAAATGGTGCCAAAGTAACTGTTTATGCCTCGCCGTATACGCCTGAATTCTGTGGATGGGCTTTTGGGTATGAGAGGGACGAAGATCGATTTAATCCTAATACTGCCCCGATTGCGTCAAGTGTCAATCAGTGGGTTCCTGATTTTCCGGGCGTGGATATCATGGTTACGCATGGTCCGCCAGCTGGTATATTGGACAAGATCAATTGGGGGCAGAGCGTTGGCTGTGAAAACCTCCTAAAAGCGTGTCGACGCGCAAAGCCGAGGTTGCATGTCTTTGGGCATATTCATGAGGCGTATGGTGCTGTACGTCGTGATTGGAGTATTGACAAAAATTCCGAGATTGAGAAGGAAGATCGTGAGGTAGTAATGAACAATAGACGTCGATATATCGATGTGTCGAGTGGTGCGGAGGAGCCGCTCAGATATGGCGAGGAGACGCTCTTTGTGAATGCGAGTATTGTTACGTTAAGTTACAGTGCTGATAATGCGCCGTGGGTGGTTGATTTGGATTTGCCTGTTGCTTGAGCATGTAGGCTGAATACATGTATTACTACTTCGGACTAATGATTGATAAATGATTAAATGATCATATACTTAAGCCAAATGGCTGATCCTCAAGTGTTTATACACAGTAGAAACCAATTACTAGTAATATATCAGAATGAAATGAAGAGAATACATCAGAGAAAAGACGCCGTGTCTCAGCTTCCCGTGAGACTGGTATCAAATAGTAAGTAAGCATGTAAGACATCAAAAGAAAGTAATGACTCAAAACGGGAATAGAAGAGAATAGAAGGGAATGTGATTATGACTTCAAAGGATGCAAGTGGAAACAGAATTATCACTCCTCACGCAAAGACTCGGCCAGGACGCCACCTTCGCGAACGTTCATGCGGCTTGTTTTCTTGTTGATGCCTTTCAATAAGCTGAATCGCTTCTTCACCGAATCGCGAACACCTCCAGTCGAAACAGCCGAAACATTGTTGTTTTGAGTATTGCCATTGCTCTGGCTAGTTGAACCACCGGCTGATATTGTCACTGTAGACGTGAGGCTCTTGTCGGGATACCCGAACCTTTCAGATGTATTAGGACGATTGTCGGATTGAGATGTTCGAGGCAGTGCTGTTTGAGCCGTGTCCCATCCACCGCTGGCCATGACAGGCGTGCTCTTTTTCGACTCAAGTCTGCTTTGTCGCGTGCGAGGTTGATTTGATTCATCATGTGACTTGGTCGATTTGTTCGTCGCACTACGAGCTCTGGAGCGATTTCTGCTTTGTTCGTCTACCTGTTGCTCACCAGCATACCCCGTCACGGAAGGTGTCGCCTTGTGTTTCGGCTTCACATCACCACCAAACCAGCTTCGTCGCTTCTCGCTTTTCGCCGTAGCGCGAGAGTGCACAGTAACTGCATCATCGTCGCGGTCCTGGAGGTTGATGGACTGCCGACTGGACTGTGCATCTGCCAATTGTCTCAGATCCGGGGATTGGTGAGTATCCTTCGCCGTTGCTACGGAAGATGATGCGTGGTGGGTGGCTCTCTTGAAGGGATTCGCGATACTAATACGATGGCTCAAAGATGGCTTTGCAGAATGTTTTCGTTGACTGTTGGACCGGGATGTGCGTATAAGTTCCTGCTCCGGACTGAATGATCGGCCTGCAAGGTCTGCACCATGTCCATTGGCATGCGGAGKGGATCTGTTACTTGAATGGTTGGCGCTCTGAGGGGGCGAGAGTGTTTGTGCGTGTGCGGCTAGAGACGCAATCTCTGGTCCGAATGCATCCTCGAATCTAGCAAGTAGTTCAATCTGAGTAGCTTGATGAGATGGCCGGGAGAAAAGGGACAGACACCGCTTGATCGAAAGCGCGTGATCAATCAATGCAACCGCAAGCGCGTTCTCTAGCGGGTCGATTGGTTTCTGCTCAATCTCATCTTCCTCCTCCCCTTCTTCCTGCTCATTGTCGTCCTCCTTTTCACTGGCTAAGAAAGGACGATAGATCGCAACACAGCTTGAATGCGGAGCTCCCAGGTCAAGAAGTTGCACCAAAGCTTCCGTCAATCCTGATAATGTCGAGTCATCCCCCGAAATGGCATGCTGTTCCAGTAGATGTAGTTCCTGCGTTTTTCGCCATGTCCGTTCAATAGCCGTCTGCAGAGGAGTCAATTCAACTACTTCAGTAGCCACAATCTCACTTCGGCGAAGGATATTAGGGAACGGTTCCGCTGTTGTAAAGATAGTCTTTTCAACCCACTGCTCCTTTACATTAAGACCACTAGTGTGGCGCTTGGATGTGTAGGAGAATTGAAGGGGCACCGAGATAAGTAAATGCTCACGCACCGAGTGAGGCACTTTGGAACGTTGATATACAGGATGCATAATCTCTCTATGAGGACTGACAGCGCTGATCTGTAAGAATTGGCCTTCGATATCTTCAATTTCATGAGACGACGTGATCTGCGCTGCAGGATGTAGTTTCTGCATGCGATCAGTGAAAGATGCCATGCGCTCGTTTGGCAATGCCTCGAAGATGAAATGCTTATCCCGTAAAGTAGCTTGGAAACCAAGGCCTCTATAAGAGACACGGAAGTACCGAGGGAAAGCTTTTTCTTCTTTGGAAATCGACTCGTATATCTTGGCCATAGAACCCTGTGCGCGAGATAATTTGGTGAAGTCCATCACAATATGCTCATACTGTTCAATGAGTTCTTTGTAACAGGCAAGTGCATGTGTCCAAGCCTTTCCATCCTCGAAGTGCTGGATAATCTTGAAGTATAGAGCCTCCTTTCTGTCGAATGCAGACTGTTCTGGATATGCCGGGTTCGTCAACGCAGGAACCATTCTCGTCGGCTCCCATGTATAGAGATCGGCATGGAATTGTAAGGCAAGACCGGCTTGTGTATAGTTGTGCTCTGTAGCTTGGGTCTGAGCCAACTCATGAACATAGCGTATGAAAATATCCTCTCGATCCATATCTTTCATAAACTCCATAAGACGCAAAGTATGAAGACTTTCGGTGATGCCCCCACTGTTGCACGCTACTAAAAGTTCAAGAAGTTCATCGATTGTGCCTATCAGACCCTTGACATCTGTGGCCAGAGCTTCGTCAGAGTCTTCAATCTTTTCGAATAAATCCAGCAGCTCGGTGATGAAAAGCTTCTGTGTGATGCTCTCGTTCATATGTTTGGTCTGGAACAGTACATCAAGGCTTGTGACAATTTCCATCTCGATGATAGATAAATCTTGATTGAGATCCCATTCGCTGATAATCATTGTCTGCAAAACTTCAACGGCAACCCGTCGAAGGCCTTCATGAACACTGAGGCATAATTCGATAATCCCAGGAACAAGGCTCGGCACGTATTGCACTTGGTAGCCACCTAGTCTGTCCAGTGCGTATTTGGCTCTCTCGTCTTCACTAGTTTCCCATCCAATCGCTTCCCAGGTTTGTCGTAAAAGTGCTGCGCCCTGTTCGCGAACATCACCACCAATCTTCCAGACTGCTCTACGTTTTTGTTCCGGGAATGTCTCGAGAGCAAGTGCTTCGCTGGATACAACTTTCAACAAAGTCGTGAAAAAAAGCTCCCACAACTTCATATCAAATGTATCTGCCTCATCTGGAGGAGGCAGGAAGGAGTGGATCAACATAGACGACAAGTTTTCGAAATTTTTGACAGCAGCACGGTGATTGTATATATGCAAACTTAACCAGTCTTCAGGATAAGCTTCGCAACTTATTATAGACCTATGTGCTTCTAGCGAGTTGAATATGAACAACGCCATGTCATCCAGTTTGAGAATAGGTAATTTTGGATCCTGGATGTTCGAGATGGCAGCCATCAGACCGGCTAGTTCAACGAGAGCTTCATCAAACTTTTGTTTTCGATCAGAGGCTTTGACTTGGAACGGGAATGACTTAGAGTAGAGCATGGAGAGATAGTCGGTATCGTCGACACCCTCAAGCACAACAGCACAATAAGATGAAGTGATTTTGTGCATGAACATGTACAATTGCGGTTGGGGTTGTTTGGAAAATTCTGCCACAATTGAAGCACAAAGACGCACTTGGTCACGGTACTGATCCGAGACTTCACCAGTGTTGCCCCAGTACGGGTCGAGCCAACTAGAGCAGCAGGAAATCAGAGTATCTCTATCTTCACCGGAAGCGAAAACATCGAGCTTCGTGTAATTTTGAATCAAAATGAGCTTATACAATATGAGCATGCCTTTGACGTCCTTGCAGGAATCCATGAAGCTCAACGCAATCATAATTATCTCATCTTTAGGCAGGACATTTGTAAGCTCGGGAAGCCACGAGTGAAAGTGTTGCACCACGAGAGTTTTCGTTCCAACCAAGACCGGAGATGGATTCCGCATTAATGTCTCGAGAGACTTGAATATCGAGTGCAGGTCACGGTTGAATGTTGGTTGCACATTCGTGACACCGATTCCCTCTTCCTTCAGCTTTTGCTGTTCACGAGCATTGATGATAAACTTTAGCAAGTGCCGTCCAACTTTGAACGCCGCACGAAGGTTTCGCGACTGTTGCGGGGTATCATGGGACTGTAAAAGTCGTAAATAACTTCGAATCAAGCACGGAGTTGCAAAGGGAAAGTTGAACTGATTTTCTGTGTAATGATCCACGAGGGGACCAAGGTTATACCGTCGATCGTGCGTGATGCCCAAGACTGTCACTAAGGCGTTGAAGATCAAATCTTCGTATTCCTCACTTCCTGCGTTTTCCACAAGAATTCCAAAGAGGGCGTCAAAAACATCACGCAACTGCTTGACAATCTCAATTTGTGGAACGAAGAGAACTCGTCGGAGTAGCTCCAAGACTTCATTTCCAGTTTGCTTTTTCCAACTGATGAGCCCCAATATGATCTGATCTTGAGAGTACTCGGTGCTGCAGAGGTTTGTCTCAACGTGAACAGTGGAAAGCGGGCCTGTCACAGATTCATCTGGCACAGAAGAATTCTTGTGCAGTGAGCTCCAGGGTAGGCTGAGATATGCGCCCCTTCCTTCTTCATCTACGCTTGATGTTACCTTGTCGTAAGCATGAAGAAGCAATGAATGAGGCCCGTCATGTATAAACGCCTGTTGGTTCCATAAAGGTAGCCAGCAAAGTGCGAATGGGAATTCCGGGGCATCGGCTATGCTCATGATAACATGAGCTCCCGGGACTTGCTCAGTTGGTATGTTTAGGCGAATAGTCTGATTCCACGAAGCATTTCTGTCCGTGACGGTAGTTCGCCAAGCAGTGTGACCTGTGCTGTTGGATGAAGCAAAGATGCACCGCTCCAGACGGGCACCGCTGCCATTACGAACTTCGAGAGTCAATTGTAAGTTGCGGAAGCCAGTATTGACGGGTACAGGCACCTGCCCTGATTGAGGGTGGCAGAGTAGAGCTGGCCAAGGGAATTTCGCACGAGATATGTTCAAATAGATGTCTGATCTCGGCTGTGACGGGGCAGCTGCAAAACCCATTCTCCGTGTCTGAGTCACATTATGCATCAACGTGGGATTGCTTCGCACAAGAGCATCGGCATCGGAGTCTATGAACGGATAGAAGTGAAGATGAAGCTGGGAAGCTTGATAGCACTTGAAGTATCGACCAGACGAACTCGGTAAAACGTTTCGGATAAGCTCGTCGAAGCCCTCGAGATCATTGCCACCTTCCTCGACATCTTCACCTAGAGGCGACCAGATATTGATGACATGTTCTGCCTCGCTGTTTTGTCTGACAATATGTGCAACATCTAGTATACCGGCTCCTACTGTGCGTATGACGGTCGCATCTTTGAGCGTGGTATTCTCCCCTTGGCCCTGGGAATTAGTGGAATCCGAGCTTCTCGGAGGAGTTTCCTTGATGGTTTCTGGCTGTCCGGGACGTGGAGACTTGGCAGTCCAGACCATGCTGCGACGACCTTTGACACTGCCCTTGACACTATGCATAGTAGAAGGACTGCGATTCAAGCCACCGTCCCGAGAACTCGATGTTCGCGTGGCGTATGGAAGTGAGGGCCGAGGTAATTCGGCTGATTGAATGATAACAACAAGATATAGATGAGCCTCGTTCCCAGCACCGTCGCCTACGTCTGCAGCGCATAGCTCCGTGAACAAAGTTTTCAATTTGCTGGTGTGAGCTAGTGCCATAAAACTGTCGGCTGATTGGATCTCTAACACGTAGGTCTCCGATAATGGCTTCAACGCACCACTGTCCGTTTTTGTTGATAGATACAAAGACAAAGTGACTGGCCCGGCGTGAGAACCAGCTATTGTCTTGATTTCGAGCAGGAGATGACGGAGCGTTGATGCGTCTACCTGCTGCCTTGGGTCCGAGTCAAACATACTCATTTCCGACTGAAGCTTGGTCAACTCGATTGCCGAATCGTCGCCTGTAAGTAACCGGCCGTTTTGTTTCGGGTCGCGCACAATAACCTCACCCGTAAGCATTTTGTTTCCGCGCACTAGGTTCCAGACAGTGGTCTGTCGCACGGCACTTTTCTCTTTAGAGGTGAGCACATCATGGAGCAATTGCCGCCTAGCCAGATCTAAGTCTAAAACGACGTTATACATCGTTTCAACCGAGCCATATTGTCGGGTTAATAGGAGCTCGTGGAGGTTTGTTGAGTGCCATTCCCGTAGAGACGAGGCAATCTCATCAACCAAGGGTTCCTCATAAGATGTGGGCGTCTCATCTCCAATCTTCAACATCGGCACCGGGGCAGCAGGCTTAGAGCCGTTGGGGTTTCGCGCAACGAATGAGGAAGGCGTCAGTGGCACGGAGCCAGATCGATAGGTTGCAGCGGAACCTGACCGCGGGTTGTGTCCGACATCTTCAAGTGAGTCTGCAGTATCCTGTCGATGTTTTACAACCTCTTCTTGGTGACCATTAATCCCATTCGCCAATAAGGTATCTCCATTGTCCAGCGCCTTGCGACCTTCCGCATCTCCCAAATATTCCCTAATCTCCACACAATTTCTCGGAAAAATGCCTGAAAACACGCGGGCTTCCAGAGTTTGACCTTTCACGCTCGTCAATCCAGCCAAAAGCGACGGAGGCGCCACAAGGTATCCCCGAAACCACGAGCCATTGGCGCCCCCTTGTTCAATTATGTACAATTCATCGCCGAGTTCGAGCGGGAGATCGGCCGGTGAAGAAGGTTGGAAGGGGTATATGGCAACTGCGAAAGCAATGCGAGGCAGAGGCCGCCAGGGCATGTCTACTCCTTGACGAATTGCTCGGTCGTTCTGGACCCGTTCTGATCGGACTAGCGAGTCGCGACGGCGGAGCTTCTAGAATTGCAGGTTTGGAAAGGAATTCGAGCACGGCGCGACATGCAGGAATGACGGTCGATTGGTGGATAGCGATCTAGGGAATGTCGCGTGGAACTGCTCCCCAGAATGTTGTCTGTACGTAGTGCTCGTGGGTGGGATGCAGCTGAACTTGGTCTTGGCAGCTAAATCACGACTATCCCTGTCATGGTCAGTAGCTCGACATATAAACCTAAACAAGAAGCACGTGTCGAGTCATGTTATTGATGCTGAAGATAAGAGTCGTGCAATTGTACGTATGCTGTTGTCCAACTAGTCGCCTACCCCAGACGTGACTGTTGGCTGCGGACTCCGGAGTACATACTGTACTTTATTGCAGCACGGACAATGCAGCCAGCCCCTTTCGACCGATTCCACAAACACGGGTATCCTAGCGGCGGGKTTTGAAAGGGGGAGAAGAAAAAAGAGAAATAAACTCACACTTACAGACAAAACAATTGCTTCACGTCCAGCGTCTGACTGGCGAGGGGCCTAAGACTGGCAGACTAATAAGCAAAGGCATTGATGAGGAGCACAGAGGGAGAGGAGAGGACAAGTTCGACCTTAGTGAGCTTAAATTAATTGAATTATAGATTACTGTATTGGTCGCGTATTGGGATTAGTGATTCAGGAACTGGTGCGATCCTTGGGCGACCCAGGGAAAGTGCGGGCTATCTCCAGCGCACAGGCCGTCCCAAGGCCCATATCCGGTTCCTACTGTCGATTAATTACATATCGGTAATGGCCCAATACGCGTGTATTTTTCATTCTCAACAAATACTATACAAGCACTATGAAGCACCGAGTGCTGTCCGAGGTCTGTCAATGTTCATTCAGACCGTTTAAATGATATCGAATAATGCAATGCAAATAAGGCTTTCGCTGAGTAGAACAATGTATATACATTACAGGCGCTTTGTCTGAAGCTAGAAATTGCTCTTACAGACACCAAATGTACCAAGAAATGAAATAAGGCATAGAAACCAATATCAACAACACAGAGCTTCCTAATTCTTCGACATAGGAGCAAGGCAAAAGACTAAACCCCCAAAATGCATCCGTAAAGCCATCGCTCCTGATCAGGTCATGGATCAATCATACATCATCGCTAAGTATAATCTCAACGACGGAACAGTGAGCCTGCTTCATCCCTATTCCAGTCAAGTTCCACCTGGCCTTCGTAAACGCTGTCCGTAATATTCTTAAGCCGATCATAAGCGTCTTCGTACCGGGTTGCGCACTCTTTGAATACTTTCATTACAAGGCTGCGACTGAGCCCTGGATCGTCTGCGTCGCCGAAATGTTTTTCAACACGTTTCTTGAGGAGGTCGACACCGCGTCGTAGCTCCTTGCTATCATAAGACGACAACAACTTCTTAGCCACACTCTTTGAGTGGCTAGTGCGAGATGCAATGTCCGCGGGATTGCTCGAATTCGCGAGCAATGACTCCGTCGATTCAATAAAGTCTAGCAGTTTTCCGAGAGGTCGTCGAATGACCGCATCCATATATAGTTTCATATGTTCATGGTAATCTTGAACGGCCCGATCACGCCATCGTTCCAAGACTGGAAGACTGCGTACATCGACTTCTTCATAATAGTGATTCATGTTCTCAATGAGAAGAATATGATAGTTCAGAGCCTCTTTGTCTTCTGGGTCGCCTACCCCGGTAGTAGCGCCACTGACTTGACCAGGGGCTTCTTTAGCAATAAATTTCAAGCTCTCCCACATAGCACGATTGATTTTGTTATACGCCTCGTTGACAGCTAAGCGGACGTCAGAGAAATTGGATGTCGATTGAGTCGCTAGCATGTTTTCAACGGCAGTAGAGAAATGGGGGAATGTCCGCATGAAAGATATGACTCCTTTTCGTTTGTTGATTTTCACTTTCGTCTCTTCAATGCCCCTAATCTGTTGGTCTACGAATCGATTGAAGAGACCATTAAGACGATTGAGCAATTTCTGCAGAGTGTGTACAATGAAATCCTGGTTTGTATCGTCAAATTCGGAAACGGCAGCTTCAAGGGCAGCCAACACTCCAACTCCCTGTCTGTATACAGTCTATTAGTCATAATAAAAGGCGAGATTTCCGGTCGTTGACTTACAGTTGATCAATACTCAGTACCCAGTCTACAAGGTTCTGCATATCATTTGCCCAGAAGGAAAAGATACCGTCAATCACTTGCTCGACTCGTTTGGCCAGGTCACGATCAGGATCGTGCATTTGTTTTATGCTGAAATCGGGAAGCCGCCTTTCGCTAGGATCGCTTGCAGCCACCAGGTCTGGGAAATCCACTGTCGTAAGCGAATTCAGGTGGAAGAATTGCACAATGAAGTTCTGTTCCTCTGAGATCATCTTCACAGTTTCACGTAATGCGCCTGCAAAAACTTCAAATGCGTCCAATCTGCCCGGTTTCTCCCCAAGGTTTTTAGGTCCTTGTTGAACGCGTACGGTCTTGCCTCGTCTTACGGTCAATTTTCGCGCTGCACCAGTCAATCCGTCGCCTTCTTTCTCTTTCTCGTGATGTGTGAAGAGGATTTCGCTCTCCTCGCCAGAGCTTTTCTTGGCTGCCTTCTTCCAAGCCGTAAAGTTATCTCGCAATTCGTGTTGATAAGGTGTCTTGGCATCTGACTCATACAAACTGATCAAGCCAACCCATTCGGAGGAGCTGACCTCTCGCGCAAACAACATAAGCGCGTAGTACATCCAAAGATCCTGGCGCGCCGCATTGTGACCAGTGTTATCAATCTTCAAATTGCCATTCAAAGAATTCGACGACGTGTTCGTCCGTTTTTGTTGACTAGACTTGAATGCAACAGCCATAAACTGCCTAAGACGTTGCAAAAAATAAGTAGACTCTGCGCGATATTGGTCTTTCTTCTCTCTGATTGCGCGCATTTGGCCGATTTCAGTATCAGCATAGACACCAACACTACCAGAATCACCGGCAGCGTCAGCCAAGCGCTTCTTGTTCTGACCAATGTCAGAGTCGATGGTCAACATTGCTTTATAAAGCATCGACAAGACGGTTTCCGTTTGATATACACCATCTACTCCATCCAAAGAAGCTTCTTGCAGCGGCCGTAGATCATCAGCCGAGATAGAGAGCGTCTTAAGGAGGTTTTGAAGTTCACTTTGCAGAAGCTTTTGATTGGCTGTTTGGACCTGGAGACCTTGAGACTGTGCCTCAATGAATGCAACATCATCATGCAGAGTCTATCACACGAAGCAGATTAGCGTAACTCAATAGTTGAGATGATTAGACACCTACACTAAGCTCGTGAGAATAGAGGGTCAACAGACCGTCCAGCTCTTCACATTCTTCGATCGTTCGATCGATAAGTTTGCCTAACTGATCGATTTTACCCTCTTGTTGTTCAATGTTACCAAGCCAACTGCTAGCCTGAACTCGTCCAATCTCTCTGCGAATATCTGCCTCTAAATCTTCGATTTTTTTCTCGTCACTTAGGCGTCCATGCCAGCCTAGGTCGGTAAGAATCTCGTCAAAGTAGCCTTCTGTACCTTCGATGATATTGGGTTCAATTCCCAAAGCTTGACAGTACTTTGCGATGTTGTCTTCGCGGCGTCTACGGCGGCGTTCCTGAGCTGGTGAAATGGACCTTGGTATGATTTTCTCTTCGGTTGTTTCTGGCACCTGAACAACAGGGGCTTCGATGACCACATCAGGAGGAGGAGGAGGGAATTCATCGGTGTCCACGCGAGTGATTTCGACCTTCGGTGGCTCCTGAGCAGGAGACCCCTGGACAGGCGTTGGCTGGCTGACCACTGGCTCCGGAGTTCCGGGTTTTGTCGATTCACTGCTCATCCCGCGTAACAATGGGGCCGGGACAACACTCGTAATACCATCCGGCTCGTTTGTCTGTGTCTTTTCCTTTGCCAGTAGCCGTTCACCAGCGCCTCCAGGTCTAGGTTTGAAAGCTCCATATGCTGTAGCAGCCTTACGAAAAGCAGTAGCAAGATCCTTTCCGGTCTTCTTTTTTATCATAGGTCCAAGACCGGGGCGGTGAGCCTCAGAGCCCTCCATTTGCTCTTCTACCGCTGGGACAGACGGTTTCTCAAGAGTGATTGTAGGCTGTGGAGTCTCTATAGGGGGTTTCGCTTGCGATGGAGACTCGTCTTTCTCTGGTGATGGAGTCGAGAGTACGGGAGGTTCAGCAGTCTCCTGGGCTGGCTGTGCAGGAGTAACGTCCGGCATGGAGGGAGGCACGATAGGCGCAGGCTCGGGTTCTTTTACTTCTCGTGTAACATTGACGGATTCCGTAGACACATTGTTCTTCAAGTCGCTAGACGAACCCGGTCGAAGCGCTGGCGGGAGGTCTTCAAGGTTTCTTGACGAACGATTTGAAATATTACTACCTCGCGACGGCGGCGCATCACCTCTGCTCGACGGCCTTGGAAGCATGTTGTTATCTAGTGATAGAGACTGGTTGTTCAAGGGTGGGACAGAACCAGAACTGGATGTGCCAGGGCGAAGCGGTTCCCGTGTCATGTTCAGGGCCGGGTTAGAGATCGCTCCATATGGCTCCTTCTCATCATGAGGCTGGGGGGGCCCACGTTGTTGTCGGATATTGGCAGGACTTTGTTCTCGACCCCTAGAAACTGCTCGTGGGGTCTCTGCATACAGTGGTTTCGGTGGTCTTTCACTGTCAAGTACGCGCCCATTGAGATTCGATGGAAGTTCATCGCGTGATCTCGGTACTTGTGGAGGCCGACCTGGCGATGGAGATGGCCGGAGCGGTCCGTCACGACTGCGCTGAGATCGCAAGTTTTGCTCTTCTGACAGCTGAGATCGCGGCTCGTTTCTTCCTTCGCGACTAGGGGTGCGAATCGTACTCGGCTGACTTGGTTGAGTGCCTTGAGATGAAGGTGTGGCTGGTCGTAAAGGTGCCTGGCCAGCTTCTCCGATTAATGCCTGCCTTTGTTTCTCATCGAGGCCAATCAACTTGGGAACCCGACCGCCAGTATATTTCTTGTAGATCTTGACTAAACTGGCGATGAAAAAGTCTCTCTCCTTGTAATTGGATGCCTGCCAGTAATATTGTTTCCCTATAGTCACTGTGAATCCAACATTTGACGCCCATTGTTTCTGTTGTTGCTCGGTCTGGCTAGTGGCAGGKGAATCGTAGCACTGTATCCCGCTCAAGTCATCTAACATCCATGTTTTGCCAATTGAAAAGGTCCCGTCATTGTTCTCGCGAGCTTTATGCATGCGAACGCGGCCTGATTTCCGTAATGCGACAATGATCAATCGAGGTTTTTTGTTCTCGGGAGGGGAGTTTGGCGGTGCCGGCGAGGTCGGATAAGCCGCATCTTCTGTAATCCGTATATGGGTGATATATGACTCGGTTACTAGGAACATATGATTTAGTATTGTCTACCAGTTGGTGTATTGTATTCAATGTGGTGGTGTTGCGGACGGAGGTGCATGGGGTGGAAGAGCTAACATACAGGCACCATCGCCATCTTGTTTGGAGAAACAGCTGCTGATGATTCTTCGCTTTTCGTCCTGGAACAACTGGGCTCTAGACGATGAGCCATCCCCAGCGGCGCCTTTGTTTGTATCCGCATCTGGCCTCCGGGGTCGGTCATAGCCTCGAGGAGCCGGTCCACCTAAAGTTGTCATTTCGGGAGGAGTTGTCTCCTTCAGGAGGCGTGTGAGCCTCCTCGCCGAGGATACCGGAGCTTCAAGGAGGTGTCAGTGAGGAGGGTTGAACCACGGGCGCATCGAGGCTGGAGGTTATGGTCGCTCCCAGACCCGCTGGAAGATATTATAATAGGTGCTAGCAGGCTCTAGCTGGGAGAATTGAAGGTCGGGAATGCAACCCTTGAAGTTGTACGTGTGTCAGTAACTTCCGCAGTCCCTAGCGAATAGCGGTGTTAGCGGCTAGCTGGGGCTGATCCAGCACAGAATGCGCTGAAATTATTGGCGGAAGGCTCCCCACATGCTTTCAACGTCATTCAAGCAATCCACTGCGGCCTGAGGAACGCTCTCTTCTTCTGTCTCTGAGTATATTTGGCGTAGGAGATGCGCGGGATATCTTGAAGAATAATTCCTGTCAGTAAAAGCAAGTGACAGGTGATGGCAACTAACCACGGGCCCAGGGAAGGCACGCTCCAACGCACCTGCGACACGGACAAAGAGATGGAGGCCTGGGGTATCACCTATCATCCGCTGCAGCCAATGGCGGCTAGTCTAGGCTCACCGCCCTGCCAATGTGCCGCACTTTCTTTTTTTGGAACTTTTTTTGTCAACTTTTTTTTGGCGTGCTGGTAGATACTGTCGCGACTTCTCTTTTCCGTTGTTCCCTCAACGTTTCCTGGGTGAGGCCTTGTGTATACGGATCTACAAATATGGCGTCCAAGAAGTCAGCTACGACCGAGAAGAAAAGTAAAGTGGTCGTGACGAAGGTATGGAAAAAGTTTTGTCAAAGCTTCATCCTTTCCCTATCAATTGACTTTTCTGTCTAGAAATCTCCTTCAAAAGCACCCGAAGATCTCCTTAACGCCATTGCCACATATCTCGAGGGCCACGGTTATGCTTCCACTAGCAATGCACTGATTAAGGAAGAAAAGGAACGCAATGGAAGAGTTATCTCTGGTACAAGCAAGGATGCTGCGCCTTCGTTGGTGAGCATTTACGAGGCATGGAAGTCTTCTTCTGCTTCCTCAAACGAAGACGAGAGTGAAGAATCCTCCGACTCGAGAGAAGAATCCAGCTCTGAGTCAGAATCCGAATCCGATGTTTCGATGGACGATGCTCCCGCCGTGAAAAGGAGCAGAAGCTCGAGTTCCTCTTCCTCTTCCTCTTCTGAGTCGGACAGTGATGCGGATGACGAATCTGGGCCGGAAATCGCAGCGCCCAAAACGAAAGGCACGAAGCGAAAAGCTGATGACGCAGCTCAGGAACAACAAGCATCTGTGAAAAAGGCCAAGAAGGTGGAGGTTTCTGAAAGCTCGTCAGAAGAATCCGACTCATCGGAAGATTCTTCATCAAATGACAGCTCAGCTGAGGAAAGTTCTTCAAGTGACTCTGAATCGGACAGTTCCGAATCTGAATCCGAATCTGGTTCTGGTTCTGGTTCTGATTCTGATTCCGATTCTGAGTCTGATTCTGAATCCGATTCTGAATCAGAGGTCGAACGCAAAGAGACATTGAAAACGGCCGCAAAGACGCCCTTGCCAGATTCCGACGAGAGCAGCTCTTCGGATTCCAGTGATAGCGAAGACTCCTCCTCGTCCGACTCAGAATCTTCCGATGATGAAACGAAATCCAAAGCAGCGATTTCCAATGACTTGAGCGATTCCACAGACACGATAGCCTCAACGAGCACAAAGTCAGACGAGACTAAAAGTCAGAAAAAGAAGGATGCGGACGCTTCCTTCAACTCCGTTCCTCTTCCTCCTGAGCCTCAGTTCAAGAAGAAACATACCGGAGCTCGCCCAACGCGACTGGCTGCAGCCAGTGAACTTCCACACGATCATCCATCAAACACCTATGTGGCATACGCTTACGCCGATCGTGCCTTCAAAGATCTGTCAGTCACCCGTGGAAAAGGATTCACCAAGGAGAAGAATAAGAAGAAGCGTGGTTCATACCGTGGCGGCCCCATAGATATCGGCCCCTCCCCATACAGCTTCAAGTTCGAAGATTAAACAGGTTCCGTTGAAGCTGTGCGACCAACTGCGATCAATTATTTTACTGCTACATGTTGCTTAGATCATTGCTATTCATTTCACTCAGTCACTATTCAGCGACGAAGCAAGGCGCGGCTGGTTTTTTTATTTGGAGTTTCTACTTGAAAGTTGATGGCCAACATCTGAATGTGGCAGGKTTTGTTCTTACATTCTAGACTTTCTAGGTTCTTTCTACTCAAAAGACGAGTCTACTACTCCTTTATATTCCAATATCTGAAATCAAAAATTCATAAAAAACCACCTTTTTCTATACTCCGGTCGACCTCCAGGATTGTGTCTCGTCTAATCGTCTCCAACGTCGATCCCACCCACTTCCCCTTTCCCTTTCCGCATCTGCATCACTTAAACTCCAAAATGGTACTTGAGACCTCAGTTTAGCACTTGCAGATTTATTCTCGAGGCTCGGTCGCTCATAACCCGAAAGTTGCAGGATTTTTTCTCCGACTGCTGAATGGTTCTTCCTTTTAGGATTCGATGATGGATTTTGGGCGATGTCATTGTTGTCCAGGTCAAGATAGTCCTGATACCAGTCGCTGGTATTATCACCCAGCAAGTCATCTGTGGAACCAAAGTCGAGACGTATCACCCCATCAACAACGCCTGTATATACTGTTGAAGAGGTAGGTGAAGGCGACGACATTGTGTAAATAGGACCACGATATGTTCCGTAATTGCGATGCCTAGGGACATGTGGTGGATGGTGAGACAGAAAGAATGAGAATTCCTTTGGTGAAGCCTCATGATTGGATGATATCGTGGATGCGGGCTTTGCGCCATAGTGGTGGTAAGCCTTGTGCATGCGAAGGTCAAAGACGTTGACGATTGCTTCGGATCCTGCGCCTACGAGGAAGCGGTCGTGTAAGGGTTGGATGCAGTAGATTGGATTACTGTCCATGACGTCTATATACTCACGCTCGAACATCTTGGGTGAGCGAAGGTCATGGAGTCTGCCAGACTTTGAGTCAGTTCACCCAATTGAACGCTTTTGTGCGATGAAATAGACCTACCTCACTCTGCTATTTCCCCAACCAGCGAGAAAAATATCTCCATGAGCTCTTCCACCGTATGAATCAACCCCGAGCGGCGCGATGGCACCAACACGCGCTTTTCTCCGTGGCCATAACGATCGATGATACGGGTCCTCGAATGTGAGTTCACGATGGGTTGAAATACGATCTTCTGCCAAGTCAGAGACAACAATCGTGTCTGCTACTTTACCATGGCCGACTGCTAGCCTTGATGGAGCTAGAAATTTGATGAAGTGACGGGGTGTTCCCTCTTCGGTCTCGCCCTCGAGTTGCGCAAAGGGAGTGACTCTCGTATCGTTCGTTGTCGTTCTATATAGTGATATGTTGCCGTCAAAACTATGTACAGCGAGCACTGGCTCTGGACCCGTTCCAAGATCTAGGCTATGGATTTCAGAATCATTGGTGACGAATGTTTGTTGCTGGTGGTATGTTGCATCATCGGGATCAATCGCAATATGGGAGACGTCGCCGCTTGCACGCGCATATATCAAATGCTGTTTTCCGCCAGATATACTTTGGTGATCTGGTCTTAAGAGGTGGATGCCACGAATATCGTCGTGACTACTCACATGCTCCAAGTCGTTGAAGCGCAGCCACCTCTCATGCGCACCCCGCCCCGTTCTTTTGATTCGAAGAACAATCTCTGCCGCTGCGCCCCAAGCAAGCACATCTTCTCTATCCTGCCATCGATCCCCTTTCCATACCTCATAGCTATCGACCGTAGGTCGGTATCCTATCGTCGGACGATCATGTCTTGTTGTGTCACGGATGCCTACCGCCTTGGCGGCGTTCGACGGGACGACAAAACGTGCTATTACAGCGCAACGATCAAGGGCTCGGGAGCGCGACGTTACAGCTCGTACGACATCTTTCCAGAAAGGTGGAGCATCTCCGAGAGCTGGGAATCGATTTCGGATGAACAGGCGGTAGATACGATCATCCGCGGTAATGATCTTGTGCAGACGGTGACAGGTTTGCGATAGATGGGTGAGAGAAGTTACTGTGGGCAAGTAAATTGTAATGTTGTATATTATCTCCGATGGCAAGTCAGCTAGCATGATATTCGCGGATAGAGTGAATGTGGTAGATGGTCGTCTTGTTTGTTGATGAGTCAAATTGAGGTAGTTCGGCGGGCAAAATTAAGTTAACGTCACTTCGGCCTTATCGATAAGCGTCGGTCTTATTGTCCACAACTTATCTGCCCTAGAGTCTCTGCGCGATAAGCCCCTCTTCCTTCTCTTCTCTTCTGTACCTTCCACTTTACCTACCACAAACCGTTCTACCTTATTATAAAATATCGAGAATCCCAAGCTCTGGAATAATTGTGCTGTCAGAATTGCCTACAAGAAAACGGTCCTTCCTGGATCTGAATTGAGTCTTGAAGCAAGCTCGAACTGATGCAGTCCAAATGGCTCTTTCACACGTACAGATTGCTTGCATTCTAGGTGCACTATCTGCTCTCCTATACAAATACATTTTATATCCGGTATTCCTGTCTCCTTTGGCACAGATACCCAATGCACACTTTACGGCACCCATTTCATCAGCATGGATTACTTGGCGACGCTTCATAGCAACGAACAACCGAACAATTCAAGCAGCACACGAGAAACTAGGCCCTATAGTAAGGCTAGGACCGAATGAGATATCAATCAATTGTGTAGATGGTGGTATCAAGACCGTTTACGGCGGGGGRTTCGAGAAGCATGACTGGKATCCAAGAGTATTCGGCTCGCTGGGGTGAGTAGACTTTTGTAAGTCCCTCTAGTTAGAGAGATATTGACATATATTCGGAATTAGGACAGTCAGTATGTTTACTATGACTGGCAGCAAGGAACATGGCACTCGGAAACGCATGCTATCAAATATATATTCCAAATCATATCTACAATCATCGCCTACATTGAAGCTCATATCAACCACAATGATATACGACCGATTACTACCCATCCTTGAGACGGCTGCATCTTCTGAAAAAGCAGTCGATGTTCACGAGCTTAATTCAGCACTAACTATGGACTTTGTCTCGGCTTACTTGTATGGACTTCAAAACGCAACCAATCTGCTCCAAGATGTCGCATATCGAAAATATCTTTTGCACAATTACCAATGCAGGAAGCCTTTCGAGTTCTACTACCAAGAGGTGCCGGGCCTTGTAACTCTCAGCCAAGCCATTGGAATACCCATCATCCCACAATGGTGCCGTGACGCCACTAAGGTGATGGATGACTGGAACATGGATCTGTGTGACAAGGCGGAGAAGTCACTTACTTCCACCGACCCTCGAATTGAACCCACGGTCTATAAGCAGATGAAAATATCGATAATGAAGCAAATGAACCTTGGAAAGGAAGATATGGCATCGAATTCGCAGAAATTGAAAAAACAAAAAATAGACATTGCTTGCGAAACATATGATCAACTCACAGCAGGACATGAGACCAGCGCTGTAGGGCTTACCTATCTTTACTGGGAGCTCTCCAAGCACCCCAACATTCAGGAAGACTTACGTAAAGAGCTACAAACTCTCTCGATCAAGATCAACAGGGCTCCTACATCAGACGCTGTCAAGCAGCTGCCAGCATCCAAAGAGATCGACGCCTTGCCGCTCCTACAAGCGGTCATCATGGAAACCCTTCGACTTCACGCGCCGATCCCGGGCATACAACCCCGGGTAACGCCGGCGCCATCCTCAACACTCGTCGGATACCATAACATACCACCGAACGTGAGGGTTAATGCACAAGCATATTCCCTTCATCGTAATCCAGATGTATTCCCAGAGCCTGAGTCATGGCAACCACATCGATGGCTCAAGGAGAACAATTCCCCGGAAATGGAGGAGATGCGAAGATGGTTCTGGGCTTTTGGCAGCGGAGGAAGAATGTGCGTTGGCAGCAATTTTGCTATTCAAGGTATGCTATAGATTGTCTTGTGTGTCTGCGAACATCATGCTAACCATAGGGATGCAGAGATGAAACTCGTAACAACGGCGATATACAGCAACTATAGAACTACAATCGTGGACGACGAAGGCATTGAGGCCATTGATGCGTATACGGTAAAGCCGACCAGTGACAGACTGATTCTTAGTTTTGAGCGCATTTGAAGTTGAAAAGTAGAGCTTAGGTATAGTCGACCTTGAAATGACGTAATAACATGGGCGATGAATCAAAAGCGCAAAAGCACTCCAAAGCCACCTTGGTGTTTGAATCAGGGCATCATAGCTAGATATATCAAGACTAGAATGTAAGTAAATCAAATACCAAGTTCCACTTCAAATTGAGGTAGATTGATGAGTTCACCGCAGCCGGAAGAGGGAGATATCGGAGTCTCTCCGACTGCCCCTCCAAATTTTTGTCCCGCAATCATCTTCACGACAAGAGTATAGAGAAAGAATACACATTGCTGTCAGTAGTCTTACCTTAAGTGTATCTGAAGATCTTTTCTGGGCGCTCGCCGAAATCAATTGAACATTATACAAGCTCGACAGTGACTATCTGATTGAACGTCATGCCTGACAAGGACGCAGGCACTCCTCGGGTGTTTATTGCGCGACATGGTAGGTCCTTCCTACGATCTCCTAACCACAATTGAACTGGATCACCAACTCTGAATGACCTCTTGTGTAGGAGAAACCGAATGGACAAAATCCGGCCAATACACCGGCATCACCGAGCTCGAACTCACAGCGCAGGGCGTGACCCAAGTCCAGAACTCCGGTCGCGTCCTCGTCGGCCCGGGAAAGCTCATTGATCCCTCGCGCATTGCACATGTATACGTTAGTCCTAGGCAGAGGGCTCAAAAAACATACGAACTGCTCTTTTCATCGCCTGTAGACGCATCAAAAAATGTGTCGACGACGGATCGATTGGCGGAATGGGGATATGGTGAATATGAAGGAATGGTAACGAGTCAGATCCGGGCTTTGAGGAAAGAGCATGGACTTGATACGGAGAGGCCATGGGATATATGGCGGGATGGGTGTGAGGGKGGAGAGTATGTCATTTCCCAAGCGAAAGACTTGATAAAAAACTTCTACTCACGTATATGGGCTGTGATGCAGATCGGCGCAGCAGGTAACGGATCGTTTGGATGATTTGATCAAAGAGATTCGATCGTTTCAGGTCAACCATATGCATGGCGAGCCTGGTCCGGCTGATATTGTGCTCGTGGCACATGGACATTTGCTGAGGGCTTTTGTGAAACGATGGCTGGGTTACCCTATGGAGTTTCCGCTGTCATTGATGCTTGAACCAGGTGGTATTGGTGTGCTGAGGTAAGCCTTCCAGCTCCCTTTCAAAGCGCCAGGCTATCTTGATCCATACTAACACATATCATAGCTACCAGCACCACAACGTCGAGGAACCAGCGCTGTTCGCAGGCATGGCTTTCCCAACACCATCATCATTAAACGGCCAGATAGGATAGGCACGACAGCATAGGCGTAATTATAGATTCAGGGTAGTATAGAAACAGCATCGAAAGTATATGACCGCAAAAGAACTAATATTTGTACTGTACAATATTCCTCACATAATCATACACTGTAGTGTAGCATCCATATCCCTTCGGAGTCGATTGATGCCCACTCTCAGATCCAGCCCGAAACTCCAGTATATGCGACGAAATCGAGATTCTTGTTTGAGTTTGTAAATAACACAAAGCCTTTAACCCAGGCGACCTTCTCGCTTCCGTGGACCCGAAACCTTGGGGAACATGCGCATCAGGTGGTAGTTAACGGCGTTGTTGGAGGAGGTTGAGTCTCTCTGTAAGAGGGGATAGTGGTTAGTGAATGTGTACACACTAGAATTATCAAGTAGAACATCAGGGAAAACGTACCCTTCCATCCATGCATGCTTTTAACGATTCCTCCAAACCGGAGCACCCTTCATTTCCCTGTCCGGCTGAGGCCCAGCAATCTAGATAGCAGCGTATTAGAGATTTCTTTCTTAATTTGTATAGATCAATTGATTGATGTGTTTCGGAGTAACGTACTCAGCATAGAGGACATGATTGTAGCGCAAGAGTTCTGTTGTTGTTGGTTCGGTCGTCGCACTCGAAGGTGTTGAATGGTCTGCAACCGCACCGGGTTCAGACGAGTTGAGGCACCTTTGGCAGGCATTGTGAAATTCTAAGAGCTGACAGCTCTTCTAAGGCTGTAACAAAAAATGGTTCTACCCAGACTGGATGAGAGGTTCCCTGGTGTCAAGCAGCTTACAGCGAGACTGGCCGAAGTTTTGGCTGGTGCGGAATGCCAAGACCGAAGAAAAGGATCAATAGCGGCCGATTATCTTGTTAGCGCCAAAGTTGTAATTTTACCCATTTTACGTTTCAGCACATCCGACACGGCACATTTTGATTGGCCACATCAATTCGAACTCATAAAGATGGGCTTCAAAGATTTGTAAGTCATATTTACACGGGCCTGATTATCAAACACATTCAAAATTGGGTAGTTGATGCTGGCCTTTATAGCTCAGTGGTAGAGCGTTGCACTTGTATCCCTTAATAGGATAGTGATGCAAAGGTCCATTGTTCGATCCAGTGTTGAGGCAGTCTTTTTTTTCGTTTCATCATCAAATATGAGATTCTACGTCATATTTCGAACCCTTTTGCTGAGACAGGTAATATTGATCCTTTTTAAAAGTGGAAAACGAGAAGAAAGCTCTATCTCGGGAATATCCAACATGTCAATTTTACGTTTGTCAAAGATTCGAAGGGTTGAATAGAGCTGAGAAACCGGACGAATAGGAACGAACGTGGAATTATGACAATACATGTGCCGAAATGTAATTCAATCGAAATACGCTTTGGCGTTACGTACGTAGACGACATCGACTGATAACGATCATTAAACTCGCCATCAACAATCTCCCTCTCTTCTTGATAACTTTTCAAGAATCCAATCACAGATTACAGCCGTCCATGATAGGGATAACACGAATCTCACCTTGTTGTACTCTGTGTACATCATGTCTTCAAGCTCACCCACGTCTTCCGTCAATCACTAAGCATGCGCCGATATCACGACGGACCTTGTCCGCATCATCGTTTCGAAATGATGAGAAATCAAACATTGGCTCCCAACCTTCTGGGAGTAAAGAAGAAGGCGCTCTATCCCGCAGATTGGCTGAGATGACTGAAGAGTCTCTCCTTGAAGGTGGACGATCAGCACGAAAGAATTTACAGGAAGCGGGCTTCTCGGATGATCTGAAACGAACTCTGGAAGAGAAGATCAAGGCTGCTTCATTCAAGAGCGATAATGCGCAAGCATTTTCTGTCTTGGATACACCTGTGAGTTCGGCGTCTGCGCGCAATTTGCATCTGCAGATCAACTAATAATATATCAAGGCAAGCGCAGGAAAAGGTACTCGCGAACATGCCATGGCAGCACCTTGGCGCGGGACAGAAAATGTCCAAGACACCGCACTTCGAATGCTCGACGACGCCAAAAAGCCCATACGAATCCCCTTCAAGATCCCGAGTCCTGCGATGCCCGTCAACGTAAATCTGAAGCCGGGCGCAAAGGTTCGCCACTCAACCGGAAGTCGTCTCGCAAGTGCGCGGGACAAGACACAAACGTATGCACTGAGTCAGAGCTTGGGCCTATCGGATAAGGAGAGAGAGGAAATGAGAAGCCAACTCACTGCGCGATTTGAGGCTGGAGCACGCTCGCTACCCATGACGTTATCGGGGCTATCGTCGCTCGCAAATGAGCGAATCGAAGATGCCATTGCGCGAGGCCAGTTCAAGAATCTGCCGAGAGGAAAAGGCAAACATACAACAACGGACCATAATGCGAACAGCGCTTATATCGATACAACGGAGTATTTCATGAACAAGATCATCCAGAAGCAAGAAATCGTGCCGCCCTGGATAGAAAAACAGCAAGATCTCGCTCGAGAAATTGACCGATTTAGACAAAGGCTACGAACAGAATGGCGCAGACATGCCGCCAGGTTGATTTCGAGCCAAGGAGGTTCTTTAGAGGAACAACGACGACGCGCGCGAGGATACGCAGCAGCGGAAGCTCGGTTAGTAGCAAAGAAGAAACTCGAGGCGTCGCTTACTTTGGACGATACGGTGGTTCTGCCTAGTTATTCCCAGATCAGTCATGATGGTCGAATTACTTCTGGGCGACCAAAAGCTGTACCCGTGCCGCGCACAGAACCGGCGAAAACGGAAAAAGATGGGGTTGTAGTTGAAGATATCACGTCGAACGAATCTGGCGAGCTACTTCCGCATTTATCACCACTGAGAGATCCGGACTACATGTCTATCGAGCGAGGCTGGCACGAGTTACAGATTAAAAGTATCAACGATCTGACACGGTCATACAATCTACAAGCTCCGCGACTTGCACAGAAACCATACTTGAACCTAGAGCGAGAATTGAACTCGTGCTATGCAGATGTAGCGCCATCACTAGCCGACGAGCTTACCATGCGAGCAACTACACCTCGCAAGGCATCGACTACTGTCAGAAAGCCAGCTGGTAATCTGCTGGAAGATATAATACAATCTAATCAGAAAGTGCGAGTGTACGATGAAGATCGATCCAAAGGCTATGGATTGAAAGAATTCTGGCGAGACCTTTGGAGGCGAGAGAAGGTGACTTAGTACTTACTCTCTGTCAATTGTACATTATACCTAGGGTAGACGATTGTATAGACGGTTTACAGCACTTTTGCATCACTAATTTCTCATGTCAAGTTGTGAGCATACAAATTGAAAAGCAACTGATTGCCCAAATGGATCTAGAGCAGAGTCTGTATCAGTAGGCGTCCGTGACTAAAACCATACCCTATCTAGAGGCTTAGCCGTTGGAAACAGCCGCCATAGTTGCTTCTATTACTGCCCGTTCAAGCGACAGCTACCAGAAAGAAGTTTTAATGCAGGAATGTAGGGCTGCATTTTGTGCTATCTTATCTCGCGCTGCGCTGGTGGCAATTTTGCGCTTTTCTATGGGCTCAGGAAGGGAGATACTATGGGTAAGAATAATGATTCTTAGTCTCTGTAAGCATGTGTAACCTTGTAAGGTACCTCATTTGATATTGAATGTACCTTTGGAATAGACTGGCCAATCATATAAAGGCTTGGAAACCAAATACCCTTTGGTTCAACGTAACCTATTGATAGGGGAGAAAGAAACGATTGAACGAACCTTGGAAATTTGATATAAATATGTGACTCCACTTCTTGCTCATTTCATGCGTTGTCAAGGTGACCTTCTTGTATTGTGGCGTGAAGGTATATCAATCGCGGTCGGAACAAAGTTCTTTGATGACCTTGATAGCGATGGCATTCGTAGGAAGATGAATTCTCTGTTCAGCGAATATAGGCTTAGATGATGCTTGATGAGTCTTTCTTTTGAGCGGATGGATAGAGGATATCGACATTGTTGCATTCTTGGACAATGGCGCAATTACGATTTCCTTAGCGGCAAGCATGTCAAATAGAGCTTTTTGTGACCAAGGGCATTGGCTCTGAGGAGCATATTTTGCTCGCAGTGTTTCGGCATACACTGTACTGGATGAGGCTGCCTGGCTTGGCTATTCAAGGTGCCTAAAGATAAAAAACTCACTACTCTACCCTTTCCTGTCCCTCTACACCAGCCTTGGGCTAGTATGTAGTAGAAGATAGTCACATCGATGAACATAAAGAAATTGTCTACCACCCATTTTCAAAATAGATGCTAGCAATCCTCATATGATTCCTCCCAACGACCATCCAACCATCCCGATCGCGAAACTGCCGACCAACACCCATCTGGAATTCCCTATATTGGTCATCTTCATCTCTCTCATACTGCGACCATTCGCGCAAGAGGCACTTCCCACCATCCCACCAATCAGGGGGGGCCTGCTTCGTCCCATATCCAGGCCCTGAGCCAATAACCAGTATAAAGTAGTCAACATCATGAAACAAATCCCTTCCTATAATCCGGAGGAGTTGCGCTCCCTGATTATTCGTAAATTGGGCCGCGCTTACACCGATGCTGCACAGTCCAGTAAGTAGGCTATTACCCCCTAACCCATGTACCCGAACGCGAATCTGTTCGCGAAACCAGCTCAACAGCCGACTCACTTTCGTGGCCGGCACATAGCCCAGCAGGACTACTATATCACGGTCAGGGGAAATGTAGAGCACTCGGCGTCCATCTAGGGCAAGGCCGTGGTGCTTCTCTGGTGTGAGGGGGAGGGCAACTGTGTAGACAGTCAGGGCGACAGTGCGAGCCTCCATGTTGACGGAGAGGGCGGCAGGGTTATAGGACCGGGACTGGAACGCCGGCGGTCGTTGCATGGAATGATGGTCGGCATCGATGCTAGACTGGTCAGCATGGTGGGCCTGAGGAAAGTGAAGCTCAAGGACGCGGGGTAGGAGTGACTGAGCCCAGATTCGGAGGCGGATCTCAGTAGGGAGGAGCGGGAAAGCTGGGAAGGTCCGAGATTCCTTGTCCGTGATAGGTACGCAAGGCGGATCCATCAGGTCCGCCATGATGAGGTTGAAGAGGCTGATAATCCGTTATCCAGCTTCTAGAGAGAGCCAGAAAGAGAGTAGTGCGGGGAAGTTACAGTGGGATGAAAAAAGTGTCCGCACCCCCCATAACCCTAGTACCCGCACAGGGGTGCGAACACTTATTTCGTGGCACTGTATTATGCTGCAGAGAAGGGTCAGGGTTCAAGTCGGTGAATGGTTGACCAAAGCTAATTTAACGACAAAATTCGTGTTTCCTTGGTAATACGTTTTTCCACATATTATTGATTAATGCAACAGCTCGATTTCTATTGGTCTCTAGAAAATGTCCAATTCTATATTCGTGCGAGATAGCCAAGTCCCAAATTTGAATCTGGGTCCATCAGTCATTATTTATTGTTGACAGAAGTTCCCTGCCCTTGTCTCCAGCACCGCTTTCCGCATAGAGTTAGCGCGGTCATATCCTTCTCCCACAAGCATTTTCACACACAGACTAGAGAGTCAATATCAACAATCATGTACGATGGATGCAGACATGAGTTAGATCGGATCCCACGTTCGTTGATTTGGTATAGTATAGACTGGCCAATCATATAAAGGCATAGAAACTAAATATAATTGGCTCCATTTCACGGAAGCTATGGACCGTGCGGATCTTGGCGGGCGCTTAAACAGCGAGAAACATTGGTTGAGGGGCATGATTGGCTGCCCGCGTGCATCCTCGATTTGCACGCAACGGCCAATCATAACCGCAAACACAGGTGACCTTCCCTGCTGCAGAAACAAGATCCATTGGCAGGACGCCCTGCAGCCATCGACTTCAATTTCACATCTTCACATCTGCAGCGGCCCAATCACTGCCCCCAGCACATCTTCAAGCTCTAGCGACCCCCCAATGCGGCCCGGCAACTCGTCCGTCACAGAAAACTCTCGCTTCTCCACTATGCGCCTAAGAATACCCGAAGCACAGCACAGGAGCATGATCTCCCCATATATCTACCTGTTGTGTCAACCCCTCTCATACTGCTCCAACGTCTAACTCGTGTGGTTTCGAGATTTGATTGACAGGAGGTCCCCGTGGTGTTCCATTTCCGCCCAGATGAGAAGAGCAAAGTCCGTATAAATCATCCCGAGAGTCCACCGACATTTCTCAGCATGTTCATTTTCTCTACAACGCGGGATAGTACTTGGGTTTCGATTTTACTTTTCACATTCTACTTGTTACTGCCAACAATTCTTGCTCAGCCGGTTGCTACCGGTGGATCTTCTATTACCGTCACACGGCGCTCCGAAGATTCGGATAAGTCGAGTCAATTACCTATTCAAATAGGCGGTATTGCAGCCAGCTACGTGATCTTTGATGCTATAGTCGTCTTTCTTCTGCTCTTTGTAGGAAGACGACTCCGCCGAGCAGCTCATACATCCAACTACTCCCTTGACATGGTAATGCTGCAACCTTTCAGCAACCCATTCGCCAACAGCACCGATCCAAGCCCTATTTCCGGTTACTCAGTTGACACCCAGTTCCCGAGTCCTGTCAAACCACGCGGCTGGAATATGTCGTGGACAAGTGTGACGAAGGGCCACAAAGCCCAGAGCTCGATGAACAGCAGTGTTGCTACTGTTGACGAGGATGTCGTGACTGCAGACCGACGACGAGCGCAAGAGGAGATGGAATTTTTGTATGCGGCGGTCATGGAACATGATGCCAAAAAGGCGTCTGCTCATACCTCGCCTGTGATTGAGAATCAGCCATTGACTCCAATTGCTACTCCCCTGACCTCGCCACGATTTGCGGATCCAAACACTGCCAATCAGTATCCTTCCTTCCCACTACAGCCTACAGTCGTCCAGGCACCCTTATCTCCCCGACAGGGAAGCATATCAACCAACAAATCCCGAACAAGTCAACGACTCTCCAGACTTTCAAACTTATCAATTTTCAGTCCCGTACGCTCATCCTCTAATTCTAACAAGCTGAAATCGCCACGCTCTGTCCGCGAGCTCCCCATTTCACCACCCTTGAAATCACCCGATCCAGCAGAAACAGCCGCCATAACAGCTACAGCAGCCACATTCCAAGACAGCGCACCACCAATGTCACCACGAATCTACAACCCGGGTCCTCCACCCACAGCACCTTTGCCAGGTTCCAACTCCATGCAAACACCTCGAGGATTCATGCTCCAACCCATCAGCACACCAAACAGCATGCGTGCCAATGCTCCTGCGCCGCTGAGTATCAACAGCAGCAACTCCACCCTTCCATTCCGGCAACAGTTCAATCCTCCCATGAGTGCACCGCCTACAAAGACCACCATCTTGGAAAGACCGGTCCATGCCCCCGGTGGACCGCGCACCGGTATGCCTACACCATACAGTCCGTACATGCCCTTTACGCCTGTCACGCCTATGACGCCGAGTCGGCTCGTGACGAAACGGGATCGGAAACGTCTTGATAAGTCGAATGGTCTGAAGGTGTTGCACGAGGATGATATGGTGAAGAATGATGATGATTTATGGGGGATGTAAACTTTTTCTTCGTTGTGTATTTGTGCTCTCGGTTTAGTGGATTGGTTCGGAGTCGTTTTGTGGGATTTTTCTTATATACCATTTCACAGTTATACGAATACAGGTGCAGGTCATAAAGTCTTCCAACCATTAGTTCGATTGTAATTATATGTGCAGGTGCCTTTCAAACACATACATAGGTATCATAAATAAAATGTATAGGCCGACAAGAAACATCACTCGAAATCATCAATAAAAGTCCCAACACCTCTCCTCCTCGCAATATCTACCATATCGTTACCCGTAATTAAATCCATAAGCCCAAGGCCAACAGATTTGTAGACCACATTTCCCTTCTCCAGCCACTTCTTCAACCCTTCTTCGCTATTCCCCTTTTGCTGCTCTATTCCTAGTCTCGCAGCATGTTTCATAATCATCAATTCTCCAATCTCAACGAGTTGATGAGGGCCCAACCCTGCCTGTACAATCTCGCCTGCTTCCTGTAGACACATTTCAAGACTATCTACCAACACGACACCACCTCGTTGGGCATGTTTGTGGTAATGATGTGCGTTTTGAGTGGGTGGTTTGACTTCATTCTTTAAAATGTCTGGATGTAGTTCTGTCATGTGCGATTTATACGATCCAATAGCGACGATGAGTCTACCCTTTCGCCGCCCCTCGGTCGATGTGAGAAACTCCGCGGGGAAAAGTGGTTCGAGGGATGGTGTGCAACAAAAAATTGCATCTGCTTTCCGGACTGCCTCGCGGGACAAACGGTTATATTCGACAAAGTCACTGCTGAAAGCGTGAAATTTGACGTCGGACCGCCACGATGCGTTTTCCGCTGCGTAGATATCTCTCAAAAGCTTTGCGGCGCGGTCAAAGGAGCGGTTGATGATATACACGCGTTTCACTTCGGGACCGCGAAGCAAAAGGGCAAGGCGGATGTGCCAGTATGCTTGTCTGCCCGCGCCAAAGACAGTGATTGTTTTGACGTGTTTGCGTTTATTGAAGACGAATAGCGACGTGAGTGCCGTGCGGAATGCAGTTAGGTCCTGCGCGCTGATCAGGCCGATGGGGAGGCCGTCCTGGCCGACGAGCGTCAATGTGCCTCGAGGAGATGAGTCGCGGGCTCCGACGGGCGGCCATGCTTTGCCAGAGAGATGTTGGACGCTCCCCATGTATGATTTCGACGCCCTCGGACTGCCCGATTGTGAACTCAGTGATTGATGATTTATGCTTGGCGCGCCATCACCCGTGGAAGACGAAAATGAGCCGGATTCAACCTCGCTGTCGTCACCGCCAACGCTACCACCGTCGTCGTCGTGCGAAGACGTCAGGGACATGGAGCTCACGTCAGCCGACAGCGAACTACTAGACCGTCTAGACGAATATTCCTCTAACGACAACGAGACCTTGGCCAACTGTCTCGAATCCGCAAACTCCTGTCCTATAGTCGTACATCCAGGCTTATCGGTCAAGGACGAGGAAGGTAGTGGCGACGACAGGATCTTGACGCCCGTCGTCTTGCCAGTGCTCGCCGGCATAAAGATTGTGGTTTTGCCATCGTTGCCAGTGATTGCGGTTCGGTGTGGCTGGTATGACGCCGAGCAGCCTTGTTCTTGGGACCCGGTTGAGTATTCGCGCAGTGCGTCGGCGAGGTTGTGTTGGAGGGTGAGGACGTCGTCGCGAGAGAGTGAGAGGAGTAATGCGCGGACTTGTGCGCCGGAGAGGATTGTGAGGGGCATGTTTGCATCAAGTCAGAAGGACACAGATAACGAAAGTAAATATTCAAGTGGCATGTATAGAGGAGTCGATGAATTGTACGACTGGGATACAAATTATTTATTTGTTGTGTCTTGTACCTGGAATACGAGCACCGCGGGGATGGAGGGACGCTTATCGCCGGCTCTTACTTCCGCAACCGGCCTAGCCCAAGTCCTCTCTGTCTTATGTCCGATTCGGCTCTACAATGTCTACGTTTATATTTCGATGTGAATAGAGAGATATATATTGATTATATGGCTAATCGATTAAAGACATTGCGCAAGAAGTTTATTAATTGCGGCAAGGTATTGGTAATCAGCCTCGGAGATGCAGATGATATTCGCCACAGCTAAATATAGAACAGCAATAGATTTATATACCGTTCACCACGTGAATGAAATGGGTATATCAACTGTCTAATGATACTTGTGCGAGAAGAAAACTCAAGAATTCTTTTCAAATATTAGTAACCATATCATAATGCTGGTTGATTCCAAATATCACGATTGATCCTCATCACTGCAGACTGCTTGTGAGGAAAGCTGACTTCCCCCTCTTTGTAGAAGCCCAGCTCCATGAGATACGATATAAGCCTGTAATCACATTAGACAATCAACAAGTTTGGAAATACTAGGGGGAGGCTTACTTTTTATTATCCACTCGAGGCTCCAGCAAAACAGTCTCCGTTCGTGGATCAGCCAGCCAACAATAATGCACCAGCGAACTAAGCCATATACGCACACGATGAGAGCCACGAAACTCATCCTCACCAACTAATACATGGAGCCCTCGGTCATAGTTGCTGACACTATTCAAGAGTCGTCCGAACCGGTCTTCTTTGACCCAGTATATCTCGAAATAGCCGAATGGTTTACCATTCCAGCATCCAAAGACAGGGAAACTATGCCGGCTGTTAAGACCTTGTTTCAAGAATTCTTCGATTTTGGCTTTTGATCCTGCTTCACCCCATGCTGCATTGACGCGTGGATCGTTCATCCATTTGTGTAATAGGTCCAGATCGGACATTCCCGAAGGACTCGGAACATGGGGTACGACTAGTGATGATGTGGATGGTGTAAGGCTGTGATGCGGGCCGCTCGTTTTTGCTGTATTGAGGACCGGTACACGGAATGAAAGATATTGCCCAACACTTGGGACATAGCGCACATAGAACGTCTCTCCCTGATGCGGAGCTCGTTGACGGAGAGGATGGCGGACACCATTTGTGAAGATATATTGAGTCGGAGCCGGTGGATAATACGTCGGTAGATGACTACTTGAGTGGAACGGTCCAGCGAGAGAATTTAGTACGTGGATAGGAGGCGGAGAATCAGACGGAGACGCGCTGCCTTCCACGATTCGGAGACTCTCCAGAGTTGGAGAAGCAGCCCGAGAACCGTATGGCGAATTGAGAGGTGACAAAGAAACGGCATTCACCGGCGTAATATTCGTCTGAGACTGCGTAAAGATAAAGATCCGAGGATCCAACTGCCAAAAGCTTCGCCGACTCGTAAACATCCTCGCCCAGTTGGCCGGATTCCGAACCTCGAGTGACTCTGTGCCTACTGACGAATCTTCACTCGAGATCAGACCCATACGCTCCAGCTTCTGTAGCAAATTCCTGCCCTTGAAGACCCCTTCTCTTTTAATATTCACTCGCCATTCGCCTTTTGGTCTGCCTAGCTCTGCTGTGTTTGCTGAAGCTTCGGTTATCAGATGCAAATCGGGCTCTGATTCATGAAAGTACCACCAAAGGGTCGCCCAAAGCATCATGGCAATTTGACGGGAAGGTGAAACAGGAGTCTTGAAGTCACTAGGATTATTTATCGAAGAAATGAACATGCAATCGTTCCGTAACGTTGGCTTTCTAAAAGTAGAAATGCGGACTTTTGGCTCTAATGCAGTTGTCGTGTCTATAGTGGTATCATTGCTGTCGCGTACTTGATGCTCGTCATCTGCATGACCGTCTTCAACCGCTTTCTCGGTATGAATGACGACCGTCCATCCTGGAGGAAATGACGGGTTGTGAACACAGGCATCTGTTTCCTTGAAGGTTACTCCTCCGAAGACTGGCGTCACCGAGAAGGTATGACCGTTAGGGAGATGGCATGTTGACGAAGGCATGCTGCCTGTCAGTCCTCGCAATTCGTTTATCTCCGGAGACTTAAGAAAGAAAAAGTTCAAATGTAACGAAAATGAAAATAAAAAGTCGAGCTTGCATCAGACAATCAACTCAGTGACGTCGCGACTAGTCCTGATTCAGAAGGAGGGGCTAGTCCCGCTCAGAAGTTTATGCTCTGTGCCTGAGGCATCAATCACATACAACTTCTTTTTATATGCCGTACTCGTTTTTCTGTAAAACATCATCTAAATCAATGTAGTACTGCTGCAGCATTCATATCTAATGTACACTCACTTCCCTATTGGAGATGCTACAAGTATGCAACTACCAAGGCTGGTTCATACTAGCTGTCCGATGATCTAGCCCTAAGAACCCTCCATCTCCACAGTCGTGTGACCAGCTCATGCCACACTCGGCGTTGGCTTAGGCTACAAGATGTTGTACCATTCAGGTGCATTCTCACATGTATATTTCCAGCAACATTAGCTATGTGAGTATAGCTTATACCTCGAGTGTTGTCATGCGACGCCTCCTGAACGTCTCAATACGGCGATCTCCCGACGCTGTACCTAGGTTCCGATACGAAACATATTTTCCCTTCCAGGTGGGGATTTTCCCTTTTCCAGCTGGCGCCGCTTTCGTGAGTAGATTCCACTCTGGACCCATGCTCACTAAACCGCTTAGAATCCTTTTGTGATTGTTGGGGACCGTGTCGTTGCTCAGTGAGTATGACGGCTTCTCACTGTTCAGTTAAGCTATCCACATCAGCTCGGTCTTTCTAAGCATTTGTTACGCCGTTCCTAACTAGTTTATGTCCCCATTTGGACTATCTTGAGATTCTCGAAACAATTAGTGCGCTTCCGCCCAATGAATTACGGGTAGTTCACGTTCATCAATACGATACCGTACCGAATATTGAGCAAGAAGTAATCACAGTCTGTCACCAAGAAGCATTCCATTAGATCAAACCGTAGTTTCAATTCGAGCAACACAAGTTTCGTGAACGAGAAGTTGCGTTCGACGAGCACAATGAGGTTACATCACACTCTAATACACTTGTTTGCCTTGTCAATGGTCAGGTCATATATTTCTCCAAGTTCTGGCCAATGAATGGTAGACAAGCTGCATAATAACCTGCAAAAAAAAGCCTGGGTGGCTTCCAATCATGATCGCCTTCTTGCCGCCCAAGACCTCAAAATTAGCCTTGCCATTCACTCGTTGTTCAGCCTTGTCAAGGCACCGAAAATTCCCTTTCGCAAAGACTTGAGCAAGAAGGAATGTACAATGCTACTGATCTCTGTTTACGTCCATCACGCGTTAGATACAGGCTTTACAATCTGATGGGAATCAACAATGGAAACTCCGTCAAAGAAGGAGTTTCAGATCGGCTGGATATGCGCCCTACCCATTGAAGCGGCTGCCGCGATCCAGATGCTTGATGAGAATTTTGGCATTCTTCACGAGCAAGAAAGATCCGATACTAACACTTACACCTTAGGCCGGATCGGGTGGCACTATGTCGTTATCGCCTGTCTGCCGGATGGACAGTACGGGACTACTTCGGCTACCACAGTCGCCATCAATATGATACGAACGTTCAGTGACTCGCTTCGCATCGGGTTGATGGTAGGCATTGGTGGAGGAGCTCCATCCGCGGCACACGACATTCGCCTAGGTGATATAGTGGTTAGTCGTCCCGAAGGCTGTCATGGCGGCGTCATTCAACACGATATGGGGAAGATTAACGAAGACGGCAAGATTCACCTAATTGGATCCTTGAATAGCCCACCGAAGCCTATGCTGAACGCGCTGGCTCAACTAAGGGCAGCCGAACTGTATGATGATCCTCAGTATCCTCATTACCTCCAGAAAGCTATTGGACGAAATACACGAACACAGAAAACCTTTGGCCGGCCTAATGATAAGTTGGGCCGCTTATTCAAACAAGAGCATGAGCATCTTGATGATGCCACGTCCTGCGATTTATGTCCAGTGATTTGGGAGGATGGTCGTTCTGCTCGCGAAGATAGTATTCCACATATTCATTACGGAACGATCGCTTCTGGGAATACCTTAATCAAAAACGCAAAGAAGAGGGAGGCTATCCGCAAGGAGACTGGTGCATTGTGTTTTGAGATGGAGGCAGCAGGCCTGATGGCGGATTTTCCTTGTCTAGTAATTCGTGGCATATGTGACTATGCTGACTCGCACAAGAATAAACGATGGCAAGGGTATGCTGCGCTAGCCGCGGCGGCTTTTACGAAGGAGCTGCTGGGTTATGTGCCAAAGGGGGTATCACAAGAGAGTTTAGTTGCAGATATCTGTCGTAAGTAATTCTTAGCATTGTATGGCAATGTCCTACAATCTAACAGATGGAGACAGAACAAAAGATTGCGGAAATTTTTTCCACAGGTTAGTATAGAGAATTATACGAGTAACAATCTTGCTTAACCAGGCCTAGTGAAAGAAATTCGGAAGGATACTCATGGTACAGATGCGACTGTCAAGAAGCTGAGCCAACGCGGAGACGACCAAGAGTTTCAAATCATTATGAATTGGCTTACACCGGTAAACTATGCTCTGCAACAAAGTGATTTGATCACCCGGCTACAAGAAGGAACTGGAGAATGGTTCCTGAAGTCAAATCAATTCCAGCAGTGGCTTGCACATAGTAACCAAACTCTCTTCTGTCCTGGTATGCCAGGAGCGGGCAAGACCATGCTCACATCAATTGTTATCCGTTACCTACATGCCAAGTTTGGGAACGACCCAAGCGTCGGCATCGCATATCTGTATTGCAACTTCCGGCAACAGCATGAACAAAAGTCCGCTGATCTAGTTATGAGCCTGCTCAAGCAATTAGCCCAGCAGCAGCCTTCTATTCCTGAAACTGTGAAAAACCTATACAACGTTCATAAGACTAGGCAAACCCGCCCGTCACCTGATGAAATTCGGAACATATTGCACCATATCGCCATTACTTATTCAAGGACTTTTATCATCATCGATGCGCTAGACGAATGCCAAGTTTCCTACGAAGGTCGTGAGGTTTTTATGCGAGAGATCTTCAACCTTCAGGCCAAGGCTGGATTAAACATTTTTGCAACATCGCGGTACATCCAGGATATTGAGACCAAATTTGACCAAAGTATCAGACTTGAAATCCGTGCTAATGATATGGACGTGGAGAAATATCTGGATCAGAGATTGCAAGATTTTCCATCCTGGATTCTGAAAGATAAATCTCTCCAAACGGAGATTAAGGGCAAGATCGCTAGGGCAGTGGATGGGATGTACGTATCTCTCTTGGAAGATGATCAAGCTGACTGACAATGATTAGGTTTCTTCTTGCCCAACTTTATGTTGATTCTCTAGCCCATAAGACAACGGCCAAGGCGATCAGAATCGCACTTGGGGAGTTGGAGGTATTACCGGAGGGACCCAATGACAGACCCAAAATATTGGATCGCGCTTATTTTGAAGCCTTGGAACGAATTCAGGAACAGATCCCAGAACACAGAGAATTGGCCATGCAAGCTCTATCATGGATCTTCTTTGCTAAGAGGCCCCTATTATCGACGGAACTTCAACATGCCTTGGCTGTCGAAGTAAATGAATCTCAACTTGACCAAGAGAATGTAGCGGATATTGGACTTATTGTCTCTATGTGCGCTGGATTGATCACTTTTGATAAAGAGAGTGGCTTGGTCCATTTGATCCACTATACAACGCAGGAATACTTCGAGCGAAATTGGGCAACGTGGTTTCCTAATGCCCACACTGATATCACGGAAAAATGTGTGACTTACTTGTTATTTCAAGATTTTGAAGCTGGAAGCACCCCGACGGAAGACGACTTGGTGGAGAGATGCAAGTCGCATATTCTCTATCTTTATGCGGCAAAGAATTGGGGATACCACGCTGTCGAATCTCCGATTGAAGGTGGAAAGCTGGTTTTAGATCTCCTTAGATCTAAGTCCAAAGTTTCTGCTTGTAGCCAGGCTATGTTATATAATAGACTGAGAAGATCATTTGAAACTGAGATGACAGGGATGCACCTCGCAGCATACTTTGGACTCTCAAAATCCACATTAGCTCTGCTAGAAAGTTCCGCTGACGCAGAAGCAAACGATCTTCTTGGCCGGACACCGCTCTCATGGGCAGCTATTAACGGTCATGAGGCAGTAGTAAAGCTGCTGCTTGATAATAATGCTGATGTCGACACGACAGATTATGATGGCCAGACACCGCTCTTATGTGCAGCTAGTAACGGTCATGTGACAGTAGTAAAGCTGTTACTTGATAAGAATGCTGATATCAACTGTACGGAAGCTAATTATGGCCAAACACCGCTCTCATTAGCAGCTGAGGTCGGCCATGAGGTAGTAGTGAAGCTGCTGCTTGACAAGAATGCTGATGTCGACGCGAGAGATTATGCGGACCAGACACCGCTTTCACAAGCAGCCAAGGAGGGCTATGAAGCAATAGTGATGCTACTGCTTGATAATAATGCTGATATCAACTCAAGAGATAAATATGGCTCSACACCACTCTCATTGGCAGCTACTGACGGTCATGAGGCAGTAGTAAAGCTGCTGCTGGACAAGAATGCTGATATCAACTTTAAAGATGATGATGACCAGACACCGCTCTTATGGGCAGCTAAGAACGGCCATGAGGCAGTAGTAAAGCTGCTGCTTGACAAGAATGCTGATGTTGACGCAACAGATTATAACGGCCAGACACCGCTCTTACAGGCAGCTAAGGGGGGTTATGAAGCAGTAGTAAAGCTACTGCTCGATAAGAATGCTGATATCAACTTAAAAAATGATTTTGGCTCGACACCACTCTTTCGGGCGGGTATAAACGGTCATAAAGCAGTAGTGAAGCTACTCCTCGACAGGAACGCTGATGTCGACTTCAGGATGATGGCCGATCTGATCACGGCACTCAGGAATATGGGCACTCAGAGGCGTGCTCAATTCTACTCAGTGAGTCAAAGCTACCAGGGGGAGTGCATTGAAATATAGAATAGAAAGGTCACGGCGCGTTAGGAAAAACCTGGTACTTAGGTAGTGACAAGGTAACAGATTCATGTCGCGACGGTTCGAACAGCAGCGCCTCTTTAACGATACAGCACATAACCTCTCATCCTAATATCTCGAAGCGCTCACAGCATAATCCTAGATCATAGCTAAGCATTCCCAGAGTACTCCTAGGTCTTCTCGAAGATTCTTTACACCATGGCAGGGATATTAATTTCCTGAATGGTCCAGACCTTTCCACCCTGGCTAGAGCTCAATCCAGTATAGGTAGCACCAGAAGCAGTGGCAATGGTGCTACCAAAGTCGGGGTCGGCAGAGGCCAGAGTAATAGTAGTGTCAATATACTGCTGGGCGGCAATAGTTCCAGAACAAGAGTCATCGCACTCAGTACCAGTACCGTATCTATCACGGTGTTAGTGAAAAGCTGTGTGTCTACCATAAGGGGGTGAGGGTTCTTACCCTCTCATGTATGGGCCAGAAGCATAGGAGAAGCTGGAGAGCTCAGCGCCGCTGACAGCGTTGGTGACAGTCCTGGTTGTAAATTAGCTTTCTAGCTTGTCACAAATCACAGGGAAAAAGAAGGCTTACTGGGTCCAGGTCTCGTTATCATCCTCGAGAGTATACTCAATTTTAACATGGTCAGTGCCACTGATAGGGCTGGCATTGCCAGAGCACTGTCCAAAGCTGCCGAAGAGACTGGCACGAACACACCACTGACCAGTAGTAGCACCGCACCAGCTGTTGTCAGGCCAGCTCTCCAAGGTAGTCTGGACCAAATCTCCGGTGCCGTTGCTCATACCTGGCCAGAGGAAGAGTTCACCATTCTGTGTAGATGGCGCAGTGCCGGGAATAATGGTGGTCACAGCATTAACTATGGTGGATACAGAAGGACCTAGGGAAACGCTTCCGCCCCAGGAATCACGCTTGACAACATCGTTGCGAGGCAGAGGAACAAAGGAAGCAAGAGCCAATGTGGGAACCACTGCGAGAGCAGTAATGAGTTGCATCTTTGGGGGATTGTTTTACTTTAGTCTGTAAGTAAAGGTATGCCGTAGTGAATTAAAGAAAAGTCCTGTTCTCGAAGTATGTTCCCGAAGCCAACCCATGGATGATATAGGTATATTATATAAATCTCAAAAGGCCCTGCTGTTCTTGCCCATTGACAAAGTCTTACGAAAATTATACTTAGTTGGCAAGATAGGGTAGGTGGAAGATTTTAATTCCTCCGGATAAATTCGACGGTCTATAAGATCACCAAACCCGTCCTGCCTGTTTCATGTTGACGAAATTAAGCACTGCTTTCCTACCTGATATTTGGAGACTAGACTAAAACAGGTTCTTATGAGATCACCATATAAATCAATATGGATTGATTAGGGCTATTCTTGTTTCGGATTGCGGTAGGCTATGGTTGCCCCTATTGATTTCTATAGTATGGTGGGCCTGATCAGGATACAATTCCTATAGATAGTTAGGAAATGTTAACTTACCACCTCTATTTAATTTGGTTCTCAGTAAAACTTAAGTAGCTTATAAATACATGCTGTAGAATTTGTTTTACTTGATTATGTTCATAATATATCTTTTGTGTAAGTAGAGCGTGGTAAAGCCCAGAAAAACCATTCTCAATATTAGACTTCAACTCTGGAATTCAACCCTGCGCGTAAAGCGGTGCCGCCAAGCGCATACAAATCTTTTCTCTAGGCATTCTTATCTATTGTCTAGTTCGAAAGCTCATCAAAGCCAATAGTCCAGTCATATTGATTAATAGATGGGTAAGATACTCAAACATGTATAATTTTTGTAACATCCAACAACTCCATTGATCATCACTTCTCATACACCACGTATCAATGGAGACATAATGGAAGTAACGCCACAAAACGAAAACATAATAAACAGTTGAAAATCTTAAGAAAATAGACAAGAAAACGCCAAGCCATGCCAGATGCAGTGTATGAAAGTAGAAGCGAAAAGAAAATGGGTATAAAAGCCTTTCCCTTCCTGACAGATACTGGGGTAAAGTATACCCCTGTAGCTCTTTCAGATGATTATAAGTAAACAACTCCATAGATGAGCCATGACAAAGGAAATAAAGGGATATAAGGAAAAGCGAGAACCAGCTCGGTCATTTTCCATGAGGTGATGATTGTTTAGACGGCATTGCGACGGTAGGCGCCGGCGGCAGAAGCGAGGAAACGAGCCATCAGACCACCACCTGAACCTCCCAGGCTGTTGCTTGTCTTGATTTTCTTGCTTGGGTGCTGCGTCATGGTTGGCATTGAAGGGTGTTGCTTGGGATGAGACTTCATGGACTGCACGTTGACGTAGCTATAATTGAGCGCCGAGCTGGCTGGGCTGGCACTTCCGTCGACGACCATTACCTCGTCCACGGATGATGAGCAAGTGCTGATACTACCAGGCGTGCTGCGGACACTAGGTGCCACACTAGAAGATCGGGATGAAGGAGCCAAGGAATTGCTGGTTTCCGTACGCGACAAGGCAGGGACATCCTTGACGGAGGGAGGAGAGATTGAGCGGTTGGCGCTGCGGTAGGGTGAGGCGCGACGGCGAGGATATGGGCTGTATCGATCGGTATCCTCGACCATGGCCAGTGGAGAATTGCGGCTGACAGCGTGCGGTTGTTGTTGTTGTTGCTGAATAGTGGAGGTGGTGAGGTATTGCGATCTTCGCTGAGACAAAGAGCCAACATCTCCCCGCATTTCTTGCTTCTGACGACGAAGGCGAGCAGCTAGAGACTCGGCAGAAGCATTCAATCGCCACCAGTCGTGATGATGCTGTTGAGCCATGGCTTCCTTTTGCTCGGTAATCTCATATTGTCGGCGGATGGGAGCAAGGAAGGGCTCAAAATGCTCGAATAGATCTTCCTCATTGACGCGAGTATCCCAGTCCAGAAGGAACAGAAGTTGTCGTTCCATTAGGTTGACCTCGGCCAGGGAGAAGCCAAACCCTGGGTACCCTCGCACAGCAGTGTAACGTGCCCAGTGCTTGTTCTTCGGACTCGAGTCGTTCAAGTTCTTGGCGGCCAGGATTAAAGAAGCCAAAAAGATACGATGGACTGTGCATCGCATACCCTTTGCCACAGGCGGTAATCGAGCACGAAGACGAGCAAGGAAGACCAGCGAAGTCATTAAGGTGGGTACCTGGACTTGTGATCGGTGAACGATAGACGAGATAAAGGCTTCTAGTGGTGGTAGAGGAGGAAGGGTGTCGGCAGGATCCAAGGGAGGAGTGCTGGGAGGTGTGGGTTGGCCATGCTGGTTCATGGATGATGCGGTCACATGGCCTTCGCAGCGGATGACTTTCGATGCCTGTATAGCGAGGTGGGTGATCATTTCCCGTGACACAGGGAGCATGACAAACTCATTCAATGCGTCTCGGTTGTACGATTGCATTTTGGAGTTGAAGCTGGAGTTCATGTTGGGTTCCATGGTGGCTCGAGATGGTAGCGGGTTAGGGCTAGCTAGTCAGACAAGGATCGAGGTAGAAAAACGAGACGGTCGAGGTATTTGAATATTTCCTTTCGAGACTGTTCCAACCTGACTAGCAGAGTAAGGGAATAGTATCCAAGAAAATAAAAATGTAGAGCAAAAGTATATTCCAAAAATACCCAATTCAGAATGGTGGGATTCCGGGGATGTGGTATCGAGGTGAGGGTTGCTGGTCAAAGATCTTGAGCAGCGAAAGTGGACTAAACAAATTGTCGAATGTCGAACGTGGAACGAGAGAGATCGAATAGAATATTAAATTGAAACCAGGGTTGTTGCGAGATCCTGCCCAGCAAAGCAATTATCCGTAGTTCAAGAATGTGGCTCAAATTGTTGGTGTTGTCGTGTCAACCTTTGTGAACAAGGGCGTTATCGATAAATGTATATAGTACACTACCGGCAACCGAGAGACAAGCCAAAAAGATTATAGTAATGATGACGGCGCTAGTCGATTTATGATGCAGTCGATCGTTGCACTGAGTCAAAAATGTCAGAGTAAGCGGTCGAGTGTGGTCGTGGGGGCTGCAGTTACAGCAGCTTTAGCTTTTAAGGCAGGAGGATGATACCGTAGGATGCAATGGTAAACGGAGCAAAAACAGGAAAAGAAAGATTGATAAAAGAGAGGGATGGATGGTTTAAAATGAAAATCAAATAGTGAACAAAGATAGAGAAAAGACTAGTAGACAGTATTATTGATTAGACGAGAGAAAGTGTGCATGTGGATGAACCTCGTGAAAAATGTGAGGTCGCAGGCAAGTAGTTATATGCACTGGATGCCACACATCGTCAGTCGCCCACAGTATGCACTATGTATGATCCTCAGCCCAATCGAGGGAGGGCGCTTGGTGGCTGCCGGCCAACGCTGCAAGGACAACTACGAACCAGTTGTTCACTGTGGAGAGGCCGGACTCCAACAGAACCAAATGGGTCGCGGCAGGGGGGTTGGCAAAGAGTATGCCAGCATACCTGCGTTTCCTGGGCAGATCCAAAGGACCGTAGGAGGCGCCTGGTTCTATCTTTGTAGCGCGATGCTTCTTGACAAGGACATCCCGCGACGCGATTCGTGGAGGGGCAAGGCTTCTAGGGTCATAGAGGGACAACGGAAATAGGGTCATGCCCCAGTGCGCGCGGTCTTCTAAAACACCTTGGAAAGATCGGAAACAGGCTAAGGAGGGCATTACGGAGTATGGATAAAAATAATGGTGGTGTATGGGGAGGTGATTCGTTGGGATGGCCTGAGGGTGCGAGTGTTTCCAATTTAGGGCACAGCGGCTTCTGCAGCCAATAGTGGGCGGCGTGGGGCCCCTGACGACCATCACCCGCGACGCTTTGGTTAGGTCAGCCACTGGGTGTCTGTGTCATGGGTATGCGAGGAGTCTGATTCTGTATTCAGGCCTATCTATGGTTTTCTTTGTAAGTATTACATAGTAAGCAGTCACAAAGAGAACAAGTCATTGTATGCTTAGTACAAAGAGCAATCCTCCGATGGTAACACTGAGCACTGGCTTGGCATCCCCAGACTATCTATTCTTTTCCCTCAGACACAAAGGGATCTTCCGAGTCGGAATGCATTTATTGATTCTTCGGGTAACCTAGATTCTCGATCGCATCGTAAAGGAAGAACACGATCCTTTGACACGAACCGTTGCATACAAAAGTATAAATCTGACCTGGTGAGCTTACCCCGAGAAGCTTCGTTGGTATCGTCCGAGCCAATCATCGTGGGACTAAAGTGCAACTCTCCTACAAAGGACCCTCGGCGAATAATCGTCAGTGTACGTGTTCACTGCATGAAACAAATCCATAAAACATTCGATATGTAAATTGATGTCATCCCCATTCCTTCTCGAACTTTGTTGGATACGTCTGAGTAGCCGCTGGATAGGGCCTCGTAACTAGGTAGCATAGCCCCCAACCCCAGGCCACGGAAAGGGCCCTTTCTGACCTGCGATGATCTGATGATCCGAGCCGTACATTGTAATGTTTGTACTACTACTACTTTGCTGTAGCATGTTCCCGCAAACATCATGATGATCGCCTCGATAAATGTCAATTCTGCTACGATGCAGTGATACGTGGAAGCGATCCTATTTCTTTTGTCTTAGAAAACCTAGGACTCAACAAGAATCCGACGCTATGATTGTGCACATAATACGGTATGACGAATATCAAATCACATGACTTGACATTCTCTTCCGACGCTGAGGCCTTCGGTCGCATGCCTCGACACGCACCTAGATAGGGAATGGACGTCCTGTATTGGGATAATGGCATTGACCACCTTACCTGTACGAAATGCCTTACAAGAGCTCTCCTTCATTCATTCACCGACCCCAGACCCTTCATACTGACTTTGTCTGCAAATCTTCAAATGATCAATATTCTCATCCTTGGGATACCTGGACCCCTCCAGGTAATAATGTTTCATGTTCCTCGCGCTCAACAGGAGCTGGGCCTAAGAAGGCGCGAGAATGCAACACCTAGCTATTCATAGCGATGAGGATACGCCTCCACGTCTGATAGAACTGCCGGGCGCTACGAGAAACACCGACATTGCGTGGCGACAACGTCAACGTCAACGCCAGAGAGTCTGGGCCGAGGCCAGTGTTAAAAATATAAAATATAAAAATAAATGAAATGAAGAAGATCAACTCGGCAGGGAAGAACGGCGGGTCCGATTTCGATGCAGCGGCTAGCTAGCACCAATTAGGTAAGTCTACTGTATAGCCTCTCTGATTCGTCACATGGAGAACCTTCAGATCATATTTCGTTGCTTCCACGTCGATTCTTCAGCACTGCACTCTACAAAAGGTATTAGAAAGCAAGCTGAAGCTCGGCTCGTTCGGAGTCTCACTGGTAATGTTGACACGAAACATCACACGCGGACTCGGAAGGACGGGGCCATTACCGTACACAGGTAGGTACGAAGTACGGGGTGCTGAAAAAGATCTCTCCTATTGTAAGCTCAAGGCCGTGAGTTTGACGACTCTCTGAAGGCAACGAGAACCTTGGATAGAATCGCATAGATTCAGGCTAATCATCGACTACAGATAACGATTCTTCATGCGGATCCAGATAGTAGTGTTTATGTGAACGAGTGAGTGGTGTGAGCTTTAAACTCATCGTGCCGGATCCGATAAGCTGAACGTCTAGTCCACTTTTGGTCTAGCGCACATCTCCTTTCTCTACCAGCGCGAGATTTTCCCCAGGCAGAAATCAGGAACAACAACTTAAATTTAAGTTGCGAATCTTCATTGCCATTTTCCAAGATACAATTGGAAAGACAACACAGCTTCGCTCCTGACACGGCGAATTGACCTTTCAGTCCTCACATCTCCACAGCAATGGCAAAGACAAACAATGCCTCCTCGCGAGGCTGTTGCACCAGAACTCTCACAATCCTCGCTGTATTCCTCGCCGCTTTTGCCTCTCTGTTCTACTACCTCGAACAACATCTCGAGTCATTCTACATCTTTGACCCGGCCCATTTGCATGATGTTTCGCAGCGCGCCATTGCTGCGCATGGAAATGACACGCGCGCCGTCGTCAAGTACATTGTCGGGGAATTGGATGAGAAACTCGAAGGAAAGCATTTGAATTTTGAGGAGGAGTGGGTGTTCAACAACGCTGGTGGCGCCATGGGTGCCATGTATATTATTCATGCCAGTGAGTGTCAACGATCTCCTTTGATAGGTCACAACTAACGCCTGATTAAGGTATCACTGAGTACTTGATCATTTTCGGTTCGTCCATTCCTCCTTTCAACAATAATGAATACAGACTAACGATCCTAGGAACCGCAATCGGCACCGAAGGACACACCGGCCGCCACACAGCAGACGACTACTTCCACATCCTCCAAGGCACCCAACTAGCCTACGTGCCCGGTGAGTACGAACCCGAAGTCTACCCCCAAGGAAGCGTGCACCACTTGCGCCGCGGCGACGTCAAACAATACAAGATGGACGAATCGTGCTTTGCGCTTGAATATGCCCGTGGATGGATCCCTCCCATGCTCGGATTTGGATACGCTGATACATTTACGTCTACACTCGACTTCCCTACGTTGTGGGCTACGACGAGAATTACTGGTCGTGAGATGATTGGCAATTTATTGCAGGGAAAGATATAGTCGAACCTCAGAAAGGTATCTGACGTATGATGTTTTTGTCTTATAAAAGTTATATACTATACAGGGAAAAAGCGTGCATTACGTTTAACCCATTACATATTTAATATATTCCTATTACCAGGACATTGGTAAAATCCCTTCTCGCGTCTCAACAGGCATTTAGGTACATTTTGCTTGCATCTCCGCTGCAGCCTCAGGAATGTGACAGGGCCATGCAAAAGCTTACTTACATATATTGATTGAACGATTTATGTATGGTGTTCCCGTACATAATCCCATATTACCGGTGAACATGCATAGAAATATAGACCCGACTTACTCCGTATGCATGTGTAGCCGGATATATGCATCAAGGAACGATCACGATGACAAGACCTGATCATTGTCTGGGCATGAATTAGGAGGTTATGTGCCAATGCACCGGTACATATATTGATTGATTTCGGCGTTCAGCCACATTCAGAAATTTCAATGGATGGTACTGGTTGCTCCGGTGTTTTTGCCATTTGGTGGACCTTTTAAGCAAGGGTTAGTAGTTTCGATTGGTGAAGAAATTTTGTTCCGATAAGGTCCACATTTTGTGGACTATGGAATGAATATGGTCAGGGTCAATAGAATTTGGAGAGAAAGTGTTCATGGTCAATGCTCTTGACGTTCAATATGGTTATAGTACCTAGTACTAAGTCTCACCCGTGAATCGAGATCATGATATGGAGAATGTCACAATTCGCCATCTATTGAAATGAAGTTCGAGACTATTGAACTGCGACACAAACGCTAGCAAGATAGCTCATATTTCAACGTTCACGATGTATAACCTCACCTCGATCGGTCCACCAGATCGGATAATATAGCCTCATCTCAGATCTAGATTCATTCTCCTATGCTCCGTATTTCTCCCTCTGGTGCTGTAGATCTCGTAAATCGGCTAAGAAGTCGATTAAGCCATCAATAGTCTGAGTCCATCGGAAACTAAGATCACAAATGAGACTCATCAATTATTATATTGTGGAGGTTAGGTGGGTGATGTGGGTGACTGATCTGGTTCCTAGTGACGACAATGGAGCAGACTTGGGATTATATATGCCGACGGCTCGATAGGCCAATTGTACGTCGATTTTCATCGAGACTTGGTGTGTTTTATCGATAAGCATTTGTTGTCTGCTGTCTATCTCTGGTGTCAACATATAAGCTCACGGCGCCTTAGGTAGTGGAACTCGTCCAAAAACCAACCAAGCCTTCCAATATAGAGTTTTGATTTAGTGTGTGATAGATATAAAGTACATGATTTTCTACCAACAATGTTGCAAAAGGAGGAAGAACAAAAAAACAGATAATGCCTATCCGTACAGATAGGATCGCCCGATGTGGGGCTCGAACCCACAACTTTGAGATGACAGCAGTCTTATACCTCGGGGATACGATGGTCGTAAAAGTCTCACATTCTACCATTGAAATAACCGGGCATGCTTGGTTAAGAGGGGCTAGTCAACTTCTGGGTATATAAAGCAACTACTTGCTTGTGAGCACTCCCAAGGTTGTTTCAACCTACACACATCAACGCGTGTTCATACATATATATATATATATATATATATATACATGACTTCTTCCGTCACAAGAAGAAATGATTACAGTATATGATTGCTATCAGAGATAATACATCATGTACACATCACCTCCAGCTTCAGGATGATACAGACCTATTTCGATACTGAAATGACTCAATCAAGAAATACGTTGTAGCACGAGCCTACGTATTTGGATTATTGAATGATATTACGTTACTTCTGACATGATACCACCCGGCATTCCTGCTCTTTTCTGATGTGGTATGTTGGTTACCGTTTTCACTTCCTCTTTGTTGCGTTTGTATTATAACACGGCAGTCGGGCAAATAGCTCAAGAACAACCAGAAGTCAAGAATTTCCATGCTCTCTAGGTCCTATCTCTAACGTCAGAGGACACAACATTAAGCGCCCTACATTGATCTATATCGAGGACAAACTCCTAGCGTTTCTACACCTTTTGGTGACGACACCAGCAGAGAAGACCTTTCTCGCCTCGTCACCACTTTCGGAGATCTCTAATGTTGAATAATCAGGAGTGTTGTACTTAAGGCATGGTTTTCCGCAACACCAATCACCGACTTTAAAGTAATGGCACGAAGGGCGAAATCAGGGCAACCCGATCTGCTGGTTCAAGAATATAACGATGCCAAGGGACTGCAAGAGCTTGCCTATGCCCGACCACATCTCGACATATTGGGTCCATCTCTAGCCATATTATCTACGATACCGATGTCCGATGTACGTGGACTCTTTTATTTGAGCAAAAAGACCCCCAAGTGCTGGATATGGCGCCTGTAGTCGAATCTATAGAGTAGCAAGGTACCATAGATTCCGGAGACTATCATATAGTGTATGTTTCTCTAGTTGCACAAGCCATGGCGCTCACTGTGTGACAGGGTGTATTACAGACAACAGATGCGACATCATTCGTGGTACCTGACCGGCTACTGGATCAGAAGCATTATAGATAACTAATAGTATTGCACTGAAAATCTTGGGAGCTAACAATTGATGAAATAAAAATCACTCAACTAAACGGGAGGTCGCAGGATTAATGAACCTGCTTCTTGGGTAGATGAACAAAAATGTCTCGGTCATATGCTAGTCTAATCTAGACAAAAAGACAGAGAGAGTTACAAAGTCTCTAGTCTAGCATATATCCCCCTTGACAACAACTCTCCAATTACCCGGGTGTTCTCCGGTACCAGAAACAGTGCTATTATTCTGTCCAAGGCACGCGTTGATAATCTTCGTGGCGCCTGTTGCAATGGTATAGAATCCCGGAAGTGCTTGAGGCGAGGCGTTCTAAAGGTAGAGTCAAAGTCAGCGGCCAACTTCAATGATACCTGATCATAGACGGTTACATTGAAAAGGGAACACTTACATCATTACACCACCAAATCGATGAGTTGTACGAGCAGCTTACTCGCCCGCAATTATTTGGCCCAGGCCCATTCTTGGGCTGGCCAGCGATACCATTTAGATATTTGATACCATCCTCGATTTGGCTTGTATCTGCTGAGTCGTAGCCACCGCAAGTCATTTTCCAAATTTGTGCAGAATGAGCGACGGCAGTGGGCTCGGTGAGATCTGTAGCAGCTGTAGGAGCGGCAAGGAGATCTCCTCGCTTTGCAATGAATCCGAATTGATATCTGGGATTGATCGCGAGGAGTTGAGAGCGGACTTGTTCGACGGTTCCGTTGAGAATGATGGCGGGTTGGCCGGGTGTTGGGGTCACTTCCCAGGAGAGTTCGACAATGTCGTAGCCCGGCATTGGTGACTCGGAAGGGGCCAACCTGTGAGGTGGGAACTGTATCAATCGTGAGGTTGGATTTTCTTTAATGGCTTGTAGAGTAGAAAAWGGGCATCATACCCAATCTGCCGCTGCAGACATAATCAGCACTGCGAAAGCGAGGAGCATCATCTTGAGAATCAGAATTCTAGCTACGCTTGACGAATGAAACTTTGATACTTCAGGAAACTTCCATGCTCTATGGGAGGAGAATGCGGCTTATTTAAGCCTAACTCTGTCTGAGTTCCTCCCACGATGAGCTTTCATACTCCTAAGAAGGGCCAGTCTGGCCAAACCTGGTTACATGCATATATAACGACATGTACAACTTGCCTTTCTCAGAGCTTGTATCCGACATAGGTATCAATGATGTTTGATGGTCTCAAAACTTGGTTTTGGTTTGGATTTCTGAGACAGTGAGGCGTTTATACCTACATGTATCACAGAAGCCTCCCCTTCCCGACCTTACAACGTGTCGATGTGTGAGGAGATGCTTATCATGGCTAGCATTATGCACACGTAAAAGGTTTCAAGGCTATTGCTCGGTGGATCGCGCGTGCGAGATAACTCCATAGAATGGAGTTTACTATGCCGGAAGTGTCTTATTCGACCACGGCATAAAACAGGTTCCTTCCACGATTAGATGTGGATACTGTAATGATATGTGTTGCTGATGGCTCAGAGATATCGACATATATAGATGTAGACGGTCGAAGAAGTATTCGGATGCGCACATTGATATTTGATAAGCTTTAGTTGGATAGATGATTGACAGAATAGGTTTTGTATATATTGCCCTCCGGCTGTCGAAATATAGGTTGATTACCTAAATAGTGCGAGTAGTATACCAATACGTGGTACAGATGCATACAAGTGCTTACTTTCTGAATGACAGCTAAGACAGTAGATAGTGAAGCATGAAAATTCAGGAAGCTCATCATCAAGTTAGGGCTTCTCAAAACCCTAACCCTGGCGGGATGAGCGCGCTTTACCATATATGACCTAGCACGAAAAAAGTGCATGTGGGGTGTGAGGCGGCAATCTTATCGTCTCAAATTTTAGATTTCATCCAGGCAATTACAAGAACCCGAAGCAACAAACCGATCAGATGGCGCCAACACTCTGTTTCAACTGCCAGGCCGCGAGAGCCGTGATAATACGACCCAAAAACCGCCATAAACTATGCAAAGCATGTTTTATCGAAATATTCGAGACCGAAATCCACGAAACCATCGTCTCGACCTCGTTGTTCAAGCGCGGGGAACGAATCGCCATCGGCGCTAGTGGTGGGAAAGATAGTACAGTGCTGGCGTCTGTGATGAAGACGCTCAATGAGCGATACGATTATGGATTGAATCTCGTGTTGCTGTCCATCGACGAAGGCATCAAGGGATATCGAGATGATAGTTTAGAGACCGTCAAGCGCAACGCGGAACAATACGAAATGCCACTCGAGATCGTCGGATATGATGAATTATATGGTTGGACCATGGATCAGGTCGTCGCTCAAGTCGGTAAGAAGGGAAATTGTACATACTGTGGCGTCTTCCGAAGACAGGCCCTCGACCGCGGCGCGGCACGACTGGGTATCAAGCATATTGTAACGGGCCATAATGCGGACGATGTCGCAGAAACGGTAATGATGAATCTCTTACGTGGTGATCTGCCGCGTTTATCGAGGGGTACGAGTATCGTCACGGGTCAAGATAGCTCGGATATGAAGCGTAGCAAGCCGCTCAAATATGCATACGAGAAGGAGATTGTGCTATACGCGCATCACAAGAAGCTGGATTATTTTAGTACGGAGTGTATCTACTCGCCAGAGGCCTTCCGTGGTAGCGCCCGAACGCTTATCAAGGATCTCGAGAAGATCAGACCGAGTTCTATCCTTGATATTGTGCGAAGTGGCGAAGATATGGCATTGTTGGTACCGCCTCAAGTCAGTAGTGTGAAGCGCGCCTCTTCTACCGCCGATACGGATGATTATTCGACCGGTGGATGCGGAAACCATAATGGCCGGTCTAGTGGCGGGGAAATGGCAGCGATGGAGAAGCAACTTGCGGCGAATGAGGCTGCCGAAGATCATGAAATTGAAATAACGCTGCCGACTGCCAATGATCCCAAAAAGCCAAAGAAAATTGCTCAACAGCAGATCAAGGGAAAGACAATCAGGGCTCAGGTTATGGGCAAATGCGAGCGTTGCGGATATATTTCGAGTCAGAAGGTCTGCAAGGCGTGCATGTTGCTGGATGGCTTGAATAAGAATAGGCCCAAGACTTCGATTGAGGTTGGCTATGAAGAGGAAGAGAGTAGCTCGACGTTGATGCGTCAGATGGAGAGTGTGCAATTGACATCTGGCTGAACCTCGGTCGGCTCTATATGAAATAATCATTGCTGTGGTCATAGCCACTGCTCCCCATTATGACGATGGCTGATGGCATGCTCATCATATAAGGCCGTCTCATAGGTGCCATCACCACCAGGGACAAGACAGACAGCGCAGCCATTCGGAATGAGCAACCTTCCAGGGAACTCAAGGCTTCGATGCTAGCATACCTATCGCCTATTCTCGATTCGTCAGTGGTATGTATCGGGACGATATCGGCCAAACCAATGTCTGTCAATTAGATAGAATACATCCGCTTCAGTTCTATATACAATATCATACATCAATAGAATACATCCTATCACCATCATTTAGTTCCCAAGTGCGTACACTCCATTTGAACACCCTGTAATTATACCACCATTCTTCCCAACAGCCTACCGACCATCACTCTCCCCATCCCTCGTATTCTCAAGAATCTCCCCTTCCTTTGACGCCCCGATATCATTCTCAACAGGTAAATCCATCCCCACCCTCCTCGCCGTCAACCGCACCCTCTCTTCCTGATCCATATCCATTCCCGGATTATATCTCGCCACAAGTGTGGCATACATTCTTTGCGCTTTTGCGTATTGCACGAATTGTTCCGCGCGTTGGATTGATGTCAAAGTCGGCGATGACGATGACGATGATGACGAAGAAGAAGATGGAGATTGTTCGAATTGTGTGCGGAAGCGGCGCTTGAGTGTGTTGGAGGGTGTGGACGTGGAGAGGGAGATGTGTCGACGGGGAAGTTCGCGAAGGAGAGCGCGGTAGAGCTGGCGGGCTCGGAGGGGGAGGTCTGTTGCCATTTTGTTCTTATCTTTTTTTCCGTCGTAGCTTTTTCAATATATATTTCCACGGTGCAATGAATCGTAGTAGAGGAAAGGGAGTAAAATCTTTGATATGTCTCGTTGAAAGATCCAGAGTTGACGGAGGAAAGATTTAAAGTTGCGACCAAAGGACGCTAGTCTGATGCCTCAGGCTGTTATACTACGCCTACTTTCGACCAATCATATCACCCATCCTTCTACAAACATTTTTCAGAAGCCTTCGAAAAATCTCGAAAAGGATTTAATGTCCAGAGATGTGTTCCTCGAACCATCTGTTATCATTGTATAACCGCTTAATATATGGTATGTCCGAATGTCAAATGAATCCACAGATATATGGTATGTAGGTACAGTGAACAAAACCAAGCAAAAAACCAACAGCATAACAAGGGGGTATGAAGGTATGGTATAATCATGAAAGCATGAAACATGAATTAAACGACTTGCATATCAGTCGCGGGCGTAGGCAAGACAAAGGCAGTTCTAGTGGTATTATATGTATGGAAATGGATGGATTGATGGATTGATGGATACGAATCGGAGGTGAGTATCATCAAACTCGAGAGTAAGGTCAAGTTCGTAGCCAGCGAGGGCCCCACGGCTTGGTTCTGTCGATTGCACCGCCAGCAGGTTCCACTTGCACGCTTCGAGAATATAGTTCCTGCATGGTATATTAGCATAATTTCACTAAAAGAAAGGAAGAATAGACAAACCTCTTCATCAAACATCTTAGCATCCAGCACCATCCGCTGCACCTCTTCATTTTTCTGAATATACGGATACGGCGTGCGTTGACTGCGCTGAATGGCAAGAACCACATCACCCATAATCTCAAACTTCTTCCAATTGATGCGATCCTTGTTATCGCCGACAAACGTCTTGTTGCCTTCTTCTGCCGATACCAGGTCGCGCCGATGAAGCGGTAGGAATGGAATGCGCTCTCCGAATGAATTGTCCCACGCCAGGCGATATGCAAAATGACTCTTTTGCGTGCCCATCAAAATTACAAGTCGCAAGAAATCTTTTTGTACTGAGAGTGGTATCAATTCCCGCGTTTGTGCTAGTCGTTGGACAGGTGTGCCGTTGATMCCCGCCATGACTGCGCCTAAAGAGTTGTAGTTATTCAAACGGCGAAGCCTTAATGCAATGTTCATAAATTTCTCCATGGCCTTTGCTCGATGTTTGGCCTTGTCTCGGAGTAGTATCATATTTTCGACGAGAAGGGCGAGATGATTGAACTCTTGAATCATACGGTTCACATTCTGCAATGATTTGGAATTGCCCTTCTCGGCCCCAGATAGGCTGACGTGACGTACAAGATCTCGTGGTCTGAAAGAGGTAAACATCGCCCAGTCAATGCGAGTAAGCTCTCGAGCAAAGTCGTCATCCGGGATCTCCATGAACTGCCGCCATTGTATCTTGGTGAGGACATATCGAGACGTGAGTTCCAGACTCATTGCCTCTCGCTGGGCACTCTCTAACGCTAGTATAGCCGAGGAGGCTTGTGTCATGGTCGAGACCGATCTGCCGGTACTCGATATCGAGGATATTGTTCCCGAATCTCTGGACTCGTTCGTCGGCTCGTCGGACAAGTCTAGAGAGCTGATATTATTGAGCACATTCTCCGAGAATGAGGAGTGCATAAATGAGGTTGATGGCGACAAGTGTGATGACCCAGTTCCCTCTGATGATTCGCCATCTTCTCCATCCCGGAAAGGCCACCCAAGATCATCATCCTCTACCCGTAGTTCCAGATGTAGGCTTATTTCCTTCGCGGCGAACATGTACACATGACTATCTTCGATGGAGTCGACAAAATCGACTAATCTCTGACGTGTCTTGGGATTTGCGAAATCCCCTGGGTATTCTGAGGCCCATTGGGCAATCACTTGAAGAAGCCGTAATTGTTCAGAAGCCCGTGTCAATTGAGGTAAGTCGCTTCGTTCGGTATTTTCGAATCGAGTGATAAGAGCATTAAGTAACGTCGACGGGGCAGCGAACTTCCGGTATAGACATAAGAATATAGCACTAAACTTGGCGTCCTGTTTCGACATGGGCAACGCGATGAGTCGCTCGATCAATTCTTCGAAGGTGACTCCGGGGTCACTCGGCGCCGCCGTTTCGTACATGTGTTTCTCGGGCACATTCTCTGAGCTGGCCGGCCTGCTTCGCACACCATCGTCGGTCTCCTCTTCCATGTCCAAGAATGAACTGAATGCATCTGCCGATCCGGCACTGTGACGCCAAGTTGTCCGCAGAGCGCTCTGGCGTAGAGGGGAATTGCTCGAGATGCCGGGGGAGGAAGGTCTGCGAGCTGCTGCTGCGGCAGCTGGGTTCATCCGAGTTCCAGACGGAGGGGTGTTTGGTCGCACTGGATGTGAGTTGCTGCGGCCATTTCTGGAACCGGGGACATTGAGAGCCACGGTGGTAGGCTGTTCGTCGTCGATGGGGACGCGGTTGGTGACCGGTCCCGCCGACTTTAACGAGGCGGTAAGAAAAGATTGGATCGTCGGTGCTTTTGGCTTTTGCAAAAACGGAGTCTGTCTGACTGATGTGTCAAGCTGTTGCTATTATTGTGTCCCCAGTTACCTAGGCAAGCTAGTCGTGGCGAGTCGTGCGGGTCAGCATGCACCAGCAGTGGAATTGGGGGGGGGACACGAGGTGATTAATATGGAGGAACTGGCAGCAACAGCATGGGAGCCACTGACGAGACTTGCGTGGTGTCTTGTTCAAGCGAGCTCTAGAAAAAGGCAATGGTCAGAAGTATATATTAAGTCGACCCGACCGAGTGGATCACAAAATAGGAGCTGCTGGCGACCGTTGGAAGAATAGGGCGTGGTGCGACGCTTCGTGACTTTTAACAGCAACCTAGGTAGGCTAGCTTGGCCCCCTTGGTTCCTACGCTAGCTACGGAGACGGACACCCGGCCTTATATCGCCTTCGGACTCTCTCAGCGCACTACGCACTACACACTAGTATTGTCTGTCCTATTGTTTGCTAAATGGAAAACCTACGCTGGAATGTCGGCATCCACATTCTCATGTGTCGGAGAGAATATCCTTGTTCCATCATTAGGCCACCCACCTGATGTTGCCGGACACGATGTACGCGATATTTTCTCGGAAGACTGATGTTATTTGATTGATTCACAATACCTGCCGGCCTAGGGAACTATAATTGTTATAAACCCAAATTTCTCCGCAATTGACCGAGTGCTGTGTAGCGAGGCCTGGTGGTATCCCCGGATTATGTAGCAACCCAATCTATATGTGTATGATACCTTGCTAATGATAGATCGATCGCCCGGCAGATAGAGCCTCGGTAATGTACTACGATATCAGTACAGATTGTCACATCTATGCTACGGTTACATGTCAAGTGTGTGATTCGCCGGTTGGCCTGCAATTATATCTGTCTGGCCTAAAAACATAAAGTGCACCATGTGAGGACATGAGACGCCCAACAGTCTCTGCTTGGAGGCGCACGAAATCAGCGGTCTGGACTCGCAGTGTCGGAAAATGCTCGATGATCTTCAATCGTTGAGCATATGGCATACCATCACTGCAAGGATTGTGCCTCTCGAACATTCACAGTCCAGTTGCCTGTGATACTTGACATCTTGGAGTAAGACCCTGACAAGTGACATCTCAAATGGTAATAGGTTCTGCCAGAAAACCTGTTCGTTCCCGATAGATCCTTTGCCCATTAAATACCGATCTTTTTGAAGGGCCCGTCTTGGTATAATGGCGATGGCCGGTGAGCATTGACGACTCGTATGCCCTCTCCTTTCTCAATCCTTGCCTTTGAACATTGCAAGTAGAGGGGCCTCGGCACTCATAGGGATCGTAAGAGTAGCTACTGTACGCAAAATACTGCAAAAAAAAGTCCTTCGCAGCCGTCGGCAGTCCTTCCGAGACAGAATCAACCTTCGTGCTCGCCTGCAACCAGGGCCATAAACTTCATAAAACCCTCGGCATCAGCGTCCGTGCACTCTCCACCTTCACAGCCTTCTCTCCATCGTCTAACTTTGCCCACTCCACGGTTGAGTCCTTTTTCTGTAGTCCAGGTTCCACGATTGTTGTGATGATGGTGATGATTATGAGCCTGTCGATCGCCGCGGTGGTATGTGCTGTGCTTTTGCTCTGCGTCCCATTCTTCCTCCAAAGTGATCTTGTAGATCTCTCGTAATTTGGTGCGAAGATTGGGATATTCTGCAAAGAGCTTTTGAATTTCTCCCAAGGGTATGGGTCCTTTGGCGCTTTCTTCCTGCTTAGCGAGACTCTGCGAATCCTCGGATGGCTGCTCCGGGAAATGGTTGGCCGCAGTTGTATCTTGCTTCGGTGCGCAGTAGATTTTGTGTGATTTTGTACAAGCGAGAGAACAGCTTAGACGATATTAGAAACATGCCTCACAACACAGAAGGAGCAGAAAACAAACCTCAGCAAGCCGCAAGTTGGGCACTTGTATTTGGATGCTTCTTTCGAGCACACTTCACAGGTGGGCATTGTGTCCACCAATATTAGAAGTGGGTGCGTTTATAGAGTAAGATTACCGGTACGATATGGCAATAACCAAGGAAAGACGCTCTCAACGTGGTCGTGGTTGGTGGAAATTGATGTTTGTTAATAGAGCTCTCGACAATTTTTCGTCATGCATCATGGATGCAAATGCCTATGTGGTCCGTGCATGAAACTCGAAATCAACGCAAGAATCCTAGCAAGCCCAATAGGTTGGGCAAAATCAATTATAGACTATTCTTTCCATCTTGAAGGTAAATCTGCTAGATAAACAAGCGTAGTGTAGACGAGATAGAAAAGTGAAGGAGTGTCTCACGTGCTTTTGACGTCAATGCCTTCCGGGCAAATTCTCGCCGGCTGGTTTGTAATCAATTTATTTTATTCACCAACACACATCCTCACGAGAAGCCGACACCAACATAATCCAGTGATTGATTATACAACTGCTATACAATGTCAGCACAGCAAATATCGCGGAGTCTTCTCCGTCGTACAGTCCAGCGATCGCAGAATCTGACCGCAACGATTGAGGCTGTTCGATTCACCACCGCTCGGAGATCTATTCACTATGCACGAAGCGGTATATCTGCTATAACACCATCTCAGAACCGTCGCAGGCCGACCTTACGCCCTAGTCATCAGATTTCAGCTCTACCGAAAATCAATGGACCTTCTACAGGCAACAAGCGATCTATATTCATCCAGACGGAATCGACGCCAAACCCGGATGTGAGTCATTTGTCTATTGAAATCTACGCACTTTAGATTCTAGATTGAACGACTAATTATTTTTGGTAATCGTTGCAGGCACTCAAATTCTTACCTAACCATCGCGTCTTGCCGGAAGGGTTTCCAACTCCCTTTTTAGAATACTTGTCGCCGAGGTCGACTCTCGCTCCGCCGCACCCTTCACCGTTAGCAGCTAAACTGCTAAATATCGAAGGCATCTCCTCCGTCTTCTATGGACCTGATTTCATAACAGTGACAAAACAAAGCGACGTCAACTGGGCGCATGTCAAACCCGAGGTCTTTAGTCTGATCACCGAAGTCGTCACTTCCGGCGAACAGATTGTGAATACCGTTGAGCGCACTTCCGGTGCGCAGGATGCACAGGAAGGTGGCAACGAAGATACCTTGGCGTATAATGAAGAGGATGACGAAGTAGTTGGAATGATCAAGGAGTTGTTGGAGACTCGCATTCGACCGGCTATCCAAGAAGATGGAGGAGATATCGAGTTTCGCGGATTCGAGAATGGAATTGTCCTGTTAAAGTTGCGAGGAGCTTGTCGAACTTGCGACTCGAGCACCGTCACGCTCAAGAATGGTATCGAGTCGATGCTTATGCACTATGTAAGCTCTATATCCCCCTTGGCTAAATCTTGAACTATTGATTGACTGACCGTCTACAGATTGAGGAAGTACAGGGCGTGCAACAAGTTTTAGACCAGGAGGAAGAAGTGTCGATGCATGAATTTGCCAAATTCGAGGAAAAACTGCGACAGCAGAAGGGACCTGGTGCTACGGCTTCGTCGCCATTAGGTGGGGCTCAGGCTTAAACAACCTATGCCTGATCATGAATAACCTGTAATCATAATTGATATGTACTTAATTGATAGAATGATACACAAAACTCTCCAGGAACGTTGTCCTGTACGGACAAGAGAGTATGTCCCGTTTGCCACTTCAAGATGAAGTTCAAGTTGCCACTCTATTTCCACGGATCGAGAGAATAGTGAATGGTGTACATAGCACGAAGCTGGATGCCAGTGATAACCAACCACACGTATTACCATTGTTCAAGTAAGACTTGCGAATGAGTCGTATGATCTACTCCACTTTGCCTCTAGCTGGAGTTGCAACATGTGATTCCTTGAGTTCTATTAAATACATTTAGTTGGAAATGCTCACCAAGGATACCGTGATCCCTGCTTCCCCTCGAGCCCCCCTTCTTCTTCTTCTTCTTCTTCTTCTTCTTCTTCTTCTTCTTCTCACTGAATTTTAGTGGGGATCTCGTTAATCCTTTGACGCGCAGTTAGTTACCTATCAATAAAGGTAAAAAGTTTGAAAGTTTGCTGTCAGAGACACTGAAGGCCCAAACTGGGGTTTGAACCCAGGACCTCTTCGAATGTAGACAAATCTTCATGTACAGAACCCAAGAAAACTCCAAGAATACTTTGGATCCTAGAGGAAAGTCCCAAACGTAGAATCATACCCCTACACCATTCGGGCCTTGGAAAGTGGAGTCTGTATCCATCGTCGATTGACTCCGGCTACCCCTCCGCGCCACAAGCCTTGGTTTGCGCCATGCTTCATGCGAGTCATCTCCGAGTCAAATTTACCCCGGATTCTCCATTTTGTCATGTTAAGAGACTGCGGTGGTAGACAGTCAAAGAACATGTCTCCAACAATCAATTGTCGAACGAATTACCGCGGCACCCACTTTCATCTCATCTTTTTCAAGCCTAGGCAAACGCCGGTTTTGTGGGGTAATGGCTGGACAGATTCATATGTACACAGTTAGGTACGTACACTACATGCATCCCCCGCCTTTGAAAGGCTCATGCTTATTTCTCTATGTACGTCTCCTCTGGCGTGCATGAATCAGTGAGTCGAGAACTCGACATGCCCCAGGCAGACATGCCTAAAGGACGTATGGCTGTCTGCGAAGAGCAAGGAAGACGATGCGTTGAGAGAGATGTTCGATTAGTCTGGGCTAGGCTACAATTTACCCCGGAAAACAGGAGTTGTCCGCTCAGTCAGCTGGGAGGAAAATCCCGCACTCTTTTAGTCTAGGCTCCTTGATTGGCGGGCTGACCTGGAGAAAGCCTCTGTACGGAGTAATATCTGCAACTTTGCGTGTTATGTATTATGTGTAATGTATAACTGACGGGTACTCGGAATGCCTGCATAGACTGTAACGACGTATCCTCCGTACACGACAGTGTACTCCTACGTGCTCGAAAAGTCGTGCAGCCACCGCATACCCAGACATAAAAGCCATGCTATCGATCTGGGATCTTCTTCAGATTGATTGTCACTTCCCTGTAAGTGTCGTACACGATAGTACAACGCAGTGTTCAGTGTCCACTCGAAATGTGCAGGTGGGGTTGTATTCATAACACTACGCTGTAAATTCCTGTACGTAATTTATCCAGAGGTCGTGTGCATCGAACCCCATACCTGCGCCAATGAGAGAAGAGGTACCTCACCTGTCTGGCTGGTGTACCAAGGCGCCACTACCGAGGTTCTTGCCACCTGGGCAAGCTGTTTTCGTCGCTGAGAGATCGAGACTCATAAGGCGACGCTTCTTATACTATGTACTACGTATATGGTTAACATGTCCTGGTAACCTTTTGTCTGTCTTGTTGGGTGCGATGTTCTGGAGCTGGCGATGCTTTGTTCTCCACTCATGTCGAGGCTAGCCTGATGGATTCTGCGGGGACAGGCTCGGCCAATACCAGCGTGCATGCCAAAGTCAAAGCGGGTAAGATTGTGTCTGATTGGTGCAGAGCGAGGAAGCATACAAAGGCTGCGACTGAATGGGCAGGCTCTTTCCTGATGAGTGACAGAGAGCGCTCCTTCCGTCTGCTCCAACTGCTCCATGATGTCTTTTTGTCTTGGCGCCTTCCCCAACGGCCTGCGATGATCTTGTCTTTCCCTCTCTCTCGCACTATCGCAGTGGTTAATATCTGCAATAATCTGCATGGAATGTCTCCTCATCCAAAATATCTTCAGCCCCTACTGCATTTTTCTATGAGCGATTAATCGGCCATTGACCAGTCGTCTGTATTCCTGACTCCTTCTCGCCCATTCTGTTGATTTGCATCGCATCCATCCTGTTCTCGGCACACGGGACGGACAGGTACAACAGTGACACTGGCTAGTACTGACTTCTGTACGTCGCTTAGTCCGTCTTCTTCATACCCCAACTAGACGGACCAGCTCTACGAGGCTATCAGATTACTAGCCTACGGCGCAGACACGGTGCACGGGTCTCTAGCGCGCTGCATTCGCTCTAACCCCATTTGCTTCTGGGCTGAATCTCTCCTCGCGACACTGACACTCCTGCCCGCACGGAAAGACACTGGCCACTTTTAATCACAAAAAAAAAAAAAGWAAGAAAGAAAAACAAATTACGCATACGGATACACTACAGAAGGACGTATCGTTGTAAGCTGGGCCAGACCGGAACAGACGTGGATTCTCGGTGCGGAACACCATGCTTCCCATCCATACATTTACCCCATAATCCGTCCATTCCCTCTCCCTTTTCACTTTTCTCCAGGTCTTACAAGCCTGCCGCGCCACCACCTCATCACCCAACTCGATGCCACGCCGCCCATTTGCCCCCCTCCCCCTTCCAATACATCTGACCCCCCTCTCTATTTTATTTTGTCCTTCACGAATCGCCTTTTTCTTTCCTCCTTCCTTCTGCTTATGATCTTTGTTCTTATTCATTGGATAAAGCAAAAGAAAAGCAAGAGGTACTTTTGTTGTTGTTGTTGAGACGTCTTCGGATCATCTCCCGACAATACGCTAAAATCATCTCCAGCTCTCGTGACTGACGCCTGTTAGGGGAGCGGAAGCTTCAACATCGACGGGTTCGCATTTTTTCTTTCCAAGTAAGTGCCACTCCACCAGCGCAATAGATTTCTCGGATTTTTATCGCAGGTCGCTATTATAAGTCTATACATTAACTCGTTCGCTATCTACAGATTCTACAAGATCTGAAAATGCGCTGCTTCTATGGTGCGCATCACCTATTGGCGCCAATTTGCAAGTAGTAGCGCATTACCAGATTCCACGATTTCATCTCCGACGCTGTCCGTTCTCATTGTCTGGCAACGATAGCTTTCGGGATTATACTTCGTCCCGCGATTCAAGAAATCGCATCTTCGCGCGATATACACATACATTAAACAGATCTCAAACCACCTACAGCAAAATTGCGCATTTGAGCCCGGTCGTAATTCTCTCCTCGTCGCAGGCCATCGACCACTGGAGAGCTGGCAAAGACCTTGTACATTTTTGATTCATCCGGATAGACTACAGGATAGAAGTTGTGCCTCCGCTAGGTAGACTGGTAAGTGTGATCGATACGCTAAACCTCTTCCCTCTAACGTGTATGGAAGGCATCCATTTGTTTTCGATTTGTTACGAGACCCAGAAATTGATAGATTGTATTTCTTGCTTAATAGGTAAGAACGTCTTCTCATCACGAGCGTCATTTCATTGCTAACCAACTAATCTAGTTCCCTGTGACTTTGCACGTGCCTCAATTGAGCTAAGCAAAGTACTCATACACATACAAAATACCTTATTGCTTCGTCTACCACTCTTACGGAAACTATCCTGTCAGGTACCTTGAAAAAAAGCAAACATATCTCAATCATCATGGCCGCAGGTACAGATAAACCGATCCTGCCCTCAAAGGCTGGGGCCAACACTGCGTCTGGAACCAACGCATCCATTCGTCTAGAAAAGGGTAAACCTGGTGTCAGACGCTCCACACCAGATTCCGAAGCTCTTACATCTTCCGATGACGAGTTCGAACATCTTCACCAAGTAACGACGGCTCATACTGCGCCCATAGCAAAGCCAGCTCGTCGCACATCTTGGCTCAACGAGGTTCCCCAAAACCTACCCCGAAAGGCTTCGTTGACGACAGCAGGTTCTCTTGCGTCTCCCGGGATCCCTTCCTCGTCAGCTGCTGACCAGCCGGGTTGGGCTGCCGCTACTAGCCCTAGCCTGAACAGTTCCATGTCCTGGGGTCATGGAGGAAGCTTCCCTTGGGCTACTGGCATCTGGACATCCGAGACAAGAAAAGAACCACCACCGAGATTGACTGAATTGAGCCAGTCGCCGACAATGCCTAGTATGGCAGTCACGAGTTCCGGCGCCGATGAAATACTCAGTCCTACCGCACGGTCCATGACTGGCGAATCTTCCATTCCGTTTACTATCCCTCTTCACCCCACTCCAAAAACCTACCGATCACAGTCTTACTCCGTTGGCCAACTTGATCCAGAGACAATGAATATGATGTCAACCGCCACTACCAATCAGCTCGGCGGAGTGCGTGGCCGTCCTGGAAACCAGGTTGGAGGACTTCAGCACCGAACTTCGCGGCCTAGTATGCTGGAAGACCTTGGTCATGACCCTGCACTCTTGGGTCGCGTGCGGGAAGATGACGCTGATGATGAAGAGAATGCAAATGAACTGAACGAAACCCAATCGTACACTTCTAACCAAGCACGAACGATTGAGCAATTAACAAGAGAGAATGCTCTCTTGCGACAAGCCGCCCGTTTCGACGGAGCTCGCCTGAGAGACCGTGCTGTTTCATCCGCATCCATTAACAGTAACTACTCTCTTCAGAATGGCTTGCACAGTTTGCATCGTATCCAAGGCAGCGTACCAGAAGAGTCTGATCTTGCCGTGGAGGACTTGGATGAGCTCGGTGTTATTCCTGGGTACGGTGGCCTTCGAAACAGTGGCCGTCGAAGATTATCCGAACATTCAGCCAACCTTGAACGACAGCTCGCTGCCTTCGGCTCGGTCGAGAATAGACCTTTAGAAAATCTCAAGCGAGCCCACTGGCAGACTTCACTTGGATTTGGCAGTATTGGAGAGCTATCCCAGAGCAGGCGCCATTCGTTTGCAGATATCCCTACTAGACATGGATCAGTTGGGTCAATCGGTGAGAACCCTTCGCAAATGGGTTCTCTGGGAGGTCTCCACGATCATGAAGACGATTTCGCTAGTGCTCTTGAAGGGGCACTTTCAACACCGACAGCTGAACATCGTAGGTTTTTGCTGCTGAGTTCTCATCTATTTAGGCGCAGTTGACTGACCATGACTAGCTTCATATTATTCTTCTCGTGACCCCCTTCGTGGTGAAATGTCTCCATCTCTACATCAAGCGTACAATGTACCTCCGGCGTATGGTCGACCTCATTCAGGACTAGCACAGCCTCACCAGAACCAGCGACTGTATATCGTGACATTCAAATGCCACCGTGCAGATGTTTTTTATATACAAGAAGACACTGGACTCCAAGTCAACCCGGGTAACCTGGTGATTGTTGAAGCAGACCGTGGGACAGATCTCGGAACTATTCAGCATGCCAATGTAACCTGGCAAGAGGCGAGGGAGCTAAAAGAAAAGTTTGCAGAAGAGCACTACAAATGCTTGATGATGTTCTCTCGTCAAAACCAGGGTGGAGCATCCCATGTAGTCAATTCAAGCTTGGGAGGGCGCAGCGCTGTGGGTGGTATGAGTCCAACTGGTACCCATGGAGCTCATGAGCCTCAATCGACAGAGATCAAACCCAAGTTGATCAAGCGGCTTGCACAGAATCACGAGATTTTGACTCTTCGTGACAAAGAAGGAAATGAAGCGAAAGCCAAGCGCGTGTGCCAGCAAAAAGTCGTTGAACATAGGCTTAACATGGAGATCCTTGACGCCGAATTCCAAATGTAAGTATTTTGAGACGTACTGTCTGCTCATATGACTAATTGTCTCTAGGGACTGGAAAAAGTTGACATTCTACTATTTTGCCGACTCCTATATCAATTTCAATTCCCTGGTTACAGACCTCTTCAAAATCTACAAAACTCGGATCTGGATGTCTGCAATCAACCCAGCTTCCTTTGTCACACCAACCGCTGGGCTTCAACTTCCGGGTGTCGGGCCTGTTGGATACACTCCAGAGCCCTCGGCTGATCGTCGGCATCCTCCCGAAAGTCGAAACTACGGTATTTCGCCTTTATCCCAAACACCCCCGAATCTTCGTGAGGCTCTGGAGCGAGGTGATTTTGCCGGTGGAAATGCCGCTCTTCGCAATACTTATATCGACCAATACCAAGGGTTGGGCTCAGGTGCTCGGCAACACGACACGGCCTTTGGTCCCGGTAGTCCATCGCATGATCCGTTTTCGTCGATTCCGTCAAATGGTTATGGTTTCCTGGATTCAACAGGTTCGGACTACATTCGGGCAGCCTCTAACCAGCGGGTCGAACACCCTCAAGCAGACTGGGTTGGAGGATTCCAGGGATTGTCACTTAATTCCTGATCACCTTGAACCAACCGTGAGGTCATCTTCAATCCCCAATCCTTATTTTTCTTTCTTTGCATTTCCATTGTTTCATTTGCAGTTATAAAATTGTCCTAGATTCTCGAATTATATTTCCAAAGGGTAGATCGACGAAGAGATCTACAACCTATCCCTCCAGATACCTCATAGACTACGGTGAGACTTCGCTTTTACAATTTTCCAAAGCTGTATGAACTGATTGTGCTGCGACTGTCGATGATGTTTCTATACTTGATGACTTATACTGATGACTTTGATCGTTTCTTGTCAATTTCTCATATTCCTTGTGTTTTTCTATATTTCTTGACCATTCTTATATCTCTCACGAGTGGCGGTCGTTTTTACTTCCGATGTTTGATCTTTTTTCTTCGCTAGAGACTAAGAGGCAATATAACGATCGCACTGGACATGATTTTGTTGATTACCTAAATGACTAAACAAAAGTTATTTTCAATCCATCTCGTTCTTTAGCTCTTGAAATGGAGTGTTTACATGGTACAACCTGGCTCGTTGGTTACTTAGACTCTTTGATGAGGTTTCTCACTACGCTTAGAAATTAGATTCTAATTAGCTTACAAGATAATATAAGCACTAATGTATTAGCCCTTCTGTGCGTCCCCTGCGCGCTGAGAGACCTCGCCTTGGGGCTGAGCACTGAGATAACTTAAGACCTCTCTTTCTTCTCTTGAATCACACTTGAATTGGTCTGCCATTCTATTTGACATATATCCCAAGTTATCTTATTTTCCGATTGCTCGCTAAACCCGGGAAACTGCTATCGATATGCATCTTCTGATACTAGGGGCTACAGGTCGAACAGGGCAATATGGCTACCAATTCGCTCTGGAGCAGGGTTAGTTTTGTATGTTAACTCCGTCAGCTATGTGCTGATTAGTTTCAGGACACAACGTTACAGTCATAGTCCGCAATGCCAAAGCAATCACCTTCACCCATCCCAACTTGACCATCTTCGAAGGCTCAGTGCTATCAGAACAAGATATGGCCCACGCCTTCACAACTTCTGCCACTGCTCAAGGCCCAATCGATGCGATCCTAGGCTTCTTGAACCCTTCACGAGCATCTGAATTTCCATGGGCAAAGGTCATTGCTCCACCACGGTTACTAGTCGACTCAACCGCTATTGCGGCTCGTCTTCTCCAACATCAGGCTCATGAGTCTCCACGTCTGATTATAATGAACGCACTAGGTTCAGGAGAAAGCCGAAAAGTCACGCCATGGTTCTTCCGGGTTTTCATTGATTACAGTAATTTGAGGTATACATATGATGACCATGACGCTGTTGACGCTGAGATTGAAGAAAATTGTGGCAGCAAGGTCAAGTGGACGTTGGCACTGGCGGTGAGTTTGATGGGCGCTGGAACAAATCCAGTCAAGGCGACGTTGAATACGGAGGCTCCAGCGAGTTTGTGGATTACGAGGGAGAGCTGTGCGAGGTGGATGGTGGATGTTGCGACGGGGACGTATGGGGATGAATTTACGGGTAGGAGGGTTGGAGTGTCGAATTGATAGTATTTTTGAAATTAGACAAAGCTCGTGGTTTATTTGAAGCTGTATGTAGACTCAGCAGAGAGATGTAGAAGAATTGATTCAACAGCCAATCATATTAATGAATGTGATGCTCCTTAGTGCACGTGACATAGCCCACCATTCGTGGCTTATACCTCCTCTGATTGGTGGTCATTGTCACAACCTCGCTTCGCCTAAAATCCTTAGCGTCCCACACAGTCCACCACCAAACGACAGATCTTGAATCTTTTCTCAGCCCGTCTTTTGACCTGCGAAAAAACGACAACCACGCCGACACAACCGACGACCCCAAAACGACAAGGTATGTCATATCTTTCCGGCCATATGATTCACGATTGAATCAATTCTTTGCTCAATTCTTTGCGTTTTGCTGGATCTGACGAGTTTGTTTGTGACAGATGGGTGCCCTTAAATACGTCGAGGAGCTTCAGAAGAAGAAGCAGTCCGATATCCTTCGCTTCTTGTTGCGTGTCCGATGCTGGGAGGTGAGATTCTACGACCCTTGAATGCTTTTTTCTGCTTTTTCATTTGAGATTGCTCTATCGGAAACCTGCCGGGACATGGAGATCGAAGAAGACGAAGTCTAGGGAATACCATGAAGATATTTTCTTTTGGAGACTTTCAAACCGACGATACCCCATTGATTCTTTCTCATGGAGTATTAGGCAGTCTGAAGATTTCCAATTCTTTTTGAGAACCTCTCCTTGAGAATTCAAATCCGCTCGGTCCAGGTGGATGTGTGGCACATCGAATTGAGCAGCAGTCTTTTGCTGCTTGTGTCTTGCTATACACTCGTTGAACTTTGCTGAGAGTGCATCAATATAGCTCCGTCAACTTAATGTGATCCACCGTGCTTCCCGCCCTTCCCGCCCCGACAAGGCTCGTCGTCTCGGATACAAGGCCAAGCAGGGATACGTTATCTACCGTGTCCGTGTTCGTCGTGGTGGCCGCAAGCGCCCTGCTCCCAAGGGTGCCACCTATGGTACGTTCTTGTTTGTGCGTCGTTATCTCTTTCGAGAGAGCTAATTGTGTTTGAATAGGCAAGCCCACCAACCAGGGTATCAACCAGCTCAAGTACCAGCGCTCTCTCAAGTCCACCGCTGAGGAGCGCGTTGGTCGCCATGCCGCCAACTTGCGTGTCTTGAACTCCTACTGGATCAACCAAGACTCCACCTACAAGTACTTCGAAGTCATCTTGGTCGACCCCCAGCACAAGGCCATCCGCCGCGATCCCCGCATCAACTGGATTGTCAAGCCTGTCCACAAGGTGAGAATCATGCTACAAGGCACGACACATGAAGATTGGACTAACAAACTTATAGCACCGCGAATCTCGTGGTCTTACCGCCACCGGCAAGAAGTCCCGTGGTATCAACAAGGGTCACGGCTACACCAAGACCAACGCCGGCCGAAGAAAGACCTGGTTGCGCCACAACACCCAGAGCTACTGGCGTTACCGCTAGACGTGAGGCATCTCAACCTGGGTGGTGGACGATGGAACTATGGTACCTGGTTGCTATCTTGCACGTGTTGTGTGCTAAGATACTTCTGGAATGCTTTAGTAAAAAAATTCATTATCATTCAAAGAATGATTTCATTCTATTACTATTCTAAGGATTTCCAGCGTGTTATGATTGGTTTTAACGACAGGAGTCGTCTTATGTCTTGATTTCAAAGTGTGACGACTGAAAATAAATAAACGTCAATTGATAATATCACGTCTGCCTCTAGTCATTTAGCCTGATAAGTAGTACGTACTGTGAAAGACGAGGTTAATTAAAACCGAAGCTAGCCAGCTATCAGTTCATGCTAGATTAGTTTGCCAGCGCCAAGTGGTTCTTGTATGGACATGTCTTACCTTGAAGCCGTACTTCTTGATTCTGACAAGGCGGAGACCCACCTCTGGTCTCCTCAGTCCGGCTAGCTACTGCTACCATTCATTGTCGGTCTCAGGTACGCAACCCACTCTCCTACGCTTTTCCTTAGGTACTACTCATTCTTGAAATCAAGATTTATTCATTTTTATCCCTACCTTATCTCATTGGCAGGAGAGAAGTCGAATGTTTCACTTCGATGTGCTCGCTGTTCACTGTTTTTTATCTCGGGCCGGACCCTCCTGATTAACGTAACTCTGTCGATTCGTCTCATTCACACACAAACACATCACGTTCTTCGGACATATTCTATATCTATCAATATCGTACATATCATATCAGCATCTCTGGTCAACGCTCGGGAAAGGTGGATAGGTGACGTTTCGGTACACTCGCTATTGTGTCCGATACTACCTCCGCGCTTCGATTTCTTGCTTCTTGTCTGCATGCGGTAACCACAGCATCGCAACATCGCAACGCCAGATCAAAAGCTTGATTTAACCTCTAATAAGCTGGCACGAATTACTTGACGCTTAATCGTATGACACAATCGAGCTGGTATCGAGACAAAAAAGAACGAACGGATAATATACAGACAGAAGAAAGGTTGAAATAGAAAGGATATCGACATTGTCAGCAAAATACATGCATCGTCCACATGCCGACGTGGCCCTCTCGAATTCTTCCGAGCACGTCGTCGCCGAGCTCGCATTCCAATCCGGCTCATGCGCCGCCGCCGCCGCCTCCGTCTTCTACTCATCGCAACCCGATTGACGCGAATCGAACTGCAATCACTGCGATAGACTACAATGTGCCCATTCTCTTCCCAACCGGAGCGCCTGCGGCGACGACGAATACTTCGGCATCGACTTCGCGAGCTAGACGTCAAACTCATGCCCGATCTACGAGTCAACCGTTCCCCTCGCTGATGAATTTCAATGCACCTCGGAAGCCCGAGAAGAAATTCACGAAACGTGACTTTGGACTTGACTTGGATTTCGATTTTGAAGATGATGGTGTTTCAGCAATTGGATTAGATCAGGCGCGGAGTGCCGGCGTTGAAATGTTGACTGGAAAATGTATCACATGCAATTCGACTTGTCGTTGGCCGCGACACGTTCAAACCTTCAGGTGCACGATCTGTTTGACTGTAAATGACCTTGAGCCACGACCAGCTACAATTATAAGAGATCGGTATGATGCCGTGGAAGATGATGATCGTCCGCCACCTCCGCCGCCTAAAAATGATTCCCCTGAACTTCCACCTGGTATGTGAATTGGGCCTGAGAGATTCATACATGTTCTGACCTAACAAATAGCTCCTATATCAATTGAGGAGACAAGGCGGATTGCGGAGACTTGTCTGCTCAAGTTTCTTCAAAGCCGCTTATCTGGCAAAGAACTGAAATCTGTACAGCCGGACCAGCAACATGGCGAAACCAGCAATAGACGACAAGAGCCGAAATCGGACGAAAAGCGACCTGCGCCCACAAACGATTCATCTGCGATTGCAGGTACCAGATTCCTCTCACCACCTACTAGTGGTTCAGGATACATGGACCGAAACGATGGACGCACAATGCGTGTTCGCTCGAGTTCAGACACGCCGCCCATGTCACGAAGAAGAGGCCACTCTGCACAAGGCAGAGAACACTCCCCTTTGCGCGTGAAGACAGAACTGAAGACAGAACCTGCAAATTCCAGAAGTCGCTCTGAGACCCGGCCGTCCATTTTTAGAACACTGGAGGAGTATATCATCAAATCCTTCGCAGGTTGCGACTGCCTCAACAATTCTTTCATGACTCCTAGTGCTCTCCGTTCCATGTCAAATGTCGGGCTTGAGCCACCAAAACAGCCTATCCAACGTGAGAATGTACCTGTCCAACAGCAAGAGAATGTGCTATCTCCGAAGTCTCCTACCTCTGAAACAGTCATGTTTCCAGAGATCGACCCGAAGATGCTACTTCTGGGCGATTTGGCCGAAAATTCCTCGTGGTGGATGGGCGGCCGGCCGCGCCGTCATGAGGTCAAGGATGCCGTTCCAGCAAAGCGAGAGAAATCGCCTCTCCGATCGAAGTCCATTGTCACGACCAAGTCGCCTAGAATCAACTGGGAAGCGGTAGTTGAGTGGTATCGGCTGATCGTACATGTCGGGGAGAATTGGAGAGAAGTTTGGAACAACCTCAAGTCAGAGGCGCAAAATCCTGGTAGTGAAGGTCAAAAGGAATCAGACACGACGGTGGATTTGGGCTCGATAGACAGAGATATCGCCGAAGCCCGAGTGCACGCGCAGAAGACCTTGTTGAAGGCTACGGAGAATTTATTGAAGCGTCCCCGACGTCCGCTACGCCGCCCTGAATCGGCTAGATTCCTACTCATATTACTTGCGAACCCTCTGCTTGTCTACACAAATATTGGCACACCACCGGTATCAAGCCTACTTTCGCCGGATGCCGTTGCAGACAGTCAAAAATCGATTCCCAATTTCAGCAGAAGATATGGATCCAGCGAACGGAAGCCAACGACGTCTTCCTCGAGTAGGTCCGGTAGCCTTGGCCATCATTCTGGAATCATCAAAAGGATTTTAGGTCTTCTCGGGAATCTGCCAAATGACTGCCATCACTATCTGGTTGGGTGGTTTGCGCGCTTTTCTAAAAGCCAGTTTGAGACATTGGTAGGCCTCGTCGGTCGTTTTGTTACATATCGGTTAAGCAGACAGCATGGCCGTCACCGTAGCGAGTCAGGACATGCTATCAACGGACTGGTTCCGAATATTCCGGGCGGGATTGAGAGCTCACCCGCCCATTTGCATGCGGTACTTCATGAATCGCGCCAGTCGAATCAGCCCAACGAGGAGAACACTCGTCGTCGAATGATATACAATACAGAGGACTGGCAGATTCGGGCAGCAGCCCGGGTAATGGCATTACTATTTGCGGCAAACAATCATACATCGAGCTCGGTACACAAACGAGATGCTCTTCTCCCTCAGGATTACAACAATTCAACGGCGCCTCTTATCTCGCTGCATAAAAAAAGTGGTTCGACCATGATACCTTTGAATACATTCTACAACACACTATTAGATTTTTCAGATCTTGTCTCGGATTTTGAAGCCTGGGAGTCACGAACTGCCAGATTTTCGTTTTGTCAATACCCTTTCTTCCTGAGCATCGCTGCAAAGAGCCGGATTCTGGAACACGATGCCCGTCGTCAAATGAGTATCAAGGCCCGGGAGGCCTTTTTGGACAGCATCTTAAATCGCAAGGATGTGAGTCAGTATCTGAACCTGAAGGTGCGGCGTGACTGTCTTGTTGAGGATAGCTTGAGAGGAGTCAGCGAGGTGGTTGGCGCAGGGTCGGAAGACATCAAGAAAAGTCTGCGAATTGAGTTTATAGGCGAGGAAGGGGTTGACGCAGGTGGTCTTCGGAAGGAGTGGTTTCTACTGCTCGTCAGGGAGGTCTTTGACCCTAATCATGGTATGCACGATATCTACGGAGGTTTATGCAAATAACAAGCTGACGTTATAGCAGGACTGTTTGTTTATGATGATGACTCGCAATTTTGCTACTTCAACCCCTATTGCTTTGAATCGTCAGAGCAGTTTTTCCTAGTGGGAGTCCTTCTGGGCCTAGCAATATACAACTCCACTATACTTGATGTTGCACTGCCACCATTTGCCTTCAAGAAGCTCCTCGCCGCAGCACCATCTACAAGTATACCGGCAGCTGCACAAAGGCAACCACATAACTCATCATTAGATGATCTGGCCGAGTACCGACCCGCTCTCGCCAAGGGACTACGTGCACTTCTCGACTTTGACGGCGACGTCCAGGAGACTTTTTGTTACGACTTTGTCGCACAGGTAGACAAATACGGGCAGGCAGTCAACGTACCGCTGTGCCCGAACGGAGAAAAGAAGCCCGTCACAAACACAAATCGCCAAGAATTCGTTAGTCTGTATGTTCAATATTTGCTCGACACAGCAGTCCAAAGACAGTTCGAGCCTTTTAAAAGAGGGTTCTATACAGTTTGTGGCGGTAACGCACTCGCATTGTTCCGACCGGAAGAGATCGAACTGATGGTCCGTGGTTCGGATGAGCCTCTGGACGTCCCTACCCTCCGCGCAGTAGCCACATACGAGAACTGGCCACAATCCAAAAGCAAAGACATAAACGCAGAAACCGTACCCATCTCAGAACCAACAATAACCTGGTTCTGGGACTTTCTCGCCCGCTCCACACCTCAAAACCAGCGGAAATTGCTCTCGTTTGTGACGGGCAGTGACCGTATCCCAGCCACCGGAGCCGCAAGCTTGAGTATGCGAATCTCGTGTCTGGGTGAGGACTCGACTCGATATCCGATTGCCCATACCTGTTTCAACAAGCTAGGACTTTTTCGGTATAGTTCTAGACAGAAATTGGAGAGGATGCTTTGGGATGCGATTTGTAATAGTGAGGGGTTTGGGTTGAAGTGATTCTCTATTTGTGATTTACGTTATGGGTGTTTACGTACAGAAAGAATATGTAAACGCATACCAATCAAGTTACTCTGTCATTAGGGTTAATTCAACCACATTTGAGAGTATCGTGTCTATAACAATTAACGATATAATGCTTTTTTACATACTTACATTGAACAGGACAAAAACCAGATTGTGCTCCATGAAACAGTGAGCATCCTCGCTCGACTCCCTGCATGAACTACAAAACGTGCATATATGGTGAAACGAACTTCGCCTTCGTGATCAAGCCATCCATGTGAGGTAGCCCTCAGGAGAAAGAAAAAAGAAACTGGTTGTCTATGATTAAGCTGGTGATCAATAACATCTTTCTAAAAGGTATACGTAGTATGGCAGGKTGACATCGCTACAATCAAATCGAGTCTGGAGAATATGGAACTCCGGATCTGAGTGCTGCAGTATTCACCGCTGCTTCTCTTTCTCTTTCTCATTCGAAGGTTTTGTGTCTGAATGCACTGGTTTGAGTTTCGAGTCGACGCATGCATGTCCGCAGATAGGTCAAATATGTCAATACGTATATACGTATCTGTGGACAAAGTTTCATGTGGTAGCGACACATGATCGCAGCCCGATGCCAAAAGAAGAGAGATCCGGGGTACATGAGTCCACCTCGTTTTTACTCCGATTAATGGAGTGGTCATTTGGTGATGAGATGTTCATGTTTCGTAGTCTGTACGTACAACTCGTAAAATTTAAGCCCCTTGCATGAAATACGAGAACGAGAGTTTATACGTGAGACTGGTATCGTTTCGAATTATCGACCGAGTATATACCGGGACCAGGGAGATATATGCATCAATGCTTACTCATTCAGCCTATTAAAAAAAAAGGACTGGTAAAACTACGTTTCGGTGTATAACACTACGCAGACTTAAACAAATCATAATGAACGTTAAAAGGTATCAATTGGTACAGCCTAGTCGTTTCATCCATAAACGAGCGCCGAATGACAAATAGCTTCGTAGACCACCAATCACCATAAGCAGAAGCAGAACCGAAATCAATCCGAGAAATGCATGCTAAAAGGGAGTGGTCTGGTTTTTTGTGTGTAATATGTACACCGAAAGAAAGAGAGTAAAGGTCCTAAGCCTTGACACAGTATTCGTAGCCCAGCCACAAATTCGAGCACACTGCATCCAGACCTGAATTCCAGTCCTCGAACTGAGATGCCGTGATGCCGATGTCGCTTTCAACTTCGAGGCAGTACTCGCCGGAGACGACAAGAGTCCATTGCTGGCAGGTTGATACGGCGCCGGGGTAGACGGGACCGGTCAGAGTGGTGGTAGCGGAGGAAGTAGCAGATGAAGTAGCACTAGCAGACGCAGCAGCTGAGGTTGCGGCAGGAGGAGTGGTAGTTGTGGTAGTGGTAGTAGTAGGTGCAGCAACTGGTTTTGTGTCCGTGGGAGTGGCGGTGGGCGCAGCAGTGGTTGTAGGGTCTAGAGAAACGGTGATACTGCTGATGGCAGGGGCAGTAGAAGTGGCAGAGGCAACAGGAGCAGTGGTAGTTCCACTTGAAGCACTGCCATCATTTCCAGATACGAATGTGCCAGAACTGGTGAGGTCTTGAACTACACTCGATACGCAGCTGGATGTACCCGTAGACCACCCCAAGAGACGGTTGGCAATATCGGAGGCATAACAAGCTGTGGCACCACCTTGACCCAGGTTGAGATCAGAGGCGAGGGATCCAGAGTTGTACATTCGTGCTGCCCTGTAGTATTCGGTCGCACCGTCGGCTCCGTATGTTGCTATAGCTTGTGCGATAAGTTGCTTGAGACCATCTCCATCAGCTGTGCCCGTAGTGCCATCCTCGATCATTTGGGTAATTTCGCTAGAGGGGCAGGGAGAAAGAGGGGTTCCAGTGTTGCATGTTCCTTTGCCGTTGTGGGATTGCATGAGACCTGGGTTGTTGACGCCGTTGTTTGTGCCACCTACTCGCACACAACCAGTGCTTTCCTGCATGACAATAGCGAGAATGAAACGTGCGTCAACGCCGCTGGATGCAGAAACGGACTGGATAGCGCTATTGATGCTGTTGATCTCATCATCAGAATCGTTTTCGAAGCCAAAGTTAGTACAGCTCGCGGACATGGTCGCCTTATTGGCGGCGAACATCTCATCGTAGGTTGCGACCCAGTCATTGATGGATGGCCATCCAGCAGTGGTCGTTCCATCGCCACCAAAGACAGTGTAAGAGGACGAAGAACGAGTTTGTAAAGACTGAACATCTGCTACTGCAACATCGCGAGAGAGAAGGGATGGAACCGGAGCCCCAAAAATGAGTGCTGGTAGGCTGCCGGCAGCCAAGATCTGAAGACAGTTAGTTGCGTGATCTCTGGTAGTGTCGTAGGGGAAATACGTACAGAAAGAATGACAGACATGATGTCCGAAAAAAACGAAAAAAGGAGTGTGAGGGAGTGGAAGAAGTCTCGCTTGCTTACCAGAAAGAAGAAAAAGAAGAAAAAGAAGAGCCGCTGGGCATGACTGGGTTTTATTGTATCGTCGGAGCCCTAACGTGCCTCCTCGTCTACTCCATAGTAGTAGTTAGTGTCCAGCCTCAACCCCCTCACCTGAAACAATCCGTTTGCTGCGGGCAACTCCGTTTGCATCTCGATGGGGAAAGTGTTCAATATTCAGCCAGGGCAGGTACTGTTTAATGTGCTCACGATGAGACGATTTATTGGTTGGTGCAGATCTAGGCAGGGGCAAGCCAATGACAGCAACCATCCGAGCGATGGGCGCGCGCGATGAAACAACCGAGAGGCTTTAGTTTAGCTGAGCGCCGCCACTCAACCCACCGACAGGCTGTTTAGCAGTGTTGGATGGCTTATCGGCCTAGTGCGTGGTTCCCCGCATCGCATTGATTGGCGATGCCACCGAGTCCAGGAGGGAAAAGAACACGGAAAAGATCCAGGAACAAAAGTTAATTACTATGTACGGCGACGGAGGATATTCGACAAAGAAAGATGAGCGGACCCGGTAGGGCACGCTCCTTCCGCGAAAAAATGAGACGTCCTTAATTAGAAGATTAATTAGCAATGGGAAATGACCAAGGACAATTTACAGTGTTACACTTATACATGTTAATCTGTTTATTTTAATGCAGCAGTCACGTGGCAGCCAAGTCGTAGCCCAGCCACACCGACTCAGCCACTTTTCATCACCGAATAGAGAAAGAGCACCTGCATATTGTCCCTTTCCTTACTTCAACATACTCGAGTATACATTCTGTATGATGGCTGGCCAGAATGATTTTAACACAATTAAGACTCACGGCAGCTGGAAGGCTGGTCAAGACTCCAGATTCATACAGGTACCATGGATCGTTCCCACCAACCAGATCGTTCTAAAGCGACTCAACATGACTCATGGTGAGTAGCGAATCTGGATCATTGACGTCGTTTATATAAGAATATTGGTCAGGTCTAGATGAGCATCATGCCTGTCGAACTGCCAAATGAGATCACATCAAAATGGCTGGGCAGTCAAATCATGCTATCGTCTACGGCGCATCGGGATTGATCGGCTGGGCCATCGTCAACCAGATCTTGAAACCGTACCCTCATGCCGGCACATTCTCAAAAGTCACTGCAGTCACAAATCGTCCATTGAATTTGTCCGAAACTTTTTGGCCACAAGCGACTTCCCAACGGCCTGACCTGGAACTCGTTTCTGGAATTGATATTGGTCAAGAAGATGAGACTCTTGTGGCCAGTGCGTTGAAGTCCACGGTGAAGGATGTCGAGAAGATTACTCATGTCTTTTACTTGGGTATGCACCTGCCGCTTTATGCGCTTGAATGCACAAAGCTGATCATATAAGTTTTCGCTGCAAATGACGACAATCTCAAGGAGGTTGAGATCAATCAACGAATGTTCACGAATGTCGTTCATGCCCATAACAAGCTAAGCCCTAACCTAAAATTTGTTACATTCCCCGGTGGCACTCGAGTAAGCATAATCCTATTACGTGTATCATTCATCTGTACTAATTTGATCCAGGGTTATGGGATCTATGTCCCCGGAGGCACCTTTACGCCTCCATTGCGCGAGGAAATGGTGAATTATCTTCCCCACGACTATGCTAAGACGGTAGTATATCCCATATACCGTGAGATCCTGAATGTTGAAAGTCAAGGAAAGAGCTGGACGTGGTGTGAAGTCTGTCCAGATGCCATTGTAAGCTCTTTTCCATCACGGACATGTGCGCTGCTGACATTACAAGGTCGGCTTTACTCCCAACGGATCCCAATTTAGTTTAGCTCTACATTGGGCTCAATACCTGTCACTGTATGCTTATAACCATGGCATCGGCCCTGGTGCGCAGGAGTCAAAACCCATGCCGGCAGAAGTCCCTTTTCCAGGCAACATTAGCTGCGCCAACTCATTGTTCTCGCCGGTTTCTAGTCAAAGAATGGCTCGCTTCATGATATTTGCCTCTTTGCATCCTGAAACTTGCGGCGGTGGTCGACTATTCAACATCGCCGACACCCAGGTGCCGTGCAAATATGGCGTACTCTGGCCCCGACTAGCGGCATGGTTCGGTCTCAAGGGCACAGGAGCAGCTGAAGTTTCAACAGCAGAAGATAACGCACTGAAGGTCGGCGAGCTTTCAAAAACCAGTGGAACAGCTTTGACGCCCGGAGAGTATGTCGCCAAGTATCGAGATATTTTTACTCGGCAAGGTCGCCCAGAAGCAGCCAGTAAAGGTGTGGGATACGGCAGCCGACAATTGGATAGTGTGGGATACTGGCTGACGTTTGACCGTCAATTGAGCTTGGACAGATTGAAGGAGACTGGATTTGAAAGGGATCAAGACCCGTTTGAGGGATGGCTGGAGAGCTTTGAGATGTTTCGCGAGGCTGGCTTGATTCTCTAGATGTTTCCTCGGACGTCGTCAGCTAGCCTCAGGCCGGTCTTGTTTAGTAAAAAGTACGATGACTTCGTGTTGACATTCGTTGAGCATTAGGATACGGGTGTACATATCATATGAAAAAAAAAAAAAAACTAAAAATAAAATATCATTGGGTGGTTCTGCAGTGTACAGTAATTCTGAGTTTACTCCTTCATCCCTTGCCTGAACACATTTACGTACATGGAGTACTGACCTTCTCTTTTCTTACAGCGCCTTCTTCAGCACTAATACGCACGCATCACTAATCATATGAGCCAAGTCTATCTCGAGTTGATCCGAGTCTTCTTTCTCTGTCTTTATTAGAACGAACACAGGAGTATCACAAACCACAATCCCACACCGAACACCCCTAATTACTAGATAATCAACCATTCGTTCTTCTTCCCCCTCGTACAAGGCTTTCTTGATTGACCGGAAATCGACACCGGACACCGTGGTTGAGAGTCGGTAAGCGAAGGGTTCGTGCGAGGTCAACAAATAAGTTTAATCAAAAGACGCTGGGTTGTTTTCCTGTCAGACATGAAAGTCGCTGTTGGCCAAATGAGGGGCTGCATGGCTTGCTCAGTTTGAAATCGAATGTTGGGATGTTCCAAGCATACGGTATGCGTATTTCAGATAATGGTACAACCGTAACATACTGACATTACGGCTAATTAGCGGTAGATAGCGCCCGGGAAGTGACGTAGGGGCGTTTTGGGCGTTTTGTTGGCGTACGAACTGTAAGTTTTGTATCCACCGGGCACCTTCCCCAGGTTCAGTCGAAACATTGAGAAAGGCATTTAATACTTCTCTTCCCCTTTCTCTTTTCATTCTCTTTGTACCTCCCTCAATCATCTCCTCTTAGCGAATCCTCCGTCTCTGTGATTCCAGGTAAGCAATTGAGAAGATTGAGTTGCTGCATGACATTTGCCTAGACTGCTCGTCCCCCCACTTAGCAGCCAAAGCGGGGGATGGTCCTGCCCTGCCCTGCTTGCCAAACAAACTGACATCACCAGCTCTGCGTTACTAACAACGTTGCATTCAACAGAGCCTTTTTTTTTCGCGTCGTCTTCAAATATCCTCCATCATCCAGCACGCACACAAACAAATCTCTTGAAGAGAAAATCGACCTCACACACTCGCAAGAATGGCGTCCGTTCCCAAGACCATGAAAGCTCTCCAGTAAGTGAACACGTGCTTTTTTCATATCTCAGATAACAATTGTTACCCCTCCGTGCTAATACCACGTTTTTGTGGCTGGCAGATACTCGAAGCCAGAGGAATTCGAAATCGTCGAAATCCCTGTGCCCACTCTTCGCGACAACGATGTCTTGGTATGCGTACCCGTAGTTTCTGATCTTGCTATCGGAATTATCTGTGGCCAGTGTTTTGCTCGTGTTGTAGCAAATTTGCTGACTTGTGATACGATCTGGTAGATCAAAGTCAAGGCTTGCGGTGTTTGCGGTACTGATTTGCACATTCACGAGGGTGAATTTCTTGCCAAGGTAATGCGACTCGTTCAACTGGGTAGAGAGCGTATGCTAACATGCTTCTGTGGTAGTTCCCTCTTGTCCCTGGTATGCTTTTACCTCATGAATCAAATCGTCTGAACAATATTAATCATTGTAGGTCATGAAACCGTTGGTGTCGTTGCTGCTGTTGGACCCAAGGTCAAGGGTTTCGAGCTCGGGGAACGTGTCGTTGCCGACAACTCTGAGCTCTGCGGTGAATGCTTCTATTGCCGCCGTGGTGAGGAGCTGCTCTGCGAGCACTTTGAAGCTCATGGCGTTACCATGAACGGCGGTTTCGCCGAGTACTGCGCATATCCTGGTGAGTCTTTTGTCACTGTCCTCTGAAAGGCCGTCACTAATTTGTTCAGCCGGTCGTGTCTTTAAGATCAAGAACCTTAGCGACGTTGATGCCACCCTTCTCGAACCCGCTTCTTGCGCCGCGCACGGATTGGACAAGATTGCACCTAAGATGGGCTCTTCCGTCCTCATGTTCGGTGCCGGCCCTACCGGTCTTGTCCTCTCCCAGATGTTGCGCCAAAACGGTGGTTGCCACGTTGTCGTTGCTGCCCCTGAGGGTTTGAAGATGGACTTGGCCAAGAAGCTTGGTGCTGGTGACGAATACATTTCTCTCTCGCGTTCCAACCCCGAGGTTCAGTTCGAGAAGCTGAAGAGCGAGAACCCTTACGGGTTCGACATTGTCATCGAGGCCACCGGTAGCGTCAAGATCCTTGAGGACTCCATCAACTACGTCCGTCGTGGTGGTAAGCTCGTCGTGTACGGCGTGTATGCTAACAAGGACCGCGTCAGCTGGCCCCCTAGCAAGATCTGTAAGTCTTCTTATTCGATGTGAAAAATTAATGCTGATGTTTCCATAGTCGGTGACGAAATCACCATTCTCGGTTCTTTCTCAGAGACCTACAAGTTCCCTGCCGCCATTGACTACCTTGACCGAGGCAAGGTCAAGGTTGACGGCATCGTCAACAAGACCTTCAAGCTCGAGCAGTGGGCCGAGTGCTTGGAGGCCATGCGTAACAAGAGCGCCATCAAGGCTGCTATCACTTTTGATTAGTTGTCGATCATTTGAAAATCCATCTTTTGATTAGACATTAGACATCGTGTCGAATTTTTGATGTTCTCATGTCTCCTGCTTGGATACTGCGTTGATAATACCATACATTAGCGATAATGATGATGAAAATGAATGATTTCAATTAAAATGTGCAAGTACAAGCAGGTAAATCTAGAGCAAAAACTAAAAGTCAGGAAAGACGGACTTTATAAGCGGTTGAGTACCTTGGACGGTTAAGCCATCACAATGATCGCATTACTGGGTTATTGGGGGCTGGCCTTAGTCCCGAGGTCTGACATCACGGAGCCCCGGACCCACTAAAAAGCTCTGCCTGTACATTCTCAACGACAATCACGAGACACTACGAGACTCAACTAATACCACGGAGGAAAAAGAACAAAATGGTCAAACCACTCTCATTCAAAGGCGACAAAAAGACCAAAAAACGCAAACACCGCCAAGACGACGAGAATGAGTCAAAACTTACACTTTCTACAGATCTAATCGCGCATGAACACCGCGACGAACAACAAAACACAACATCGGAAGACGACCAAAGCTGGGTCTCTGCCGATGTACCCAGCGATATCAGCGGGCCTGTAGTAATTGTGCTACCGTCAACGCCGATACCGACATGCATTGCGTGCGACGCGAATGGCGCCGTCTTTGCGAGCGAGCTGGAGAATACGATTGAGAATGATCCGCGCACCGCGGAGCCGCATGATGTGCGTCAGGTATGGGTTGCGACGAGGGTGGCAGGGACGGAAGGGTTTAGTTTCAAGGGGCATCATGGACGGTTCGTCTCCTTCTCTAAGCATTGGATGTATTCAGCCTGATGGTATTGACTTGTGTTGGGGTAGATATTTGAGTTGCGATAAGTATGGCATTTTGAGCGCGACGGCCGCGGCCATATCGCCCTTTGAGTCGTTTATTGCCATTCAACCACCAGACGCACCTGGTATGCTGGCATTGCAGACGCGAGGCGGCGAGTCGGATACCTTTGTCACCATTACCGAGAAAGCTTCTACCTCCAATAATAAAGCGAGCCGAAGAATAACCAAATCCGACGATGACGAAGAGGATGGTGATGATACAAAAGAGAGTGCGAATAAACAGATTGAAGTTCGCGGCGATGCGAGCTCAATTACGTTCTCGTCTACGCTGCGAATCAGGATGCAGGCACGCTTCAAACCGAAGCTTAAAGCTTCGAAGGAGAGCAAAGCGAGGGAGAAGATATCGAGGAAAGAGCTAGAAGCTACGGTGGGGAGAAGGTTGGAGGACCATGAGGTTAAGAGACTAAAAAAGGCGAGGAGGGAAGGGAATTATTATGAGGAGGTATTGGATGTAAAGGTCAAGGGGAAACATGATAAGTATGCTTCATGAAATTGAATCTTGGACTTGATATAGGGTATATAGAACATACGACAATGTTTGTGGCGACACATGCCGATTCATTGAAGCACAATTATAAGGAAAATCATAGTTCAACCTCCTTTTCTGCATGATTATCCCCTGCAGATACCAGAGAAATTTCATTCCACGCGTCAAATGTTCCAGTCATCGCAGCCTGGTATGCTCGAACACGGTCGTGATATGCCTCGTTCCCTGTTTCTTGAGATTCGCCTAGCAATTCGGATATTGTTTCTTGGCTCTCGCTTCCGACTACTGGTGGAAGCTCGATCTCGGCTTGCTGTTCATCAATGATGTGTGCCATTGAGCCCACGGTGGACGGGTTTTCACTATCGTCACGACTAATGGTGGAAAGGGCGTTTGTCGTCTGATAGGAACTTTGAGAATCTTCTCCAAGAACCTCATCCGCATCTCGTGGCAAAGGTCCAATCTCAAATTGAACCTTGTCCCCCATTGCCTGCAACTGAAGTCTGGCCTCACGCATCATAGTATAACGAGCTCTTTTGCTTTCAGGACCCAGTATATTTTCTACTCGCGTACCACGCATATGTTGATCGTGGGCGAACTTCTTACCCGAGCACAAATGTCCAAATAATCCTTCCATAGAGACTGATTCATCCCATTTCTTTCCATCAACTGTACAAGGGAACACGTCTTTTGGCTTAAAGGCCTTCACAACCTCACAGAGTTCCGCATAAGAAGAATGACGAGAATAGGGGAATGTCTGTTCCGATTAGCATCCAGAGCAATGTCATATTAGAGGTATCAACATACAATGGTGGTCTTGTCTGAGTACTTTTCTTGAAATGATCTAGATTCGCTTACATTCCTTGTGTTGCCCAACATTGAGGCGAGTTCTTTCAGCGGAATATCGGCATCCTCAGCAAGTCCATATTCGTCCAGCGAAAGTGCTCTCTGCTTCGAGGTGAAAGCCAATTTCAACAAGTCCTTTGTCTGAGACAGTACTGATTCATCCGTGATGTGCTCTGATAGCAGTGCCTCGAGTTTCTGAAGCGTAATCTCATCGGGCAACTCTAGTTCATGGATCTGATACAGATCTCCTTTTCCTCCACCAGCTCCAAGCTCTGGCACTTCGATTCCGGTTCTGTCTCGAGTGACAATCGGCTTAATATAAACCGAGTTTTTCGTTCTCATTGTCTGGCAGAAGACTCCGGGCTCGCAGCTATGTATCCGTACAGAGTCATCAGATGTCAAGCAACCTGGAACAAACTCATTCCCTAGCTGAAACCCGCAGAGAAAAGTGGCCGTGTCAAAGCCTGGTGTGCTATTGCCACGGGATACAAGAGACTTGTATAAACCGTATTGGTATCGGTCGACGTGTACCTTATCTATTAGCTAGTAACTAATCTATCCGAGGATTTCAACTTACCTTGGAATCTAGAAAAGCAGATAAAGCTTGCCAAACTTCTTCATACCCAAAAGTCCACGCTCTAAGATAGAAAGTTGTGTCTTGAGGATATCTTCCAAGCTTCTCTAGTAGCTCCTTGATTCCTTCTGCTTTTGACGGGAAGTGTCTGTATATATTTGCCTTGACAGCAAATGTCGTATCGAGGTAAATGTTATCCAGAGTCTTCAGACCACATGCATAAGGTACGAGAGCAGGGTGACGCGTCAACGAGCTAACCCACCAGGATTCCGCTGAATCAAAATGTCAGTTGTCAGTATTGGGTCGTGAATTCACTCCTTCATCTCATGGAACGGAAAATCTGTGAAGAAGTACCTCGAATGTCTCCAGTATAGAGTATCGCCTTGCCTTGGCCTTCGATTAAGAACATAACTGCACCTGCACAGTGATTGGCGTCCAGAAGAGTCACGCGAATACGCTGTAATGGAGTGAGCTCAATCTCGGTGGGAGTATTGAGGGGTATCGGTCTCTGCTTTTGAGTAAGCTAGAGGTAATACCATCACGTTGAAATAGTTTCCACATACAAGTATCTTTGCAAGATGTCCATAATGCTGCCTTCTAGCTTCGAGTATACCCTTAGAAAAGTTCATACGATGAGGGAATTTTTCTAGGCGCAGAAGCAGCTAGACAATGGGAAATACTTTGATCAGACAATCATCTCTAGGCAAATAGATACTCAGAGAATCCTCATACCTCCCTGGTCACAGCTGAGCAATAGATGAATGGCGACCTGAACGATTCCAGTCCCTGCAAGTGGTCGCTGTGCACATGGCTGAGGAAGCAAACCAAGGGAGCTGGCTTGTCCGGGATTTTACGGAAGTAGTCAACTATTGCATTTAGGTCAATCATTTCTCTGGCCTATCTGCAGTCGTAGAGAGCTATATGCGGTAAAAAAAAATGACATACTTCTGATACACGGAAATTCTGAGTGATGGTTAGCCTCGAACCGTATTGGGAGCTCCGAACTTCAAATTTAAGTTTTTATCTTACCTGCAACGATCCCGTTGAAAGTCGACATACTTTAAAATGGTTTATTCAATAAGAGACATGTTGAGTTTGAGATGAAAAAAGATTGTTGAAGTGATCGGGAATGGGGAGGAGGGACGGGAGGAACAGAAGGAAACCACGGTGCCTGCCTAATTGGGGTGCCAAGGACAGTGTTCATCGCACCTTCCATATACGACTTGCAAACACATCTATTCATATTTTATATTTATGTGACTTATTGACATTATTTTTTTTTGACTGTACTTGGTTTGTCCAGTCATCTTACAATTGCTCAGCAACGAAGTCGTCCAACATGCCCTCAAAAGTCGCATCATCATACATCTGCAGAAACGACGGATCTACAGCGATATCATTCCCAATATCGAACCCACCAAGGTATTCCTGACCAGAAGCTTCGGGCATCTGCTCAAATAGTCCTAGGAAGCGAAGAATTAATTTCAGTAACAGCATCGAACACTGACGCAATAGATATTTCTCACCGTTTGAAGATGCTATAGTTGGGAAGCCCGGATCTTCCGTATCTTTGAGAAAAACGCTGCTGATAGTCTTTGCCGCCCTTTGCGCTTCCACGGAGCGATCAGCAATCTCCTCCCATATCCCTTTGGAAATGACCAACGCGTCTATTATGTCTTTCCGTCGATGCATCGCGTATGAATTCGTTGTTATACTATCGCCACCGTCGTTCAATCTACTCAAAGCGAAACACAACATCATAGTGGCTTGCAAAAACTCATGATTCAGTGCATGAATGACCCTCCAGCGGATCGCAAACATGAGGCCGCCGGGTTTTATTTCCTCGTTAATTCTTCGTTGATGATCCAAAATGGTTAGGGCGGCTTTGATGCATATCTCGTTCGATTTCGTGCCTTCTTCTTCTCTAGTTGACGGCACTTTCATGAAGCTCCATCGGTGCAGGAGATATGTAGCCTTCTGTATGAGGATGTCTAGGTTGATTCTGTGCAGTATGGTCAAAGGATTTTCTGCAATTGATGACTCAAGAGGCTTATGTCGCAACCATGTGGGCATAGACGCCACAGCTTTGTCTATTTTTGCACTCAACAAGGAAGTAGCGACAGGCGACGGAGTCTCTGCCTCATTCAATTCATAAATCTCCGCCGTGACTTTGATAATTGAGTACCTGTGTATGAGATGCGACAGCGGAGTAGGTTCTGTTGATGGCCGTTCAGGAGGATAATCGTCATTCTCAAGCCCGATGTCTGTATCGAGCAAAGATAATGGCGGGCGTGTATCGCACTGGGCATCTTTGATGATACGAGGCAACCCGACTTGTGTGCTTGTGAAAAAGTCCACCTGATACAATGCCAACCAGACCCTCCGCCTCAGTTCTGCCTTCAATGGGCGGATATTTGGCCAGTGAGATGGATCACGATGTAGTCCCATGCGAAACGCAATGCGAACTATAACCCCAACCAAGATCCAGTTACCGAGATGGGTATCGAGACTCACATTCTGTTCGAGCGCAAAATGTAGAAATAATGTTTCAATGGTGTACCTACTCGGTCGTAAATAATCACCAGCAACCAGACACTGGATGGTGAGATTTCGGTAACTCTCCATCATGTTATTCGAATCGATCGGTGTGAAGCCATGCGCTTCATTATCTTGTTGTTGAAGATATGCAGACATGCTCATCACACTAAACAAGAGTCCCACCCACATTATTGGGGCTGCTGAAGGATTTTTCCAGAAGTTCGCATACTATATAGATATGAGCAACACTATAACTTGATGATGTCATAAATGAGGCTGTCTTACCTCTACGAGGAAGATGTCCCGATGTAAAACAACTATAGCTTCAACTTAGCTAACGACTCGTCAAGCATAGACTAGAAACCTACCTGATAATAAATCAATAGTATTGAAAAATCGCGAGACCAGTCTATCGACAATATTCCGTGGGGGTATCTGAGACAAAATTTGCGCCCTCGAGAGAGATGTAGCACTGGCAAGCAGAGAAATTCGAGTAGGTTGCGCGCCGTACGTGAAGCCCGCATCAAATGGAGTCGATTCTCGGCTTATTGATCCAAGTGGCTGTTCATCAGACAGCTCATCTTTCAGACATCGTATCTGAATGACTATCCATTAAATCTTGAAAGGTGCTTTGGCTGGTTTCAAACTCACTTCCTCCAAGATCGTGACCCAATGTGAGCTACCAATATAAACAACATTATTATCAGTGAGACTCAGTTTACCCAGGCTGTCCACTACATGGACATCTGATGGATCACGCCGTATCCCAAAATTCTGATCTTTGTGGACCTCGCCCGTCATTTCTATCTTGTCCACTGGTAGGCCTGACTTCTGCTCCATATCTCTCATCTCAGCCACCAGGCTCTCAAGGCGAGCAATTCTCTGCCGCGCATTTTGACCTCTGTGGCGAGGTCTGTAGTCAATCGCTTCTTTGCGCTCCTGTTCTGGAAGACTGTAGACACATGCCTCAGGCTTGCCGCGTCGTATACATGTGTTACAGGGCGATTGTCGATCGCAACGTATTCTGCATTGCGCGTTAGCTTTATATTGTAGGTTGAATAGCTGGAGAGATTGAAGACCCACTTGCGTCCTCTACAGTAGGTGCAACTTAATATAGGCTTGTCGCGTCTTTTATTGTTGGATGTTGATGACTCCGCCATTGTCATCATGAATTCCTTCCAGATGGTCGGGATATAGATGGACTTAATAGATATGTCTCAAAAACTAGGCGATCATATTATCCAAGGCTCGAACTAATTTGGTACATATCAGCGGATCTCACAAAAACGATTTCGTAATAATCCCGTCAACTGGTATATCATAATTTTCATGAGAACAAGTTCCTGCCGGGAGTACCTTACGCTTTAGAAAATAGTACATAGTAACACGTGACAAGGTCACCAGTATAGAGAAATGTTATATGAGCAGGTTCAATAAGAAATGCTGGATGACAGTATGAATTTAGTTTATTGGTGCCTTCTCAATTGATCGAATTCAAAAGTGTGTATACAGAGGTGCAACTTTAACCCTAAGTTAGTGTGGAAATAAGTTGAGATCGCTCTCTATAAAAAAAAAAGTTACACCAGCACATATGGATTATTGGGCGCTAATACAGATAGACTCGGTTAACCTCAGAGGATATCAGTAGGTCCATGGTCTTTTGCTGCGCTTTAATCGTGAAATAACGTGAAATCAAGGGTTAGGGTTGTCGAACTGCGGACGGTCGGACAGTGATCACGTGCAAGTATATCCGAAGTATCTCATTGGGCAATTGGATACTATACAGGCTGTACGATCACCGTCCGTGAAGGCAGACAACATCTATAAAGAACGCTCAAGAGACATGATGACTGGGGTTTCAACTTTCACTTACATAGATTTTTCCGCTTTGATATCCGACCTTCCTGCGCTTGCTCCATTCAGAAGATAGTGGTGTAGTTTGTCCCACCAGAAACAACCGCTGATAGCCATCTATATCACTCAAGTCAACACTTTTGACACTGTGTGAGACGACGATATGTTGGCACCAGAGAGAGACGAAGATGACGCCTTCGTCTACCCTTCGGGTCTCAAATTCGCATTATTGATGACATCCATCTATATAACCATGTTTCTGGTGGCTTTGGTTTGTGATGAAACGCATATTCAACGCTCAAAGTAGAATGAGCCCACGCTAATAAGCGTTTGCAGGATAAACTCATCATAGCAACCGCTACTCCCGCGATCACAAACGATTTTCACGCGTCGAACGACGTTGGTTGGTATGGCACGGCTTATCTGCTCACCAACTGCGCTTTTCTATTGATATTTGGGAAGTTATATACCTTCCTAAACGTCAAGGTAACTTTCCTCACGGCTCTTGTATTATTCGAGGCTGGCTCAGCCATCTGCGGCGCGGCACCTAACTCGATCGCATTCATCATTGGCAGAGCCATTGCAGGCCTGGGAGCCGGAGGACTCCAGTCTGGAGTTGTATGTCTCCGTCTTCCAGTTTCATATCTAAGGCATCGCTCACACGTGGCAAAATAGCTCGTCATAGTTGTCTATGCTGTTCCGTTACAGAAGCGACCTCAATATCAAGGGTTGATAGGTGCATGCTTTGGAATAGCATCAGTCATCGGCCCACTGGTTGGTGGTGTTTTCACCACGAAAGTCACATGGAGATGGTGCTTCTATATCAACCTTCCCCTAGGAGGCGCAGTTCTCGTATTCGTACTCTTCCTGCTGAATATCCCAAGCAATTCCAATACCACGAACTCTTGGAAACACAAGGTGCAGCAGACCAGCTTCGAGGGCATGCTTGCACTTGTTACGGGTATCGTCTGTCTGTGCCTGGCGCTGCAATGGGGCGGTTTCACCTATAGCGTAGGTATTTTGAATGAGGTTTCACAAGACTGGCCAAGCAGAACTGATCTCTTTTAGTGGAATGATGGCCGCGTAGTCGCCTTGCTTGTGCTCGCTTTTATGCTTTTAATCATCTTCGTCCTGATTCAGGTCTGGAAAGCGGAGAAAGCCACGGTCCCTCCCCACATATTTGTTCAGCGCAGCATTGCCTGTGGTTTCTGGGTGAGCTGTTGCGTTGGTGCACATCAGACGCTAATAAGTAAGTTTTGATGGAATGATAAAATAAGGTTGAACCGAAATTGACTTCAGAATCGCAGCCTATTATCTTCCCATTTGGTTCCAAGCTATAAAGAGCGACTCGGCTGTTGAGAGTGGCGTTCATATCCTGCCCTTCATTCTGTCCCTTGTTGTTGCGACCATTCTCACTGGTATTCTAACAAGCTGGATTGGCTACTACTCGCCATTTTTGATTATCGGCATCATCTTGGCGGCTATTGGCGCAGGGTTACTCAACACCCTTGGCATCGAAACATCGGTAGGCCAATGGGTCGGTTATCAGGTCTTGTACGGATTCGGATTGGGAGCTTGTTTCCAAGCACCTAATATGGCTGCTCAAACGGTGTTGCCTCGCAATGAGGTTTCTGTCGGCGCTTCACTCATGCTTTTCGCCCAGACGCTCTTCGGCGCCATATTCGTTTCGGTCGGTCAAAACGTGCTTGATGATCAACTCGCTAGACGTCTTGCCGGCATTTCAGATATAACGACGCAGCAAATCAAAAAGGCTGGTGTCACCGGTCTCCTCGAGATAATCCCACCGCAGTATCATGACGCAGTCTTGGAGGCATACAATGGCTCATTGCATGTATGTTTTCAAGTCGCGCTCGCTATGGCCTGTATTGCCATCCTAGGCGGCCTGCGTATGGAATGGCGTAGTGTCAAGAAGCAGCAGAAACAGAATGACGAGACTGCTATCGAAGAGGGTAAACATCAAGGCAACGATTGTTCAATAGACAACAACTTGAGGGGTGATAGGGAAGATGCGTGAGCGTCGAGTCGCCCGCGACCCAGGCAAGCGGAATCCCAGTGCGTGCAAGCCTTGTAAGCCAACCAGAATCGGATTTTGGAGCGCAGAAAGAACGCTTGACAGGACTGTACATAGTAGCGAACTTTTGAAAAAAAATACGTAAACAGGATTCGCTGCCAACGTATTAGTGTTGAAATAGAGGCTTTTTTCTCACCGCCCGATTGGCGCAATGGTAGCGTATCGAGTTTCTACTTAAGTCAATTGCTTAAATCCTCGACGGTTGCGTGTTCGAGTCGCGCATCGGGCTTTTTGTTTTTGGTTTTCTATAATGATCTTGCATTATGTGGAAGCTCTGGGTTGATTATTTTATGCTTTGTATATTTATTACTTTCTGATTGGTACTATTCAAAGGCCTACTACTCCCTACGAAATCGCCTGGGAGCCATAAACATGGAGCTTTTTGCCCTGCAGGCAATTCTTCTATGCTTTTGATACTTGCCAATCACCCACCAGGTGTCGGTGAGCAGTAGTGGGGCTGCATGGATAGTACTTATACCATAGCTGATTGACTTCCTATGGCTAAGGTCAGGTCAAAGAATGGTCTATGGAGGAGAATGAAGAAAATGGGGTAGAAATTGCAAAAATTGAACGATCACAGTAGGTCGACAACTGGAGCGGATCAGCCTACCTACTTTTTAGTAAGGGGTCAATTGATCACCAAAAAAACGACCAAGACGGGACTTGAACCCGCGACCTTTGGTGAGATCTCTCCGAAAACCAACGCCCTACCACTGGGCTACTCGGCCAATCATGAATGTAACATTCGCAATTTGATTCTTCAACTCTTCGCATTCCTTCTGATCTAACGAATTTCATCTGATGTACAATTCAAAGCAGGTATTGAGCAGGACATTTCCGGAGCAGTGCCAGAACCCTGATCCCCAGAGCACGGCCATGATAAGGCTGTCCTTCTCCATCCTAGTTAGACACCGACTACGCCCTGAACGCACATTTACATGTAATAAATGCTCGTGAGGGCGACTTGGCTAGTTCTTTCTCTTTCCTTTTACACGCTTGGTTCTCCGTCGATATGCTATCCTTAGGCTGGGGAGCGAGAATTGTCATATTAAAATTCACAAAAGGGACGTGAAATCAGTCCTCAGCTTCCGTAATATCCAAGAATGGCCTGAGCCCATGAACGCCCCTCTTTCTTGTCCTAGATGGCTCATGGGGGAACATGGACAATTGACCAGATGACGAACTCGAACTTCAGGAAACTAGCTATTGAGTACGGATATTGAATCAAAATTCAGCAAGGACCCCAAGAAGTCGATATATTTCGAGTCGGATACATGTACAGTCGCAACTTCCCACATGACTTTGATGGAATCTTGGTCATAAGCGAGATCCCCTGTTCGACTTGCTTCCACCAATATTTCGACCAAGCCTATATATCGACAAATACCGCTCAGCATGAATCAACATCGATTGCGATATCAAAGACATCAAGACCCGGGGATATGACAGTTGACTACTACTATCGCTCAACAGTCTCCTGGCTTTGGGAAAACCGAGATCACTACCTCCTTTCCTATTTATATGACGCGCTCGAAAACTCGCCAAAACTTATCTTGCCAGTTGGCTGTCCTCACGTGCAGACAGCGCGTACTGGTTTATGTGTCATAACAAATATATACGCCCTCCATGAAGAGTCGCGCAGTCTATTTTCAACAAACAGAATTTTCTCGTTTAGATGTTCGATTCTAGGAACCCTCCATATCCCCGGGCTCAGACGGTCCAAGATCTAGTTCAGATCAGAGCTTTTAAACGCTTCCTTATTTCAAAAAGCCCACTACAAATAGTCCTCTTATTTAGTGAGAATGCTCACCAGGCCGTTCAAGGACGAGGCTTTGTGAAATGGAGTTGCGGCTAGAGGTCGACATGGATTGTATCGACGCATTTATGTTAATTAACCGGCTCCAACAAGTAGTCTGGTGAAAGAAAGACTTAGCGAATCCTCCAAAATCGCGGACCTATTTCAATTTGCAGCACTCATGACCGATGCACCTGGATCATAGGCATACTCCAGTCTGAACTGCGAGATGACAAGTTGTTTACTCCGATCGCACGAGAAGGAGAGAAATGGAGCACAAAAGATGACTGTGAAGACGATAGATCTAGAAATCAAAAATTGGCCCTACAGAAAGGGGTTCACGGAGCAGCATCACATTGATGAGCTAGAGGAAATGTGGGAAATGCGGGTTCACTCCTGTATTCTACTGTTACATGCCCTCTCAAGATGTCCAGCAAAGTACCGAGGGACCGTCGGAGAGCATGGTATCAAAAAGAGCAGAATGCAGATGACGATTATGTTGATGCAACCAACTAGACCGAGAAGCAGCCCGCCTACTAGATGATCTTGCATGGTATGAAGTAGCTGGCGAGGATGATCATGATGGTACCATGAGGTTGATAGAGTGTTCCAATAGATCCTGACCATGGAGACGGAAGCAGTGAGACAACTGTGAGGGGATCACCAGCAAAAGCCTGACTGCTACAGCCTCAACTTCGGCGACTACTCTAGGACCGAGGACGGATATCTCAACTTCACCAAAGTCAGCTATTGGTGGGAAGGTCTTGATTGGCATTAAGGGACTGACGACATACAATAGGGCGGGCAATACTTGCGCTCTCATCATCACTGGGTGAACACAAAACCTAATACAAACTTCACACTGCAAAAAAAACGAAGTGAGCGAAAACGACCGAGGCGTGACTCGAACACGCAACCTTCACCACCGGAAAGTGACGCGCTACCATTGCGCCACCCGGCCGTAAGCTAGTAAACTCTTGTCCAATTGACGCCGAGGCGGCATTATATTCGAAGTATTGATGTACATTCACATCTTGAGCTAGAGAACACTATGTGAGAGTTGCGAAAGGTAAGACTCCCACTTCTACTCTGTATATTTCTCCATGTCTTGTCCAGTCCAAATTGAAAGGTTATACAGTACCAGGCTCAAGTCGCATTCATGGCCATCGATTCGCCGTGGCCGGGGCCGGGCACAACAAAAAGCGTGGAGTCTTGGATGCAATGCCAGCAGCGAATACGTAGCGTCGTGGCCAATGAACGCTGGCGGGGGCGACCGACAGCATAAGACTTGGCTAGAATCGGATTTTTATGTTTTGCAGTTTGTCATAGTCAAAATGCTGTGGGCAAAGAATAGTTTCCGACCTGTCAGAGCTGCAGTTGCGATGAATGCGCTGGTCACTTGCGAGTTGTCCATCGCCAGTACTCGTTGTCATGTCGGGCCTTAAGAACGATCATTCTTCCGCCGTCCGAGGTTGTAAATTGTCTTTCCTTTTTTTTTTTTAATCTATCTGCGATTTCGTTTGCTTCACCATATTAACTATTCGCGCGCAAGATAAAGAGGACTGGAGGGTGATCATCAATGAGGGAAGGAAGGAAGAAAGAAAGAAAGAATGACAGCAGTTTCTGGAGCTAGGCGGGCTTAATTTCAATCTCAGTTTGCTGCTGACCACTTAGCGGCCGTTCCTGCCTCATTGATCCGAAATTTAGAAGAGATAAATTGTCCGGCATCACGCTCTTTTTCTTGATTGTCGCATCTTTGTCGGTACTATCTATATAATTTGCGGTCATATTCACCAGAAAACTGCATCCGGTTACTCCTGAGTCCTGACTCATTGCGCTGTTTTGAGCCTGGCTGTTCTAGGACCTACATAAGATTCACCATTCCACCCCCCGCTGGACTTGCCTTTCTACCTATTACCTGGTGACCTTGACTTGATGCACATGTCCATCAGACAGACTCGTTGCATTCCACAAAAAGCAGTTACTTGCACAGCCAGACTATCCAGTGCTCTGGCTGTGAAACAGTGAAACACTCCCGTCCAGATTAAATAAACAGTCAGCGGAGCAGCGGGAAGAGAGTCCCGGTGGCGGCGAGGCCATTAAAGCTAAGCTTAGCAAGCATTGATTTATTGTTCCAGAACACAGCCGTGGTCAAGAGGCCATTGGCAGCTGTTTCTACACTTGTTGCCTGAGTACGTTCCCTTTCATATCTTCTTCATTCTCGCCTTTCCTGCTCTCCAAATAAGAATCATAATCGAATACTGCTGCGAATGAGCATAACCTGACTTTATCTAGCTACACGGCTCGCCGAATCGTAACGATATCCTTGCTACGTGCTACGTGTAACCCTCACCGAACCATTCATTCAAAATGCATAAACCATCCATCGCACAAATCGTCTACAACACTACGTTCCCTCGACCCAAACCCGCCGACCCACCGTCGTTCTCAGTGCACATCACGCGGAATCTAGTTCCAGAAGTGAGGGTTGAGACAGCAGCTTTCTATGGATCGCTCGATTCGATCGAAGCACAGTACCCTGGACTCGACTACTCGTATGGTCCTCATCGCATGCGGCTGAGTCGTTTCCCATGGCACCGCAAGTTGTTCAAGGTCTTTGACGAGCTTGGTTTGACCAAGCAGGAGATACTGGCGCTCTGTCGCTGGGAAGGAACATTATCGGCTCGAGAGAGATACGAAAAAGAAGAAGGCATCAAAGTTCGCGACACGACCGCGGACAGCGTGCGTCCTGCCACCCCGTCACAAGAACCTTCCGCTCGATTCCACACAAATGAGACGGAACCCTCAACTCCCGAAGATGGCCCCGTGACACCGGAGGAGTTTGTGCAGGATCTACTTCCGTTGGCGACAACACAGCAGAAGGCCGAAGACGAGGGGGACTATAGCGACGAAGAAATGGAGAGTTACGGTGTACGACTTAATCAGCGCCTCATTTACGCGACAGCTGCTCGCGAACGAGGCCACAACATCCCCCTGGATGAGGAATGGGAGCAATGGCTCAAGGAAGCGCGTGAACGAGGCAGCTATGATATGGTGGACGTAGTGCGGACTGGCCAACCGCTGGAGACAAGACCAAATAGCTCTGTTTCAGCAATGCCGGCACAAAGCGCAGCCCTGATGAGCCAACTGGCAATAGCAGCGCAACAACCGGTGACAGCGTCAGTTCCTACTTTACACCCGGAATCAGGATTTCGTCGTCCGCCCACTAATCATTCGGGGGTCGCTCGATAAAACACCTTATTCCATTTCGACTCGTTCGCTCAGTCGTAGTTTCACGACAAATTCATCATTGTGCAACTTTTTATCAGATCAGGMGCGATTCTGGCGTTGCAGGCGCGCGCTAATACTTGCAGGCATATCCAATTTCTCCAACGGTTGGCATTCCTTGATTTCTTTTACTCTATTTACTCCAAGTCCTGCTTTTAGACTATTGCTTTCTCTTTTAGCTTGGCAAACTCACAAATACCCTTGCGACTTCTCTATTTTGCTTATCATCTGGTCAATTTTCCTTTCACATCATACGCGCTCAATATCCGGCATGTTGACCGTTATATTTTAGCTTTAGCGAAAATGCCCCGAATTAGCAGCTCATATTCTTAATTTAGAATTATTGAATAATCAATGTATTCCTTCAGGAGAGTGTTCTCATACATTACATAAAATAAAATATGATTTGGTGGTGTATTCTCCACTGGCGGCTCCAGTATATCTTATCGATCAACCTTCCCCGCAGAAGCTTCTTCTTCCTCTACACCAGCCAATGCGATCAATCAAGTTACTCCAATGCATCGTCATATAATACCAGTTGGGAAGGGTATACCAAGCTGAAACAATTGTGTTTTATGCTAGAGACGACTGCGCATCATGATAAAGGCAATATTCTATAGCAAATTCGACACCCAGGAAGGTAAACAAGAAGCTCATGATCTGCCATTCACCCAGCAAGATCGCAACACTGACGATTAAATTAGGCCCCAAAGTTGTCCACCAAGTTCCCGACGGGGCCATCGTCCCCTCCCCTACAGCTTCACCGCAGCAAGCCCCCTTCTTCACCTTCTCCGACATATCCTTCTTCGTAATCCCGCGTCAAGAACTATGCGGTAACCTGCTCCAAGTTTGCACAAACGGATACCGCATTCTGGGCTACCCTATCTGCATGAAATCGGTCCAATATGACCGAAACGAATTCATATTCAACTTCTGTTTCGTGTTGGCTGAGGAGGAGGATTTCAGCAAATACAAGAGCATTGTGCAGAAACTTGCGGATTTGATGCATGGGCTGGAAGAACAGAGTTGTTTCCTGAGTCGCGACTTTTCGAAGAGTGGGGAGGGGAAAGTGTATAGCCTATGTGAGACGTTGATGGAAGATTTGAATAGTTATAGTGAATGCATGATTCCTATAGGTGAGTGCGCTGCGGTTAATGATATGGATGTTGCTGATGAGGGAGGATTGAAGATAAGTTGAATACGTTGAACTTCAAGCTTTTTCCTGTCTATCCTGCACCGCCGTATGTGAAGGCGTGGGATGTTCCGTTGTTTACTGTTCGATTTGAGGCGTTTTTGGATGAAAATTGGGATCTTACGCTGCAAAAAGTAGACGCCTCCAAACCCAGTCCTTGAAGTACAGATGTCTAACATTCGCAGATTGTTCCATACATCAACGGCGTGAACAGTGTGCGCATCATTTCTATACTCGCCGACGTCGAACTTTCCCTAGCTTACAAAGCGATACGGCACTTACTATACTACGGGTGTGTCTTTCTATTGGACATATTTTCCTTTTCAGCTATATATGCACCCACAGCTTCCTTTAACTCGAGCATTGCTAGCGACGAAGGCATGCAGCAGGAATGCGCTCGATATGTAAATACTCGCTTTGCGCCGACAACTTCATTGCGCATGGCACCGGCATCCCCTCCTTCTTCTGAGTATCGCGGCGACTTATCAGGCAGCGTTTCGCACCATCCAATCGAGGATATAGAGGATGTTATCTGGCCAATGATTGGTGACAGCAACGACGACGACGACAACGACAACAACCACGACACTCACAAGAACAATGTAGGCTCATACTTATCCGAAACACGACGCCGACCAAAGAAGAAACGAAAATACCTCGACGGTGTTGGCCTAGTAGAGCTGTATGCGAGCCTACGACAGGGCCAAAGCGTCAAGCAATGGTACACACTCAACGCGCGACAACTCGCCAACGTCGATATTCGACGATTTATCACGTTCGGCATCATTAAGGGATTCTTGTATCGAGTTCACAAATATGCGTACGGACCACGACCGGAAKGCTTTGTGTATACATCGTCACATGCGGATATGAAATCGTTATCCAAGGCGGCGTCTACATCCTCAGTTAAGGGTGGTGGTGGTATAGGCAGCGGATTAGGATCGTCCATGAATTCTGCGGGTGGTGCTACGACTGCTGGTGAGGATGCGATGTTTAGTAGAGATAATTCGATCCGATATGGTCGAAATGACAACGAGCAGCAACAGCAACAGCAACAGCAACAAACCGGCATCATGTCGAGTTCGTATCAAAGTACTAACAACACCCACACCAACCACAGCCAGAATCACAGCCACACAAACAGCAACAATATAAGCCTCCGCCTCGGCTCAGCCAGTACATCCTTTGACACCGACCCTCGCCACCAAACCCACACTCACGAAGAAACCGAACACAACAATCTCAACAGCGAAAACCACTCCACAGGAAGCATTCCAGACGACGACTTCGCCGACGAAGAGAGCAAAGAAGGCGGAACAGCGCAGGAAGCAATCCGATTCCATCAGAACCACAAAGCGTTGGAAAAGTATCTAGATGGACAGCATTGTTTTGACGAGATTTGTACAGAGTTAGAGATTAGTGAGCGCGAGTTGACAGGGAGGTTGAGACGGATTCCTTGGGTTGTGCATATTATTCATCGATAATCGAACAATACAATTTAATTTGATACTATGAAAATGATGCATGTGATTAACGCCTGATTGTCGGGTTACTGTTGACATGAAGACATCCACTTCATGATTCCTCCAAACGCCTGAATACCTTCACGATAAGCTGAAATCAAAAGTCATAAATATGTACATAATCATCATCTATGATAAAGTCGACGGCTATTCTTGATCCTCATCCCACCCCTCCAACTCGGCCTTCTCATACTCCGCCATCGTGGCAGTATCAAATATACTTTCCTCCTTCGAAGGAACAGTAGTCTTGCTATCCTTAAACACAGGCCCGATACAATCATGCCAGCGCTTGCGACGGTCCATGAGTGTGCGCGCCATATCGCCAATGCCAGGCCGGCCAACGCCCGCGGCACTGACGACGTGACTTCCACCGCCCGCGCCGCCGGGTCGATGTTTGGCTTGCGAGCCTTTTTTGCTTTTGCCTAGTGTACGTGTGCGTTTGAGGTACGCTTGCTGGACCTGAGAGTCAAGGTCATCGTGGATCGTGCTGTATTCTTGATATGCCATGCGTTCCTTGGCAATCTCCAAAAGTCGCGTCTTGCGCGCTCCATTGGTGAGCATTTGTTTCTTGAGCTCGCCCTGCAGTAAGCGTAGTCGCTGCGCAATATCGTCGTCGTAATGAGCGTCAAAGTCGGGGTTGTCTTCTGCACCCAAGAACCCGACATAGCGTAACTCGGCTTTTAGTCGTTCATCCAACTGTGCATGCTCCAGTTTCGCTGCCGGGACCTTGAAGCCATTGGGAGATGCGTCGGGGAAAGAGGTTGCCGATGGTTGAGGCTGAGTTTTTGTCTCCGATTCGCCAAGTGGATGATCCAAGTCCATAAATGAGTCTCCTCCCAGAAGCCCGTTCATCGATGTGTCTCCGTTTGTCGTCCCATTTGCACTGTTCTCATCCGGGTCTACCCGATGTTCATACCGTAGAAGAGAATAGAGACGACTGACGAGCGGTGCTACTGAGACCTTGTCCGTCTCTGCAACCTCGTCTGTGATCTGGTCGATGTTACCGCGGCCCTGGTTCAGTGGGAGTTTGTCTTTATCGTTAGGGTTGTCAATGCTCATTGCCCCATCTTCTTCCGCCCAGATCTCGGTGTAATGTTTCTTTCCACGAGGTGGCATTACAAAAGGAGTTGTGCGGTCGCCCTGCAAAAGTCAGCATCGTAAGTAGCATATACTGTGTTAATAACCGACCTTTTCTTTCAAAAAAGCAATATCTTCCTCAGTCAGAGGACGAACAAAAGGATCAACCCAGGTCAGAAAAGTGTTGGCATTGACTTGATTTGTCGGCTTTGCGTTGCTGAAATCTTTATCTGGTGGAATTCCCGCCATCATATGGAGTAGGTCACTGGGTGGGAAATGTGCCACACTGTAAATCTCCCTTTTCATATCATCTGTAGTTTCGGGCGTCACGTCGCGGATGTGGTAGATGGTTGGATCATCAAACTTCAATGGGTCTGGTCCGAATACTTGGAACTGGGGGACTAATTGAGCTGGTTCTGGTTGATGCGAGTCATCGCTATCCTCTTCAGAATCCTCAGCTGCCGCTTCTTCATCCTTGACAGTTGGAGAGGCTAAAGAAGGGGGAGAGAGCGAGGATGTGCTACCTGTGGCAGCGGTCTGTCGAGACTTTTTAGAAGATGGCGAGGCAGCTTCGCGACTGCGCTTGCGATCGCCTGTACTTGATTAGTTGCCTATATCCAGATATGAGAGTGAACAACATACCAAGCTCTCCTCCATCCTGACGAGATACTTCATGAGCACCAACAGCAAGAGGGCGATCCTCCTTTGGAGGGCGTTCCTTGCGCTTCTTCAATTTATGCCCCTTGAACGCTCTACTCGTTTCTGCGTCGTCATCCGCCTCGCGTTTCATTTTCACTCTGTCCTCCGCGTCCCGTTCCATTTCCTGCTGGTGTTGGTCTTCGATCACGTCCTTCTTCCGCTGTGAGAGCTCTCGCATCCCGGCGTTGCACGTATCGCCCCGCGTATCAGCTAACTGGCTAAGCGTTTTGAGGTTTTCGCTTATGAGCTCTAATGTTTTGATATCTGGAATATTTCCGCCCCCGCCAGACTGCTCGAGAAGATCGGAGTATTGGACGGTAATTCCAGCAAAGAGTTTCGCGAATTCGTTGTCGAGATAGCCAGCAGCTGTCGAAGCCGCGGTTGCCGTGCTCGCGCTCAGGCCGGAGCTGGGGGTTGTGTTGCGACTTCGCGACTGGCGCGAGTCGCGGCCTTTGCCTTTGCTCTTGTTTGCCATGTTGTCAATAAAGAATAAGCGATGTGTCGAGGCGATAGAGAAGTCCGTCAAAAGGGCAAACAGTTGGGGCGCATCGTTTGGGAATCTGGACGTAGCTGGTAGCTGGTCTAAATGTAGCTGAACGCACTTCAGTAGACCACAAGCTAGATTGATTTTTGAGTGTTTGTGAAGGTCAGACAATGATAGTGTCACAAGAAATGGAGAAAGGGCTTCCCCAGATGTTGATAAATGAATCGCGCCTTCTGGGGTGTCGTCCAGTGACGTCTTATGTAAGCATGGACAGCCGCCACTGCTCAGTCACGTGATATATGACTGTTAAGAGCCAATCAGCTAGAGCAGATCGGCAAGCCAGACAAGAGCCGCGCTAGCCACTGGTCTTGGGTCTGATTGGACATAGACGCAGCCATATCATCACATCTTTCCTCAATAAACATCTCAATTATGAGCCTATTAACTTGACTACGAAAAATTTCCCTTGTAAACATGTTAGTTTTATAGCGCAATCAGCTCAAAACTGGGGATGCTACTAAAGCTATCTACCTATATTTCGGTCTTACCCTTTATGACTTTGAATTTCACTGTTCCTCGCAGGAGGTGCCTATTTCGCTACATATGTAATCAACCATGTATGACAGAAATCGCTATTTACTACGTAGTCCTTTGTTTATATATGGAAGAAGTCTCGGAGGAAGTATGCATTCCCTACCACCTGGCGGGCCGGCACCTGGGCGTCTATGTAAATACTTCCGATCTAGATATAAGCAAGGGGCATCATGAGTATCAGTACCGAGGTAGGAACGCATGCACACGACACGAGCATCGATTGCATTTCATCATACTGCATACTGTGTATGCACTTGGTGAATTTCGTAGTGTGGCCTCCCGACGATGCGTTCAGGACTCTCTACAACGTCCTTGACATCCGGAAAATAGGGCATCATGATCGTCACGACAATAACCATCCTCGTTTTTACCGCCATACTACCAGAATAATAATGTCTGAGTGCAGCAATTGAATACCAGTCAGAGGATGAAGCTGATATGCAAACGAAAACAACTAGAGCGAAGCAAAATGACTTCCGCATTCCCAATTCCGCAAACATGTGTTTACATTCTTTCCCGATTCGGCACTTCCGGAATGGCGTATAACCCTAATTACAAAAGTATTCAATATCTGCAATTCTCGAGTCAATCAAAACAATCTCCGCACGTTGGCTTTGTGATTTGAGTGTAGGCTCAAGTATTATGGAACCAGGTATACGATGATGATTAATTGCTATCTACTCACGGATCATCAAGCGACACTACCAGCAAGTACACCGATAGTCCTGATGCAGCTGTCTAAACGATGAGTACCACGGCAGTCACTCTCTTCGCAGGACCAGGGACACTGCACTGTGCTCCTCCACTCCGTAACGGCAACGTACCTCTCCTCAGCCCCCTTATCCTTCAAATTGAGAGCTAACAGCAACAGGGAAACATCCTCTTCCGCTACGTCGTCGACGGCACAATTCGCACCCTCTCAAACACCAACTCTCCGAACAAAGAATCCTTCAAGGGCCTCTTGTACGTACCCAGTATCAGCGATGCCGCCTGCAACAATCTCACAGCACCCTACATCCCCCTCAACGCAACCCGGCGCATCGATTTACCTGCTGACAGTCACGACACAATTGGTCTCGCGCCATGGGTGAGCCGCGAGTGCACACGCGCCTACCTCTCCGCATCACGGCAAGATGACGTCCAGGCCCTAATATTTTACCAACCCGAAAGCCGGGATTCCGGCAAACCGGCACCCTCAGACAGTCCGATCTGGGATTTGGGGGATGCCGGGCAATGGAAGAAAGAGAATGATTACTCCGTATATGCCATCCCAGGCACAGCGGGGACGAATTTGATGCACCAGCTTGAGCAGTATGGTGGGCATGGAAATGGGAGTGATGCACAGACTATAGCGGAGTGCGCGAGGTTATACGCTCTGGTGGACTTGGGTATGTACCACTTATTGTTCTTTGCTGACGAAAGTTGTTGACTGATATATGGATGTACAGAACCAGACCAATCCTCCAACGCACCCGGTATATGGGTCTTTATCCTCGCCATCATGGGTGCGATAGTGCTCATGGTGGTTTTTGCATTCATCACTTTACGACATGTGCAGAGGAAAAGGAGAGAGTCGTTGCAGCGACGGCTTGTGTCCGGGGAGGTGGATTTGGAGTACCTGGGGATTAAACGGCTTGTTGTGCCGCCGCATATTCTGTCCGCGTTGCCGGTTTATGTATATCCAGGACAGGAGAGTGAGCAGGCGGAAGCGTTGAAAGAGAAGGGGACGCCCGAGAATGCAAGCGAAGAGTCGAATGATACAGAAGTCAAAGTTACTGAGACAGAAATCGACAGCACCAACAAACCCTCTTCGTCAACCCTCACCCTAGTCGCCGACCAGCAAGACGAGACCCTCTCCTCCATCCTCTCCGAAATACTTCCCTCAGCGACCGCACCAACCCACCGCGCCGTGGGAAAACGTCGGCGACCAGTCTCCAGCCAAACCTTAACTCTGACCTTCTCTCAACACACCTGCGCCATCTGCCTCGACGACTTCGTCGCCGGAAACTCACTCATTCGCGAACTGCCGTGTACACACATCTTCCATCCAGAGTGTATTGACACATTCCTCGCGCGGGACGGTAGTACATGTCCCGTTTGTAAACATAGTGTATTACCAGAGTCGTTTGTGGAGGAGCAGATCGGTGCGTTGTTGGTGCGGAGGGCGGAGAGAAGTAGGAGGAGGAGGTTGAGGCGCAGACATCGCCATCACCACCATGGTCGTGGTCGTGAGCGGATCTATGTGGGGAGTCCGGTGTATGAGAATCAGGATGTACCATTTTCGCCGTCTTCAACGTCTTCATCGGGGGCAGGCATTATGGATAGATTCCGTGCTTGGTTGGCGAGGGATTATGATGACGAGCGAAGCCCAGGTTATCATCAAGATGAGGAGCCGTTTGGATCATTAGAGGCAAATTCGCATCTTCAGAGACCGGCACCGGCAGGAATTGCGGATACAAACAGACGATCGGAAGAGAGCTATGACCCCGAGAGAAGGGAGATGATGCAGAGGAGGGCCATGATGTTGTTGGGTACACCTGTCGATCATCGAACTGTTCCATCGTCAAATGCATCATAGGTATCGAAGCGAGCACTGTATCGTTTTTTATGCGCTTATTCTAGCTCCTCGATGTATATATTTTTCAATGTTACTTCTCATATTCATTTCAGTACACTCAATATCACAGCAGATACATGAGAAACATCATGCCAAGAAAGTAGGAAATCCTTCATCAGTACACAAAATACTGCTGCGTCAAAGGCAACTTCGTCGCCGGCTCAGCCGTACAAAGCTTTCCATCCGCCTCAACAGTCTATACCAACCAGTTATCAGCTTCATACACTCTATCAAGAAAAAAAAAACATGGTGGAGGAGGGGGCTTACATATCGCTCCGGATCAACCTTCATCTTCGGCATCACGTCATTAAACTTCATATCCTTTTTTCCAACATTACGGCAATTCCGAACGGGCTCGATGCGTTTGCGGAGGTTGTATGATTGCACCACGCCTTGGGATATAGATGCTTGCGAGACAAACATTATCGATGTTGAGGGGACGAATGTCTTTTGATGTTGGTTAGTTATATATTTCCAAGTCCGAATAGAAGAGGGAAAGGGCTTACGCCGAATTGCGGTCTCATGATCACCGGTTCAACGGTGGGGATTGATGCATTAGGGTCTCCCTGCAGTATCATCAGTGACGGTTGTAGTATAAGGGATGAAGAGGCAAAAATACCATCTGCGCAACCGCAATCATTCCCCCCTTAACAACAAGTTTAGGCTTCGTTCCAAAATTGTCCGGCGTCCACAACACCAAATCAGCCAACTTGCCCACCTCGACGCTACCAATCAAATGGCTCATTCCTTGCGCAATAGCCGGGTTGATGGTGTATTTACTTATGTATCGCTTAACACGGAAATTGTCAGCACCCGTACCTTCGTCCTCAGGTAACACGCCGCGCTGCTCTTTGTTTTTATGAGCTGTGTTCCATGTACGCAGGATGACTTCGCCGCAGCGACCCATTGCTTGCGAGTCCGAGGACATCATGCTAATAGCGCCTAGGTCGTGGAGGACATCCTCTGCAGCGATGGTTTCGCTGCGAATCCGGCTTTCAGCGAAAGCTACGTCTTCGGGGATATTTTTTGAGAGATGGTGGCAGACCATAAGCATGTCTAGATGTTCATCGAGAGTGTTGAGGGTGAATGGCCGCGTCGGATTTGTGCTACTGGGTAGCACGTTGGGGTGCTCGACCACCGAGATGATATCAGGTGCGTGCCCGCCGCCAGCACCCTCGGTGTGATATGTGTGGATTGTGCGGTTTTTAAAGGATTGAATTGTCTGTTCGACGAAACCGGATTCATTCAGTGTGTCGGTGTGGATCATGCATTGAATGTCAAACTCGTCGCAGACTTCGAGACAAGTGTCGATCGCAGCCGGTGTGCTGCCCCAGTCCTCGTGTAGTTTCATACCGGCTGCTCCAGCGATGGCTTGCTCACGGATACTTTCCTTGCCGCTGTCATTTCCTTTGCCTGTGATTCCAAAATTTATTGGGAAGGAATCGCATGCCTGAATCATCTGACGCATGTGCGTTGGTCCCGGCGTGCAGGTGGTGGCGTTGCTTCCAGTACTCGGTCCCGTTCCACCGCCCAACATGGTCGTGATACCTGCCGAAATGGCTTCATTAATCTGCTGAGGACAAATGAAATGAATATGCGTATCGAATCCACCAGCAGTCACAATCTTGCCCTCAGCAGCAATCACGTCTGTCGACGATCCCACGATAAGATCCGGATGCACTCCATCCATGACATCCGGGTTACCAGCTTTGCCGATTCCGACAATGATACCATCCTTGATACCGATATCAGCTTTGTAGATACCGCTCCAGTCGATGATTAGAGCGTTTGTGACGACAGTATCCACGCATTCCTTGGTCGTCTTTCCGGAGGACTGGCCCATGCCTTCGCGCAGCGACTTTCCGCCGCCAAAGTTGCATTCATCGCCGTAGTAAGTCAGATCTTTCTCGACTTTGATCCAGAGATTAGTCGCGCCCAACCGAACAAGATCGCCGGTTGTTGGTCCGAACATGCGGACGTATGCCTCGCGTTCCATTGAGAAAGGCGCAATCAAGCTTGCATCGGCGGTTGGTTCAGGCTCATGCGCGAATCCGGCTTGTTGCAACCGAGTCAGAATCTCTTCGACGCGGCTGATATCTACCTTGCCAGAAGCAAGAAAGTTGCCACCGCTGATGWTTTTGTTCCCGCCGATCTCGACCAACGTAACTGTTTTGGTATCACCAGGCTCAAATCGGATGGAAGTGCCAGCGGCGATATCCAGACGATATCCATACGCCTTTTCGCGATCAAAATGGAGCTGTGGATTAGTCTCAATAAAATGGTAATGCGATCCAACCTAAACATAAATGAGCTTGAGCAATTTACTTCACGCCGCAGGAAACAGGAAATACCTGAATCGGCCGATCACCCTTACTCGTAACCCCGAGCTTAATCCGTTTCCGACCCTCGCTAAGCGTAATTCTCGAATTTTTAACGATAATTACAGCCCCTGGCCGATTCTCAGGCTTGTAATCAGCCGGATCCGGGTCTGGGAATGCTTCTTTGGGTGGTACGGGAAGGAAACTTCCATACAGAGCCTTTTCGAGGTCTCCGTCGTCGGTGCTGATGGGGTGGTGCACGGTTACCAGGTATGTCCCTGTAGGGAATGTGCCTTCGACTTGCAGTTCTACGAGACTGAATATGACAGAGGGAAGGACATGGCGGCGTCCCAGCATGGTTTTGCCGATGGACATGAGGTCGGCGACGGTGTGGTTGCCATCGCGGATGAGCTGTGAGTGGTGAGTTAGCTGATCATTTGATAACGATATATTCACATACTTCTTGTAGATTCGATGAAATCAAAGCCTGTTACAGTATTAGATCGTATCCTCAGACGACGAGATCAGTACATACCGTAGCCTCAGCATGATTCAGACGCACACCCCTAGCAAGCCTGCGCTGGGCCAAAAGACCCAACTGCGATATCACCAATTTATCGATCTGCAACCCCGTTCAGTATACAGCTCGTGTTGAGTGTTGCACAATAATTGACGGCGTAAGCAAAACCAACCTCTTTGGGAACTAGCTGCATCGTGTCTCGCAAGAGTGCCTAGTCAGCCGGGGAATGATTCTATCCGTCCAATGATATACTGTCAAAATCTGGAAACGGGCTGCACAACATGGGCAGACCTTGAAGGCAGTGCGGATTTCAGGTAATTCAACGACAGCTTGAGATTATACATAAATCATTCAAGTAGAAGAATAAATAGAGACAGAACATAGAGAAGAGGAATGTGATGCGGGGTCTCGAGAAAGATTGTCTGTGGTTGGCCGCAATTTGCAGAGATAAGATAAGGATAAGCCTTGACGATGCTATTGCTAAGCCTATTTCCTTCTACACAAGTACGAATAGCTTCAGTATGCCTGTCAATTGATTCAATTTTGGTATCAAATGCTCCATCCTCAAGAAGAGCACCCATACTAAGAATACTAACGAATAGTCGATGTTCGACCAACAACATCACATCACGCCTGGCTCTACCAAGATAAACAGAAAGAAACCCCAGAAAAAGACTCCCACAGAAAATCCCGCGCAAAGTATAAGACAAGAAGAATTAAGCCAGTATAATCAGGTCATGTCACGAGCTGCTATGATATAAATCTATACTGCTCGCCGGGACGCATTTGATGGGTTTGGAGTTTACTCGTCCGCACCGACTTCGCTCTTGCGCTTCTTCTTGGTGCGCTTGCCCTCGCTAGAAGCGCCCAAAGACTTGCGTGATGGGGCGTCCTTCTTGGCGGGKGTAGGGGTAGGCTGTGCTGGCTGTACTGGCTGTGCGGCCTTCTTCACAGGAGAAGCCTTCTTAGTGCCAACAGGCGAGGCAGGGGCTTTGGCACCACCACGACGGCGCTTGTTGCTGGGAGGAGGAGTGGGCTCCTTGGCTGGCTCGTCGGCGCTTTCTTCGTCCTCATCATCGCTGTCAGAGTCGGAGTCTTCCTCGGCCTCAACCTCGGCAGCGACGCTCTGCTGAAGTTGGCTGTCGGCTTTGGCGTTGTCATCCTCCGGGACGGGGAGACCGGCCTTATGAGCCTTGTAAGCCTTCATCTTGGCGCGGTAGACGGCAAGATTGTCATTATAAAGATTCTTCCAGACCTGTGACAGTTAGCTCCCGTTCCATACAAACAATGTACGAATTAAGAAACGTACCTCCTTCTCTTCATTAGACATGTTGGCCCAACGGACGGTACCCTCGTCAGCAACATCCTTGGGCTTGGCATCAGGACCAAGCTCGTTGGCAATCAACGAACGGTTGTGCTGCATGTACAAAAAGTACGGAGTCAAGGCACGCTTGGGCGCATTTGGGTCGGGAGGAGCACGCTTGCGCTTCTTCTTCTCGCCAGTTTCGAGTTTGGCCTCCTGACCAAGCGCGTGTTGACCTAAGGCGCCACCCAAGAGACTACTCTCAAGCAAGCTGGTGGCGAAACCACCAGCAAGACCAGAGCCTAGGCTGGTCTCGAGGTTGACGGGACCACCTCTTAGGATAGTGTTTGCATGGTTAATGTAGGCGCGCGACAAATCAGAGATGGCCGCCTGCAAAGCAGCGAGATTGACAATGACCTGCGAGTATATTAGTTGTTTTTCCTGTTGAGTTGAATGGTCGCCCAGTGAGAGGATGCCGGCGCTGGCCCTGTGGATTTCCAGAGCGGCGTGTTGCAGGCTACTGGCAATGTCGGGGCTGGGGATAGCGTGTGGTAGGGGTGCCGCTGTGGGCTTGGCCATTGCGCGCGACAGGAAGCAAAGGCAGACCAACAAAGAAAACAATGGGATGATAATAGGTTGGTACGTAGAATGCGATCGCGCGACTCTGAAAAGTGTAGAGAGATCAAACACACATGTGCTGGATCAGAATACAGAGAATAAGAAGACAGCGTTATGTTTGCAGGTTGGAGGGAGTGTGGTGGTGTCGGCGGGCGCAACGCGAAGCAACAACAAGAAAATAGCGGGCGCGCAAGGCTAAGTTAAGAAGAAGAGAAAGMAAAAAAAAAAAAAACTTACCGAGTCGCGAGTACGAGTAAAGTCGTCAATGTTGACGGTCACAATGGCATCCTTGGCCTTGGACTCGTCTTTGCGTGACATGATTGATGGTGGTGTGTAGTGAACTGTGGTATGCGAGAATGCTAAGCAGACGCGTCCACGGTTTGGGGAGTAAGGGTGGTTGCAGAGAGAAAAGCTGCGGAGGGACTGCTGGGGGAGAGAGAGTGAAAGGAGGGAAAAGTTTTTTTACGCCAGCGGGAGGCGGCGGGGGGATTGGGGCCACTAAATAGTGGGAGTCCGCTCAGAGTGATTTTGTCTGCTAGGCGGGACTGGGCACACTGCCCGTGGACTGTGAAAAGGACTCCCCTAACCACACTGTACAATAACTACTCTGTAGTACGAACTAGCACAGTACACTGTGTGATAGGGGTGCCCCAGCGCACGCTCGGTCTAGCGCTGCAGAAGCTGCAGGCCAGGCGCCAACTGCCTCAGAGCTCCCTGTTTCACCCGCTTTCATTGGGCCAGCCGCTCTGTTCCGCCAGAGCCTGGTTGTTCCGACTTGCGCCCTGGCCTCACTGACCACTGCCACTATTCTTAGTTGACTGACTGGTACTTGTCCTCGTTGTTTGTTCAGAAGCACTACCCAAATAGAGTGTCCAACACAGCCCTTTTTCCCACATAGATAATCCATCACTGTCTTCTTTTTCTCTACTAGCGCGTATATATTCTCTGAGAACATGTCTTGACTCAGACCCCCCGGTTATGTTCTATTCTTCTCGTAGTCTACTTAGTATTTTCGTTGCAGTCCCCGTACTCGGCGCAGCTGCACAGCCTAACAGCCGGCTGTCCCTCCCGCACTCCTCGGCGGTTCTTCGGCGCTTGCATTTAGCAAGAGACAAACATCTTGCTTTAACTATACCTACAATGTAAAAATGGGCATGAACAATATAACGCTGTTTGCAACAAGTATGCGTGTAATTAGAGTTTCTTCTATTCGATTCCCAGCAGACTAAACAGCTGAATATACCTACAGGTACGCTGGGTGTTCTGGCGCCACTGTGTTTAGGCATGCAAGCCCGCTTTATCGGCCTGGAGCTTACTGGTAGCCTCGACTATACAAGCTAAATATAACTGAATGGTCAATTCAATTCTAAGGCTGGAGATCTATCTGCGTATATATGTTTGTCGCAGAATCGCAACATAAACAAATCAGGCTATTTTATCGCACATATGTCACAATCGTGTATAGAGGATACAGAGACAAAACAAATTGTAATGTCATATTAGTCGTAGGCCTAAAACTTGTAGACCTGCTCCTTGTCGTAACCAAGCTCCTTCAAGTAGCCAGCCAACTCGCCCTGGTCAAAGGGCCCATTCTTACCACCGCTGATAGCCTTGTACATGCCGGGAGGTCCGCAAACGAAGACCTTGACGTTCTCCTCCTTGGGTTCAGGTAAGACAGTCTTCAAGAGTTCCTTGGTCACGAAGCCCTTGCCGCCAATCCACTCCTTGGGAGGCTTGTCCAAAAGGTAGAAAGCTTTGAAGCGCTGTGGGTAGGTGTTCTCCAAGTGCTGGAGCTCCTTCTTCAAGAGGATGTCCTCCTCGCTGACATTTCCGTAGACAAGGGTAACCTTGGTCTTGTCGTCGGGGTTCTTGAAGATGGCGCGGATCAACTGGTACATGGGCGCGATACCGGTACCGCCGGCGATCAGGGCAATGTGGGTGTGCTTGTTGGCTTCCCAGGGGTACTTGGGAAAAGGTCCCTTGAAGTCAAGGCGCTGGCCAACGTTCATGCTGTCCAGGTGTGAAGACATGGGTCCATCGGGGTAGCGCTTGACGATGAGATCCAAGTATCCAGGTGTGTCTGGGTCAGTTAGCGAGCTGTTCGAAATCGGACTTGCAGTCCGCGGAACTGTACATACCTTCATCGGAAACAGGGGTGTAAGGACGAAGGATAGGCTTGCCCTCGGGCGGCGCGTACTTGGTGAGCAATGCAGCTATCCATACATATCAGTACGCATCACTTTCACACACGCACGCGAGCAGAGAGCTTACAGGCAACATGCAGACCAGAAACAGCCTCCTTATCCTCAAACTCAAATCGGTACCTTTTGGTATTATGGCTCAAAATCTCAATGTCGCTGAGCTTCAAGTCCACGAATCCCTGGTCGCCGCCGGTAAACACCTTTGCGCGCTCCTTGATTTCTTCAGCGACTACTGGTTTGCTCTGCGTATACCGGTACACGCCCGTACCTACACCAATGGCACCGACGGCGATGGCGATGTTTTGCAATGTGTTGCTCTTGGCAGGAGCTTCGGTCGAGTATTTGCGGAAGCTCTAAAAGTCCAACAATCAGTGGCTGTTCTCGAGAATTGGGGGATTTGTCAGCTTCTGGTACCTGTCTGGCAGGCTGCGAGAGCCTGAAAGTGGCTCTGGCGAACATTGTGAAGGTTGGTAGCTCCAAAAAAGAAAGAGAAGGGGAAAAGAGTGATGAATAAGTCTTCAATTAACACAATAGTAATATTGCTGCTGAGCGTAGTGGTAGAAAGAGCAAAGCAAATGTTGTGCTCGGCGGATGTTTTTCAATGGACTAAGGTAGGGCGGAGTACCTGCGGTCCGAACTAAAAGATGCCATGACGCAAACCCGGGCCGTTTCCCGATCAGGTAGTAGGCCTTGAACATCGCGAGCGAGCGTTTCAGTCTCCAGTTATTATCTATATAAGAAATTACCTCCTTTTTCGTAGCTCTCAAGATTTCTTAATTGACTGTTTCTCAAGTACAACGGACGAGGTTTTAGTAGAATCGGTAACCAGAGATTCGGTAAACGGCACCCGGCGGGCCATGAATAACCCATTGACTGCGGATGGCGACTTGGCTATCCGACTCTGGGTTTCAGTCTATAAGAACTTGAGAATCTACGCTGGAATCGCTCAACTTTGTCATAATTCTAGTCGAGTGTAGGAACACATGAAAATATGGAGAAATTCCTTAACTCGGTCCAGGCAGATCAACCAGTGACCATCAGACAATTGGCCAATCACGTCGATCGATTAGTATCGCGGGCTTTCAGTCGAGGGCTGAAATCATTGAACATGTGATATCATTTAGATAAAAAAGGGCATCTCTAGCATGACATATGAATCCTCAATGCTACTTTATAAAAAGTAGCCAGCTTTTGTATCCGACATGACGTTAACTCGTCTGAACTCGTATGTTTGAACTTTTCATTGAATTTTTTGTAACAAACATATGAATGCTATGGCCATTACACAATCATTGAACCGCAAATCCTCAAACCCCAAAGAAAACACAGCATGCTTATGCGAAAGTGGAAGGACGCTTGTAGGCAAAGACCTTCTTGCTGGATTGGGCGGGGACACGGTGGGGGAGAGGGAATTTCAAGTCCTTGGTGAGGAGCTGCTTGATGTAAGGGCGGCGGATGCTCTCATTGTCCTCGATCTCGACGACGCGGAGGATCTAGTTCATATTAGTGAGTTTCCGTAGACTGATAGTGATCAGACGTACGTGGATGGAGCCGAAGCGGGCACGGTGACGGGCAGCCATGTCCTGGTACAAGGAGTCGACGGCATCGGTTCGGCTGAGCTCACGGAACTCCTTGTACATGTTGTGGGTGCCGGAGCGAGAGTCGTAACGCAACCAGATACCGAAGTTCTTGACCTTGGTGGGACGCTTCTCGGTGATCTTGACAATTCATTAGTTCGATGCTATTGTGCAAATCTCACCATGCAGTACATACCACGTTGAGGCTGACGATCTCACCGTTGGCCTTCTTGACCTTCTTGAGCTTGGTGAGGAAGTACCAGAAGCGCGACTTGGCAACAACTGTGTTGGGAGCAAAGATGCGCATGCGGTACAACTTGGGGGTCGGGTTTGCCTCGGTGGGCAAGTGGCGCCCGATGACCTGGTACTCGATGAGACGGCCTAGCATCTGTCAGTGTCCGTAAATTAAATGACGATTCATTCCTCGAAAGAAAGCCCAGCAGCTCGATTCTCGCTTGTCAGGATGTCGTCGCAGTCGTGTGAAGTCGTAGTCGCTGTGTTCAATGAAATATCTAGTCCTTTCGTTGTTTTTCAACATCGAAATTTTTTCCCTGGCTAGCTCCTGTGATCGTAAGGGTTCAACATCGAAAAATCTATCGTCGCAACCTCCCAGACCCTCACAACTCGCATGATGAACACCAAATGCCGCCTCTGTCCGGTAATACTGCTTCATATAGTGTTTGAAATTTTCGCACATCGGTTCCATGACAAGTCGAGAATCGAGCTGAAGGGTTGTGTAGAATCGCAGGACAACGCAAAAAACGAATTGAACGTACCCATCTGTAAAGTAATTAGTTAGTATGATTTAATCTCATCAAGATACAAGAGAATTGACTCACTTTGTGTCGTTTGTCGTGTTGATACTCCTGGTGAAAAGGATATGCCGCTGATTTGTCTCCAGCCGAAAATGGAGGATTGTGAAGTTCTTGGGTGCTAGGGCTGTGGCCCTCCGCTTAAGCGAAGATGTGGCTGAGACTTAGTCTAGCCGTTTTGGGTGGTCAAGCCAGAGTCAGCCACAAGTGCGGGATCAGCCTCCATCCACCAATCACGTGGCCCGATTGAGTAATATCAACTACAACATCCTCTAGTTATAATATCATTTTGATGGAGATATTACAATAGATAGTTACGTTCGTCATGGCTTCTATCTTTGCCGACTTCAAGGCAGCGCACMCCCTCCAGTCGGGACCCATCCTGGCCGCTGCCCTCMCCCCAGCCGCCACACCAGAAGATCCCCATCGCTTACTGGACTTTGTCCGCGTCACAAACAGCGCCAACTCCGAGGGTGATATCCGGCATCATCTCCTCTACGACAGACAGACAGGCGTCAAACTCACTAAACAGCAAGGAAATGCCTGGGTTAGCGTCGTCAACGCCTTCTGGGTCACTGCTGCTGAGCTTGTCAAGATCGAGGAATACTCCTCACGGGGTAGTTGGTTAAAGGTCTTTGAGACGTGGAAGGAATTTGTGAATCAACTTATCAGAGGTTACTCGAATAACCATTTCCAGTCGTGGACGATACCTTGTCTGTATGTTGCGGGAAAGTACCTGCGCGCTTTTGCGATCAAGGCGGATGCTTCGGATGCATCTCAGAGTACGGCTGGTTTTGGCAATGGATTTCAGGATGATGTGGTCTCGAATGCGGAGAAGAATGCCAATCTTGAGGATGCGGCGCGAACTATTAATCGAATGTTTACTTTGTGTCTTGGTGACCGGTACGTGATACACTCTATACTGATGCATCAGATCTGACGATATTAGAGCACCTATTGAGGAGTCACGGAAGTGGGGAATATACGAGACTACGAACCTTTTATTCAAAACATACTTCAGGGTATGTACCATCTATATGTTATCTATTCATTCACACTAATATGAACTAGTTGAACCAAGTCGGGCTGTCGAAAAGTGTCCTCCGTGCTTTGGATGCGTCATCAGCAGACATCCCACAACCTTTTCAATTCCCAAAATCTCATATCGTGACGTTCAACTATTACGTTGGACTCATCAACTTTCTAGAAGAGAACTACAAAGAGGTATGAGCAGTACTATGCCCTTCATATCTAACTCCAGACTAACATACATTCGACAGGCCGAAGAACATCTTACACAAGCATGGCTCATGTGCAAAACAGACGCCTTAAAGAATAAAGAGTGAGCGCACCATACATCTCTTAAAATACATACTGACATATCAGATTAATCCTAACATATCTAATACCTTGCCATCTCGTCACCACCCACCGCCTCCCCAGCAAACAACTACTTGCTCCCTTCCCACGCCTAGAGCGTCTCCTCCGCCCTCTATGTGACTGCATCCGACAAGGCAACCTCGGCGGCTTCGACGCCGCCATGTCCGCCGGCGCCGACGCATTTGTCAAACGCCGCATCTACCTACCCCTTGAACGAGGTCGCGATCTTGCGCTACGCAACCTATTCCGGAAAGTCTTCGTCGCCGGAGGTTACGAGCCTGCCACCACAAATGCAGATTCTGTGCCGATTCGTAGAACGCGTATTCCGCTGACGGAGTTTGCGGCTGCATTAAGGATTGGGAATCAGGCTGATGAGAAGGCGAGAGTTGATATGGATGAGGTGGAGTGTTTGTTGGCTAATATGATTTACAAAGTGAGTGTATCCTTTCTAGACCTTTAACACTGTACGGGGCTAATTGAGTGACTACTGCTAGAATATGATGAAGGGCTATATTTCACGAGAACGTGCTATGGTTGTGCTGAGCAAGTCTGGCGCATTTCCTGGAACGGGGGTGTGAAATCGTCGCTTCGATTACATGGCTCCTCGACGCACTTATCGCATATTGATCAGGAGATCTGCTGCTGTATCATTACTGCTGAAAAATTGAACAGTCAAACAAACACAAATATCGCATCTCCAGCCGACATTCATGCATATGATATATATGATACATGAGGGTACTGTGTTTGAAAGGCACGACAGCCATGATTCAACCATGACCCGAGCTACATTAAGTGGCTAGCATCACATGATCAAGACAAACGAGCTGATGGACCGCATCTAGCCATGCTCAAGAATGACGTACACTTAGTATTCATCAGGCGCTTGCCTGAAGAAACCTGGTCAAAGATTGAACACCTTTATGATTAAGAATACTTCTATCTTGAGGTTGGGTGCATGTCATTAGTCCGAAATAGATAGATTCATTCTTCTTATACCAGATAAGACATCAGTTTAACGACACAATAACAGACAATGCCTTCCTCAAATATCAATAGATGAAAACAATCAGACAATCTTGATACAACTTGAACCCGAGACCCATAATAAATGAAAAGAAATACAACAATGCACGACATAACAAAAAGTCATCACAATCTGGTGAATGGAGAGCCAGCTTGAACTCTGAACGAAACAAACAGGAAAAAGAAAAGTAAAGGGGGTATCGGCAGGGGTGATACATAGTTTGAGATATATTACAAATTAAGTCGAGTAGAGTATGGGTTGATATGGTACACACAGATCAAGCTGGATAGAGATGGAGATGAAGATGGTTGGTGGAAAGAGAGAGGGCTGTTTAGGTCCTTCTACTCAGAGCCGGAGAGGCAGTCGAGATATCATCCTATCAAGCACGAGCATTAGCCATCCGTAGCTTTCTGTCTGAAAGTAGGAGCAGACTTACCATATGATTACACATAGCCACAAACAAATCAAAAAACACCTTCCCACCTTTCTCCATCTCCATCTGCATAGTCCCACTCCTCTTGAATGTGGATCTGCTCCTTATGATCAGAGCAAGATAGTGGGCACGGAGCTGGCTGTCGTTCTCGGGAGTATTTGCGTACGCGTATCGCGCGCTGGTCAAGATTGTGCTGCAGTGGATGCCTGATTGGAGCCCTTGTTTGCGGAGGGCGAGGCGTTTGAGCTCGGGGAGTTTGTAGCGTTCGCCTGCGCAGCTGTAACGATAATCAGTTAATGAAATACAAGGAGAGACAGGGGGGACGTACTACATGGCAGTATCTTTCAAGATCATACTCCCATCCGCCTGATGAAGATACGCAGCATCCTTTGAATCATCGCCATCGACGTCCATCACATCATCCTCCAACGACCACGTATCACGACGCTTGTTATGTACGAGACGAGGATAGTAGTCTCCTTTGTATAGATATTCGAGTATCGAGGAAAGGACCTCGGGTTGTTCGTCCGGTAGACTGATTTGCTTGTTGTGTGCTTGTAGGAACTGTCCACGGCAACAAGCAGCAAAAAAGGGCGAGAGGGATAGAACGTCTTCGTGCGCGGCGAAGAGGCGCTGATCTTTGCCAACGCAAATTGTGACTACGGCTGAGGTGAGGTTTCTATGGCAGTAGAAGGTTTAGATTTTTTTCTTCCCTAAGGACACTGCAAGACTCACTGTTCAGCTAGTGGTGAAGCGTGTTTTCCGTGTTTACTTTCTGATACGGAATGGCTTCCTCCAGTATGATCCCGAAATGACCGTTTCATGCTTCGAGATGCTGATGTGGATGTCGACTTGCCGGCTCGATATTTGCCAGTGAAGCTGTCGGAGCGGCCATGGAATGATTTTTTGACAAACATTTTGTCGAAAGTATTACGCAGCGGATTTGAGTCGATGAAATTAGTCGACAGTAATGCAATAATGATGATAGATATCTGACTATTGCATGGTTGAAAGATGAAATACTAGCCTGAGGCTCCCAAAGCCACGGAGATGCAAAACCATCCCATCTCGACAACTCATCCTTCGAGATACGGGCGGACTTTTGCAGGCTTATATAGTTGACCTCCCAGGCCATTCGCCAGGCTGAGGCAACGCTATTCCTATCAGACAGGGGAGGCAGTAATATAGATGCAAAGAGTAAAAGAGCGACGCGGGAAACGCGGCCAAGACAGGGCCCCCTCATCGCCAAAGTTACGCGTGATCACGTGAAGCCAATTATGCCTCTTTTGGCCAGTCACAGCTGGCCAGGTGGTGCCAAAATGACTCATTTTAATCAATTTGACGGATCTATCTCATAAAGAATGATAATTTAGTCTCCGACTAGTGGTTGTAGTACCTTTTCACCTAGGCAAAACTGGGCAGTTGCACCGGGATGCTGGAATATGACTAGTCAATTCGACTTGGGTCTACCAAAGGCCTCCACTATCTAGGTAGGGGAATACGAAATGTGTTTTCCATTAAATTGTCAAAGATTTGGATCATTTCGGAGCATCTAGTATGATGGACCTGGATAGAAAGCATTCTCAATCAAGCCATTCGATTACGGCCACTCGCGATCAATCGGAGCCTGTACAGATGGCTCCGACTACTCCATCGTCGGAACAAAAATTAGGCACGAGCTATTTTTCAGACCACCAAGCAGTATCAACTAGTACTACTGTATTGTACTAGGTGGCGTCCCATGTACTTGGTAATCCCCGCCTAGCGGAACAAGCTCCTGCATATTCCTTTCAGCTACAAAGCTCAAAAGGTCAGCCGGCAAGCTCTGATTTGCGCCCTGGACTTGCAACCTGGGTTAAACTTGATAGCAGATGACGCCTCATCGGACTAAGGGACTAGTTGGTTTCATCTTTAGCTAAAATTTGGGCTTTCGCGGATGACTTCTATGCTAGTTTCCGGATACCGATCTGAAGGATATATTTCCAAAGCACACATGTGCAGCCTGTTTGATTATCTGCAAAGAAAGTAGGGGGATGATGCTTATAACCACAAAGTTATGTATCCCAGTAAGCCCAAATCCAAAAGTAAAGAGTGTCACAGTAACGCCAAATTTCCCGCCCGGTCATCACTCGTAGACATTAATAGCAATACGCCTTAAAACACCATTTCTTGTTGTCTCGTAATTTAACGTCCATCAGAATATGACTTTCCGAGCATTCTTCGGATGGCTCTCGCTGGGGCAGTAAGGGCACTTGAATTTGTTACCCTTGCTGATTCGCTGAAGTGACTCCTGCGCAATGACGTGACCACATGGCATCATCATAGGAGGGTTCTGATCTGTAGTTTGTTCTTTCGAGACGGGGCACACAAATATCGAATGAAACAGATACGAGGGCGGCAGTGGAATCTCGACCTATCATCTCAATCAGCACGGTATTATACGAAAGCAATTCAAGAGAAAGTATTCAATACCGGAAGTTCATCCTGGGTGGTCCACTCGGTCCTCTTTGCTTTCATGATTGTCTGCAGCTTCAACAAAGTGGGAAGGGCAATGGCGCCGGCCGTCGCCGCTATATAAAGAGGAGAGTCTGCCGACAAACCAAGTAACGAGCAAAACTCTCGTGTGAAAGAGTGAGCAACATCAGACCAAGCGGTCGGGTTGTTGAAAATATGTCGATATGGAGAGTCGTCCAAATTTGGCCAAAAAGCCATAGCCCCTATAAGTTGTTGAATCTCTTTCAGGTACCGAGGCGTGAAGGTTGAAAACTCCCGCCTCGCATATTCCAAAGCAGCTTGTCGACCGCGGGCGCTTGGCGAGTATTGTGGTTCCGTGCCACCATGAAAGAGCCAGACGAATTGAAGACGACAAAGCTCAAACTCCAGGTTGCTTCCTCGGCCCTCTAGGATTGATCGGTTGTCCCTTGCCCAGTCTATTGCAGGTAGTAAATTCGAACTCTCACGAAGCTCATGCAGTATGTGATACATTTTGGTAAACTCTTCACGGATTCTGTCCGAATGGATTTGGTCAAGTACTGCAGACGCATTATTCTCGCTAATCAAACTATCTTCGTATTCGGGTTGGGCTGGGGATTTTGCCTGCGCTATTTCGTCCAGAAACGTGGCTGCAACTGAAAATTGGCCTTCTCGGAGCAAGTGCATGGCAATCGCTCGATTGACGAGGCTCGGTGAGCTTGAGAGGGCGTCATATTCGGTGCTAGGAAGAGGACGATCTTTGAACAACTATACAATTGTTAGAATTTCATAAGTCCATAGTTATGAGCACTTCCTTGTACCTTGTCTAGTGCTTTCGTGTACTTGTTGAGACTGCCGTGGGTCTCCTTCAAACTATCGTTGGTCGCATCGAATGACGCCTTCACCGGATTCTGTAGCTTTGCGAGTGTGATTGAAGCTGTGGTCGGATCTAGACAGTATGAAAAGTCAGAACTACCATCAACAAGAAATAATGATAAAAACTGGATGGTCTACCAGCAGCTATCGAGTCTCGAGCTTTCTGTAGCAAGTCAATCGTAGCTTGGACGTCGTTGATACTTTTGGCCGCTTTCATCCGCTTCCACGCCCGCTCATGCTCCTTCTGTAGCAAGTCCATGGTTTTCCCATGCACCGTAGCAGCTGACTCTCTTTTCCATGAGAACAGTCGCTACAAGAAATAGTGATCGGACAAGAAGAAGGATAAAGAGTGATGGCGGCGGGTCACTTGATCGGGGGCTTGACTGGCTGCGGAGTGTCGGAGCCTTTCCTCATTGGGCCTGACTGACGTCTTCTCACTCTTTCCCCCTCGGCTCCATATTTACTTGCTCATTTACCGCCCGTGGAGCTCTCCAGATGCTACACAACTCAGGGAGCAGCCAGATCTCCGACATGATATATCTCTGAGTTCTACAAAAATCTAGCCGGGTGCCTTCGGAAGGCCAAACATCGTTCCTACACCAGAGATGCTTTGTTCTGTCTGGTCGGCTTCTGTCCAGGGACACCTCCCCTCGTCGGCCAATCTCTTCGCCGTCTACAGGTGACTCTGACTTGATTCATACTCTCTAGACTGCTCTCTGCGTCAAAAAAGCCGTTAAGAAGCTTGCAACAGTATGTCAGGATCTGCTGTTGAAGCCTATCATGCCGCCGCCGGAGCATCTCCCACAGGTCAAAATGGCCAAGCTCGATATAAACTAGGCTCCGAGGCTTCTTCTTCTTCAGCTGTCAAAAGTCCCCCCGCGATCGATCAGTCTGCACGAAAGAGACACCAGAGAATCGTTCTAGCCGACCCGGTCGCCCTCATATACCTAGAAGAAGACCCATCGACAACCCTTTTACATCGTCGGACAACCTTACAAGGATACGAAATCTACATCGTCGAGCAATGGGCATGCTCTCGAGTGCACCCGACCTTCATAATCGCCACTTACACGGGCGATCCTGGCCATCGTATAGAGGTCGGAGTTCTCGGCGTCCCGACGGATAGGAACAGCTGGTCGCCTCGTCTTAAGCTATATTTTGACGCCGTGCAACAGTATCATGCAGCAGCAAAGGAAACCCCGTTAGGGACATTGATGGTAACCAATTTGAGTGCTTTTCCTTCTGCACTCACGGTTATTGCAATCCCGGATGGTGACATGAGAAAAAATCGCGAACATTTCATTGTAAATGAGAACTTGAAACGTCTAGGATGCGCAGGACGTGCAAGCCTGAAACTGCAAAAACCGTCTCCAGTAGTGGAAGCCAAGTTCTATCAATTGTATAAGACGAGCGATCGTGTACCTTTATATGCAGCGGTCATGGAACTTGTCAAGCAATGCCAGCTGGCGCTTACCATTTTTGACAAACTCAAGCCTGAATATGCAGACGGCCTACTATGTGACGTTACGGAAAAGGCAATCAGTGATTGGTGGGCAGATATTGGCACAGACTTGTACAACATCGAGCCCAGTGACGGCATATTAGGTGCGACCACCGTTGCGGCGCTGCTAGGTGCGTTGATGGGTGCGCGAAATCGATTACACGCCGTGGGGGCACCGGTTCCTAAAGACGTGTTTGACCTGTCAAGCATGAAACGGGGAATTGGTAGTTTTCAAAAGTCACAAAAGCTTGTACGTACGCGACGATTGGATCGTGATACATTCGACAGACTTCAAAGAATTAGCCAGAAGCCGACAAACTCCGAACGCTGGGCTGGCGCCGTCAAATCTACCGTCGCTGAGTTAAGTGGAAAAGGTGGTGAGATGGTCATGGGGATGGTCGGTCGGGAGAAAGGCGGTATTTCCGATATTGAAACCCTCGACTTGGAACGATTTGTCCAGTTAGTCCACGGTGAGAGAGCCCGATGGCTTTGGCAAGGCAAACCTCGAAAAAGCTCGCTCAACCACGGTCTAGAAAGTGGTTCGCGTGCAGATGATCTTGTTTTCACGACGGACGACCAAGGCAGTTATCTTTGGGCTGGTCGTAAACGATATGTTGGTTCGGACTCGGGTGATCGTGTGGTGCAAGACAGTGACGGCCCAAAGCGCCCCCAAGAACTGGCACCAGCCGTGGAAGACAAGGATTTGAACTTAGGACGCATTGTTTCGCGCAGTCTTACAGAAAAGGTATCGGATGCGAGGGCTGGTTTCGGCAGGTTCAAGGATGCGGTTGGCATACCCAGTCGCCGGTCTCATCCTCAATCTCACAGCCATCATCGCCACCGGCCAAAAGACTCTATCAACCTAGATGCGGTCGACACTACTATCGGTGAGGGCGAAGTTGATCAGAATGGCGATGTTTATGAAGAGAAAGACTTTGGTCATATTCCTGAGGAGAGTATCGACACTCCACAAACAGAAGGCCTGAAACACACACCTAGGGAGAGTAATGCATCAATAACTTCGAGAAAACAGTCGGATGTCCCAGTGGTGCCACCGGAGATTCATATTGTACCAGATTCTCCTTCAATCAAAGAAACGAACAAGCAGGACTTGTCACCCATACCTTCAAAAGCTGAAGAGATTATAATCAAAGGAGGCGAAAGTCAAGATGAAGAAACAAAAGACCTTGAGTTGACCAAAACTCGATCAACCGAGGTGCCAACTGAGTCGGACACTCCAGAAGGAACAGTGTTCAAGTATCTACGTCGATCACAGAGCTTCCCTGATGAAAGCAGTAGCACGTCAACGTTCGCGAGAAGAGGCCGATGGCCTCGCCATTTATCCTTCAGCACGGTAGAGGAAGTCGTTCTTGTGTGGGAAGGCTTCAAGACTGTAATAGCTGAGTCCGATAAAGAGTCTGCCAAATCTTTAGAAGATCAAATTCTTCAAGAGTGTGTTCTTCTATCTGATGCGCAGGCTTTCAGCTCCGGGGTCTTGGATCTTAGTCAGCAAACGGTCCCTTGGGTCGAAGAACAGGTTGCCTCAGTGGAATTCCTACATCGTAAGGCCAATGCGCTTTCAGAGGAGCTGGGATATCTGTATCCGGAGCGTATAGACGATATTCAAGAACTCCGAGAACGACTAAACCAGCTATTCGGAGACGAAGGTTCGCGCTTGACTGAAGAAATGAAGAAGATTGAAATGCTGGGAGCCAAGCTGGATTACGAGTTGAATGTCCTGGAGTCCAAAATCGAAGATGTCGAAGAGGGTCTACAAGACTTTCAACGCAACGTTGATGTTGTCGAGAACCGCATCAAAAGTCTTGTTCAGGGCGAGCAAAAGAATGGAACGTCGTGGTTCTCATGGGCTGGCCGGAAATTCGGTCGTTTCTAATACATATTTACTTACTCTATTTTTAGTGTATATACAAACATAATTCCGCCGTTTAGCGAGATTGACATAGCACATGTATAATAAAGGACAATTTTACGAGAAAACGCAACATCCTCATTTTCAACGTGAAGTAATTTATTGTACACTATACCTAGGTATATCCAATCGAGGAACGCAGCCAACCGAGTCCCGCCAGTCTTCCGCGCAATATGAAATACAACAGAGTAGAGAAATTATTAATTTCAAAGGCATTTACATGCCAAATCCACCCATACCACCCTGCTTAGCGGCGGCCTCGCCCTGCATCTTCTCGCTGACCTTGATGTTGACTTCGAAGAATTTGGAGACGCAGCGGTCGAGGCAGACGGATTCGCCCTTGTTCAATTCACCTTCGCGGTATTCGGGAGGGACGCATTTTTGGGTGCAGGATTGTGTGAGACTGGAGGTAGATGTGTGTCAGCTACTGTTCTTCGCAATCACTGATGCTAGTAGAAAGTAATGATGTTTCGTAGTTATAGTGACGATCAAGGAGTTTCCACGCGGTATCAATCCTCCGTCTCTTTGATTATTTCAGTACGTACCGGTTGAACAAGTCAGAGACCATCTCGACTTCTGTTTCTGCTGCAGCAATCTTCTGTTCCGAAGAGAGCTGGGGACGACCGCCGAAGAGGAAAGACATGGTGACGTCTGTATTCGAGTGGTGTTATATTACTGTGTTGCGGTCAGTATTAGGTATAGCATTCAGATATATCGGCGCAGAGTCTTCTCAAGATCAATACCTTTATAAATCGGTCGATGGGGTTGTTCGCGTGACTTGGTACCTGATGAATGGTATCTTCTTGATCAGAGAAAGATTATGGCAGAGCATCGGGAAGGGAAGAAGCTTGGACCACCCGTGATTGCGGTCCTTCCGCTCGCCGCACAATTTTCTCTTTCCTTCCTACGACCAACTTTACAACAACGTACAACTAACACAGCTTCACCACCCCAATGCACTCCATTGGTCCCAGAAGGGCCTCTCAGAGGCTTCTGGGTAAGTTGTCATCTAGGTAAGCTTTTTTGTCTCCTTGACTTTTCTGGTTATACCCCAACATTAGGATGAAACACGCACCCAATACAGAACCGCTGCGAATGACACTTGCTTTTTGCAAGTAATGATCATAACAGGACTTACCTTTCTGATTCAATATTTTCTTTCTCGATAGATCTCAAGATTGATTGGACATGACTGATTGCTAATGGTCTCTTCTAATAGTAGACTCTCGGCTATCAAGGTATCGACCCCTTTGAGCCTGCCGCGTCCTATTCCTCATGTTCTTTCCTGGAGAGAACGGCCTGCTCGATATCACAGTACACAGACTCCGGTTGAACCTGGATTTGAGAGCCGCGTGCAAGAGATCAAGGCTGCTGTTTCAGACGCATATCCACGTCTGGAAAGTAATGCAAACAGGCTTAGTATCGAGGAGTTTCGCATTCGATATGACTACCTTGAACCAAACCAGGTAGTTGAGGAGGACAAAGTCGTGGTCCAGGGTAGGTTACGGCCTTACCCGGCCCTTTCATAGTTCATGTACTTAGAATATTCTTTTTACGTAGGCAGAATACGAACTGCCAGATTGGCAGGCAGCAAATTGATATTCTTTGACCTCATCCAAAATGATCACAAGATTCAGGGCATGTGGAATCTGCGTATGTCAGCTGATGTAACTCCGGAGAAATTTAAGCAATTGTATCGTCTGCTTCGTCGCGGAGATGCTTTTTGTGCGTAGCCAATTTTCTTGACTGATTGCCCGGCATCAAACTAACATGTTCAAGCTATTACTGGAAGACCGCATCGAACTGGAAGAGGAGAACTCACAGTTCAAGTGACGGAAATTCCAACCCTTCTCTCTCCGTCGCTTCACGATATTCCCACCGATACAAAGGAGCATGGCATCTCGGGTTATCCTCGACATGTCCAATTTCTGGCCGATAAACATACGTCGGACGTCATGCGAATACGATCAACAATAATTCAGTATATTCGACAATTCTTTGTTGAGCGTGCTTTTATGGAGGTGAACACGCCTATTATGGCTAGTGAAGCTGGTGGTGCGACTGCGCGTCCTTTTGTGACGACGGCGAATGAGTTTCCGGATAAGTCGTTGTATTTGAGGATAGCTCCTGAGCTGTGGTTGAAACGGTTGGTTATTGGCGGGTTCGATAAAGTCTTTGAGATTGGAGCATCGTTTCGGAATGAAGGTATGTACATGTCTTTTTGTACCGGCTACATACAACTGACAGGATATAGGCATCGATAAGTCGCACAATCCCGAATTCACGACATGCGAATTTTACATGGCATACGCAAATCTGGAAGACGTGATCTCTATGACCGAGAAACTCTTCTCTGGTCTAGCAGAACATGTCTATCAACACAAACAACGCCTGGACTCCAAAATCCCAACTCCAAGCACAAATTTCTCAGCCCCTTTTCGACGGATAGACTTCATTCCTGGAATTGAGGCTGCCATTGAGCGACCATTACCAGATCTATCTTCCCCCACCGCGGAAGAGGACATAAAACAACTCTTCGCAGACCTCTCACTCCCACTCCCCGACCTTCCCACCCTCCCTCGTCTCATGGACAAACTCTGCTCAACCTACTTGGAACCGCAATGCATTGAACCAACATTCATAATCCACCCACCGGAATGCCTCTCTCCACTATCAAAATCTTTCCTATGTAACAACCAACGCGTCGCCGCCCGGTGCGAACTCTTCATCCAAGGCAGAGAATACGTAAACGCGTATGAAGAAGAGAACTCGCCATGGGAGCAAAGACGGAAGTTTGAGCAGCAACAGGTTTTCAATCAGCATACGGGCGAGTCTACGGGTGTTGATGAGGGTTATTTGCAGGCGATGGAATGGGGGTTGCCGCCGACGGGGGGTTGGGGTTGTGGGATTGATAGGCTTGTTATGCTGTTTACGGATTCGAAGAGGATTGGGGATGTGTTGCCTTTTAAGACTTTGAGGTCTATTTAGTCGATGATTGGGTCGTGTATGATATGTATATTACTTTTTAATGTTGGCAATGGTGGGATGGTGGGATGGAATGGTGTTTTGGCGTCTTTTCCATAGCGAGCGACTCCCGTTTACGAATGCATGTGGCATTTTGTGTCATCTAATTTTGGGCATGAGAAGGAAGCTACTGCTGTAACAAAATATTCGTTGCTCTATACAGATTTGAAATGTTGGATAAATCAGTGGGGGAACCCTCGGAACCTGCSGAGCCGTAGATAACCGCTCAATTTTCCACCATCTTTTATCTGGACTTTGCGACTCACGAAAGTCTTGACGAAGCTTTACACAACAGTACAAACTCAAGTGTAAAAACTACCCAGAAAAGTCCATAATGTCTGCACCCATTGCACAGGCACAACCTGTCACAGTAAGCCTTCAAGATCTCTACTCAGGTGAGGGGCAAACATATCGCATCTTTAATCTACTATATTGGTCAAAGGAACGAGGGACTAATATCTTAGCAGGCTCTGTACCCTTCGATGCCTTGACAGAAGCATTCGGCCCTTCGTCCCTGGGAATAATCGTAGTTAAAGATCTACCTCCCACCTTCAAAGAGTTGCGTGCTCAAGTCCTCTCGAACTCTTCTTATCTTGCTTCTCTGCCTCAGGATGAGCTCGGTATGTCTTCTTGGTACTAATTTTTGATGCACAAACTGATTATGGACAGCAAACCTCGAAAGCCCCCAATCTAAATACCTCGTAGGCTGGTCCTGCGGCAAAGAAACCCTTCGCTCAGGCCACTTCGACACCCTCAAGGGCTCCTACTACATCAACTGCGCGTTCTACCAAAACCCTTCTCTTCAAAACGCGCCTGCAGATGAGTTTCCTGATTTCCCGCAGTACACAGCTCCCAATATCTGGCCAGATGCTGAGAAATTGCCTATCTTTCGCCGGAGTGCGGAGGAGTTGATTTCGCTAATCATTGATACGGCGGCGCTGGTGGCGAGGGCGTGTGATCGGTACGCTGCTGTGAATATTGAGGGTTACAAGGAGGGGTATTTGGAGCATGTTGTTAAGACGAGTTTGACTACGAAGGCGCGGCTGTTGCATTATTTCCCGGCTGAATCAGCGGAACAGAAGGGAGAAGAAGGAGAGGATGATGACTGGTGTGCTACGCATGTTGATCATGGTTGTCTGACGGGGCTTACGTCGGCTATGTTTGTTGATGAGTCGGTACAATCACCTTCGGATATGTCGAAGACGTCTACACTCACAGAATTACCGACTTCGCCAGACCCAAAGGCAGGTCTGTACATCCGCTCGAGAACTGGGGAAATCGTCAAGGTGAATATCCCCAAGGACTGTCTCGCGTTCCAGACAGGAGAAGCGTTGGAGTTGATTACGCAAGGAAAGTTCCGTGCTGTGCCGCATTTTGTCAAAGGTGCTGCGACGACTAGCGGAAAGATTGCGAGGAATACGTTGGCGGTGTTTACGCAGCCGAATCTGGGAGAAGAGGTGCAGAAAGGCAAGACATTTGCGGATTTTGCAAGGGAGGTTGTTGAGAGGACTTATTAATAGATATCCTACAGTGAAGAAAAATATTCATGAACCTGAAATTAACGGATCTAGATGGTATATAATCGCTAAAAGTCAATTCTCGGACGTTTGAACTGTGGATGTTTGACAGGAGAATCTCGGATTGGGAGAGGATGAGGTTTGAATGACTGTATGAGGACGGCGGGGTCTCCATCCCAGTCATCTTCGTCGTCGCCATCGTCGTCGTTTCTATCCTTGACGCTCCCATCCTTCTGTTGAGTGAGTCTGGCAATATCAGGTGGAGTACCCGTATCCGACCCTTTGACCGCAACCAGATCCCTTTCTTCTTTATCAATCTCCTCCTCAGACGAAGTATTGACCGTCTCATCGTCCGAGCTCATATTCGCACTGCCTTCCATATTCAACCCACTGCTAACCAACGAACTCATCTTCTGCACCTCCGCAAACTGCGACTTGCTTGGTCGACCGGGCTGTCTACCCGCGTTTCGGGGCAGTTTTGCCGCCTCCCAATCCGCCTGCGTAGCTGTGCCGTCAAGTATATTCAGTACACCCTTCCACATCCGCGGTTCCCGTGCTTCGGAATACCGGCCGACTTCGTCGCCATTCAGTGTGTCGAGAGAGAGTGCTTGGACCCTGTAATCGGCCCAGAACCAGTCCTGCCCATCTTCCATGCGCTCGTCGGTTTCGCGCGACCATTTCCGGCTGACGAGCGTGCCGAAGAGGTCATAGTCTATTGAGATGTGACCAAACATTAACTGCATGGCTGTGGGCTCGTAGCATCGGCCGATAATCATGTCGTGCGATATATCGACTGCCGTGCCGGGTTTGTGCGTGCAGTACCAAGCCCCGTATTCGCTCATGCCAACCTGTTGGAATGCGTCTGTGAGTTCTTGTTGATTGAGTGGTTGGCTGCCGTACCCTTCGGATGTGCGGTATGCTCTAGTCGGTAAATATGTATATACGTTCCCGCGCACGCGCACAGCATATGATTTCGCAAGATGCGGTGATTGTGCGTCCTCAATGCACGAGTTGAGTCGAAATTCTATGCGTTTGATGACCATTACGTCCGTGATGGGTGACAGTCGGCTGACCGCCGCTCCTTTCGGCTTTAGTCGTACCGTGTCGCCGACAACTATCATTTCAGGGCCGAGAAACATTCCACGACAATAAATCGATGCGTTAGGCCATACGCCCTTGAAATGATATTTGTTAACCATGCTGACTGAAGACATTACCGTCATTGCATGTTTAATGGAAGGATGCCATTCCTTCTGAGGCACATTTTCCAGCCATGTAGGCCACGAATTGAATGGCCGCAGGACATAGATGTGCACATATTGGTACTGAAGTGAAGCGCTCTTATCGTCGCTGTTGGGGTCTGGAAATGTCTCAACTCGGAATCCGGAGTAGTTGACTTCCCAAGTCTTTTTGGTCGGCTCAATCAGGTCTTCAAGAACCACGGGATCTTTATCTGGTACTTCACTGACCGTTCCTGCTCTCCAATCTGGTCGACCTATAAATCGGTGCCTTTTGGAGGAATAGATCTGATACGACCTTTCTTGCTCGTTGTATTTGAGCTCGCCACCGTTCAGTCGAGGCACCCAGAGAACAATTTCACCAACGCGAGGAATGTATGATCCTTGTAGACCAACCCGCACGATATGCTCACGCACGAGCTTGTTCTCTGCTCGCCAATCCATGCTTCGAGGCTCAGAGATAGGCTCGTCTATCTCACTCTCTTTACTAAGTCTGGTCACCATTTCCCTGTAAATGTCGGGGACGCCCTCAGAGTCTGTTATTCGTCTTGGCGTTGGTAGCTTTGGAGCTCCTTTTGCTGGCCTGCCTCTAGCCCATTGACGAGGGGGTTGGGGATGATTTGTCGTAGCTTTGGAACAGTTGGCATTGATCATAATTGTTAGAGGAGGATGACCTACGTGTACTCGTCCCGGATCCACTGGCACTAGTCTGAGGCCTCCTTTTCTTACAGCAATCACAGGAGCAAGTCCCTGCTTTACCATTTACCAACCAGTAGAAGTGAGGAAAGAAGTTTTTTGGAGAATTAAAGGGAGCCCCTGAGGGATGCCCATAGAAGAACTTATCTCGCTATATGAGGTTAGTAAGACATATCTGCCCAAAGTAAAAAGGAGAAGCACTCACAATTGTACTATCACTGAACCGTGGTCTGTCCATAAGGGCATATTGATCGGGCAGTTCTCTAAGGATATACTGCTTTCCTGTTCGAGTTAGCGGATATACCAGCAAAATAAGTATGTGACCTGGGAGAGCGATGCTACCTTTGATAGCTTTTCCTTCCTTCTCCATCCACATCATGGCTAATTTATGGCGGTAAAGCCAATTATCAACGTGCCTCCACATATCCTTCGTGGGCCATGTACTTCGGTCCCCATCACTGCTGCACTCTGGTGAGGTAGGCAGGGATAACACTTCGAGATTGTCATTAGGTGATGAATGTGACATTGCTCTCTTCTCTTTTGAGGTCTCTCTAAGAGAAATTATATGATTTGTTCCTTTCTGTGGCTATCTGTGTGATCTCATACTATGCACAGGTGAGTTTTAAGTCCGAGGCCCCTTCCTTTTGGGATGAGAGTAGGGTCAAGACACGACAGTCCTATGAACTGGGAAATAGGCCATTTTTAATCTGAAAAAAATGTTGGCTGATGCAGATTAATTTTTCGAATCGAATGACATGTAGAAGGGGCGACAAACTAAGGTGATGAATATTTTAGAAATTAATTTGATGAGATGCGAGGTCGAAGTTGCTGTTGGAGAAGCCTAAACATTTTGGCAGCCACGCCCATTGCCCGGCGCTGGAGGCTGCTCACCGCCTTCATTATCATGGACATTCTGCCGCTGCGTAAACAGTGTTTTCTAATTTCTCAGTTTTGTGATTTATATATAAATATTTATATCAATATGCGAAAGTCAGTTGGACGTTGAAAGCCTGCTATAGAAGTGTGAGCACATGATTAGTCGTGGCAGTAGTGTGGAGATAAATATGGTCTATGCCGCTGCTTCAATAAGTGAGGCATTGTAATGTGTCTTCTGAAGATCTTATGGCATGACATCTCTGACCCATGCCTACGCTGTGAATATTATGGCTGGRTCAATAGCTCCTTCCAACACAAGATCCCAGAGGATGCCAGAGTAACTACTATAGCTCCAACTACGGGCTGAACGACGGTGCCGCATGTTAGACCACTGGCCAAATCAGGGAAAACTGCGACTTGGAACTCCCTAGAGAACAGAGATATGCATTACCATGCAAGAAAATCCATGGATTATGGATCAGACGGGTTGAAGCCTATTGATAGCACGTTATTTTCTTTATGATACGTTTCACTGAATAGGACGGAGGATAAAATCCTTCTTTTCGAAAGCCCGTCGTCCTCCATTAGCCAAGTATTGACAGACAAAAGCTTATTTCGTTTGCTTTGGTCTGTCTTCGTTGTGAGCCCTTGAAGGGAGACAAATGTCTTACATTCACTGCCAGCCCCTGAGATCCACGAATTCACCTAGCCCAGTGCATCCGGCCCAAGTCGAGTTTTTTTTTAGCTTTTGACATTTTTAGGATGCTCACGAATAGTCTGATCTCTTCTGGCCGAGTAGCAATTGAAAGCTCAGAATTATCGTTCTATCCATCCTTCCAGAGTGCTCTATGAAGCAGGTCATAAAATCCGACGGGGAACCTTATCCACCAGAGCCAGACTTTGATGCTAACAGCATATCATGTCTGGTAGAAGTGGCTGGATGCATGATTACAGTAGCAGATAGAAGCGAGAAATCTAATCGGCTCGTAGGCCGGAGATATGCCTCATTTGTAGCACTTGAGTCATGCACCAACCATACACATACAGACATAAACTTGATTATGTCCCAGCTGTAGATATGCTGCTCTCTTTCTTCTCTTCCTCAGATGCCTTCATCTTCTGTTTCAGCAGCTCAAATCTCTCCAGCGCATCCTTCCTCCACACCTGAACGGCCTTGTAACCCGCCTCTAGAACTGGAATTCCTCTCTCCTTCTCACTACTTAAATCAACCCAATCCATTTTTGAACTTGTATGAATATGAACATCCGGTCTGACTTTCTTCCTGCTTTCATCATCCAGAGTCCCCACCTTCACAAAAGTTGTCCAGGTGAAATCATCTCCATAATCGCAGGCAATCACTACGTAGCACTTGGGACACCGAGCATTCTTTTGACCATTACCAGAGCTTGTGGGTAGGTCGCTGATAATAGGTTTTGTGTCCGAGGTGATTCGGAAACTTGATGATTCGATTATGGCATTGAGGGCGTATGCGGCGCCGGTTTCGCGCTGGCACCATGTGCAGTGGCAGCAGTTTGTGCAGAGGAAGGGGGCTAAGACTTCATATGTGATGGTCTTGCATGTACAGTGGCCCTTGAGAGGCGTGAAGGCCTCGATTGTCATTATTGCAATTTTGGAAGGAAACTGTTGGATGTGTTTGACGGGGTTGTTTTGTTTATCCGATATGACTGCAGATATATCTATGCCTAGTAGGGTGGGGTGCATGTAAGCACTAGGTGAGTCATGCCACTTGTCTCGAAACAAGCGAGATCAAACATCTATTAAGCCTTGCTAGTTCATGCATAGAGAATCCTCATATGCAGTCTGTCACTTCAGAGAGGTAATGGCTGGCTTGACCACATACAATAACTCTTAGCTTGACTCAAGTACAGATAGTGATCAATGTAATGACATAGCATGTTGCGTACATGTAACTCAAAAAGTTTGGATGATATATCAGTTGCTATCTGTGATTTACATTCATGTGTATATTTGGATCACATCCCTCGGTAGGCGGCTTAGACCTGACTAGCATATAGTTCATACATCATGCTTCACTCGAAACTTCCTGCTCAACCGACTGTTCATACGGAGGAGGAGCAAGTTCTCCCGACGCCACCCACACCTTATTGAGCTCACTCTCAATCTCTTCTCTGCGACGCTTCCAACCCTCGACGTTATCAAGCCGTTTCCGTAATTCTTGCAGCTCCTTCTCGACACCCATCTTCTCCTTCTCCGTGCCAATTCTATCGAACTCCCATTCATCCCCGCTCATGCCAAGACCAAGGGTAAGTTGAAAAGTATGGTACTTTTTGAGAGAGGCACGGGTTGAGATTGTGATGAGTGTGATGCCCTTCTCTTTGGATCGTTCGTACAGTAGACCTTCAACATCGGAGGATACAGCAGATGTACCTTCGTCAATGAATGCGTATCGTGGCTCGTGGTACAAGAGCCGTGCGAAGGCCATACGCTGCTTCTCACCGCCACTTAGGACATCTTTCCATTCCTTGCGGCAATTCCAGCCTCCTTCACGAGATGGGAGATATCCGAGATGGACTTCATCAAGGATTCGGCCAAGTTCGGCATCTGTCCTTCCGCTTTCACGCATGTCGATCTCAGTATGAGGATAAATGACTTGGTCGCGGAGAGTGCCAACACTCAGATAAGGTCGTTGTGGCAAAAACATGATTCCGTCCATACCAAAGTTTCTTGGGCGGCTTACTAGACCCCGATAGACAGGCCATAGTCCAGCAACAATGCGGGCAATAGATGACTTGCCAACGCCGTTAGGTCCACAGACAAGAAGGTGTTCGCCGGAATGCACAATAAATGTGAGAGATTCGATGAGGTCGTCTCCACCTTGTGGGTAGAGCGAGGGCGCAACGATAGGGACATGCTCCAGGCGAACGCCATCAAACCCGCTATGGACGGTACCCTGGATATCAGATAGAGAGAACAACTCAGGGTGAGTTCCGCGGGGCTGGTAGTAAGCATTTGCATGAACACGGTGCAATGCCGAAATCAACGTATAAACGCGAGAAGTATAACCAGCTAGTTCGGAGATATCTTTGATGCTGTACATCATCCGACCTCCTGCATCAGCCAAGGAAAGCATCAAGCGTTTATTGGTGATGAAATCCTTCATACGGCCTCGTTCTCGGCCATCATCACCAGCCGAATTCCTCAACTCTTGCGTACCGCCAACACCTCCCCATGCGGGAAGGAAAACCGGGATCGATGTCATCAAATATCCAAAAGCGGACCATACATACTTCAAGATCATGTCTTCAGCCATATTATAGCGGATCTTGAGGCTGTAGATACCCTTCATCCATCGCTGAAGATCCTTGAAACTTTTCGTCAAGAAGACCTTTTCAATATCGGCGCCTCCGTAAAAGGCGATTTCTTCGGCGTTGGCTAGAAGTCGCGAATGTAATCCTCTGAAATCACCTTCACGCTTGCCCTCAACGGCTTTTAATTTTCCGAATGGTGGCGAAAGCCTGCGGAGAACAGTTGCAGTAGTGAAGTAGCCGCTTAGTATACCAGTGAGCGCCAAGGGTCCAAGGCCTCGGTACAGTTGGTAAGTGAAGAATATCAGATCAACTGTTGGTTTGCCTAGGGATGAGGTCAAGGCAGCAGCAGAGGCACAGAAAAGAGTCAAGTCTTGGGTGATGAATTGATCGGCTCCTGGGCCCACGGCGCCATCTAGATTCGTTAGTTTATAGTAATTTGTATTTTCGTTCAGGTATAAATCGTGTATATAGCGTGTTAAGCGCGTTCGGAAAGCAATGGAAATCTTGGACTGGAGGAACTGGATCATAGCATTGGTATACGAGGCAAATGTACCGATGCTGCACCATTTGAGCAGACCCCAGAGGAAGGCTCGACCCTTTCCAGCCACCAAGTCTCGAACGATTTCTCCGTCTAATCGTGCAACCAGCAGCGATAGGTATGTTCTGAGTAGGAGAAAAACACCATGGCTCATCAAAAGACCTGTTTCTTTGGAATGCCACCGCGGGTTCATGATGCTCATAAGACTGAGGAATTGGTGCAAAAAGGCGAGATTCAAGCCTGGTTTCGTTGAAGGGGGAGGTATTGCAGAGATGGCTTCGCCGCTTCCCAGACCTGCTGCTCGCGGAGGATTCAGAAACAAGCGCCGATGAGCATCGAATGTGGTCGGCTTCGTGGGATGGATAGTGACCTTGGAAGTCATACTATCCTTGTAAGGCACGTATATGATTCTCGATCCATCCTTTCCACGCAAGCCAGAATTTCTTCGCAGCAGGTGTCTCCCTTGGGCATGTTCTGTAGATCGTTTGTGAAGCAGGTTGTAGCCGCCATAGCTCGATCCGATGATCGCTATTATTAAGGACAACGTCGCGAGTATCTTGCTGGTCTTGGAGGATCGTTCCAGACGAGTGCGAAATAGCTGGATGTAGCGTCGGTAGAGGGCAACGAGCGGATCCTCCCCTCTCTGCAGTGTTGACTGCGCTGCCATTTTGACTGTATAATATTCGGACCAGGCATTCACGACTGGTTACGTCGTGGACTGGGGAGCTTGTCAGTGAAATGACCGCCGGCGGTCCAACGAGCTATCCAGCATGCTTTGATGATATGCAGTGGTATACAAGGACGGATGAGTCCTCTATTCGCAGGTGGTGCTTCACATTCGATATGGAAAGGTCGAACAAACTGGTAGTGGTTGTTGTTGCTCTTGGAATGTTGCGGTGGTTCGTTGTGACGTCGATGCATGTGAAAAGCCTCGGGCCATGACTGGGCACGTGCCATTCGCCGTCCCTCAGGTGACTTTTCCCCGGCCATTCCCAGGAACAACTATCAAAGGTTTTCGAATACTCAAGTTAGATGAATTTGATGGGAGCTATGTATGATAAAGTTGAACGTACTACATAATTACAGAAGTCAGGCTTATGTACACTGCTTAGCTTGCCGTTGACCTGATTGGCCAAACACAAGATAGATGACAGCTTCAGACTCGTACCAAGTACGGAGTAGTACGTAGTACAAACTTACATCTCTTATCAGCGCGAGACAGGTAATCGATCGGTTCCTATATTTAGGATTTAGCAATTGTACTCGGTCGTCCTTGGTGGAAAATCATGGGGCGCATAAGATGGATCGCCCGGCTGTAGATCAGTCAACACTTCTTGAGTCAACGCTGCGTGGAGCACACCGAGTACTGCGTAGTTTGTACGGAGTACTACGGAGTAGTTAATGAGAATAAGCGATCGATAAACTCCATCACTATGCGGACAACTCCAATCCAATCCTTAACCGCCGACCCCGACTCCAGCCTCCAGTAAGAGCGCGCTATTATACTGCGCTCTAGCGAGATCACATACTTCAGTCCTGACTCGGTTTAATTGGCTTATCAAGAGGAAAGCAAAACTAGGGTCTGGGTATGTGATTGGGTAGAAATGGACCCCTAGCACATATGGACTTGCGAAGTTGCAAGGCACGTCGCACAGAAAGTCTGCATTGCTCGAAAGACGCTGCGGAGTGGCGGTTAAGCGCAAGCAGCTACCTTATCTCGCAGGCCCAGTGGCTGGCCTGTCGCTGTCGCCCCTGCACACTATTTGCCTCTCGTCGCAGTAACCAGCTGCCCCAGAGTCAAGAGCTGTTTAGCTTCTCATTGACAGCCATGATACCAGCAGTCTTGAATTGACGTAAAATTATATCTCTCGCATTTTCATAGTCCAAGGTAGACTGTACCATTGAATAACCGATCTCTTCAGACTCAAAATTGAGTAGGAACTATGAGTACGGAGTAGTGAGTGACGAGTGAAGAAAATGGCTGGCGGGAGAGCTAGCGACCAACTAAGCCCAGCTCGTGGTAATACTAGTACGCTTCGGATGTAGTCCGCAGTCTAGTCGCTGTTGACTGCGCGTACGGTAATTACGGCTTGTAAGTAATAATGCTGAGGAGGCGCGCAGAGCCCAGTCTAGACAGTCAACCAACACCGCCGCCAATCTCCAGCCTCCAGGAGAAAGAGTCAGCAAGTCACCGCTCGGTAAGTAATGCCAATACGCAGTACGGAGCTAACTGCCATTTATGTGCTCGTCGCTAACCTGCTAACCCAAGTAGCCTGTCGACATCCGCGTTGGGCGATCCCACGTACAGACCAGTCCGAGTCTCTCTCCTCTCTGAACAAGCCCATCTCGGACCTCCCAATCGACCTTCGGTTCTCTGAGTCAGTGTACTTCTATCATTTCTACAGCGGCATTTCAGAGAGTTGTTTCTGCTGGTCCAATCAGAAAGAAATCGATAACGAGAGAGAGAGAGAGAGAGATACGACGCCTCCGCATCAGCTCAGGAGTTGATGAAAGACGCAGGTTCGATGTCGACAATCGCAGTGAATACCGTTCCCGGTACGTGACCTCGTGTATAGCTCTGTAGCTACCAATACATCAGTCGCATCATATCATGTTAATTAATTACTCCTTTCAGGCCCAGATTTCGCATTGTCTCTCCCCTCTGCCGATAAGTCGAATCCAGCGCAACCTCCGCCAGCCGACCATGAACCGCCTGCCGCCAACTCATCGTCCACATCGGGTTCTCAGAACAAACTAGCCACATCCTCCTCACAACCAAAGAAGAAACGCTCGCTTTTACTTGTTCCATCCAGGACTTCTTCCAGGGGCAGCAAAAATCAATCTTCAGAAATGACGACCGACACCGTGCAAGACGAGACGGTAGCAAACTCGCGCACCAATCTTACCAAAAGACGTAGGGATCCCAGCGAGTCAAGTAGCAGGCGGTCGCATCGGAATGAACAAGACAAGAATCAAAGTACACGAAAGGATCAAACTGAGGAGTCCAATCATGCCAGAAGCGAACGAAAGCCCAAATCACAATCGAGGTTCTTTTCCATCCTGAATTGCTGCAGCTCTTCGGTGTCAGATAATGAAAATGATGGACCGGACCTTCCCGCGAAGAAAGCCGAGCCCAGGCAGCCGCTGTCTTTGCGACAACCGGTGGAAAAGCCCGTCTCAACTGGAACGCAATCGACACCTACAGAGTCGAAAGAGCAGGAACCTCTTGACGAAAAGACGGGAGAATACGCGGGTACGCAGCCGGTAGAAGAGACCGCTGTTTCGACACAACCAGCAACGCTGCCATCTAGTTCGGAACCGACACGAGAAGCTTCTGCATCGCGACAGGAGCCCACTTACCAATACGGTGTGGTGCCAGACATGGTTCCGTCATTGGACAGCAAGGACGTGAATGAGGAGGCTATTGAAGAGGAACCCGAAAATGAGGCGGTAGAGGAATTACGTGAATCGAATGACATTGCCATACCTGAGGCCCCTATCATTGCAGAGACAGAAGAGGAACGCAAGACGGAGACGCACGAGGTTGTCGTCGCTCAACCACCCGCGCCAGATGTCATTCTCCCAGGACCTCCTCCAACCCCGGGAAAACAAAGCGCGTGGTTGCTTCCTCCGCCTCTGCCGCATTTACGGGGGCGGAAATGTTTAGTCCTTGATCTGGACGAAACACTTGTGCACAGTAGCTTCAAGGTTTGTTTCCACTCATTGCCATCACCGAGACTTCTTGCTCACACTCAATAGGTCCTTGAGCGAGCCGACTTTACGATTCCAGTAGAGATTGAAGGCCAGTGGCACAACATCTATGTTATTAAACGGCCAGGTGTCGACCAATTCATGAAACGAGTGGGTGAGCTTTATGAGGTTGTCGTCTTTACAGCATCAGTTTCGAAGGTAAGCGGTGCGCCAGCATATCTATCATTCAGCAAATGCTAATATTTTTAAGTACGGTGATCCTCTACTCGACCAGCTCGACATTCACAACGTTGTCCATCACCGTTTGTTCAGAGACAGCTGCTACAACCACCAGGGAAATTATGTCAAGGTCAGTATTTCCTTACTCATGACCGTATTCGTGTACTCACATGTCAAAGGACTTGTCACAAGTTGGTCGCGACCTTCGAGAAACAATCATCATCGACAACTCACCCACCTCGTATATATTCCACCCCCAACACGCCATACCTATAAGCAGCTGGTTTTCAGACGCCCACGATAACGAATTGCTCGACCTCATCCCAGTTCTAGAAGATCTTGCGGGTGCTCAGGTACAAGACGTCAGTCTTGTGCTCGATGTCGCATTATAATAAAGTTCCGTGTATCGTTCTCAATTTGGCCTCAACTTCAAGCGTTGTTTCGTTTTTATCTCTGGATTACATATATTCCTTTCGAGCATTGACCTTGCATCGAATCCTCTTCGCGCCGCCCTTCGATTCCTTTTATTCTTCTCTCATCGCCTCCGTCCTTGATCATAGCGACCGTTCTAGACCGACCAACATGAAAGATTGCATTGGACTCTATCTCAAATGTGGTTCTACATGACACAGCGACTGGAAATCGTTTACCTTCACCCCTTGACCATTTTACTACATTCAGCATTGTTGAGCAGTCTTCTATTCCCTTAATCTCTTCATCCTTCTGTACTTCTCCATGTTGGCGCATGTTTGCCTAGTGCACTTTGAATGTTCGAAGACGGCTGAGACCGTTCTGTTTGGCCTTGTTAATCTCTGCTTCAAGCGAGCTTGCTGTCCGACTTCTTTTTTATTCTGTGACCCTCTTGAGCATTATACGGGCGTCTGATTCTGGTCATCAGTCAAGATCTGCTCAGCTTTACGCATTCAATCTTTATCTTTCCATTTTCCTATATCTATCATTTTGCCTGCCCCCTGTTTTGATGTTGCGAGTTAAAACTGCACGACCATATTCCCCCCAATTTCGCTTTTTTCCTTGTGTGACTGAGTTGATTGATCAAACTGATTCTTGTCAAAAATCTGTTTCGTGGTTTTCTTTGTCCTTTTCGTCGATATGAGAGTACATGACTCTCAGATGTACGTCTAAAGTCGATTAGGAATTCGGACGGTGTGTACATGGGAATGTGCTCTACTGTCACGAAGTGTGCGATGTACATACACGAGTGTAATCAATTAATCATGGCCATCTCGCGTCTCAAAGATAAGAGTAGTTGTAAAAAATGATTCTGCCTGTTGCGGAGCGGCGAGACCCCTCGGCAGCTCTTCCCCGCAAAAAAAAGCAGTTCCTTCCTGCACGTCATCATCTAATCTCACCTTACACTTACAGTTACTTCCCATCACTCGAAACAGAACAGAATAAACACAGTCAATATGAAAGACCGGAATGGCTGGGACGGAAAACTGAGAGTCGACGATCAGGACAATCGCCGAGCTGTTCTAGCGAATCCGGAAGCTTTGGAGGATCCTGATTACTCAGACGAGGATGCGCCGCCTGTCGAGGAGATTGGGGCTGATGAAGGTATTTTTTGAGTTATTGCTAGCTGAAGTTGTTACTGATTGACTGTTTGGTCTTGCTAATATACTTCTCTGAAATAGATCTACTGGAGGACGAGGATCCTGATGCCGAAGTACGTTTGTCATGTCACTATTCTCCGAATAGTGTCGCTGGAAAGAGGTTCGAGCTCCGGACTATCTTACTGACTACGGCGTGAAGGATATAGATCTGGTGCACTTAAGAATATCGAATATCACTGCGCTGAAGCTAGAACGATTCACCAAGCTCGAGGTAAGCCTACACCACACCCACCACGAGACAGACCGATTCACTTACGTATTCCCCTGGAATGCGCAGAGGCTATGCCTTCGTCAAAACCAAATCAGCCGCATCGACCTCCCCTCTACCCTCGGTGCAACCCTCAGGGAACTCGATCTCTACGACAACCTTATCAGTCACATCAAGGGACTCGACGACTTGACCAATCTAACGCTGCTCGACCTGAGTTTCAACAAGATCAAACATATCAAAAATGTCTCGCACTTGACGAAGTTGACGGATATCTTCTTCGTGCAGAATAGGATCTCGACGATAGAGGGCCTGGAGGAGCTGGTACATTTGAGGAATTTGGAGCTAGGGGCGAATCGGATTCGGGTTGGTTGTCTTCAAGAAAGGAGATGGAGAAAAGGCATACTGATTCTGGCAGGAAATTCAAGGACTAGATAATCTCAAGGCGCTGGAGCAGTTGTGGCTGGGAAAGAACAAAATAACCGAGATGACGGTACGTCTTATCCTATCCCCTCTTTCGAGTATCCCACTGACATACGAGGAAGAATCTATCATCTCTCACTAGTCTCAAAATCCTCTCCATTCAATCGAACCGTCTCACCAGCATAACCGGCCTTAGCGACCTTCCCAACCTCGAAGAACTTTACATCTCCCACAACGCGCTCACCGACCTCACGGGTCTAGAGAACAACAAAAACCTCCGTGTCCTCGACTTTTCGAACAATCGAGTTACAAAACTCGAAGGCTTGGCACATCTGACTCAACTGGAAGAAGTATGGGCGTCAAGCAACGGATTATCGAGCTTCGAGGAAGTGGAGCGCGAATTGAGAGATAAGGAGAAACTGGAGACGGTGTACTTCGAAGGAAACCCGTTGCAGTTGAAAACTCCGGCGTTATATAGGAACAAGGTGCGGTTGGCGTTGCCGCAGATTAAGCAGATTGATGCTAGTAAGTTTGGTTTCTAGTTCTCTGAAGTAGGATGAGTGTTAACGGTGTCTAGCTTATGTGCGCGTTTCTTGAAACAAAGGCTCTGACTTGAAGGGTTGCTAGACGGGGTGTAATAATGACTTACGTATTGATATCACTTGGCTTCTTCCTTTCACACTTATACACGAATATGTATCATGGGGTGGCGTTGCGAGAACAGGTATTCCAATCATCAATTGACAATTGATCATCATCCCAAACCACAGTACGTAGAAGTAGTGGGTATCATATATTCTAAAATCTTATTCCTCCACCAACGCCAATAAACTCCCTTGCAATTCTACCGTTTCTAACCTTTCTTTCAGCTTCTTGTTCTTGAACATCTCGCCCTGTCCACTCCGTAGATATGATGCATCGATAACTCCGTCCGCAAACACGCCCCTCGGAGCCCCCGCGGCAATTATGTCGGCTATCCTCGTATCATTCCTGATTACAGGATCATTCTTGTCCCATGTATACCCCGTATGGGAATTGTTCCATGGATTTCTGCGGATTTGCGCTTCGTTTTGTTCATTTGCGTTTGGGGAGTTTGTGGCTGCGTTGATGGCGCAAGTTACGTTTGCATCGGCAATAGGCTCATGCCCATGTACCGGGGTATCGGTGTGGGCAGGAGGAGGAGAAAGTAGGACAGTCAAAGGGGAAGCATCAACGGCTTTGGATGCTGCTTCGGGCGTTTCATAGATTGCTGTTAACTTGGATATATCGTCGTCCTGAGCACCGACCACGCTTTAATTAGCATTTTGTTCATCTTTCAGACTGAGAGGGAGACTCACTCTACCCGATATGAAAGTTGCGACCTCGCCGAATTTCTGCAGAGCGTTGAGCAGACATCTTCGTTCTGCGATGGTGCGCAATGGCTGGCTTGTCTGAATGTCGATTTGACGGGCGCGGAAGTCGATGGTTTTTAGGCGGCTATGGAGGATGCGTCGGGCGGAGTTCATGATGCATTCGGTTCAGATTGTCCATGAACTTGAAATCAAGATTAGATCCGGGAGGCGTCTGGTTTACATGTTTGATTTGTTGATGGCTTGGGTTGAGAAAGTTGGAGTTCAGACGATAAGAGATTGGGGATTGGAGATTTGGATATTGGTTGATTTCTATTATCTGAACCCTAACCCTATTTTAAGACAACGATCTATGATCTTATTCTAAGTACTGTCACTACAATATCCATGCAAAATATTGTCAATCATATGTGCAATCATGTTTTCATTCATCTATCTGCAACGAGGCTTCTCGTCATACCCGCTAATCGAGTGAGTCTATGCGAAAATAGGAATGTAGAATCCATACTACAAACCAGTCAGCTTCATTCAAATCGTGTAAGAGAAGTAGGTAGGGAGCAAAGGAACATACGTTAAGAGGATCATTGAACCTCAATCCCAAATCCAAGCCATTAATAGCCTCAATCTCGGACTCCTCCAGATTCCATCCGGTGACCTCCAGATTCTGGGCGAGACGGGTAGGGTCATTACTCTTGGGAATGACGGCAATGTTTCGCTGGGTAGCCCATCGAAGCAAAACCTGTGCAGCGGACTTGCCGTGTTTGTTAGCTGCGGACGTGATAACGTTGTGCTCGAACAAGGTGGGTGTGTTGTGGGCGCTGTCCATGTTCAATTCAATGAAACTCAAGGGACCGAAAGAGGAGTATGCGGTGATGACGATGCCCTCGTTCTGGACGTATTTGATGAGTTTCTTCTGCTGGAGGTAGGGGTGGTGCTCAATCTGAAGGGTGGCAGGACGAATGCGAGCGTGGCGCAAGAGGTCCATAATCAGCTGAGCGCTGAAGTTGCTAATGCCAATGCTGCGCGCAAGTTTCTTGTCGACCAGCGACTCCATGGCTTGCCATGTTTCTTGGATAGTGGCATTGCTGAATGTGATTTTGCCGTCTGCGCCGGCCCAGCCGGGAGGGTAACGCTCAGCAGGGTCAACCCATTTGAGTGCGACGGGGAAGTGGATCAGAAAGAGATCAAAGTATTCAAGTCCAAGGTCTTCGAGTTGCTTGCGAGCAATGGGCTCGACTTTGTCGCCGTCGTGGAAGGTGTTCCAGAGCTTGGAGACGACGAATAGTTCTTCGCGCTTGACGAGGCCGTCTTTGAGAGCGCGGGCGATACCCTGGCCGACTTCCTTTTCATTTCCGTAGTCTGTGGAATTGATGGCGTCAGTATCATACTCTATGCACCGGGGTTTCCTTGTATTGCATACCGCAAGCGCCGTCAAAAAGACGATAGCCAGCCTTGATGGCTGCGTAGACCTGGTCTGCGCAAGTCTCGTTGTTGACTTTCCACAGACCAAAGCCCACGAGGGGCATATCATAACCGCTGTTGAGCTTGACGACGGGAGAAGACATTTTGTGTTATGTATAAATTGCTAAAATATCTAAAAAAATTTTATTAATGGAGGGGAAAAAAAGAACTTAAATAAACTCCACGGGGACGTTGACTCTATGTCTTTCTTCCAAATTCCCTGCCCACTCCACATTCATCCCATTCCCCGATGGTAACCTATGTCACAGCCTGCCTGGCCTATCTTAGCCAAAATGAATCATAGAGGGGCAATGCTAGAAGGCAGGCCAACCCGCGAAGCGGGGTGTCCATACAGCAAGGTTCGATTCATAAGTGGCGCTGTGAGAACAGACCCTACGTATTTAACCCGCGTGTTCCAGGTTTAATGCAGCCATTCACCAGTCTCGGAGTATGTCACTGTGGATTAGCGATTCATAATTAACATTTAATGGGATTGCTCCTGTGGAGATGTGAAAAGTTGAATTTATCCGGGAGATAAATAGCCGGGCCTCCGGTGGGCAACTGCATGGTGGGATGGCGGCTAAAGTCGTATGATTTGCATTTTCCCTCGTGTTTCAAAGTTTTAGATCGTAAATAAGACGAGACGGGCATGCATGGCGGATAATAAGAGGAAAATAGTTTTTGCACCTCTGTTAAAATGGTTAGTAGTGATTGGGAAGGAGTTGCCATAATTAGCCACCGGTCTAGTGAAGAAATGCCTCGTGACACACCAAACCCTACGTTGTCCGCATCAAGCGCTGTGGATATGGCTCATTGATCTTCGAATCGAAATGAACAGATCAAGGAAATGCCCATTTTGCCGAGATATACAAGGTCCGTTTCAGACAGCGATGTCTACTCTGTCGAGATAAATGTATGAAATCAATTTTGTGTCGATAAAGTCTTGTTGATAACATCCCATCAATATAAATAATATTATAAAAAGACACAAGAACATATGTGGGAATGATAAATGACACCGCCGAGTCTGTTTCAGCTCTGAACGCCATAGATCTAGAGCAAGTATCCATTAGAAGGACATGAAAATCGAATAAAAGGGGGAATAATAGAAGGAGGAAGAAAATCATTAAAATCTTAATCATTACACGGTTTCCACTGAATGAGACTCTGGATACCGTGCGTTTCCAGTCGTTGCAATCCCGAGATGACTGTCTCCAGAAGTGACACTGCCAACCAACTTGTCAATCAAATCGTCGGGAGGTAGCATCCCTTCTAGACCATTGCTTTGATGTTCGCGAGAGACGGGTACTTGATGATGTGAGTGGTGGGTATGATGGTGGTTGTGGCTGTGGTGCAGGTGATGAGGCTGATGATGACTGCTCGAAGGGAAATGTAAGTGGCCGTAGTTATCGGTGCCGAGATCATGATGGAGGGAAGCTCCTGTTCCTTGTGATTCCCACAGAGAAGGCGCTTGCGTATGAGAAATGCCATGCATTGACGGAGCTGCGGTTCCGAAGATAGAATTTAGGACATTGTTGTTGCTGTCGTGGATGGTCTGTGGTGGCATATAAGGGTTACCATGCCCGCCGAGACCGTATCCCGAGAGATGCGAGTGAGATGATAATGGGAGATCATGGACGCTGAACAAATTGTCGCTTGCAGAGGAAGCATTGATATTGCCGCCCTGTGTACTTTCCGATGCGAGACCGGTGAAGGAGTCAAGCACTGATGTCACTGATGTCTTGTCCACGATACCATCATCTGGTTTGTTGATATTGCTCAAGAAGTCATATGACCCCTGAGCACCGAACATGTTAGCAACACTATCTTGAGTATCTGCAAAAACCGGCCACTGTTGCTGCAAAGTAACTGCTGTCGCGGGTTGATGATGATGTTGATGGCGAAAGTTACCATGAGAGTTGCCTTGATAGACATTGTCTTGCGGCTTGTTGGACAGCAGTGACTCCAAAGCGAGAGGTGGGAGATCAATACCAGCCGCAGTTCTGGGGCTATTCGTTGTGCTACGTTCAGGTGGCGGAATAAGACGTCTCCATGTAGTGGTACCGACCTCACCAGGACGTGTCTGTCGAAACTTCCACAAGAGGATTGCCATGCGCTTGCGGTCATCTACCTGGGGACTGGTACTAAAGCTATTCGACATTCGACGTTGACTGCTACTGGGCATGGCGGTCAACTCCTGGATAGCAGAGAGAGAACGGAAGAACTGCCTTGTGTGATCGTCGGCTGCCTGAGCAGCCTCTGGCTGACCGGAGCTTTCGGCCATTTGTTTCTCTTGCGTTAGTTGAGTGAACAATTTTGCCCACCATGAGGACTCGAAGAATGGCTTAATTTTTGTGGATGATGCCTTTTGGAGATCGTGGTAGGTTTCTTGCATCTTTTGTCCTCCTTCGTAGAGATGGGTGCTGCAGGCCCAGTCCTCCATTTGGCTGACAACGGACACATCGCCCATTGTAGGATGTGCGAAATCGAGATCGAGTTGTATACCCAATCGAGAACCAGGAGGAGGAAAATCAGTCATAAGCTGAAGATTGACTTCAAGCAGGATGATGTCGCAGTCCAATGAAGATGTGGGATCGTCGACTAGAGACGAAAGATAGGGGAAAGACGTGCGCCATCCAGGCTGGTTCTCTAAAGGCATGGGAAGTGCCACCGGCCGATGTTGGTCTCCCTGGAGACGAGTGTATACATGCAACGCTTTATCAATTCGATTTGCCTGCTGAGGTGCACTCACCCACATGTCGAAGTTGAAGGCATGAATTTGATGAGAATTAGTGTCGTATATGTTTGAGCCGAGTGTAATTGGGGTCGGGAGATCTCCGTTGTATGAATGAGATGCACCATAGTCAGGACATGCAGACTGTGACTGGGTATTATAACTCCTTGAAAGTTGATAATCGATAGATGTACGATATTCAGGATTGGTGGATGGAGGCTGCGTGTTGGGTGCATCCGGCTTTTCTCGAACAAGTCTCTCCCCTTGAGATCGTGAGCAAGCCGATTATTGTCATGTTGATAAGCATCACTTACACTCAGGGTCACCCTTGAGGAAAGAGTCTAGCACCTGCAGGTGACTCGATACTTGCTTCCTTGTCCGTCGTTTCCCAGTCAGCTTGTAGATGTACTCCGCAATCAACTCGTTGCGTCCGTATGATTTCCCACGTTCAGACCATTTCCTGCGGCCCATCGGGGGATTTGCTTCTAGGGCTATCATAAAACAACATCAGCACTCATCCACACATAGAGTCGATAGGGCTGGCTCACCTTGTTGAAACGCATCTTCCAATGCATCAGACCAAACTGGCTCTCCATCCTTGCCCGTATCACGACGTGGTCGTGCCCTATACTCCAAATACTTTTGAGACTTCAGATAGCTGCGCTTCGGACGCATTGCCGGCATCGAGTGAGCCGCAGACTGGAGTCGACGCAGCTTCTTGGCCTGTATACGCGCTGCAAGAACATGGCTGTCATGCAGACTGGTGCTAGATATCGAATGATGAAAGGGAACAGGAGCAGGAGGATACTTCAGTGCCAACTGGAGAGGATCATCACGGTTGCCAGCATCTCCATGCATGGCACCATCAGCGTATGCTTGTGCATTGCCTGAAGTGTGTTGGAGAGCTCTGTGAGCACCTCCTCCTATTCCCCCAACACTATCGAGTGACGATTGTGTATGAGGTGCAAAGGACTCGGTTTGCCAGTCAGCCATGGCGTGGACCAGCGACGTCGCTCTTCGCAAGAATGGTACTGGAATTCCAAACAAGGAAGAGCAAGAGGTCACAATGCCAATGGCCTCACACACTCACACACCTGAGAGGCAGACACACGCACAAACACACACACGGAAAAATAGATGTCAAGAACGTAAAATGCTACAAGAGAATGTTGGAAACTGGGAAAGAGAATGTGCGAATGCCAGAGCAGAAAAGATGGTGTTTATAGCAGTAGACCATTCTGTGTATTATCCTGTTTAAGGGGACCATAAGAACCCTGCTACGCCTAAAGAGCCATAAGAAATACATACTTCCCCTTTACAGTATACCCGCTCTCTGATCGCGAACGAGGCGGAACCATGACTCCAGGGCCGGCCATTAGCAAGAACTGGGATCGGAAAGCCTTAGGACAGTCGCCTGTCCTTACTGCCCTGATAAGGGTTCACATAGAAGGGCATGGTGTTCAAGATACTGTGGCAAGCAAGGGGCCACCAGACGGCACGACCCAGTCAAAGACCACCCGGAGAATTTCCGCCAATACGGCGACCAGTTGACGTCGAAGAGATGGCAGAGAGTACAGAAGAGTACCGTGATGATGGTGTTGACGCTGGGTGGCGATGGCGGTCCAGGAATGTCAGTCGACCAAACAATCAGCAAAAGTCTCGTCGTGCAAGAATGTTGCTGAAATTAAAGGCCAACCGACAAGAATGTAGGTCAATCAGGTACAGAGTAATCCTGATTTGTGTCCGCGTTCAAGGTATGTAGTGTACAAAGGACGTGACTCTTGTCTCAGGAGAGCGCGGATAAGGAGAATATCGAAGTTGTGCCTAGTTCGGTGTTCAAGGCGGGAGCACGAGGTTCTCTGCGGGTAATGCATACTGCAGCAACCCTAATGAAGGAGAACGTGTTGAAGGAGCATATGCGACGTGAAGAGCAAAGATCCACCACGCAAGGGATACAGCTTTCAACTTTGGACTTTCGACCATCTTTTCCTGCATTCAACCCTATCGACAGGCTCTAGACAATTATCAACCCTCGTCTTCTGCTGCCCCTACAACAAACTTCTTTCTTCCTGCTCCGGTAAGGCTCGCCAGTTTTTGTCTATCCAGCTGTTGGCCGGTCTTCTTCTCAATATTACGAATCTCCTCCTCGGCATCAATGGCCTCTGCTGATGCGTATTCAAGCACCAACTTTCGGCCTAAAAGATGGGTATTTTTCAATGCATCCATGGCGTTTTCTGCCTCGCGAGAGCTTACAAAATCGGCAAAAGCGAAACCACGAGCTGAACGATCGAATTTCTTCGGAACTCGCACGGACCGAAGCTGTCCGTACGCGCCAAACAAGGATCGCACGTCATGCTTGGTGGCTTGGAATGGCAAGTTCTTGATGATAATCTTGGTCCTTCTCGCAGCCACTTTCTTGGCAGTGTCTTCTTGCCGTCTTGTTTCTGCTGCGTCCACGCCCTTGTGAGATGTCTTGACTACAAGCTTATGTTGATCCAGAGTATAACCATCCATAACAGCCAATGCTGCCTGAGCTTGCTCCTTGGTACGGAACTCGACAAAGCCAAATCCCATGCTGAGAGTCTCTCCCGGTCGTTTCGGATCGGTTTTTGTCTTGACCTTGGCTGTCAAGAAGCCATCCAACGATGCAAAGACTTCCGAAAGACGTGCGCTAGTTGTTGTGAAGTTCAGATTTCGGACGAACAGTGTTGAGGTAGGCAACTGAGGCTCGTTGTCCTCCGCGGTAAATGTTTCTGCAGCAGAGAATCCTTGAGTTCTCCCCTCAGGTCCCTCAACTCCGGCAATCAGAGCTGATCCTGTGGGTGGCGAGTCAAACAAGTTCTTCGGTGCACGTTCAAGGAACAATATAGAGTCTCCCAACTTTCGGTACGCCAGTCCCTTGAAGGCTTTTGAAGCTTCATCAGGTTTTGCAAACTCCACTATGGCAATAGTCCCACTAGGAGGCATGAGCAAGCGAGTCAATTGTCCAAAAGGCTCGAATAACTTTCTCAACTCGGCCGCCTTGACTCCGTAAGAGAAGTTCTTGACTAGAATCGCAGTGGTGCCGCGTTCGCGTTGTTTAAACGAGTCTATGTTTACGCCGTTTGCAGTAAAGTAGGCCTTTGTCTCTTGAATCACATGCGTTTCTGCATGTGCCTGCTTAACAGCAGCATCCGAAGACGTAGGATCCAGCAGATCCGACTTTGAGACACCAAGTCGGTCCGCCACGGATGACATGACTGCATCGGACTAGAAAAGTCAGCACGGCTCATTCGATTGATGGTTGGTTATCTCTTACATTCATATACAGAGAATTCCAGTTAAAAGTTGAGGAAGAAGCTTCCATTCTTCGTTTGACCTGTTTCTGTTGTTTCAGAGGTAATTTTGACAGCTCGTAATCGTCAATTTTATATGACTTTTTGGCCGAAGCTGGTAGAATGTGAAGCAAGCGACCTTGGAAATCCTTGCCGTCGAGGTTCTTGTACGCCTCAATAGCAGATGCAGGGTCCACGTATTGTATGTACGCGAAACCTTTGCTGGAAGTCGTGCGTGAGTCAAAAGCAACATGTATCTGGTAAATGTAAGCCACTGATTCTTACAATGAGAATGATAATGCAGATCTCTCAAGATAGTTTAAGCTCTTCAGATTCTAAGAGGCATCTACTAAAATACTCTTCCTGTCCACATCACGTATGCATTGCATATCAGATGTCCCTATCAGGATGATCATCATGCGAGCGACTATCTTGAAGTTTATCGGCACAATGAAAAATAAGACTCACCTCATCTATTTTCCCAAATGGGGCGAAGACGGTTTCCAAATCAGCCTCAGTAGCGTCATAGGCGAGATTCCGAAGAAACAGTCGGCCGGAAATACGAATAAGCTCGATATCGGCGTTATAATCTTTTTCCTCGACAGGCTCTTCTGCAACTGGCACCTCTGCAGCTGGCATCTCTTCAATGTCGTCGTTGTCTTCTTCTTCGATCGGCTCAACGGTCTTATTAGTAGGTGCAGCAGGCTGCGAGTTTAATTCTGCTTCTTCATCATCTAAAAGACCCAACAGCCGACTTGTCTTCGAACGAAGCCAATCCATGTCAGACTTTGGCTGGTCTACTTCCTCAGAGGCATCTTTGTCGGCATGATTACCTTCTTCAGGCTGACTTTCATCGCCTTTTGTATCATTTTGCGCTGATGTCTTTGGAACCTGAGTCTCGACCACTTTAGATTTTTTGACCGGTCGAGTTGGTTTATCTTGACTGGCGTCCTGTGTTTCGACAATTGTGGACTTCGTCGGAGCTGTAGCAATAGGAAGTACATCATCATTTGCCCAAGTCCTTGTTTTTGAAGAATGTTGCATCACATTGAGAAACTCTTGCAATTTAGCATCGTCTTTTGGGTTCTCTGCATCACGTTTTCGTTTCAGGTTAGAAGCATTGGATGTGCTGTCTCGTTCGAAATTGTTCTTATTTCTAATAGGTTTGCTTTCACCAGCCTGCTCTATGGTTAGCTATATACATCATCATCAATTACCTTTCAATCATCATGCGTCAGCTCGGATGGAAAAAAGGCAGACAAAGAAGTTGCACTCACKGGASGAGCCATTTCCACGGATATCTTCGACATCCTGAGAAAAGTTTTATTAAAATATTTAGCAGCTTCCTTGGCAATCTCTGCATCTTTGAAGCCCACAAAGCCAATTCGACGATTGGGAATAACATGAGAATCCGTCACTGGGAAGCGAGAAGAGAAGTGCTTTGCCAAGTCTTCATTAGACAAGGTAGGCGGTAGCCCAGAGACAAAGACTCTTGTATTCTCCATCTTGTCAGTCCGCTGGAACAAAAACAGAAGCGGGTGCTGAGACCAAGATTAGAAAGGGAAAAGGAAGTTGGAGAAGAGAGAAAAATAAACCAGAGAAATAATATTTTTTTCTGCCTCCCACAGAAGCGGTGAGAAATTACTATGGAGAACGCCAAGAACCAAGGCGGCTTATCCCTAGTGGGCCTAGAGCGGTATAACATCTCCGACTACGTTGTGAGGCCAGTCGAACTAAACAAACAATTCACTTCTTATTGCTATTGCCAACACTCCCATTCAGTCCATCGATACGTACTTCCAGATACTACTCACAGGTTTGCTCTTGATACACCATGGCGACTGAAAAGCCAGATAAGCTGGCGGGTAAGTCAAACCCCTCCTAGACACCATGCCGCCAAAACAAAGACATTGACTAACGATAATGATGCAGTCCACGTTAGATCGGTCGATATGGTACGTCGCATATTCAGATAATCAACTTAGTAGCATTGATGATTGACGAAACGATGGGTATTATCAGACTGAGGATATGCAGCAAGAGGCTATTGAAGTTGGTAGGGAGTGAAATTGCGCTCTTGAGATGGCTTGGAAGTTGACTATCAATAGCAACGGAAGCTATGGAGAAATTCCACATGGAGAAGGTAGGATGGCTGATACAGAAGCTATGTATTGAATGCTGACGTATTTATTTTTGAATAGGACATCGCACAACACATCAAAAAAGAGGTCCGCATCAACCAACCATACTACCATAGCCTCCTGACGTGACCTGACATCCTATAGTTCGACTCACGCAAAGGCGCTACATGGCACTGCATAGTCGGCCGCAACTTTGGCAGTTTCGTAACTCACGGTGGGCGCTCCATCTGTGCAGATGCTCTACATAGTTGCATTCGCTAATTTAGACTGCGCGCAGAGACGAAACATTTCATATACTTCTACCTCGGCCACTGCGCTATCCTCCTTTTCAAAACTCAATGATATCCCCAAAATTGCGAACCAGCGATACGCGATAGCTGAACACCCTTTAAAGAGAACAAGCGATGGTGGGACTGGAACAAAATCATGTGTCAGGCCCAGCAGCGTCGGCGTTTAGGATATTTAAAATGGACAACAATGGACAACACTCGGCCCAAAGTTGTATATGATTTGTGTTGAGATAGTTTACTTTCAGATATTGATCAGGATACCCACGCCTTCGCCCTATCCTGAAAGCCGAGCATTTGTACTTTAGTCTCCCAGTCTTCTATTTGATAATTGATGCCGCGTACCTACATAAGACCACCATGGTATTCGGAACTAACAAATCACATAAAAAATTGAAGCAATATGCTGGACGTCATGTGAGCGCCAAGCAGCTCCGCCACAGCCACAGCGACTTCATCCAATGGCATTGGTCTTTTTTAACCTTGTAGTATCAGATTCATCTGATATGACTCAACAGACTTTCGAGTCTCGACACCCGATTACTTAACTTCCATACTCTTGACATTAGAGGTAAATCATGGCGCTTTGTATTACCTTTGGCACGTACGGTACGACTCCCGTTTGTTTACATATCGCATCTACTCCACAACAAGGGTTAAGCTAACCTGGCCACAGACATCCAGTCAAGACTTGACGGATACGAAAATGTTCGAGCACAATGCGGAAACGCATACTGTATGTTTTGTTGGACTCCATCCACTATTTCACTCGGCTTTTTCTGATGATTTTCTACTGTTCTGGCAGGCAGAAGCTGGGATGCACATTGCGAGACGAGATGGTGAGTACCGTCTTCGAAGAGATTCAGGACAATCTGTTAATCATATCGACAGGCCTTTTTTCACAATCTGCTTTATTGTGAGTTTGATAGCCTTTTGTGTTTGAAGTTTATCCGACTTATGCATGTGCTACAGCCTGTAATCCCACTATCGACACACAAGTATAAGGTCAGTTACATATCACCACGTGGTAAAGCCTTCAGCAAGCTAACAGTTAAATAGGAAGTAAGATGTTATAGATGTGGATTCATTCAAGATCTAAGGTGCGTTTTTTGATATACACCACCATGTTTTCACGCCTTTTAACATGTCGTAGTACACGACCTGACATCACGCCCACGACACAACCTCCGCCTGCATTGCCACTGAATCCGGCCTATGGACCTCCTCAACAGCCGCAATATGTATATCAGGGACAGCAACAGCCGCCGGCTGGATATCAAAGTGGTCCGCCGGTGGCGTCGGGAGGTAACCAAGATGCTGGACATGTATACAAATAGATTGGCCGGCAAGTTATGGAATGAGGTGGATGTGGACTAGGCTCAATCTTTAAGTCATTCTTAGCGACCACTTCGTTATCATATCCGTTTTTTTTTCTGTAATAAGTAATTACATTTCCTTCCCGATTATTCCAGGTATTGTGGTTAACTGTTCGAGATTGGCMCCCGCCACGATCCACTAGTCAAATAGTACCGAGGTAAGCAACATACAGAGTATTAACCTCACATCTTTTTAATGCATCAACGACTACAACAAGAATACATAAAATGCCTCAAATACACCACTGCCGAGACTTTGTATATTTCCCGTCTCCTTCGCCAACACCATACCACATCTTCTTCCTCCCCGGAAATCCCGGTTTAGTAGAATACTACTCCAAATTCTTGTCGTTACTACACTCAACCCTCAGCCTAGCACCATCAACAATCCAATTCAACGTTGCAGGATGTTCCTACGCCGGCTTCGAGATGGAACCTTTACCGAATCCAGAGCAGAGTGATGAGCATAAATTATATAATATAACTGAACAAGTAACATACAGTCTTGCGAAGTTACAGGAATTTATCAATCAGACAACAACAACAAAAGACACGACGCCAAAAGTCATTCTGATAGGACACTCGTTTGGCACGTTCGTTATTGCAGAAATGATGAAACAGGTATACACCTCATCCTTTGCAGGAGAGGAGAAACAGCGGAACTTCGAAATTATAGGGAATATACACCTCTTCCCACCGATTCCGGACTTGGCCAAGAGTCCGAGGGGCGTTAAAGCTGCTGTACCTTCTCCTCCCTCCCTCTGCCCTCTGCTTCGGAGATGAAGGACTTGACATTCGTAAACAGGGAATAGCGAAATGGAAATACCTCCCCAACATAATGTCCACCATCGCAAAAGCAGTCTACAATCTCCCACTGAGCTGGTCCAATACCGTCGTGGGATATCTGACTTCCTTCCCTCCCGACTCGGATGCACTGTATACTACGCGCATGTTCTTTGGCAGTAGGACTGGTGTTGCTCAAGCTTTGTATTGCCCCCTTCCACTCTCTTAACTTACCCTCGAGAAGGAAATTCTATCTGCTGACGCACATAATTAGACATCTGGTACCATTCGAATTCGACGAAATCAGACTCTCCCGTTGGGAAGCCTCTTTTCGCGCTATTGCATCTTACCAGCAACGAAAAGAACAAGAAAAAGGGCAATTTCCGATCAGAATCTTCTTCGGCGCAAATGACCATTGGGTCGACAATGAGCTTCGCGACGCATTTATATATCAATATTGTGACGCCAGCGGACCCCTGGCGTTCGGCAAAGAAGCGCTAGACCTCAAGGCGAGGATTGATCCGAGTAGAGATGGGGATGAGGGGAGTGTGGTGATTCCGCATGATTTTTCGATTGGTATGTCCATTTCATTGCTTTTGTTCATTCCCTCTCGTTTTCTGGATAGTTTAGGACTGATGGTATGAGTAGGGCATAGTGAGCATGTGGTTCCTTATGTGGCCGAGTACGTACAGGAAATCATCGGCAACAAGATATAGAGCATGGAGCGAAATGTATATTAGCATTAAAATTAGAATACGACTACTGATCTTTCAATGACATATCAAGTCTTGACAGACAATTTCTCATCCGGCGTCGGCGATGTAGGCGTCACTTGACCGCTGTCCTCTCTTTCGGCAGCTACATGAACCGCATTAACAGGCTTCCTTTTGCCCGTGGCATCTAACCACATCGCCTTGATGGTATACACAATACTACCTCGGCCTTCATACAATGGGAAAATGACAACTCCAAACGCAGTTCCGAACAGCCACAAAATACCGACAACGACCCAGCCTGTGAAAAATTTCTTGCTAAAGACGTATCCTGATCCGTACATGGGCATAGGCCAGAGGATCAACAGACACAGCGTCATGATCACGGTGAGTGTGCGCGCATAAAACGCGGCACGGTTGAGTTTGTGGGTCTCCTCTTCGGTCATTTCCTGTGCGAAGTTTGCTGCTTCGCCGGGAATAAGCTCCAGATCGACGTGAGCGTCGGCGGCGACGTCCGAGTCATCGACTTTGCGGATGTTGCGCATCGATTCGTAGTCGTAGTTTTGTTGGCCGAATATTAGCGTTAGAATAGGGATGAAGATGAGAGGGCTGAGGAGGGCGACGACGTTGCCTGCAAGCATGGGGTAACTAGAACAGTTAGCGAGATAATTCAGTCAGCCGATAAGAAAAGGACGTACTTGGACCCAGTGGTGGTGACGGTCAGTTCACCGTATAAAGACTTGGCCGTAACCAACCATGCAATTAAAGCACAGGCTAGACCCAATGGAGGCGAGACCGCAGCTGCAACCCAGTTCTGTCCTTTCCACAATAGAGTCATGGCGCCAGGGATGACTGCAGACGAGATGATGACGCCCATAAGCAGATACAGATAGCCCATTCCGACACCGGCATAATAAAGACCAGTAGCGAATCCGGCCATGATCAAAGCGTAGACGACACAAGCCATGTGAGAGATCCACACAAGTCTCTTACCCTTTGCTGAGGGTTGGACATATGCTTGGAAGATGTCATAGGTGAAGACCGAGGATACAGCGATCAATTGTGCGGAAAATGCAGAGGTCACGGCCATGAAGACCATGAGCGTTGTAGCGACCGCACCGCCGTAGCCCATCATCTGCACCGCGGCATACGGCAGGACAAGACCGGCTGTCACATCCGTTGAGCTGAGGATTGCATCTCCCTGCAGAGCGAGTGCCGTCAATCCCATGGTCGTCGCGCAAAGCCAGGGGATGGCGAACCAACACAATCCTCCAATAACATATCCGGGAAATGCGTGCACGGGACTAGCGGCAATAGCCTTGTTGTAGTATCCATTATCCAAGAAGACGGTTCCAAAGTTACCGACTAGGTTGATCACAAAGAAGATTCCTCCCTCGCGAGAATGCATGGTCAGATAACTACCACCCGAATTTCCAGCCACGGGGCTGGCTTTGGCAGCTGCTGTCAAGATGTCGTACACCTTGCCGGGGGATCCTAGTGCGGGGCTCACGGCATATGTGTTGAACGCAAAGGTGAAGATGATGACGACAATGACGATGGTATGCAAATAATCGGTAATGAAGGTTGCCTTGATACCACCAAAGACGGTATACAAGACCACACCTATAGGGAGCAAGAAACACGCAGCGGGTGTCGACATGCCAGTAAGCGCATGTAGCACGGCCGATCCTCCAGTCAACAACATGGCCGTCACGAGAATGTTTGTCATAAGACAAAACACGATGAACACGCAGTGCACTACGGTGCCGTAACGAGCTCGAATAACTTCAAGGAATGTGTGTGCATTGGGGGCGCGACGTTTTAATTCAATGGCCAAGGTCGCAAACAGGAGAATCTGTACCGTGGCACCGGCTGCATAGTAGAATGGACCAGAGACTCCATATTCGTAGGCGACGGTGGACGACTGCAGAAGAGTGGCAGCCCATGTCCAACTACTGACGACTGCTGATGCGACCAGACCAGACTTGACTGTACGGCCAGCAGTGGAGAACATTTCTGAGGTTTGGACTTCATGTTGGTATCGTTTCAGCGCCCAGGTGATGAAGATCATCAACAATGCAAAGGCGAATCCCAGGCCGACCACGATGCCGTAGCCAAAGCCCTGGCTTAGGGGAGCTGTGAAGTGAGCTTCAGCCATGTTGCTTGGATACAATGTTCGGATGATGTCAAACGGAGCAGAGGCAAGGGGAGATATGTGGCTATATAGATATCTAGGACACAGACCAGGCCGGAGACAGGCTCCGAGATCGCAGCCCTGGTTGCATAAGAAAGAATCATTATCAAAATAATTAAAACAAGTTGATATTAAGATGATATGGACAGCGGGAAAAGTGTATATCCATGGTCTGTTAAGCAAGAGCGATCATGATACGGCGAGTTCCGGCGAGTCAAACGCAGCCCAACGACGCAAAATCGCCATATCGAGCAGGCGCGGCTGATAAGGATTTGTCATTGTGATCGAGTCATCACTGACTCCAGGCGCATAGCGTGGAGGTCCGGGGAATTAGAGTGAGAAGTCCAGAGGGCCTGCTCGAAGTTAAGAATCTAAGTTGTGGGCCTAAGGCTGCAGATCTTCCCGGACGTCGTGAATTGGGCGCTGTGATTGGCTGGTGGCAGCTCTTATCAGGTATAACATCACGTGATGTAATTAAATCACTTTGATTGGACACACACAGAGATAAGAGCACACGCCCGGAATGCAGCCTCGTATTTTTGGCGGCCACCCTCTGATTAATGGGCCGCTATTAGTTTCCTATCAGCTCTACCATAGTAAGTAGATAGACTAATTTGACTCCGGACTCTCGTTCCTTTTATCGTCTTATCAATCTATATGTCCTATGAGACATCCTTTACCCATAACGTCATGTCATAGTTCGTGCAACGGTTTTTGAGCTGAGCCGCCAAAGCCTTGAAAATAGGACAGGCAGAGGACGAAGGTCCTTCAACACTGCGTCACGCTTAACACCCTACAACCAACTACCAAACGAGCAGACACAGCCAGAATAAAAACTCCATTAATGGAATATCATGCGATATAATACAGATTGCAATTCTCCTTCCTATCCATCGTTGCTATGACTTGCTTGTATAAAATTTGGCGCATGCAAAAAGAAAAATAGACTGTAGGCTCATGGCCATACGATAAAGAATTTTCCGTTGATATATCTTCCGTGCCGTGGCACGGGTTCCATCGGGCATCAGGAGGGTTCGGAAAAGCGAGGTCGAAAAAGGGGTATTTGTATGAGGAGCAGGTTGAGTATGTCTGCTAGAGAAGAGGTATAACGTGGGGTGACTGGCGGATCTGCCTCACGTCAAATCCACCCGAAGTTTGATAGATTCGACGATGTCGATATTTATGAAGAGAAGTTGCGAGTGATCTTGGCGATAACTATAGGCAATGTCAACCATAATATCCAGCTACCCTCGTACTGCTAAACATACCATGCAATCCAACAACAGAAAATATAAATCCCAAGCTCAAAACCAAAACAACAACAGGGTCAACCCGGAGACCAGGGCTTTCATCAGTGTAGAGCTTCAACATAGTACCGGAGGAGCCACCGGCGCCAGCAGCACGGGTGGAAGTTGGTCGCGCATTGCGCAGCGATTCTTTGTGGTCGGCAGCAGCGCGGCGACGGAGAGCCGTACGAGGGCCACCGGGAGGAGTGGGCGATGAAGGACGGTTGACGGCCGAGCCAGATGCGGCGGCGCCAGCAGCGGACTTGCTGTCTGGGCCGGATTCAGTGCCGGATGCAAGAGGAGATGAAGCACGGGGGGATGCCTGTACGCAGATGAATCAATTAGCGATGCTGCTTTTCAATTGATGATTCGTGCTCGTCTGACTCCTTGGACAAAGCAATTGAGGGTAGTCTAGACACACAAAGCCAGGGGTGGCGGGCGCTTGCTTACCATTGTGATAGTAAGTAAATTATTGTTTTACTTATCGAAGGGATTGACTGCAAATGAGTGACAAGAAGAAAGAATTGAAATGATGTCGAAATGGTTGCACCAGTGAATAGGGATTGTAGTGTCGTGGAATTTGAGGTTGGCAAAAGGCCACGGGTCACGCTCCGGGGGACGCTAGCCATATCAAGTTAGATATTTCCTAGCTCTGGCCCCACTCGCCAGATATCTCACATCAGACTCATTGTTGTGACTTGCCGATTTCAACATTTGAGAAAAGCGAAGGACATTTGTTGGCATTCTTTAGTTCCGTCCGGGGAGCGCACTGAGATATGCGAACCTGAAGTCCGAACTGCTTTATGACACAGTTTTGATCGATCACCCCGAAAGAAGGGGAAAGGCGACGTATAACGTACTTGATCCCGGGAACTGATACAGCAAAAGCAATCTAATGAAATCCGAGACAAGCTTGCATTCGAGCGGATTGTGTCCTATTGCGGCTTCGGTCAGCTCCGACGAAGTGATTAGTCGTTCTCCACGGGGGGTGTAGAATATCACAAGTTTTGAAGATACTGCTTTTGCAGTAGCGATCTTTAAATGGATCGAGCACAAGGATCTGGGACTACTTGTAGGGCGGGCGTGTATCTCACCCTAGTACCGAGCATTTGGCGTCCGTTGATTATTGCAGGTGGTGGTGGGCATAGCTGTTAATAGCCGCTGGAAGAAGGCCAACCAAGACATACCTGATCGAGACTCCCAGTATTTAGCTCCAACGATGCCTTAGTCAAAACGTCAAAACGATATTGCCACAGGACGTCGATTCTATTGGTCATTCTAAAACCTTCGCTCTCGTCTATCTACCATAGCTTGCATGAATAAAAATCATCAACAGCCAGAAACAACCCAACTCTCTCTCTAACCTTGCCCCAGATGTCCCCTACGAAGCTGATTCCCGACCTCCAAAGCGGCCTCGAAAGCGGAATACAAGCCGCACTAATAATGAAATCGGCCTCAACCGTCGTCCATATCGTGAGAATATGCGCCGATGCAAGCGCAATCTCGGTCCCTTGACCACGCCGAGAGAGAAGGTGCGTCAAAGTCGATTTATAGATTCCGATACCTCCCGATATTAGGCCGAGACCCATCAGGGTTGAGATGGCGAATTTGCGAGGTACAGAAAGTTGACGCATTTGACAGAATATGGTTGCTGGGTAGATTGCGTAAAGTATATCTAGTAGTGATGAGAGTACTGCCAGATATATCCCCGGTCAGGAAATGTGTTCCTTTCTTCTTCCGCGAAAGGAGGACGAGGGGCAAGGGTTTAGGGCTTGAAACGTACCAGCCCACGGCATGTATAAATCCACTACAAACTTCGGATCCCAACATGTAGGATGATACCGTTCTAAATCCCATTGACCAGCTACAGGATCACACCGCAGAACAGTGACTATCGCACCTCCTATACCGCCAGCAACAAACCCAACAACCGAGGGGGCTATGAGCATGACTTTTATCCATGGCCTAGGCTGTAAAAGTCGACAGAGGAAAAGGATGGCGGAGATTTTGGGGATCCATATTGCGTTGGGGATAATAGCTCCGGCGATCATGGAGAGTCTGAGGGCATTTGTTGTTGCGGCCCCCGGGTGTTCAAAGGTAGTGGTAGCGGTATCTGTTGTGTGGATGATGGTTTTGATAGATATAGTTATGACTATTGTGCCTGCGAGATTTACTACCTGTTCGATATCAGACATCAGAAACTGCATTATATGACCAGAGAGTAAGAACAAATGACCCAGCCGACTCCCATTATAATGTCTTCCCATCCCATGTCGCAAGTGATAAATGATCTCGAAACCATTCGTAGAATCAAAGTTGTCGATGCTAGAGCTTGAAAGATCCATAACGTCGCATACGTCGCGCCAGCGGAGTTGGCCACGACGCGGCCTGGACTATTCTCCATGGAGCAATGAATATTTCAGGTCTCTTGATCACGGTCTGCATGTACCACAGTAGAGTCGGATGCTTTGTAAAACTATATAGGAGCAGATGAAGTGATAAATAAGATCGACCTTTGGCGGTCGATCATAGGGCTCACGGCTGCCTTAATCTTCTAGATAAAGATCTTGAATGGTGGCTGAGTAGAGACATGTTTCAGCGTCTTCAGCTGGATCCTTCGGTACGCTGATAAAGAACATGCAGCGCATATCCATGCATCTTCTACATGAAGTCGATCCAAACGATACATGGGTCCAAGGATTCAGTCTGTTAACCTTGAAGGACGCGGGTATACTTCTCAGCCCCGTGATCTCGTAATACAAAAGGGCTATGCAAATTGGAGCCACAAAAAACACACCAGGACATGGTGTCTGTAGGGCGTACCTTGTCTGTAGGGCGTACCTTGTCTGTAGGGCGTACCGTAGATCGCCTCTTCTATACGGGCATCTGTGTAACATCGCTGACGGGTTTGCTGCAAGGCTTTTGGTCGCCGGAGCATCTTCTACCTACCTAGGTAGGTGATTCGTGGTGCAACATGGTAAAAACTCCCCGTCCACGCATGTGGCCCATGTTTCCGAGACATGGATAGCCTGGTTGCTTATAAATTGTTACATATAGATACATGTATATTTCCAAGCTTGTGATAGGGGAGACTACCAGTTGATCGGATGGTGGGGTCGCTGCAGATCACATCTTGATTGCAAACATACACCGGGGGTAGATTTACTTCGGGATCGCCGAGAGAATTCAGCAGCATTGATTCATGGGCAAGGCCGGCTTAGGGCTGGCAGGGGTTCGACCACATATTAGAGCGAAGGGATTGAGGAAACGTAACTAATATAGAGCTGCAAACGTCATATTGATGTTTTTGACTATCATTCAAATAGGTTGGTCCGCACAATCCCAGAAAGGTAGTTTTAGATGCAGCAACATCTTATGCTTGGATGAAGGAATTCACTGTTTCTTAAGTATACAAATTCCTATTAACACTCTCTCTTGACTAGTTCGGTGCAGAAAGTAGGAAAGTGGCTTGAATGAGCAGAAGGCCAGGTTGTAATTATATTGATATCAGGATAGATGATATTCATGATTATGGGGGCGCTCATGATCGTTATTAATCGTCCAGGTTCTCATATCAACATGCTCTCCATTCCAACATATTGAACATGAAAGTTCTATATCTCAAAATTAGACGCTGGAAGGCCTTCTTGGTTCTACTTTAACCTAATTTTCACTGTTAAAACGTATAGAAAAGAATGATTGATTAAAAACTAATCTCTAAAGGTCTAGTGTTGTTGATCTGCCAACATCTGTTCATGTACTGCGATGCTGATAGGGCATGGATGGGGTATAAGGAACCTCACTATAAATTACACCTGCAAGATATATTAATTTCCCGAGGAAGCAATGTCGCAATGCAAATAAGTAAAGACACCATTGAAATTGTATATATGAAGTCTATTTGACCTGCACACTCCCATAATCCGCCAGTTCTATCATCAAGCAAATAAACCTCATTATAAATTGCGTATGCAAGAGTATATTAATTTTCCGATGAATCAATGTCGCAATGCAAACAATTAAAGACACCATTGACGTTGTATATATAAAGTCTATGTGACCTACACACTCCCATATCTACCGGTTCTCTAGTCGAGCAAAATTACTATATCTCTCTCCCTCACACTTATCTCTTTGCATACAAAATGAAAGCTCTTCTCGGTTTAAGAAGATTGGAAGTTGTTGTTGCTATTGCCACTATAATAGGTAGTGTTAGAGCTTCATCTGAAAATTATGGGAATCCCCTAGCTACGTCAGATCAAAAAGCTCTAGATGCCCTTGCAATTGAGCTCTTCGAGACTTGGAGCTTCCCCGTCCTTCAGGCCGAAGCAAAAGCGGCGTACCAAACAGCTCATGGACTCCCTATCAGTGATGAAGCCTCCTCGAGTCTCGATGCAGCTATTGAGGAGTTGGCCTTTAGTGCCCTTCAAAAGGCCATCAATAATGATCCATACTATCCCAAGGTCTATTGGGTGGACTCTGCTCCTCGAAACTGGTTCGGTCTGGATGTCCCCGGCGGACGATATTCATACGACAACCCAGACTGTATCTATCGTACCATTCCGATCGACTCCAGCGCTGATTACGTTTTAAAAGGTTATCGTTATACGCCAGGGCCTAGCGACGTGACATTCTCGCTGATTAGTGACCCTAATTCTCAAAATACTGTAGCTTTTCTGGCCGGCAGCGGCTTGGTTGTCGACGACGACGGCTCATATACCATTACAATCAACAGCTCATCTACCGATAGCCAAACAAACCATATTCAGTCCAACTCGTCGGCGGTCCAGCTCTTGATCCGCGAAAATCTGGGAGACTGGCAAACAGAGAAGCCAGACAACATTACCGTTGAGGTTACAAGCAACATCACAGGCCACGATCCCATCAGCACCGCTCAGATCATCGTCGACGCACAATGGAACTTACAAGAATCCATAGTTGACTACGGTGTCGGTGCACTAGGTCTCAAGACGTCCATCAACGCAGTGAACACGCTTTCAACCCCAAGTCAATCAAGCAGTCTCGGAACCTTGACCAGCCAAGCGAGTTCCTTTGGCCATTTCAAGATCACTAACGACGAAGCCCTTGTGGCCACCCTCACTCCCGGTGCAGCAGATTATTTCGTCTTTCCCGTGACGAATCCCTGGTTGGTGACCACTAGTCCCGGCACAAGCCAGGACAGTCTCAATAGCAAGCAGGCGATCGCCAACGACAACGGAACGTACACCTTCGTTGTATCTATTGGAGATCCTGGCGTCTACAACTGGGTTAACACGACGGGACTTCATGAGGGCACAATAATGGCTCGCTGGCAAGGATTGAGTACTTCTTCGTCTGCCGACGATACGCTTGGTATTCATGTTCAATTGGTTTCGCTCTCTGATTTGGCCACGGTTCTTCCTAAGGAGACTGTCTATGTGACTGCCGAAGAACGCGCAGCACAACTTGCTGATCGTGTTGCAGGATATGCACAGAGACTCGATTCTTAGACTAGAAAGACATCAGCATAATCATAATGCTTGTTTACTATGCCGTGAGAAGACCAGGAATATGTACTCGCCGTCTCTGACCGAGGTAGTAGTTGATGTAACCTAGATATTGAGTGATAGTACCAAATTCTTTCATGCATCGATGATTCCAGAAATATTTATCCTTTGTTTCCTCCAGTTGACATGTAGATGGTTCAAGAGCTTCATTTTGGTGAAAGAATCGCATATGGAATGGTTAGGACTAACGTCTAATAAGTAGGTAAGTTTCAAGTTTGTTTTCTAGACTTTCAATTATTGTTCACAAGGATAATATCTACACTGTTGCAAAATGTTATTGATCTATTCATTTCTCTTTTCTTTGAATACCTCGTAGTAAATCCAGTCGATCAGATCAAAATTTGAAAGTTGACGGGAATTAGGGGTAGCACATCTCGAAACCCTAAATCTTAGATCTACTTGGCGGGTCGCCATGATCCATGACTTCATTAAAATTGTTGGCTGTATCTCTCAATATGGGGCATCCGACGCAACATACGAGCTTATCTCAATCCTGCTTGTGAGACCCATCGGMCCAATCAGGCGCTAATGAATGTGATGTGTCACACGACCACCTGAAAGCGACGAGCGGTCTGCTCCTGCTTTCCAAGCTCCTTTTCCTTTTATTTTCCTTTAAACGTACTGACTATATGCCTAGCACTTATTATTCAAGACATGGACCCCGAAATAGAGTACATTCTAAGCCTCAAGGCAGTTCGCGAACAGGCACATAAAGTCCTTGGTTTGGCGGAACAAGGAAAACTGACTCATTTCAACTACGACCACAAGAAATTGAGTGTAGCTGCCGAATATGTCATAGGAATAATTCAGGTACTGAGAGCCCCTTAAAAAGCAAAACTGTTTTCGAATGTTGAAAAGTGATTAAGATGAAATGTGTAGCGCGACTTTGGACCGGATAAGTATCACCTCATTCCACCGCACGGCCGGTGGCAGCATTTCGAAGTTGGTGATATTCCTCGCTTAGCAGACCTGCTACAACAATGGGAAAACCGAAAGTTTGACAATGTAGACAAAGTGCGTGGTCTTGTTGACCTCTTCTTCGTCTCTGTTCTTTTGGATGCCGGGGCCGGAGATGTTTGGAGATTTCACGAGTCGGAAAGTGACCAGACGTACAGTCGGAGTGAGGGGATTGCGATTGCATCGTTGCATATGTTTCTGAACGGTGATTTCGCGACGGATAAGTCGTCTAGGAAGGATATAGTGGAAGGTGAGCAATTCCCTCAAACTTTATGTAAAAGTGGAAACTTATTTGTCTGTAAAGGTGCCGCGCTACAGACACTAGATGCAAAGAATCTATATCGAGGCTTCCAAATCAACGAGGAGACCAATCCACTTCTAGCAGTCGACAAACGTGTTGAATTACTGCGCAGACTGGGTGGTTCTCTTTTGAAGCTTCCGAAAATCTTTGGCACCAATGGTCGACCAGGCCATCTTGTCGGTGAGCTTGATTGTACAATCATGAAGTGAGTAAGAAATTAACACAAGGGAATCAAAGACTATCTGCTTTCCAAAGCAGATCATACCGGCGAAATCGACTACCTTGAATTATGGACCGTCCTGCAGAAACTTCTAATCCCAATCTGGCCTTCTGATCGTACCCATATAGACGGACATCCTGTAGGCGATGCATGGCCTCTAACATGCCTCGCGAAGTTCTCTAACCAAAATACCAGCAACAAGACATCAGCCATCCAGCCATTCCACAAACTCACACAATGGCTCGCATACTCACTCATGGTACCGTTCACACGCTTACTAGATATCAGATGGCGCAACGCAGATCAGGGAACAGGACTCGCTGAATACCGGAATGGTGGACTATTCGTTGACATGGGCGTCTTATCTCTCAAGGAGGAATCTCTCACAAAGGGTCTGCAACGTTCAAGCAATACTGGTGATGGTCTTCCGTGTTTTGGGGCAAGTGATGACGAGATTGTGGAGTGGCGTGCTATGACCATTGCGCTTCTGGATAAGTTGCACGAAATCATCAAGGTCAGTCCTCAGTTTGACGCCGTCCAGTTAACGTTGCCTCAAGTGTTGGAAGCAGGATCTTGGAAGGCAGGGCGAGAACTGGCTGCCCAGAAACGGCCGCTGACAAAGTCAAGTCCTATCATTATTCTTGGGGATGGGACTTTATTCTAGATAAATCCTGTGAAGGAGACGAAACATCAAGCGTAGGTACCTGAGTACCAGCTTGTATGAAGTATGAGAAGCACGTGATAGAAACAAAATTTCGTCATCGAGAGTTGAATATCATCATACTTGATAAAGACAAAGCCTAGTCAATTATATAGAACAATCCGTGCCCTCTCCTTTTTCCATACCCCTTAGGAATCATATTTGTCATGTCCAGACCCGCGGCCAATGTATATGACGGTGGGATTACAAATGCGAAATACGAGCAGAATAAATTGTCAAGAGCTTTCAATCTAATTCGACTAGTAAACTTCGGTTTTGGATTAATTTATACTCGGTATACTAATATCATACTAGTTCTCTCCGGCTTCGCTCTATCCAAAAGCTGGCCATCAATCCGACAGCCCTGTAGCAATCCATCCAACTTTTGAGTGTTTCTCCACAGTTCGAAAAAACAAAGAATCATGATTCATTGAATTGAATCTTTATCACAAAACAAAGTTGCCACATAACAGCCGTGTGGGAGAGAAAATGGATTAATAATATGACGCAAAAACAGGTTTACTAGTCAGATCAGTTACACAGGATGGAGAATAAACTTCAAATTAGGGCTAATTTATATGAGAGATCACTTGCGTACGACTTGAAAAGCGGTGTAACTTCCGCCAGTTTAGATTTGTATAAATTCGGACACAATCGTTGGTCATATTCGATTGATTGATATCAGATTCATCAATTAATACTTTGATTTGTTTCTTTCTGATACCTTGACCATGTCTCACAACATCCTCATCACTGGCGCCTCGGGCTACCTAGGCGGTACCCTTCTTGCTCGTTGGAAAGAGGCCAAGCTACCAGCACACAACCAAGTATACGCCCTCATACGCACAGAAGAACAAGCCAAAGCAGTCCAGGAACTATACAATGCCTTACCCGTCAAGATAGACCTTAGCAGTGACGCCGACATCGAACAGGCCATCATCAGCCGCGACATAAGCGTCATCTACTACCTAATCGATCCTTTGGAAGACCGAATCCCTAGGGCCATGATCCGTGCTTTGAGTACAGTCAAGTCAAAATCTAGAAGACAGGATGTCCATTTCTTGTTTGCGTCGGGAGCGAAGATTTTCAGTAGTCATACGGGTCTGCCATCAGACCGAGAATTGTTGGATACGGATGAGAGGCTTTATGATCTTTTGAAGAATGCGGAGGGCAGTCAACCGCTTCTCGCGCAGGTATGATTATCCATTCAATTCTTTGATTGTAGGAGCCGATGCTGAGAGTTTCTGTAGGCAGGCAAGAGAAACGTGCAAGTCATTGACGACGGGGCCTCTCTCGGTGTGCGAAGCTACATCTTTGTTCCCTGCATTGTCTACGGCAAGGGGGAAGGATTCGGAAATCCGATTTCCATCCAGACTGTAGCCGTGATTCGAGCGGCTAAAAAGATGCGCAGGATCTATACTGTTGATGACAGTTCAGCTGTACGACTGATCCCCCACAAATCCCCATTGGGGTTTATCCCACCTCTACAACCATCTCCTATCTTTTTCTAGTTTGCAGGTTGACTGACGCTTTGAAGCCATGGCCGGTATGCCATATACGCGATAACACAGCTCTCTTCCTCTCGATTCTTCGAGCCATCCTCGCGGGCGAGAATCCAAGTTATGGAAAGGAAGGGTTCTATCTTGCCTCCTCGGGACTCGTAAAATGGCACGATCTTTACCGCGCATTTTCCAAAAGACTGCTTGAACGGGGCGTTATTGATGATGGTACCATCACGCCGGCGGATGATGCCGCTTTGGAGCAGATAGCGACGGTGTTGAAGGGGTCGCCGTCATTTGTGCCTGCGGAGATTGGTGGTCGGTATGTATTTTCCAGATTACTTGTTTCAGGTCAAGAAAGAGGTGTTGACAGGAGATGAATATAGATGCACCTTCACGGCTGCTCGGGGTCAAACCATCGGGTGGAAGGCGGAGTATCCGCCTGAGCATATCTTTGAGGCTGCTGGAGAAGAGGTTGATTTGGTTCTTCAGCACTCGTAGGCTCTCCAGATTGTTTTTCGTGTTTCAATGCGTCTTAGAAGTCTAGGCGACAACGACATAGAAAGTAAAAGCATAGCTCTGCATTCATCCGAGCACACAGCCATGGTGTCAGATCCCTCCCAAATCCGTTTGCCAATCTTTAGACTGAGGGGAAGTATCAAATAGACACAATTTCAACTCTCTTGTGTCAAGGCGCGCGTGAATTATCCGATGAAAGCTCCATCCCCATGATCAAGTCCATTTGGGGATAGACTTCTGACCATCCATACTAAGTCAAATCCATCGATCAAAGTCCGTATCATACAATTATTTTCCTCACTAGATACATCAATCCCAATACCTAATAATTCCATCCAACCCACCAGTAACAACTTTACTGGTCTCCTGAGGATGCCAGTCAAGACACGTAACCGCCGAACCATCCTTCCCACCAGCCTGGATCTTATGATACATCTTCCCCGTCTTCCAATCCCAAAAGCACGCATAACCACCTGAATCACCACTAGCCACAAACTGCCCGTCGGGCGAAAAAGTGATATCAATCGCGTACCCAGCATTGTTGTGGCCACGGAACCCCTTTTTACGGTTCTGGCGAAACTTGTCGGTTGCGGCGTAGACGACGATTTGATTGTCGCCAGACTGAAAAGCGACGTATTTGCCCGATGGATGCGGGCAAGCGCGTACCATGGCGAACATGTCTGCTTCGGCGATATATTTGATGGGTACGGGGATGCCGTATTCCCATGCTCGGAGGGATTTGTCGTCTGATGTTGTGATGAAGCGGCGGTTGTTGTCGACGAAGGTGATGGTGTTGACGGCAGCTAAATGATGGTCGTATTCCTGCACCATTTCGCCCGTACGAGTATCGAATTGGACGATCTTCTTGTCCGACATACCGGCCAAAAACTCGTGGTTGTGTTCCGGATCAGGGTTGATGCGGACAACATGCGGTGTTTTACCTGTGCTAAATCGAGAAATGCATTTACCATACTCTGTATCCCACAATTTGATCTGTCGATCGTACGAGGCTGTAAGGAATGTTTTGCCCGTAGGGTGGAAAGTAGTATCGCTGATCGATTTAGAGTGTCCCGAGAAGGTGCGCAAAAGTTCGCGTTGGTGGTATACATCCCAAATCTTGGCTTTGCCGTCTGCTGCAGAGGAGAGCAGCAAGTGACCGGATCCAGGGAAGAATCGAAGTGAGGTGATAGGTTTGGTGTGCGATTTCCAGGTATGCGCCAATTTCCGGGGAATGAAATTCTTGACGCTGCCTGGTTCTTTTCTAAGATCGATATCCAGATCTTGCGGAACGTGCCTGTAAAGTATTAGTATAAACCCATCATCAGAGTCATCAAAGCAAGTTGAAAAAGAGAACCCACATATAAGTCCGTCCAAGGTAATCAAACTGTTCACTTCCATGAAACTCCGTCGTCTCCGTCTGTGACGCATCATCCTGATAATCAGTCGCCAGCGCCGGTAACTTCCCAGGCACCTCCTCTTCCTCTTCTACAAACTCCTCATCACTCGCAAGCTCATACCCAGCCTCAGCCGCCTCCTCCTCATAAACCTGATCATCATTCTCATACCTCGCCCAGGGACCCTTGTAGGCCCCCTCCCCATCAACAATACTGGGATCCCCCTTCTTCTGCCTTTTACTCCGCAACGCTGCCGAGACTTCCTTCGACGGTTTCATTTGCACAAAATCACGTCCACCGTACTGCGCTGCTCGCGCCAAGTCTCCCACAAAGACATCTGGCCTCGTGGGGTCACGCGAATATCCCAGACTCTGGAAGGTATGATGTTGCGCTGTGAAAGTCGCTTCGCTGATAGCTGCCTCTTCTGCGTATCCCGTTGGCACGTTTTTGCGTTTGAGGCCGTTCCCAACGCCGTTGGGTTTGAATGGGTTTACGGGACCTTGGGCCGGGCGCGAGAGGTCGTCGTATCTTGCATTATATGTTAAAGCAGTTGATGTTCCGGTACCGGCGATTAGTTGTAAGTTTGTAGGATCCTGTTAGAAGGAATGTTAGTTGAGCAGCTGAAAATGTTGGGTGATTGAAAGACCAAACCTCTACATTGACTTCCGGTGCGGCGACTAGTTTTGTCGCGGATGTGAAGGTTGTAGTCGTGGGTTTGTCGGATTCATCGCCTGATGAGTCGTAGTTTGCGCCGACGAGCGAAGCCATCGTGGTGGTTATATGGTTGTGTCGTGTCTAGGCTAAGGCTCGTTGCGATTCGGCGATATCTGGTTGAAGATGTTAAAATATTACGGCGGCCGTACGGACCACTAGCGCATTTGTTCCTCCCTTCACATGCAACCTCGCAATTTTTAGAGTTGGAGACCTCATATTCAAATTAATCATAACAATGAAGATAATGATAATATAATAGCCAGTCAAGCTAGAGGTATATACAGCATCTAAACCATACAAAAGACCGTCACTGCCATAACTCAGCTAGATCACAAATTCGCTCCCCCGCCAATCGACAATCTTTCTCCAGCAATAACAACGCAGTATCGTCCATATGTAACTGTACCAAATAGCTATTCCACTCATTTCCTCGCACATTAAGCCTAAACCAGTCGCAGCCATTAAACCGCAACATCTACTCCTCCATCCCTCAAAAGTCGTTCGTCTAAGTCATTCTTCCCTTCGTACTAAATTCCACAGATTATACCACATCAAGAGTCATAGCGCATGAGAGCGTGGATATCGTCGCACCGTCAGCGAATCTTTTAGTGCGACTCATCACGGATCAAGGCGACAATCATGCTGTAGAGGTAGAAGAAGAACATCAAGAGATGGAAACCGAGCTTGACGAAAGATTCCTGGGATGGTGTCAGTTACCTTTACCGGAAAAATCTGAAGGGAAATAATTGACTGACCCGCTTGTGGATGTTGAGCTTGCGGAAAATCTCGGTCGCGTCCAAAAGGTGCTGGTTGTCGAAAATCCTAGTACATGTAGGTTAGCAATCACATTCGCCCTTGAACTTGGTATCAGAGCGGTAACACACTTTTTTCCGTTGTAAGCGAGCAGAGGCAAGTTCAAGATGATCGCAAGCCAGTAGCCATTAATCACGAACAAGAAGGTCAAGAAAGCGTGAACAGCGGCTTCGGGGACAATGTAGGTATTGAGACGGTTGCAGAGTTCAATAGGGTTGAGATAGTCACTATCACATCGTTAGTCCGTTTCTTACGCCTCGTGATATAAATTCCTGAAACATATTGAATGAACGCACCATTCCAAATCGCTGTACATAATAGTAAAGAAGACCTGTAAGAACAAGTTGACGGCATTGATCAAAACCGCCAACAGATAGAGCCACGCTTCGCCAGACATTTTGATATGTTATCAAAGTCGATATTTCGACGAGGAGAAATTCAAGGGTATGCTGTACTATGAAAACTCGTTAGGAATGCAGATAATAAAAGATTCGCTGTCGGTAGATAGGCAGATGCGAATCATGACGTTTTGGGGTTCGTGCACTCACCGGGATATAACGAGTCTCAAATGGACGATTCCGTCTTCGAGAAAATCCAACGCTGAACTTCGAGCCGCCAAAAACGGTGATGAGTTTGTGTGTAGATAAGAGGAGACCGAGATTGAGCACTGTTACCACCAGGAAGAGGGAGAGGAAGGAGATTGTGGATTTTAGTGGTTGTTGGTTGGTGCTGGGCTAGGCCGTCCGTCGTTCGGTCGCGGAGGTTGGGTTGCTGCCAGCCGCGCGTCTAATTGGCGAGCGGCTAGTGGTCTACTATGGCGGGGRAGKTACATCTACAAAACGACAATGCCATTGTTCACATATTTTCTTATGATTAATATGTACATCTGTTGGCGCAATAAATATCGAGGTCGAATATATTCACATGTTTGGGAGTTGTTGGGTGCAAGCCTTGAGTTGATATTTCAAATTCGAGTCATTGACTCGATCAAAGGTCCAACAAGCTAGTAAAATGCAGATATGAGATTTACGATAGATTGGGAATGACAACGCTGAAGAAAACATAAAAGCGAACAGGAAAAAAGAAAGAATCTAGCCAGAAGTATGAACCTGTGAAACGAAACAAGATGCCATGCTTGACATCTACCGCTGGATAATCAATATCCAAAGCACATCCATATTTAAGAGGCAATATATGCAGTGAAAGCGCTCTCATCGCTTCTCTACAAGTAAGAAATGCATGGCCGCATAGGCAAGTACGATGAATATCGCAGAGATAATACCCAGGCCAACTACATCTCCCCATAGCGCAAGTGTATCAAAACCAAAGGCACTAAGGATCGAGGCTCCGGGCACTTCGATGTCGAGTCCGTATTTGTGGTCGATAAGTGTTAGGAAGGTAACTTCGTTGACAATTAGGCCTTCGAAACCGTAGTGGAAGATGGAAAGCTGTAGCATCTTGTTAGCATGATTATTGTTTGATAAGGGATCAGATCACTCACAGTCTGAAGCCACATAGCGGCAGGGGGAATAGCATCATGGTTCAGTAGGAGACCGGCAAAGAGCAGACTGAATAGCATGACCAAGCTTCCAATCAAATTGGCCACACCACCATCGCGGAAAACAATTCCAATGAAGAGACAGATTCCGGCAGCGGCCAAATTGAAAAGAACCAGGATGAGGAGGAATCTCAAAAATTCGGGCCATGCTGGGATCAGTCCAGTCATGGGGTACACAATCACACCCATTATGAGTGGGGGAATAAGGCGCAGGGGCACAATATCGAAAATGACTTTCGCGCTGAAATATGCAAGAGGCGAGTAGTAACCGTTGGCGCGTTCACGAACAAAGAGCAGTCGTTCTGATGAAAATACGGTAAGACTGGTCAAGGTACTAAATCCGAAAAGAGCAAGGATGAAGAAGAACAATCCAAGACGATTCTGGAAACCCTTGATATCGTCGGTAAGTCCGTAAAACAGGTATCCACAGAGAACTGCCAGAAGGATAGAGATGGCGTAGTGCGTCAACATCAACATTGGGTTGCGGTATAGGTTCCGCCAGGTTCGATTGGACAAGATAACAAATTGTCGTAGTAGACCGATACGGGTGTAACCCTTGCTAGGTACGTTGCCAAAAGCTTCTCCATTTGGTGTAGCGTTGGCATCGTTTGCGCGGTCTACCGCAGTCACAATCTCCTCATGCACGGAATTAGCCACATCTGACGAGGCGTAACTAGCTACAAGCGCATCCAAGTCGCTAGTTCCTGAAGCGGGTGGTGGGATGTTATCGGGATCTTCCGTAGTAAGGGACACACCATTGCGAGAGGACAGTCGAAGCCACTGTGAGTTGTCTGTAACCGTGTCCTCTTCATCCGTTTTGGGTGTTGGTGGAGTTTCCATATCAGTCTTACGGCGCGTGAATAGTTGCTTGTCTTGACGCTGCTTCAATGAGTGTTGTCGTTTCGTAGATGGGCGGGCCGAGTTTTCCTGTGTGTTCCTGATTGTCTCTTCAATGCTGACATTAGACGCGCTAGCAATTGATTTGACTGCACGAAGACTACTTGAGGCTGTCTTGAGGTTATCTCTTCGTACATCAAGGAAAGTGTCTTCAACTGGTGTCTGAGAGCCGCCAGCATGCATGGTCAAATCAACCAGAAAGTCGGCAATGTTGAAACCAGGAGGGCAAGGATAGCCGATGTGATCAAAGTAGCGCTGGCACGACGAGAAAGGACCAGAGTACACAGTACGACCCTTAGCCAGAAGTATCAATCGGTCAAACAGGGCAACAATGTTAGAGCGTGGTTGATGAATTGTGAAAATGACAGTACGGTTGTATGTTTTGGCCAATGTCACCAGACATTCTATAACATTGAACGCGTTAAATGCATCCTACGCATAATTAGCTCGTATCTATGAAGATCGGCAGAGGGCACTTACCAAACCGCTTGTGGGTTCATCAAGGAAGAGAATACTGGGGCTAGTGACCAGTTCGCAGGCAATTCCTACTCTCCTCTTCTCTCCGCCGGATATACCGCGTCCATTACCTTCCTCGGAACCAATGATCTGATCTCTGATATGATGAATACCCAGTTGCTTTTCGACTTCAGTCACTCGTTGCTCCTTCGCAAATCGGCTCATATCTTTAGGCAGTCGCAACAAGGCGCTAGTCAATATAGTCTCGTGAACAGTCAATGTAGGAAGCATAGTATCTTCCTGGTCGACAAAACCAATCATGCTCTTGAAATCCGCATCGCTGATTTTCTCTCCATTAATATAAAAGTCGCCTTGTGTCACGCCGCGCTTATTCTTCCGAGCCAGGATGTCCAAGAATGTACTCTTGCCAGCGCCGGAGGCTCCCATGACAGCGGTAATTTCACCAGGCTGCGCGACACCTTGAATGTCGGACAGAATTTGCTTCCCATTCAGGTTGTATGATACGCGGTCGAAAAGTAGAGCAGCCGCACGCTGATCAGTAAGAAGTTTGTCGGCTTCGTCATCCGAATCATCCAGTCGGAGAGCGCCGTACCCACGATAAGCGGCGCGTCTGGAAAGATACCATATGATTAGGATGACTGCGACCACGAACAGAGAGCATCCAGCAATAACACCTGCAATAAGTGGAGTATTGATCTGCTTCACCGGTCGCTGGTAACCAGGCACGTCGGTCCTGTAGAGACATTCACCTGAGTGGCATTGTAATGTAATACTCTCGTCTCCAAATATGCTCTTGATCAAGTCGTCCATAGCAGGTTCCTTGAACGTACTGCCATCGTTCTTGCCGCCACCGGATGAAGTCGTGCTGAAGGTAGCCGGACCCTTGATCTCTTCGGTAAGAAAGTCGCTAATATCTATCGAGCCGTTTTCACCACAGAGCATTCTATCAGGAATGCATTCACATTTGACGTCTTGGCATTTGTAATTCGTGGTGTTGCGATCGTATTCGGCTTCCATGCTCCAGTCGCACTTATCGAGGGCGCAGTAGAACGACTCAACCTGGTCGACCCAGACTGGAAGTCAGGTTAGCTATGTCCGTAGTTCATGCAGGAGCAGTACGCACATTGAAAATTACAGTTCTTATCTCCTTCATCTTCCTCCTTACAAGAGAAGGTCACCTGTGGTTTCCGTTCCTTCAACTGATCGAGAATCTTGCGATTGGTAACATCACACATCTGATGGTTCTCTTTCACGGCTAGACCTTGGGTATAACATACACCGCCTTCGCCTTCTGGCATTATGGCATTACATGCGTCATCGCTTTTGCAGACATTGCAATTGATGCCTTCCCAGCCATCTTTGCAGTCGCAGTATTTGTCTTGTCGAGGACCGCGGTTCAACCCGTCTGCTAGCGAGCCGCATGTTGGTGTTGAACAGTCGTCACCACCGTATCCGGGCGGACAAGAACATTTTCCGGTGAACTTATTGCAGTCGGCGAACTGGTGGCATTGAAATGCGTCAAGTTGGCAGTTGAAACACGGGGGACACTCTGGCGGACGATCGTCAAAGGCCGCTAAGAGAGGATCAACACTTCTCGAAGTGAAGTTTCTCGCAGATGCTAAATTTGTCGATGATACTAGCGAATATATGGCGCCGAGTAGGTAGATGGCCCGCATCGTGGGGTGGTGATCAGGCAGCTGGCACGTTGAGGCAGCGCCAAGAGGTTCCTGGTTGGAGCAGGTGCTTATCTGGACGTCGTACAACCGTATCGGAGCTCAAGATGTTGGCACAAGAAATATTCTAGCCATGAAGATGCGACTTGAACGGGATCGATAAGAGAACCGGTATAACAACGAGTGAATCTGTTGTTGTGAAGTGGATGGTAACCTGGGGAGCTGTTGGAGACTTGGAGTCGACGGTACCTCGCAGCGTCCTATGACCTAATGACTGGGGCTGCGCTGGGCCAATCACGTGCCCCCATTGCACCACAACCTGGCCCACCATCTAGTGCCTGCCTCGGCCCTCTCGCCGACTATGTTTGGTACTCTACACTGTATATTCATCAACGATTGCTGTTGTAGTATTCACAACTATCTGGACAAGTTTCAAATCTTGAATAATACCTGGTGTCACATAGTTCGATCATGAGTGCTACGGACGACAATCTGTATCGTTCTACTCAAACGTTCAAGCACAACTGATCCCTGGCATGAATGACCCAATCCCCGGCGATTTCCATCCCAACACATGGCGAACGCCGTCAATTCGACATTCATCTTGTTCGATTGATATACGAAGGAAGCTTCAAACTATTATGCAATACTATCGCCCCATCATGTCGCCTTGCCGATGATGGTTGYCCCCGCCGTACTACCGAAACGCGATCCGTCATTTACCCGCGCCCCAGATTCACCACGATAAAAACACACCGGATGCCGGATCCTTGCACGGATATGGATGAATTCTAAAACCGCTGCATGATCTCCAGGTTTTCTATGGCGTCCACTCCACACACTTTATACACGTACGCCTCGGATTATCCGAATGCCGTCCATAGTTCGGGTTATCCGGGGCCCCACGTTTCCGGGTTCGCAGATATACAAATCTGGAGCTTCCCCTCGCGGCATTGAGTTGGATATTTTTCCTTTGCAGTCTCAACTCATACTATTCGAAGTGTTCAGTACCCGACAGTATCCATTCAGTCTGAGAAAAAGAAAACAAAATGTCCCTCACAAGACGATCTTCACCACCCGACGGGCGCGAGCCCTACATCATCGGCCAGCTCGAAGGCGAACGCATCACCATCCCCGGCAGCAAAGGTGTGTTCCGCATCTTGGCCTCCTCCAAACAGACTGGGGGGACAATGGCCGTTTTCCAAAGTGCAGCTGTGCTCTCTGACGCACCGGGATTCCATTACCACAACGAAGCTCATGACGTTTTTCTCGTGACCAAAGGCTACTTGAAGCTTTGGAACGGTGATAAGTGTCGGATTATGGGACCGGGAGATTTTGCTTATGTTCCTCCTGTATGCTATTTCCCTTTCGTTCTGTAGAGTTGACTAAACTAACGTATACAGCACATCGTTCACAACCCTGAATTACTTGGTCCACATACAGAAACATACGGTCTGGTCACCCCCGGCGACTGGGTTGATTTTTTTCGTCACGTCTCCGAGCCTTATGAAGGCCTCATTCTCCCCGAGCACGACAACCGCGATTTGAAAGCCCTTTTGATCCCCAAAGTCATGGCCGCCAAAGGCCAATTCGACGTCGTATTCCAGCGAGACTACGTACCTCCTGCATTGGGAGAATGGGACCAAGACGACGAAAAGCTACCTGCAGGCGAGAAACCACTTCCTTACTTTTTACGCGCAAACACCGGACCTCGATGGCTTTTGGGAGGTGTCATGTCACGACCATTCATAACCACGAGCCAATGCAACAGCGTCTGCGCTATTTCTAGCATCGAGTCATCAGATATATACCCCGAATCGGAGTCGATATTCTCCAAGCAATTAACATTCAAGACTGTTGACCACTGCCTCTGCGTTATCGAGGGCTTGTTAATAGTCCGTCTCCCTGGACAGCCCGACAGCGTCATCCGCGAAGGCGAGACGGCGCTCATCCCAGCTGGACAACCTTTCTCCTTGAAATTTGCCAGTCGATATGTCAGGGTGTGGTCCTTCACCAGCGGGGATGGAATTGAGTCGTTGATTCATAAGCTCGGAACACCGTTTGAGAGCTTCGTGTTGCCGGATCAAGCGTTGGAGGGAAATATTGATAAGCAGAAGTTGGAGGAGGTTGCAAAGGAGATTGGTGTTGATATCAATTAGTTGACATCCTTGTATGAATGAATGCATTTTCCATTGAGTTGATCAAAAGCTCTCTTTACACGACGTTTATCTACGACGCCGGAAACCACGTAAATACCTCCGTATATAAACCGCACAACATACAACAACACCAATTCGATAACCTAATGGGTTGTTTGCTACATACATAATATATTCATTAAGAAAAAGCAATTTGTAAGATACAAATCTAAATTTCAAAGCAACATTGAAATGAGGGGTACACGTGATGCTATATGTTTCTCTTCTCCACAGCGGGGAAGAATATTCTCGACGTTGATTGACGATATCGGAGACTGAGCTTAGAGAAGTCGAACATCTGGAACTTCCTGTCTGAGATTATTCGATCTGTATACTATTTCAATCAAATATACTGAATCTAATTCAAGTTAGTACAGACACATATAGCAACAATGGTTAAAATAGAGCCCTTTGCCGTCGAGCAAGTATGTCATCTTCCTCGCGCAGCCACCATCTACTCGACACTAACGAGATGAGTAGTGGATGGACGACTACGAAACAACGGCAACCTACAACCTAGCAGAAACATGCTGCGCATCCATCTCCCTCACCGATCTACAGAACCTCTCCGAGCAGCCATCAAGCTCTGAAAACTCGCAGTCCATCGTTTCCCTATTCTCCAACAACACAAAGCTGACTTACGGCGCAATTCGCGGCTCCGAAGCCCTGCGTGGCCACCTCTCACGCCTCTACTCCGTCAAGACACCCACCGTCCTACCGCCGGACAACGTCCTAATCACTTCTGGCGCAATTCAGGGCAATTTTTTGCTACACTATGCGTTGGTACAGCCGGGGGATCATGTCATTGTGCATTATCCGACGTATCAGCAATTGTACTCTGTGTCGGAGATTATAGGAGCAGAGGTCAGCCTGTGGAAGGCGAAGGAGTCGGAGAGTGATGAGAATGGGTGGGTATTGGATACGGAGGAGTTGAAAGGGTTGATAAGGCCTAATACGAGGATGATTGTTTTGAAGTATGCCCCCGTGCCAAACGATTTGTGGAAAAAATGGTTCTCACATGTCTGAAAAGTAACCCGCAAAATCCAACCGGCGCATTAATACCCAAATCCAAATTACAAGAGATCGTGGATATTGCCAAAGGGCAGTCGATAATCATTCATGCCGACGAAGTCTACCGCCCTATATTTCACGGCATATCACCACTCGACAACGAGTTCCCTCCTTCTTTATTATCGTTGGGCTACGAGAATGTCGTCGTGACAGGCTCAATGTCAAAAGCGTACAGTCTAGCCGGTATTCGGGTAGGCTGGATCGCCGCACGCAACAAAGAGATCATCGACAAATGTATGGTCTGCAGAGACTACACGACTATATCAGTCAGTCAGATCGACGACGCTGTTGCGTCCTACGCGCTGGCACCGCATACAATCCACAGCTTATTACTCCGCAATATTCAACTGGCCAAGACGAATCTGGCGATTCTCGAGACATTCATTGAAGGGCACAGATGGGCGTGTGATTGGAGAAAGCCGCGTGCCGGCACAACGGCGTTTGTGAGGTTTAATAAAATGGGTCGACCTGTGGACGATGTCGCTTTTTGTAAGTTGCTGCATGAGAAAAAGGGTGTGTTGGTTGTGCCGGGTAGTCGGTGTTTTGGTCACGATTTCAAGGGTTATGTGCGGTTTGGGTATGTGTGCGAAACCGAGGTTTTGGAACAGGGGCTGGAGAAGTTGAGGGAATTTATGAAGGGGGAGTATGTTGATGATGTTCCTTTGGCGAAATGAGTCGATCTGTTATTGCCGTGTCGGAGGGAGAAGACAGAACCAGGTTGGTGGACAGGCTCTATATAGTATGTACTAGGTAGGTAGTAGTTGCAAGTTGCGACAGTGTCCTTGTCAGTGACTCGCATGTTGATTATACCTCGGAAGCACATCAAGTGGCTGCAAGCCAGCAATAGGAGTTTAATATAACTACCCCATAGACTTAGTAGACACGTCATGCACTAGCCACATAGCGCTGCTTGCTACTATTGTGTCTTATGTTGTCCTTTATGAACGAGGATCCGACACTGGAGATTTAGCCTCATCTAGTCGATGCCGCCTATAGGCTAGTCTTGCAAAACTGAATAGCGTGATAAAACGTCTGTGTAGTTGGTGATATGCTTCGATGGAATTGGTATATGTGCAGGACGATGGCAGAATAGGCGATCGATCAGTTAAGATGGAGGGGATGAAACCGACGGAAGAAGATGCAATAGGAAGGTCTGATGTAGATAAACACGTAATATTGGTAATTATGGTAATCCGTACGGCTAGCGGTATTTGCACCTGCTCTCGTTTGGCCGAGGTATCTCTGCGTCTCCGCATACCAAACGACACTACCACCACCTTGCCTTCAGCCCTGCCTACTTTATGCCAGTATGTCTCACCTCTGTTGCGGTGGTACGACATCCTGCTGTATACCGTGTAACAAGCAGATTGCCTCATCTTTATTCTGAAACCTCAACAATTTCTTTGTTAAGATAGCTAGCAGCGATGCCGCCACTTCCCGCTCTCCCGCGTAAGCTTCCCTCAAAATCTACAAGACATACATTCCTCGTTTTGAGCTTTCGCGACTGACATACCCTTACAGCTGTTCCCCTCAAATATGCTCTTCCAGCACTGGGCACACTCTTCACTTATTTAAATGCTCGATGGTCAATGTTCTACGACTACCAACTCATCAAATCTCTCGCCACAATCAACATCAAACTCAAACTAGCAGAACGAGCAGACCGCTTGAATCTGTTCTATGTGCTCGAAAAACATGCCCTAGCCCCGAAGTCTGCTAACCGACCATTTATCGTGTACAACGGTCAGACATGGACCTACAAGGAGACCTACGACACTGTTCTTCGATATGGACAGTATTTTAAGCAGAACTACGCTATCAAGCCGAAAGAAATTGTCGCGCTTGATTTTATGAATTCGGCTACTTTTATCTTCATCTGGCTAGGATTGTCGAGTATTGGCGCTGTTCCAGCGTTTATCAATTATAATTTGAGTGGTAAACCCTTGTCGCACTGTGTCAAGGTCTCTACTGCTCGATTGGTGGTGGCCGATGAGGAAATCAGAGGTAAATTTACGCAAGAGCAGCTTGCGGATTTTGCGTCGCCGGATTTCAGAGATGGAAAGGGTCCCGTTGATGTGGTTTTCATCACGCCGGACGTTGAGAATCAGATTTTGCAGACGCCTGCCATCAGGGAAGATGACAGTGTCCGTAGTAATGCTGCTATGCGAGAAATGGCAGTGTTGATCTATACTAGCGGTACAACTGGGTATCCGAAACCGGCTGTTGTCAGTTTGTCCAAATGCTGGTCGGGCGCAATCTTTATGGACGGGTTCTTGGCTTTGAAAACCGATGACCGGATGTATACGGTTTGTTTCCCGACTCTCATTGCTCGCTCTGATCTAATTCTCTCTAGTGTATGCCGCTGTACCATGCCACCGGTGCTGTGCTCGGGTTCTGCGCCGTCCTGTTCAAAGGCGCTACGATCGTGGTTGGACACAAATTCTCAGCCAAGAACTTCTGGAATGATGCTCGGAACGGCGATTCCACAATTATACAGTATGTGGGCGAGACGATGCGATATCTTCTTGCCATGCCAAAGAACGATGCCGAAAAGAGCCATCGAATTCGTTTAGCGTATGGAAACGGCATGCGACCCGATGTATGGGACAAGGTCAAAGACCGCTTCGGCATCGAGACTATCGCAGAGTTTTATTCTTCGACAGAAGGATTCTCCGGACATTGGAATCGATCAGCCAACGACTTTTCGGCCGGCGCAATCGGTCGTAATGGATTAATTGGAGAGCTACTTCTGGGACGGACCATGGCGCTCGTCGAAGTGGATCACGAACAAGAAATTCCTCGCCGAGACCCAGCCACTGGATTCTGCAAGCGTGTTCCCAGAGGAGAATCTGGAGAATTGCTTTACGCATTAGACCCGAACGACATTGCATACAAATACCAGGGATATTTCAATAACTCCGAGGCATCAGAGAAGAAAATTTTGCGTGACGTCTTTACCAAAGGAGATGCCTGGTTCCGGACCGGCGATACCTTGAAATGGGACACAGAAGGTCGCTGGTACTTTACAGATCGTATCGGCGATACATTCCGCTGGAAAAGTGAGAATGTATCGACGAACGAGGTTGCCGAAGCACTAGGCAGCCATCCGGACATTGCCGAAGCAAATGTATACGGTGTGTCGCTACCTCACCACGACGGACGCGCAGGCTGTGCCGCTATCATTCTTAAAAACGGAGCCATCGATCTCCCAGCTGATATTCTGGAGTCGCTGGCTGTTCACGTCCTTGCCAACCTGCCGCGACATGCATTACCGCTATTTCTGCGCGTGACTTCCGAATTGGAGAGGACGGGTAACAACAAACAACCAAAGCACATACTGCGTCAAGAAGGTGTCGATCCTGCCAAAGTGTCTTCTAAGGACCGTCTCTACTGGTTGAGAGGCAACAAGTACGTCCCTTTCACACCGGAGGACTGGGCGAGGTTGTCTGCGGCGCAAATTATGCTATAGTAGTCTTATAGGTAGCTGAAATTACCATTAATGACGATCGTATTAATTGATCTATCCCTAAGACGACTTGCAATACTCAGGTAGTTGACTTAGGGTTTGACCGAGCCAAGTCGGCTTTATGCTGGACCCGCCCCGTCGGCCGCGGAACATCTCCAACTTAAGGCTTCTCCGCACTTGCACCTTACACATCGGCTAATTAAAGCCTATCTCTCAGGTGCTTTGTATAGGCATTGATGTCCATGAAATGATACGAGTCAATATATACTGACTGTCTCCTTGTTCCGACCTGAGAATTGAGGCGTACTTATACTCGTTTTCAAGGCGGGGATACAACTTGGCAACATGTTTACATCCCGACTTCCAAGAACAGTCCCCTGCGGGAAAGAAATCACGAAAACAACACAATACCTCAGATTATATTCAACCTCTTCTAATATTCCCGACGCAGCAACAATAGCATCCTCATTCCTCAGTAAATTCCAATCCCGCGGCCCACAAACCCGCACTCAACTGCTAGACGCAAATCAACTACATCTCCTCACACTGACTCTCAATCGACCACACTTGTACCCTTCAACCACTCCACCTTCTGCTACTTCTACTTCTACTTCTACTGCACCGAAAATTGGAACTCCGCTCCCACCAGGCTATCATCTCGTATACTTCACACCCTCATTCCTTGAATCCGAGCTCGGCGCCGATGGGACTGATACATCATACAACCCCTCCGCACCATTTACGCGCCGCATGTGGGCCGGCGGGGAAGTCAGATGGCCTCGCATGAGCGACGGAAAGCCGAATTTGTTGAGAGTAGGCCAAACGGTCACAGAGACAACTAAGGTGCTAAGTGCGGAGCCGAAGGTTGTGCGCAAATCGGGCGAGGAGATGATTGTGGTGGGCGTGGAGAAGAGGTTTGAGAATGAGAGGGGGCTTGCTGTTGTTGATCGGAGGTTTGTCCCATCTTACTTCATGAGTACGTTTTTAGAAAAGATGTAGATGGCTAACGATAGATAGGAATTGGGTATTCCGTGAAGCGCTCCCGTATCCACCCCAACCATCAGCAAGCAGTACAACAGATAAAAAGGACGATATACCATCCCCAATAGCCTCAGCAAAGACTCTTTCAACTCCTCAACAATTCATCACAGATGAAGCAGAAGGGATATACAGACGCCCCCTTCGCCAAACACCAGTCTCCCTCTTTCGTTTCTCAGCGCTAACCTTCAATCCACACAAAATCCACTACTCTTTTCCCTGGTCGCGCGACGTCGAAGGACACCGCAACATCGTGGTCCACGGGCCACTGAATCTAGTCAACATTTTAGATTTCTGGCGCGATATTCAGTTCTCAAAACTAAGAAAGCAAGGGCTAATAGTGGCTAGTGAGGAAGGATTGATTGTACCGACGAGTATAGCGTATAGAGCGACGAATCCGTTGTATGCGGATGAGGACTACGAGATTGTTTTAGAAGAAGATGCTGAAAAGGGGGGGAGTAGGGTGAATGTGTTTAATCATAATGGGGTTGTGTCGATGAAGGCGGATATCAAGGCATGATATGATGGCCATATCATAGTCCATATATAGAGTAGACAATGTACCGAATGTCTGACTGGTAAACAAACAATGTTCTGATAGGTTAGGCCTAGTCCGTTGGGGAAGATTCATTTCAGCTACTTCCATCTTCATACTCTGAGAGACTTTGGGAACGAATTCAAGAAACCCTATAAGAACCGTCTTGGAATGCTTCGGCATCTCCCTCAGACTCCGTGTAAGAGAAAACCAAAATGTCCTCCGAAGGTGATGGAGGCTCCTCTTCTTGATAATTGCCCCTTTCCCATTTCGAATCGTATTCCTCTCCGCTTCTTCAAAACTACCTTCCAAACTTCTGAAAATTATGATACAAGGATAGTCACAACATGGATGCATCGGAATTTACGATATTTACTGCGAAGGGGTAGCCTCATGGAAGACATTTCCCAGAGCCTCTTCCGGAATCTCATGACCACAATCTTTCAAAATCTCCAGGAACTTCTCATACTGATCAGATCTTAGACTTTCACTAAGCTCTAACGCTGTAAACTCATACTTGTCCACGTTCACCAACGGGGAAGCTCTTGCTGTGATAAATGGATCGGCGCCACGGCGAACCAGAAGTTCAACTTTCGACAGCGAGTCTTCTCGTGGTATGTGTAATGCGTCGAAAACAATCGCGTAGTGCAAAGGGGTCCAGCGCCAATCGTCCTGACGATTTATGTATTGTGGCGGGCAAGTTTCGCACAGATATTCGATCACCTCCGGCTCGTGTGCAAGTTCGGCGCCGAAATGCAAGAGTGAGCGTCCATCTGCCGATATCTTGGAAAAATCCATTCCTTTCGCTTTTAGGAATTGCAAGCATTTCAGACTCGACCCTGTCGATCGCAGGGCGCTGGTGAAAGCTGACCATGCGCCCACTTTTTCGCCAAAGTCAACATAGCATTGATCCTCGAGAAAGTGAAAGAAATCAAGGGTGCGATGTTGTTTGTCACGATCCCATATAAGATTCAATGTAGTCAACGAATTTCCATGAACTATATCGTGGACTGAAGCATCGTGATCAGCGAGCAGGCGGATGATGTCAAGCCAGGTTGGACCCCTAGGCGGCAATTGAACGAATCGCTTGTTCTTCCTTGGGTTCATCCCAAGTGCAAAAAACATCGGTGTACTAGATCAAAGTCAATCATCGATTTTCAAATACTTGAATCTCTTACTGACATTCCATCATCATCCCCAAGGTTTGGATTGGCCCCTGCATCTAGTAGGACTTTGATTGCATCAATATTACCACTTTCAATGCTCAACTTAAACAAGTCAGAATCTGATGGTCTACATATACGTGGGGTCTCTTTCATACCATAAGAGGCGTCTGGCCAGTACAACTCAACCGGTCCCCAACGGACCCTGATTTATCTGCAAGATGTTGCCGCATCCGGTCTATATCCCCTTGTCGACACGCAATCATCCATGGCGAGTCTACCAATACTCGGTTCTGCATTCTAATAAGACTCGGTATTCGTAATTGTAGCTGAAATTCGATGCTCTTGGTCCAAAGCCATGCGGGAAATTTGTAGCCGAGAAAGATATCTGCGTCTAGAAAACACTGAGAGTAGGAACTAGTATGAACCCTTCCATAAAAGCCAAGCTGCCGGAGCCATGGCCATGAATACACCATATATTTGCTCTTCGTCGTTGCGACAGGAACTGATAGCGGGCCTGTTTTCGCTTTCTTATTGCCACTGGAGGCTTGTTGAAGAGCTGTGGAATGGTATTTTAGAGCGAGGAGATTCGTTTTCCTGCAAATCGTTCCCAGCGTTAGCGGCATAAACACTTTCCACTGTTGATACTTTGACTCTCACATTGTCAAAAGTTGCATGACCATATGTAAAATCTGGTCAGAATCATACAAGTCTTGCAAGAGTTTGTTCAGAGCAGGTTCATCCCTTATGACCCAGGCCACTCTTTTCAGTTTTCTCTTGATGTTGCCACTTGCAACCACTTCGCATTTCAGCTTCGCCTTGTCGAGGGAAGCTTGCACCCGTTTTACGATTTGTAACAGTAGTTCTTTGGTTTCAAGAGGGAGAAGATCTCCATCGTTACACTCGGTCGTGTAAGACTGTAATTGCCCACTAATTTGTGTCAAGATGTGAAGTTTCTCTTGGATTTGTCCCAGAACTCTTGGAGCCTCAGTAAAGCTACTGTAGAAGCGGACGGCATGCGTCGTTACCTGTGCCAAGTAGAGAAGAACTTGACTGACTGAAGCAATTCCGCCAACGACTGCAATTACTTCGGCCATGTTGAAAACTTGATATAACGACTGTAATCTACGGCCGATCCAGAATAGAAACCTGGACAGCAATGAGTGTCAACTAATCTAGAAAAATACTCATAGAGCGAAACGGAAGTTTAGGTTTGGCATTGCCTAGGTGCGCATTGTTTTTTCGAGGTACTTCTTAATTATGCCTCGCGGTCACCTGCAGGGATACATGTTGAGCCTCCAGGATTTGATTCGCCTTCCGGGTGACACGTCAATTCATTGAGGTCGAGGGTATTTCCCGGCCGAACAAGGCTACGAAAGAAGTATTAAACCCAGGCAAATATTAGGAGATGTTTTTGAATCGCGCTTACCGCAGTCGCCAACATAAATGAGTTACTTGAAATACAATGAAGCTACGCTTGTGGAAACGCCGCAGATCAAACCAGCCAAGGTCTTTGTCAGGCCAAGCAAGGTATTGGTTTTGGTATTGTGTAAGTCAATACTATATCGTATTTCCATGATGATAAATATATGGCTTTGCTGAATAGAATTTAACATCACTAAGTGCCAGTGTGGTGAGGGACCGATGAATGCCGCGATAAATGTAACCTGCCATGCCTGCGAGCACGTTCGATGTTCATTGTGTCTTTATGACCGTAAGACCTGAATTCATGCAATTAAAAGCAATACTCTAAATATCCTTGCCTAGGTGCTCGGGCCTCCAGACTCTTTGGATCTGTTATTCGGAAGCTATCAATACCCAAGATCTATGTTTGATACCACTCGTTGAAGACTACTTCTATTCTAGTCTCTTATTTGTGATTTGAACCCGACAAACTGATCAGCCTTCCATTATGTACTCACAAATACCATTCAAGACACTCATAGAACTATCAAATTTATCTGCTAATATATCTACATACTTCGGTAGTTTCCACTTATGTAGTCCCAGGAAGACATAAAGTGCCATCTCTCAGGAGAAGATAGTACGACCCAGGACGTATAATGATGGAAAAAAATTTTTCCTGTTCAGCCAAAGAGCATACATCCTCGAGGCTGCTTTATCAATGTATTGTATCCCGCGACCAGGATGTTGGGATTGATTCGCCTGTTGGCCGACACGCCAGTATCAGGGTTAGGCGTATTTAGAGAATTCCCCTCGTGGGCAGTGAAAAGGTATATATATAGCTGGACAGATCCCCCATTTGGCTCTGTATTTCGTGTTCCCACCAAAAATTGAAATGATATTCTGAAGGAGGAAAAAAAGAAAGAAAAACTCCCATCATGATCCTCTTCGTGTGGAAATTCAGTCCATCAAGTGTCGATGTAATGATGGGCCCAAGGCGACTACAACTATGCAATGCGTAGTTTGCACTCATCTTCGATGCTACCAATGTCCTGCATGATGGCGGTAAGATGAAAGCCCAATCTGATTGGAAGTTTTTCTTTTATAAAAAAAACGTCACCATGTAACGGTGTTAGTGATTGCGACTTGCGCAGGATCATCACGGGTTCAACTTTAAGTTTGGGAGTAGTCCTGGTCTCTATACCAACAAACCATTGAAAGTGCTGTTTCTGTTCTGTTTTCTTAATAGTGACTCGAAGTTCCAGAAAGAATTGGGTTCATAATGTGACTCGGAATTGTCCCACCCCGAAACACTATGATCTCTGCTCCAGTAATGCCCAGATACCGTAGCCTATATCGACCTTAACGACAAAATTCGTATGTCGCTAGAAATACATTTTCTACATACTGTTGGAAATCGCCACGGTACATACAATAGAACCCGATATAAGGCTACGGGAACGAAGTCCTCTCACCAGACCACCAAAGTCCGCGACGAAAATGTCATATGGGCAGGCGACCAAGACAAAGGAGAGCACAGTTTGCTTAATGAGATGAGAATGTCTCATATAATATGGAAGACTGCACCAATTGGTGGTATCATTGGAAAACATATGCGATTTCTCTCGTAAAACAACGCACACAAAATACACCTAGATATATAGAAAAAAAAAACCTTAAAGAATAATGACAATCAACTTCCCAATACAGTATTAAGAGCCTCCCACACCCCCATGCCACACGTGCAGGACGGTACGTCTGAGCACCTGGCAACGGTTATTAAAAATCTCCTATCTATGCTATCACCGGTAAGCGTTGCCGAAAGTTTCGCATAAGATGTCACGTACGTAAATAAAAACGAAGGTTTGCGTGGAGCAAGGTTTGAACGGGTTTTCCGATTATGCTCCGACCAAAATGACAGGGTCTGAGTGTTTGAGCCCCTGAACGGGATATGGATATGGTGGAGTAATCCATAGATGAGAGGAGGTCTGAGAGTGAAATTACTAGTTGACGCCTGCTTATTCGCTTAGGAACCAGGAACAACACACATTGAATTGAGTAGAAAATATCAAGGATTGAACCGGGGCGAATAAGAGACTCGACATCTGAAGCAACTTCGGAGAGTAGTGCACGTGTATACTTACACCAGGCTGCTAATTTTGGGAATCATACTCATGTTTCATTATATATTTATACATAGGCATCTCTAGATAGTCTCTAATAAGAAAATGGACAAATCATTAGATCGGAAAATAAAAAAGTAGTAAAAAATAAATGAAAGAGTGAGATCATGGGTTTCGTCGATCAAACTGATCACCTGAAATGACCGAAATCTCAACAAACTTCGTGATCCCCTGCTCCTCATGAGTCGGTGAATCCCGTCGTCCGCTGACAGTGGTATTGACGTGGCCGTTACCAGGGCTCAAGATACGCTCAACACTACCTGTGTCGTCGATTGTGTCATTCTTATTTGTGAAACGACTACGATTGCGACGGGTTTGTAGGGTCTCTTCGTGTCCCGTGCGACGCTGGCCGGTTTGGGGTCCCGTGAGCTCGTAGGAGCGCGAGTAGCCGCGGCTAGAGAATTTGCGAACTGAGGACATGATCAAGGGGCGAATGCAGGGTACGGAGGAGGTGATGATGATGATTGAGTTCTCGACGTAGCCCCAGCGGAAGAGTTCGAGACCACCGGTGGCGCCGAGGTTGGTGACGCCGGGGACGGAGGTGAGTTTGGTAGTTTTGATGATGGAGGCGACCATGGCACTAAGTTGATGAGTATGCTTGATATAGCAGAAGAGGATATAGAAACGTACATTATACCCAAACTGAGGAGGACGATCAAACCAATCTTGACACGCATTTTCAAGTTGAGGTTCCAGAAAATGAGTGTGGGAAAGACAGCCAAAAACAAATCACAAGCCGAGTTTGCGCCTGATATAAAGTTAGGATGTACGTATCTATACAAAGGTGGAAAGAGACTGACTGTTGGAGTAATAGGCAAACTGGATGACGGCGATGGTATTGCCGCAGTTGGGGTTTTGGACAGTCCAGTCCCACAGGATGTTGACATTGCGACAGATACTCAGAGGCAAAACGGCAGAGACAATGTTGCCAGCGAGCTGCCAGATCATCACCGTCCACAACGCATATCGGTAGGTTTTGTTGTTTCCGAGAATGGCCAGAAGATATAGAATGAAGGCGCAACGAGCGATGGTGGTGCTGATAGTGACGATAGGAACTTGGATGGCAATGTACTTTAGCACGGCATGAACATCGGAACTGTATCCCTCCTCTATCATGACTTCGAGATTTCGACCAAATCCATGATGTACGGAAAGATTCAGGAAGACGGTCGCGATGACGGCTAGAATCTATACCGTGTAGTTAGCATGGAATGATTCTAAGTGTTAGGTTGAAGGCAAAACGTACCATAGAAATAATCATCAAGACATCATCGGCGCGGAATTGGTGAATCTTGATCTTCGCATATACTCGCAGGGCGACGATAATCACGGCAATGGCCATTGCGGCCCAGACACCCCTGACGAGGGATGTACCAACAGAAGAATCCATGATGACTATTGAAGATGTTGGTGGCTGCCGATCGATCTTAGTGTACTCAGTGGGGGATCCCCAGGGCTGGTCTCTCAGATGAAGAGACTGGACTTTTGACAGAGGAAAGATGAACAGACGATTGATGCCCTCTATATCTGCATCATTCTGATAAGTAAAGTGTTGACAAGCGCAACAACTAGGGGGGAGGAGATTTTCTTCATGGCTTGATGGCAGAGACAAAAATGCTTGATTATATTAATAATGGCAAAGCCAATAACTACAGCAGCTCGGCCTTGAACACCCAAAGCTGGATGGATTAGACTTTGGCACAGACTACCCAAAATTCAATAGAAGAGGGGGAGCGTACAATGGTTTCCAAGGTTCTGGGCGCTGGCTCAATGCATTGTGAGATCGAGAGCCCATCGGTGTATGTATCAGTCACGTATCCGTATCCCGATTCATACTACGCATTACAGAATATTTCCGTGTTGAGCTTAGTGCAGTCTCACATAGTGGGGTGAGCTAGCTGCTAGCGAATTTCAAAACCATGGAACGTTTTTATGCATATCCACTAGGCCGCATTTGGGCGTTACCGTTACGCTGATATTGCACGGTGCATACAGTATCATACATTGATACAGAGCATAGGTTACAAAAGCATGAAGCCACCGTATTGCCATTCGCAACTGCGAGCGAAAATGGGGCAAGCTACCAAACTTTTGACAAAACCCTGGGAGAGAAAACAACAACCCGGTATACCCGGCCTATGCAGGCACACACTCCGTGAGAATTGACTTTCCGTCTCCGTGCATATGGCAACAATGCTGTTTGAGAATGGTACAGGCATTGATTGCAGTTGTCATTATGCGGAGGCGTAAAACTATCGTTACATTCATTCCAAATTGGCTCCAGTGCTTATTCTTAATATTCCTTCGCGTTTCGCTCGCAGCTTATCGAGTCTGGGATTGAGTCCGATTGACTGAGTTGTCTATCTGCAGCAGCGGGGCGTGCACTATGTTATTATCTGCAGAAAACGAGTCAGGGTTTACAGCCTCGCCACGTACTTTACACTAGCTCAGCGAGGCCACGTGCTGGATCACGTTTATGGCAAATAGATAATTATCAACATCATGCAGGTGCATGGAGACCGATAGAGTCCGTCCCGTCTAGATTCAGAAAAGTACGATGTAAGGCGAAGGACTAGGAGAGATTTTGTCTTTATATTTATGCTGTGGAAGATTGTAGAAGACGAATGCCGCCCACAATTTAGAGCTTTTCTCAAGCCTTCGACCCATTGCGCCATATTATACGAGGAACTATTCCCTCGAGCGACATGCAATTGGTCTTGCCTTCCGAATTATGGAGTTGTGGCTCAGTTTGTTCAACTTTGTTGTCGAGGTCTCAGGCGCGGATTGAAAAATTTTCGGTAGTTCAAATGCCGACGCAACCCGGCATCCCCTTGGCGTCTCCTTGGCACGACGGACGGCAAAGTTCGTCTGTCACCGCCTGCGGTTGATGGCTTAGCGCTTCCGCAAAAACAAGCTTGGCGGTCCTAGAGCTTATCTTGGTTAATCTTCCGTTGCCCGGCACGCTCTTTGCTTTTCTTAGTTCTTAGTACTATGCAGTGCTTCTTAGCTGAATCTGTTGTTTCGCTGCAACCATACGAGAAGAGAGTATTTCTATCGCGCATACGTACTAGTCTCTTTAGCGCCAGGCACCTGCATGATGCATTAATATCTTTGATTAAAATTTTTGATTAACCGTTGAGATTTGATTCAAATTGATTGCCATCCGATGCAAAGAGGCGGATCAGAACATACATGCCACCATCACTTCCTGCTGTACGCCCTCACGTCAGGAAATAGAATTATTCATGGCTGTATATCGGCGTCATATCTAAAAGATCTGAAAGTGTATCTCTGTTTGCCCTCGGCACCTCGATCTTCACTCCACCGCGACCCGCGTTCGACTCGGTAGTATTGCCCAAAGGAGCAATCGAACGAAATCGACGATAATCGGGAAACATCTCCGCATCCACTACCACGTGTCCATGATATGAGCTCTCCACCACCTTCTTTCTCTCCTTCTATTTAAACATTCGATCCTCCAACAACTTCATCGTTCATCAGTCACCTCTCTCCTTCATCTCTCACCCTCCCTCTCCTCTCAGTCTCTCGCAACACCATGAAGTACTCGTGGGTGTTGGCCTCTTTGGCCGTCCTCGCCGCTGCGAGCGATGATGAATCTTGCCCCACGGGCGAGTGCCGCTGCATGCCTTCTGACAGCTGCTGGCCCTCGGCTTCTTCCTGGGCTGCTCTCAACTCGACTGTTGGTGGTCGGTTGATTGCCACCGTGCCTATTGGATCACCTTGCCATGATCCTACTTATGATGCCACCGCTTGTGCTGCTTTGCAAGATGTTTGGAACCTGCCCCAGACTCAGTAAGCTGATCCCTCTGAAAGAAACAATGAGAACAGGTTGCTGACGATAATAGCATCTCATCCTCTTCTTCCATCATGCAGACCTACTTTGCCAATGACAGCTGTGACCCCTTCTCTCTCGAGGCCAAGCCTTGTCTCATGGGCAACTATGTTGACTACTCGGTCAATGTCTCTTCTGCCAACGATGTGATTGCCGCCATCAACTTTGCCAAGAAGAATAACATTCGCTTCGTTATTCGCAACACCGGCCATGAGTAAGTGTCACATCCTTTTCAACAAGAAATAAAACTAACGAGATAGTTACTTTGCTCGTTCCACTGGTGCTGGTTCTCTTTCTGTCTGGATGCACAACTTCAATGACATCCAGTACAAGGACTGGTCTGACTCTCACTACACTGGTCCTGCTTTCAAGGTTGGCGCCGGTATTGTGGGCTACCAGATCATGGAGGCTGCTCATGAAAAGGGACTTGTTGTCGTCGGCGGCGAATGCCCCACCGTTGGTCTCGCTGGAGGTTATATCCAGGGTGGTGGTCACTCTGCTCTCAGTACTGCCTTTGGTCTCGGAGCCGACAATGCTTTGGAATTCCAGGTTGTGACCGCCGGTGGAAAGCTCCTCACCGCGAACCGCTTCACCAACTCTGACCTCTTCTGGGCTATCAGCGGTGGTGGTGCCGGTAACTACGGTGTAGTCATCTATGCCACTATTAAGGCTCACCCTGACGCTACCATCGGTGGTGCTGGTCTCCAATTCTTGTCCAGCGGTACCACTGCAGATAACTTCTACGAGGCTGTTTCCCAGTTCCATACTCTGTTGCCTGCTATGATTGACACTGGCGCCACTGTCATCTATGAGATTGCCTCTTCTTTCTTCGCCCTCAACCCCGTCACCGCATACAACAAGACCAGCGCTGACGTCGAGGCTCTCCTGACTCCTTTCCTCAATGCCCTTGATGATCTCAACATTACCTACGCTGTCGCCTACACCCAGTATGACTCCTACTATGACCACTACAACAAGTACATGGGTCCCTTGCCCTACGGCAACCTTGGTGTCGGCGAGTACCAGTACGGCGGTCGTCTCATCCCCCGTACCGCCCTCAACTCCAACCCAACCGGCATCGCCGCTGCGATCCGCAACATCACCGAAAGCGGTGTCATTGCCGTCGGTGTCGGTTTGGACGTCTCCAACCCCGGTGATGTCTACAACGCCATCTTCCCTGCGTTCCGTAACGCCGCCGTCACCATGCAAATCGGCACCGCCTGGAACGAGACTGCTCCCTGGGCCGATATGGTTGCCGATCAGTACCGCATTACCAACGAGTTTGTACCTCAGCTTGAGGCCGTTACTCCCGGTAGTGGATGCTACCAGAACGAGGCCAACTTCCGTCAGCCAGACTGGCAGGAAACCTTCTTCGGTAGCAACTACGACGCCTTGTTGAAGGTTAAGCAGAAGTATGATCCTGACTACTTCTTCTATGCTCTCAAGGCTGTCGGTAGTGACTATTGGGATGTTGACGAGACGGGACGCATGTGCCCTGCTTAGATACATACTAATATATAGACTTTTTGCATGCGATGCCACAGTGTCTTTGTCATGATGATCATCATCGTTTACCTTCTACTGTGCGCTACATATATAGACCTTCTAATTAGACAAATTCCGAAGCACTGAACATCGCGAATTGTATATAGACAAGCAAAAATGCAAATACTATTACTATTTTGGACTTGTCCCTTTCCTTCTGCGGGAACTGTCTCGAGTATCGTTTTGACTCTTTGAGTTCAGTTCTCTAGATATCAGATTCAGAGGGCTGCTCGTTATAGCCGGGTTCTATTGTATTCCTAACTTTCGTTGCTGTTGCTCTTACCCCAGCTGAAGATATCGGTCAATTTCGTCTATGATTTTTCTTCTCCTTCTACCTGAACAGACTTCGAACCCGATGAAGATCTTACATTGCTTCCGACTTCGAGTGCGACAGGGTTATGTTGAAGATCTGTAGTTTGTTAGGAGTTGGACAGATTGTATGGGATGTGATTTTTCGGAACGGACTATGTAGCGCATTGAGACCAGTATTATTTCACTTGCTGGGTATTCGATAATAGCTCTTTTTTTATATTAGAAGCAATCCATCGTGAAGTTGTTGAGTAAAGAATCAAAGACATATTATGCCTCAGTGGCCTGATTCTCAGGCATCCAGGCATCCAGCATCAACCCCACATCGGACTTGTCAAGTAAAGCCGATCTTCTCTCCGCTAATCATCTCTTGTTTCTATCTAATTAACCATTGAACACTTACTAAGTATATTGATATATCTGTGCACTAGCACTCATCCAACTGACTCTGTACCTAGCTGGCAAAACCTTTGCGTCTGGTCTGTGTATTGTATCCACTTTCTTGGTATCTTCTCGATGTCCGACGTTATGGCCGACAACAACGACATGGATGTCGGCGGTGATGCTGGTCCCTCCAACGATGGCCAGACAAAGGCGAAGCGCAGCAGAGTGCAATTCTCTTGTACTGCCTGCCGATATCGCAAGTAAGCTAATTCATGCACATACACTATCCTTGCAGTAGTCTCAAAATGGCATTTCAAGAGTGCGGTCAGTGCTAATCAGATATAGACTAAAATGTGATCGCACCCATCCCTGCGACCGTTGTACGCGGCGTGGCGATGCAGCTTCCTGCACATATGTAGGCCACGGCCCCCGTGGGCGCGTGAACCACGCCACGGGCACAAACCCATCGCATATCCAGAACCGGATCCAGCATCTGGAGAATCTAATCCTGTCATTTGCGCAGCAAAAGAAGCAGGATAATGAAAGTGGTAGTGGCAGTGGCGGCAGTGGTGATAGTAGTCACAGTGGTGCTGCTGCGAGAGGCAGTTCTGCTTCAACTTCTCCAGGCAATAATGCAAATAATTCTGCGGAGCCGTCGCCGGAAACGAGTAGTTCGGTGGAGCAAAATACTTCGGTGGAGGTTGACCCGGGGAAGTTGTTGAATAATGGCACTACATATGTGGATGCGTCGAATTGGCAGGCTATTCTTGATGATGTATGTCTATCTTTCCAAGTTCTCGAGACGAAACTAATCATACACGCCAACAGCTCAAAGAAGTCAAGAAATACGTGCAAGATGATGAACAGGATTTTGACGATGATGGATTCCTTGAAGATGACTCTGAGGATGAAATTGTGGAAGTTGAACAGGATGCGAATCGTCCGACGCTACTCTTCTACGGAGGCAGAGTACCGTCAAAGCAGGAGCTTCTTGCGGATTTGCCCCAAAGGGAAGTGGTGGATAGACTCGTTGCTAAGTTTCTGAATTCGGATGATCCCTCGCTTGGTAAATTGTTTTGCCTGAATGGGCTGAAAGATAATGCTGACTTGCCATAGCTATCATTCACTTCCCGGCCTTCCATAGAGAGGTTTGTATACTCCAAGCTTTGAAAGCATCGGACTGACAGCCGATAGTATAATCAATTCTGGAATGATCCTTCGCAAGTAACGCTCCCCTGGCTCGCTTTCCTGTACGGCTGCATGACCATGGCTGTGGGCATGTTCCGGCGGAGTATGGAAACGCTGCCTTCTCCATTAGGCGATACAACAAGTGAAACCAACCGGTTTCAAAGAAACTGCTGCTACTGCTTAATCAATTCAAACTACACCACAGTTGGAAAGTACAAGGTTGAAGCCTTACTACTGTACGCCACCGTCGAATATACTAAAAGAGGCAACTCGGCCATGAGTGTTTCTATTATCCTTGGTATTGCCATCAAACTCGCCATGCGCATGGGCTACCACCGAGACGCCAAACACTACGATACTCTATCTGCCCTAGAAGGAGAAATGCGTCGACGTACTTGGGCCATCTTATCACAACTCGATACTCTGACATCTTTCCAAGTGGGTATCCCAAAACAAGCGCAAAGCTGGCAAAGCGATACCGAAATTCCGCGAAACATCCGCGACGAAGACATCGATGAAAATTCTATCGAATTACCACCTGCACTGCCCGACACTGTTCTAACGCCCGTTGCTTATCTGAGATCCAAGAATCGTGTCATGAACATGTTTGGCCGCATCTGCGATTTGGCGTATAACCGCCTACCGTCAACGTACGAAAAGGTACTCGAATTAGACCGCGGACTCGAGGAAGCGCATGAATTGATAGCGCCGGCGCTTCGCATGCGGCCCATCAATCAATCCTTTGTCGATAATGCAGCGCTGATCATGAAACGCTATACCCTTGATATCCTGTATCAAAAGGCCCGCATTGTGTTGCACAGAAAGTTCCTTGTCGAGGCTCGATACAATCCGCGATTGAACTACTCGCGTTCTGTCTGTGTAAGTGCCGCAAAAGAGATTCTCCGTCATCAGTACGATTTGTACAAGGAGTCGGAAGTGGGCGGTCGACTCGAAAAGAATAATTGGTTTTTCAGATCTTTACAGAATAATGATTTTGTCCTGGCTGCGATGGTGATTTGTCTTGAGTTGTTCAAGAATAATGACCTCGTCCCTACAGCTGAGCAGCTGCAACAAGACACCGTCTCTCCTGTTGAGCGTATCGATCAGAGGAATACATTGATTGATACATTGCAAAAGTCTCGCGAAGTGTGGAAGGAGAATTTGAAACATTCAATCGAAGCGCGAAAAGCGTTTGCTGCGGTGACGGTGATGTTGAAGAAGGCGGAGCTTGATGACGAGGCGAGAAAGAGGAGCAGTCAGAGTCCGGCTCATGCTTCACATGCGAATACCTCGATGAATATGGCAAGAGGCGCAGAAAGGTCACCGGATGATATTCTGACGGGAGAAAGTGCGTCAAACCGTGGGTTCAGAGGTATTAATCAAGGTATGCCCATCTCTAAATAAAAACAACACCCGCCTAACTCTAAGGATCAGATGTATACATGACAAACTACCTCTCCTCCATCAATACATCAACCACAATTCCCACGCCCCCTATATCCAATAGCTCCGGCCTAACTACTACCTCAACAATCATACAACCACCCATCTCAGCAGCAACAGCAGCAAACATCGATATATTCCCCCCATCATACTCCAACCTGCAATTACAATCCTCCTTACCAGGTCTAGATGTCATAGAGACCATGCTCGATACCCCGCAGAATTTGGACTGGGTACGTATCCTCACCTACCCCAAATCCAAATAGTATACAAATACTGATAATAGACGTGCTGGGCAGCATGCATGGGACGGCCAAATGGAAGACAACAACCCCACTATTTGGGAAGAGGCGTATTGGAATACAGCTGATGCTGATGCTCTGAACATTCCCGTAAATACGAATGTGAATGGGGTCTCGGGAACGGGGGACGTGATGCAGGCGGACACCACTCCTTCGACTGTCGCTGGCAGCAGCAATCGCAGTAACGGCAGCATCGACGGTGGAAGTGATACGACCAACGAAATGTATCTATTGTACACCGCACCCGGGTATCGTGGTTAGAAGACCAATTATTTTTTTTTGCGAGTTGTCTATCGCATCGCCTATGTTCAGACATTTCAACTCCCCCGTCAAGTAGTACATGGCTACTCTACTAGATTCAATTACGCAAAGTAATCACATTTCGCACTGCGTTATTTTCATTGTTTTCACTCATATGTATGTACGTCTATAACTCTCCAATTAATTACCCATAGTGTATGCAGAGAATCAACCACCTCAACCCCGAGATCACTTTTTTTTGATCTGCAGGCTGCAACTTGATGAAAGAAAAAAAAATAAAAAAACAAATGAATCATATGTATATACGTATATGCACGCCAGAACCCCTAAAATCAAAAATCAGAAGTCTATAGTTATGCTTAAAGAGGGCGAGCCTAAGCATTCAAGTTAGGACACTCCCCCTGCGCTCTCACAAATGCACCGGCAAACAATTCCTGCATTGCGAAATAGTGGAACAGGATTCCGCCCAGCACGGCAATGTGCCAGATATTATGGCTTKCGCCACAGTAGTCAAACAGGCCGGGAAACCAGCGTTCGGGGATCTGAGAGGCGTAAATGCAGGCTCCCAGACCGTAGACGAGAATACTTTTCACGACAGGGGCGTAGAAATAAAGACACCATTCAAAGCTGCGCGAGTAGCTGAGTTGGATTAATGGTGCAAAACCGGTGAGGGCCATGATGCTATAGAATGCGACGCGGGCCCAGGACATGTCGGGGCGGTTGAAGGTTGGGTGCCATGGCAGGATGACGCCGCCGACGCCGAGGGAGAAAGTGAGTAAAATATAAATCCAGCGAGAGGTTGGTTCGCAGTAAAATGCGGTGTATTCGGTTGTCATGATTGATGCTGCAACTAGGAATGAAATGCCGGTGTAGTCGACGCAGGCGAAGCGTTCCATTACTTTTTGGTTGGCGATGCCGTTCATGGTGTGCCATATTGTGCTGCAGACGAGGCACTTGCAGGCCGCGAAGAAGAAGACGGCGGCAATCATGATATCCGCCTTTGTGCTCAGGGGAAAGTTGGGGTTGAGTGGGTAGAAATAAAAAGCAATCGATAAAACGATAAAAAGGCCGATTAAATGAGACCAGATGTTGACTAATTCGTTCGAAAAGGAAAACACTGACGTTATGCACTCCTTGGTGGATGCCGTGAACCGGTAGCCCTGCAGAATATGTGGGTTGACTCTCCACGGATGCGGCAAGTCGTGATAATGGATTGTGCGGCGCTCCTGTGCCAGCAGGATAGCACGATCTATACTCTCGCGCAATGCTTCCTTGGCTCGTCGGACGCTTTCCATACCCTCATCCACAACCTCGGTCACAGCTTCCCGAGCATGATTCAATCCCGACTCCACGCCTCTCCAACCTTCATCAAAGGCACTCGTTAATCCGGCCTCGCGGACTAATTGAGACCTGGCCTCGATATCATTCAAAAAAGACTCCATCAGTCGCATGCCAGCATACGCTTTTTCGCTTAGAGTCTCTTTTGTCGCAAGAGCTTCGTTGTATCGTTCTTCGAGTGTTTCGACCAAGATTTTGGCTCGTTTCTTGCCGCCTCCCATCAATTCACCGGATGCCGCACAGCAGGAGTCTCGGACGGCTTCTAGAGCTGCATATCCTCTTCGCATGCTAGCGTCGATCGATTCCATATGAGATTTGCGGTATTCTTCGAGCCATTGTAGACGTCGTTCTAGTTCCACGAGAAAGACCTCCACCTACACAATTAGTCACAAAGACTTAGTAAGAAGGAACAATGAACTCCGTGACTCACTCTTAGAAAAACAGCTTCTGCGTCGTAGTCGCACGACGAGCGTCTCGCATGCTGAAAGGAATGTCGCCTCCTCGAGCGGATCAGGGGTGTCTCTTCGTTCGGAGTATTGCAGGTAGATGTGGAGATGGCACCTTCAAAGGCTCCAATTGTTACGGCGGGAGCCTTGCACGCCATTGTCTGTCTTATGTTTTGACTGTGTTCAGTCCTGACAGAGGGTGTGTAATTCGAGAGAAAGGCGAGAGTTCTTATTTCATAGTTGGCCGTCGGAGGGGAATTGTTGAGCGACTAAACACTTCAGGTGGAGAAGCAGTCGTAGTCGGAGTGACAGGGATCAATAATCGACGGCTAAACTAACTTAATAAGAAATCCGTCCGTGGGTCCGAAGCCAATGATGGAGGAGATTTTATGCGACGTCGCCAGAGTGTTGCATTTGTAGCGTTTGACTCGTCAGTGAGAATATATATGTGTATGCAAAATAAAAAAGAATAAGAAGTAGTCAAAGAATAAGTAAGGAACTGGAGATTGGATCAGATGAGGTTGACGATCCAAGAGAAAGAGAAGAAAGACCGGGGTCTTGGCGGACGATAACCGATAGGCAAATCACATGAGAGCCAACCACCGCTTCACACTCTCGCCATCATCTGCCATTTGGCCCTGTCAGTGGCACTTTCAGTTCATGCTAAGCTGTTGGGCAATCAGACTGTCATAGCACATACATACAAGACCTCAACTAGTCAGCTGAATTCAGCCTATGAGAGCACATCCCAACTCCACGAGTCCGGTTTCTCAGCCTATGTGCCTTCAAGATTCTATCTTCGTTTTGCCACATTCAAGTGCGATTGACATTGGCCACCATACCTCGGCGTTTTTCCGCGCAGATCATTGAATACCTGTTTCGGTAATTTTGATAAGCTGCTTCAATCAGATAGTCATCCGTTGCATTGCACGTCAGTACATTCATACCTCATCGCAAAGTTCTTGGCAGGAAAATGGCGGAAACAGCAACCATGACAGTCCGCGACATCGTCACCGATCCTTCCTTGCTACCAGTCCTCCAAATCAGCGCAAACGCACACAACGAATGCCAAAAACTCCTGCAACTAATCGATCCCACCAATCCCGCTACAGCATCAAGCAGCAACCCCCCGTCCCAAGAATTGATCCTCGCAATCTCCAAACAACAAAAGGTTTTATATTCGCTTCTCGCACAACTGCGCGGCCTCAACCGCGATGCCGTTTTGCGCGTCCGCGAGACGAAGCAAATTACCGCCGAAGCACGACAAGAAATCGACCGGCTTCATCTACAGCTACAAAACCTGTACTATGAGCAGAAGCATCTGATGGGTGAAATTGCTGCTTGTGAATCCTACGAGTTCGTCTCTCCCTCTCACTCTCCCTTTAATCGATCTTTACGCTAACTACTGATTGGCAGTCATAAATATCTCTCCCTCCCGCTCATCCCCGAAGAAGAATTCCTCGCCCTATTCCCCGAACACGCCTCGTCCGATGCACACGAACTAATGATCGCGCGCATCAAACACGAACATGACGAGCGCGAAAAGCTAGAGCAAGCCAGACAGGAACTCTTAAAACGAAAACAGGCTCTGATCGCAGAGAACAAGAAACGAAAGGACGATTTAGCGAATTTGGATGCTGATTTGGAGCGGTTTATTGATGTGAGTTACCTCTCTTGTCTATCTTTGTGTTAGAAAGTGTCGGTATTGATGATGTGACAGGCGGCAAAACCGATTCAGAAGATTTTCGAAAAGGAGTATTAGTTTCACCTAATTGCTGGGTGATGTGTATAAGTTGCATGGCGTTGTTTGTAGATACCCTAACCATTACATCTAGCATCTAGCGGAGTTTTCTATTTTGCAAAAAAAATGTAATACATACATCTACACACGATGGTATCATTTGACTAGGTTTTAGATGCTCTCCTTCTCTTAAACTCCACCACCAGATTTTTCACCTCCCTCAACAACCCCATCAGCAGGGGCACCCCAATAGGCCCTAACAGTGGTAAATAAACCGCAATCTTGTGCTCATCGGGGAAATACATTTGTCCCACCATACTCTTCTCGAAGAAGCTCTTTTCAGCTTCCTTTTCCGCTATTCGTGCGCTTGCCAATGCTGCTGCGAATTTGCCCTCGCGCAGGAGTTGGCATGTTGATGAGAGGTGGGTTAGAGTTGTGAGGACGGAGGAGGCGACGTTCAAGGGAATGGGGATTGATGAGAGGGATTGGGTGAGGCGGGCTAAAGAGCCCATTGTTGATGATGCAGACAATAACAAAGTGGCTGCTCGAGTGCGGATTGAGGTCTGAAGGCGGAGCGGGAGAGAGGATGGTGTTGCTGGTGTGCCGAGGAGGGTGAGCAGTTGGTGCGAGAAAGTCAAGAGAGCGGGTTTGAGGGACTCTTTGGCTAGGTGTGGAGGATTGATTACGTCGACGGCCGTGACGGAAGGGTTGACAATAGCAACGCCACCCCATTGCGGCACAATCCAGCTAGTTGCAAGACTCTCCTTGACGACTAGTGGGGACTGCGTTGCGGCAGGGACATATAAAACAAAGTTGATGGTTGGTCCGCTACCTATGCTCGGACTCAATGGCCATTCTGCGGCGTTGATAAAAGAGCTGAGATCTTCTTCCTTGAGCGTCCATTGTTGCGAGGCTTCATCATACTCTGGGTGTGGAGATGTTGGGGAGAAAGAAGCATATAGCTGGACCTGGGTGTCAATCGAGAAATTGCTGATTGACGAGAATGCGTCTAGCAATGGAACCATGTATTCCTGAATCGCATCCTCAATCTCCCATGACGACGGTTGCGAACCTGGCGTAAAGAGAGAAAAGGATAGATGATATGTCTCGGCATATTTGAGTGATCCGCCCACTCGTTTGCTGACAAGTTCTGCCAATTGACCTGCCCCAGGGAACGAGGACGCCAGCGCAGAATTGCTCTGGCCTAATATATATGCTATAGTCGCTTTTTCCTCATTGAATATTTTTTGAATTTCGCCCGCAATGAATGTAATAAGAGGGGAGGTCGTAGATGTAACAGACGAAAGCTGACTAGGAGGATACCATATATCCATCCGCGGTGAATACGAATGAAGTTGTGAAGTAGGGGTTGCGATTTCCGAGGGGATGAGGTTTACGACGAGTGCCGCATCTGATTTGTCCTCCAATTCGATATCAATATCTATTTTATTATTTTCTCTCGTCTCGGTATGATTCGCAAGCTTCAGTCGTAAATGGTGCACTGGAAACTCGTTCAAATCGTCCAGCGCATGTTGTGTTGTCCGCAACAGACTCTGGGCCTCTGCCATTGAAACTGATGGCGTACGCAGTACAATTTCTAACGGAAACTCTGGTTTGCATGCCTAGATTTAAATCCATATATTAGCTCTACTCTCCATCAATGACCTCGTTCTGTGGCAGTCTCACCTTTCCCTCCGCCCAACTCATCATCTCATCCAGGGGTAACGAAGCTCGATAGACTGAAGTCGTCTTCCACCACATCGGTAGCCCAAAGAATAATATCACGGCCCAAAAAGCAAGTATAACTTTTGTTCGTGTCCGTATCGCTTCCGGTTTCTCGGGTGGAAGCGCCTGGCTGACTACCGCGCTGTCCGGGGGGGTTGTGCCCATGATGGCTGATTCGGTTGCGATGGCGGCGGGGACGGCTTTGGCAGAGGCAACGAGGCCTCCAGCATTTGTGGCCATTATCGGGGCATTCTATCGTGTATTCAGTGGTGGTGTAAAATCATCTAGGCATTGGAGTTTCGTCTTAGCGATGGTGGCAGCTAGATCTTTGAATATTGAGAAGATGGAGGCTGATTGGCCAGATTTCGGAAAGCTACATGTTGTTTCACGTGATTGGGCCCACTTATACAACGTTGTTTACTCTCAGCCTCGTAGTCTCCCCCAACTTAAATGCACACCCTCTTGAAAATTGACAATGTTACATTATTAATCCTAAATGCTATGCAATAACATGCATGGTATTAGATGCGACAGAATGAAAAAGCAATGAATGGGCAGAAGATTTACTTCTTCCGCTGCGGGCTATCGCCCTGAACAGGTGTCTCATTCACCCTATACGACGGCTCACCCCTCGCATTCTGGAAGCCAGCCTTTTCCATCACCTCACTGAAAGTGGTGTTACGATCCTGATTCAAGCTGCTGATGCCCAACATGTTCGGCGGAGAATACACCTTGATACTCTCCGTGCTGGGTTGACGCGGACCCACAGCAAGTCTACCGGTTTGATTTGGCGGCGTAAATGGTCTGTCACTCACACCAGGCATAGCAGGCATAGCAGGCATGGGAGGCATAGGCGGAGTTGCAGTATTCCATTGCGGGCTTGCTGCGGCGCTACTGTTCCTCCCGATGAAGATGCTTTTCACTCGCGTACCGGTTCTGCGCATCATGGATTTAGAGCGTGCTACTGTGCCCGGCTGAGGGTATCGGCCACTCAGTTTTCGTTGTAGAAGGAAATCCGTACGGAAAGAACCGTTTTCGTCGTCTGGGATGGGATCTGAAATTCCTACTATTGTACCCCCGGACGAGCGATGGGTCTTTTGGAGTGTGCTTTCGCGAGACTGTTTGTCTCGTCGTCGTCTGCACATCATAATCATAGCGGCTGCAAGGGCACCGGCTACTGCGCCGGGAAAGAAGCCGGCAACAACGGCTGTGGCTGGGAATTGAGGGCATTTAGTAGACGTTTCGGTTTGTGTTGAGTTTGATGAGAATACAGAAGTGGATGTCGGGGTTCCTGTTGCTGATGAGGCTGTCGATGTTGTAGGGGCGGTATCGCTGATGGAGATCGTGGATGTCGCAGTAGCAGTCGGTTTCGTTGTCGCCGCGGATGTGGCCGCTGTCGACGCGGAACCGGTGGCAGTGGTAGTCGAGGTCGATGTGTCGAGGACGCATGTGGTGTTCTTTGCACAGGTATACCCGAACGGACAACATCCATCCGCACACGTCGGCAAGTCATCGCTCAACTTCGTCGACTGTATAGGAGCAGTCGGATTGGCAGTGGCGTTCATCGCTTGCACGTTGCAAGTAATTGGTTCGATGAACGTGCAGTCCTCGCCCGTGGGACAGCATAAGACGCTGCTTCCACTATCCAAACGAAGACAAGTCGTATCTGTCGAGCAGCAAAAGTTTCCAGAGTACGAGCTGCCGCACGAGGTAGAGTTCGTGGGACATGTTGCAGAGTTGTCCCTTAGGAAGAGGTCGTTGAGAGGTAAGTTGATGGATGCTGCAGCCGCCAACGAGGACCAGCCTAGCTGTAACAAGGCTGCAGCAGAGATAGTGTAGATGTACTTAACCATGACCACTGTATACACACGCAAAGACGTGTCTGTGTGTATGTCGAAAGGTCAGAGCAGTTGATGTGTAACAGATTGAAGAAAGGAATATTCAAAAAAGAGAGAATAAGATATATGATCTGCAAATTAGGACAATATCCGATGGTATTAAGCGTGCTCCTAAAACAATGCTATGCAAATATCACAAAGGAATGAAAGAGCTCTATAATGCAAAAGTGAAGGAAGGTTGAACAGTGGAAAGAGATTGTCAGAATCGAAGAAAAAGATTAAGATACATGAATTAGGCTCCTCAACCTATTTGTGCCAGCCAGAAGACGAGTCGTCGCCCAAGTCCATGGTGAAGAAATCATCATTTTTGGGTATACGCGCCCATGTTCCAGAAATGGCATGATCAAGGCGCCGAGTGGAGGAGCGTAGCGTTCACCAAAGAAACAAAGGTCTGAGAATAGTATGACTCCTCCGGTCCACAGGTTGTCGATGTTCTAAATATACCGTAGAAACAAGAGATTTGAAACAGTAGACTCCCACCTAAGTGTTGTCGCGTGCTTTGTATGGTGTCGAATGCTCGAGGTTAGCCGCCGCAATGTTTCCCCTGTGAACTGCGGGAGCGCGATCTGACGCTCCTATTGGCCACAGTATCTCCCGCCCATGCTAGTCTGGAATAGGTAACAATGGCAGAAATTCTGCGGATTCGCGACTTCCTCACTCACAGGCAGCTTCTACTTTGTACAGACAAGCAGCTTGTTGTAGGGCTTTGCGACTAGCTTTTCGAGTCTTGCCATTCGTCGGACATAATCATGTTGCAAAGATTAGTACGGCCGCAGAGCGGTCTGAGTGCTTCGTCGATTGTCAAGGTAAGGATGAATATCAACACAAGCATCTGATATTCGGAGGTGCAACCATTGGAAGATTTCCTTGAGGATATAAGACTAATTCTCCCAATTGTCATATAGGCCAGCCTTCCTCGATTTCAATACCGCAGTCTCCATAGAGTCCCCCAATTAGCGAATGAGCGATTGTTTAAAGAACATGGCATTTCCGAGTTCATGTCCCCCGAGGCCTTTGACTTTGCCTGGACACAATACCAATCGCTGTTGGTGGAGAAGCTGAATTTGATGACACAAGGTATGCCAATTGATTGATAAGAGATTCATCACTGGTTGCTCACGATATATAGACACGGTCGATGCGGATTTGGACACACTTGCTCTCGTCAAGAAATATGCCAAAAGGCGCGAAACAGCCCATTTATTCAACTATGCCTCTATGGCCCACAACAACCACTTTTTCTTCCACCGTCTTGTTAGCTTCTCCTTTCCTCTGTATAAGGATCAATCACTTACAGCTTTACTTAATAGTCCCCCGTCCAAGTCAAAATACCCGAGAAACTAAAATCCGACATGACCGAAAGCGCCTCATCTCCCGAGTCCCTCAAACAAGACTTCCTCGCCACCGCCAGCGCCCAATTCGGCCCAGGCTTCGTCTGGCTTGTTGCTCAAAAGCAAACCGGTCTTCTCAGAATCCTATCCACCTATAACGCCGGCACCCCTTACCCCGAGGCCTTTGCACGACAACAGGGCGTGGATATGAACAACGAACCCGCTCCGCCATCGGGCAAACGATCAAGCCAAGATCTCAGTTTCCTTGGTCTTCCCGCGTCCGGTGAAGGAACCCATGACCTCGCCCCCGGAGGATTGCCGCTTACTCCACTGCTCTGTGTGAATACGTGGGAGCACGTCTGGATGATGGACCACGGCATCGGTGGAAAGGACGAATATCTCGAGAGATGGTGGGATAGAGTTGACTGGAATGCGGTGGAGGATGCGCACAAGGCTACACAGGGATACGGCGCGGGCCCGAAGCTCAACAAACGAATCCTGTAGGTTTGTTCCCGTCGAACCTGTTGTTTTATTAGTGTTGTGTTTACCCTTTTTCAACTTCTACATGTATTATATAGCATTGGGGTACTGGGACAAAATGTAATTTCTGCTTGATATAGAATTGCAGTTCTTTTTTTACTATACATATAGTACATATAAGTACAAGAGATGTAATCCGGTGGACATATACATTTCCTCCGAATCATCGACCCAAAGTCATCTGCTCCTTAATCCTCCTCTCAAACGCTTCAATCATCACTCCAGCAACCTTATCCTCCACCGCAGACATCATAGCCGTATGCATGGCATTCTGAAACCTGAACCGAATCTCGAGCCTCACCTCCGTCTCTGCGCCAGCACTTCCTGCCGAAGCAGAGGGCCTTGGAACAAGCTCCCATTTCGTACTCAAATGACTAAACAACCCTTCATCCGCGCCCGGGATCGGTTTCCCGTCCTCACCTACACCACCACCGCTCTTAGCTTCAACAGTCCAATTGTCGCGATCGCATATTACGCGGGACGTAAACGTTTCTGTGAAGGGGCCGTAGCCTACTGTCAGGAATGCCTGCGAGGGATACCCCGTTTTCGGGTCGCGCGCTGTTACGGTTGAGGCGCCGAGAAAAGGCAGGAATTCAGCGTAGGATTCGACTGAAGCGATGATTTCGTAGAGCGGGGAGGGGGGGAAAGGTAATGTGCGGGAGGCGCGGAGGGTGCGGATTGCTTGTGGAGTATTGTTGTTGTTATTGTTGAAGATGTTGGGGATGTTGATAAATGATCGGTTGTGGCGGGTGGGATGTAGATATTGTGTTCGTAGCCGGGTTGATTGTCGTAGTGTCAATGGCGATTGCTGCGAACATGCTATCAAGGCGGATTTGGAGGTTGATGCATGGCGACATGCGACTGCTGATATTGAAGAATTATTTGTGGTCGATATGAGTCTATCTCCTTGGTGTTGTAATGTGCAATGCCTTAAGAATGGCTGAGGGCGCAAAATCGGTCTCATGGCTCGAAGTGAACTCAATTGAGGTTGGAGTATGTTATGTATGAATTCCAGATTATGTATGCATGGGCCTGTTTTGTGGTGATAATTAAAGCGAAATTTAAAACCGCAAACCTTGATTATAATTGTGTAGAGTGCAATGACTGGAGGTCAACTAAAAACCGTCGAAGCTATTGAAGCTAGATTTGATGTTGTCATAAAATCAGCCATCGTCAAAGTGGGTCCTCTTGCTGTCGCCTGAAATTCCAGGCCTGAACTAGGGCTGGCTCGTATAGATAACTTTTTATCCTGGTTCATACCAAGGCTTCACATTCATTCTTCAAAGTACGAGAATGAAACTCTACTGTATTTCTCCATGAAAGCTTGTGACAAAGAGAGAGATACAGAACAATATTCTTTTACATATAACCATCATTAATCACAATTCCGAACAACTTCAGCTTTGATAAGCTAAAAAAAAAAGATACAAGAAATATGCAAGACATTATCAAACAGAATTTTTGAAACAAATTGAGGGGCTAATTATCAATGCCTTCAATTCATAGAAGGCAATAAATCAATAAAGAACTCGCCAGGTTGGCTTCAAGATATCAATCCTAGGGAAACTTGAAATATATATATGTCAATAGTCCCCTCATGATCCTGGGAAGATCCTATATTTCTTCCTCAAAGAGATTCAAGAGCCCTTTAAAACCCCCCATAAACAGGCAACTACCTATTCAGAAGTATACTTCGTACAAAACCAACGAAATGAATTCCGGCTGGCGCGAAACCCTTTGGAAAATCGTCCAGAATGAGATGGACCACTTTGTCGAAAACATCGCCGACAAGCCATTCGAAATCGAGGACGAATACCAGGAATTCGACGACGAAATACTCGAACGTCGCGTCCAAGAACTCGAACGACTCGGCGGAAGAGGCGACAAAACACCAGATCGTAACAGCAACACCATTCACTACAGATATCTCAAGAGATCAGACCTTTTGACCGATCTACGCGCAGTCGAGTATATTCGCCTATTCAACAAGGATCGTGCCAAACAGCACAGAGTCTCCAAGGGATTCCGGAAAGCGTACAGTATCTGTCCTCGGGATTTGGGAAAGGAGTTCACCAAGGCGCCTAGGGAAGTGATTGATACCTTAAACAAGCGGGCGGACCTGATCTTTTCGAAGATGAACAAGCTTTATGTGGATTCTTTCCACCGTATAAATGAGGGCACCGAGTTCATCTTGGAAACTTGGCTGAGAGGCGAGGAGTATGATCAAGCGAAGATCAAGCACTCAGAGGCTCAGGTGAGCGTGCATTATGATGCTTTGAATGTCGCTTTTTGGGGCAACAATATGACTGTTGATAATGATGATACAACATCATATGAGGATTATTCTTCAGTAGGGGAAGAAGTAGAAAACCTTCGAAGTAGTGGAGTTGCGGTCTCTTCTTCTCCTCACCCTCCCCAATCGCAGGATAATGTTCCTCCTCAACGTGTCTGAAACTGTGGAAATCAATGGATGATAGAGTAAGGACATTTTCTGATTATTGGATTGAGTTTGACTTCTGAAAGGTAGTTGTCTGGACAGTATAACCCTTTGTCTTCGATAGGTTTGTCACTGGCAGGAATCGATATGTTGTTCCTGATTACATGTCTATTCTATATATAAAGCTTCATGTCGATCAAGCCCATGATGTATATCATGCCATGAAAAGAAACATTATATTAGTTGCCTTATTCCCATTACATCATCTTCTAGACAGAAGAGCCGCTCTCAATTCGACGTTTTAACCCTCGAAAGACCTTGGTCATTCCTATTGCTATCAGAGCGAGCTGGTGTCTTGCCATCGCAGTACTCGCTGCAAGGAGCAAAGCCACAAATGCCATCATTGATGCCCCGGAGTGAGCCAAACGGTCTCCACGATTGATCCCCAACCTCACTACTGCCATCTGGCTGTGGAATCGTGCTGAGATTCCACCTGCGCTCAAGCGTCACGACTTACAAGGTTGTTGGAACAAAATGCTGAAAAGACACTTGCGAAGCCACATCAAGCTTGCATTTGATACGAGCTTACAGCTGTGAACAGTCGGCCCGATAGAGGCTTCTGTTCGCCCCAAAAAATGCCTAGGATATAGCTACCTGTGACTTGCTGATATGTATTTTGGAGAATATACATGTAGAATACGCAATTGTATTCGATTTGGAAATTAATTGATGTCTCTCGACTAAGTATGCTTTCTCTTTCCCATTTCATCATTATGCAAGTGAGTACACGGCTTGAGGCTATATAATTACTCGTAAGAAAATGTCTGGTATTCATAATACCATTATTATTACAGCTTTGCATGGGTTTCTAGCAAGTGGCGTATGAGATACGGTAATCTGTGTGTATGACAGTGTTGCTGGGACGGTGGAGCATGCAGTAAAAGCTAAGTATATTGCCCAATCATGGAGCATACTTCACGACACAGCCAATCATATTCTACCGATATGCAAGAGCAGCCCCATAAGGCAATATTAGCGTCTTTCCAAAATCGGAATTGACTTCTTCAAATGTCATCAGCTGGTGTGACTAGCAGCTCGTATAAGTACTTCGTGGTTGCTTCTCGAGGGATGAAACTATGCACAGCTCCCCAAAGAATGGAAGGAGTTGTTTATTCAACAGTCTGCCTCCGTGATTGATAACGAGAGTCTCGAGACATAATCCCACACAATATCTAAGATGGTAGCGACGATGAAGCCTCCTTTAGAAGGTCGATTTCGGACAGGCCAGAAATTACAACGACGCAGTACAAAGCATGTCAAGTCTGGATGCAAAACATGCAAGTAAGGTTTCCCCATTCTAAATAACACCGTAGGAGGCAATGCTGATTACATGTATATAGAACTCGAAGGGTCAAATGCGACGAAACACGACCTGCCTGCAGGCAGTGTACCTCGACAGGCCGGACATGCGATGGTTACGGTATCTGGAGCATAAGCACCCGTGCTAGTATATCTCACAAATTTCGTGAACGGCAGGATCCGCAGAACGTAAAAATTGTTACTACCACGCCACCTCGAGATACAATCGACTATAAATGCCGCAGATCTCCAATTTTTGACAGAAACTACATAATGTTCAATCTCCTCAATCGCCGAGTCGACGCAGATGAGCTAGTCTGTCTAGACTTTTTCCGACTTCGATGTCTCACCAAGCTCCCTGGATTCTTCGACGCAAGCTTCTGGGAAGAAATTGTCCCACAACTATCATCTTCCGCGCCAGCCGTGTTTCACGCTGTGATTGCGCTAGCATCTACTCAACGCAGTCAAGAGTATACCAGCTGTATGCGAAAAGGACCCGATAATCCGTTCATTGACTATAACTTTGAGATCGAGAAATGGGACCGGTTCGCGCTGCAGCAGTACAATAAGTCTATCACTCGTTTGCAGTCTTATTTTGAAGATACTAGCCATGAGTCTGTACAAATCGCGTTGATTACTTGTGTTGTATTTATCTGCATTGAGTTGATGAGGGGTTCCTACACTCGTGCTAATGTGCATATCGACCATGGAATCAATGTTCTCAAGACCTTGCAACGAAAAAGACAAACTTCTGATATTTCGCTGCGGACACCTCGGAAGGCAATCTTTCGTGTCACGGATCCGAAGACGGTGGATGATCATTTGCTTGAGATTCTGGCTCGATTGAATACACAATGTGTTTTGTTTGGATATCCCTCGCGATACATACATTTAACGGAAGCAAGAACATATTCTATTGAGGCGATCCCGGATACTTTCGACACACTACAAGAATGTCGCCAATACTTGGAGGTATTGCTCAACAAAACGCTTCATTTGATCAAAAAATTTACGGGTGACACGCCGTCCTGTCCAATGGCTGGATTCGAAGACCTGCTCACAGAAACCCGAGAACAATTATTACAAACTTTGAATATATGGAATAGCGCATACGAAAAGCTTGCGCAAAAGACCCGAATAAATATCACTGTATACGACTACATAGCACTCAACCTCCTGCACATCTGGTCCATCAAAGTCGAGATCATGCTCCGCACATGTCCCGCCCCAAACGAGCCCTGGAGTGAAATGGCCTTCGACAACTACACCCACCTATTTGAAGAAATCCTTGTCGCAGCGTCAGATATGGTCATGATGCGTGGCTTTCCCGGAAACTTTGACCCAGGAGACGCGAAATGTCATATTGGACCTCTAAATTTCTGTGTTGATATGGGTCCTGTGCCTGTCCTGTATTATACAGCACTGAAATGCCGTGTGCCGTCAATAAGGAGACGGGCAATTCAAGGGTTGAGACTTGCGCCTCATCGTGAGGCGGTTTGGGATGGTATTGCCGTGGCGGCTGCGGCTGAGACGGTGATTCGGTTGGAAGAAGGCGACTTCTTCGGATCGTCTTCACAGTCGCCTATTCATGGTGAGGTTATCCCTGAATGGCGTCGGTTTAAAGACGTTCGGATAATAATGGAAGATGGCTTGCAACCTGGAGGGAAGATAATTTGTAGGAGGAAGCGTGAGAATAGTTTCTTCTCATCTCTCTTGGGAGACGATGATTGCTCGAGGTGGGAAATTGTTGAGGAGTCGTTTCAATGCGGGGAGCGTCTCAGCACTTATACGTGGAGCAATATACAGGATATGTACAAAGCAGCCAATATGTTCCCTATCTAGATTATTGAAAGTACAATGATGATGTTATGATATGCGATTCTATGCCTGAGTAAATATATCGAGATTGAAGCGGAGCAGTTTGAGCATAAAGTCAAAGTAGAGTTCTGTCCTATATGTTAATCTCGTTAATCTCCGCCTGCTCCGGTATGCATGCACACCTCTGCGTGTAGGGTTAAGTGCGATGGTCCAAATTAGGAAATTCATTTCATGTCACATGTAGGCTGCAGCCCTAGTTATATATTTCCATGAAAGTTCTCAGGTAGATTTTAACATATCAATTATTGCTAAGGGTACTTTATGCCACCTCAATACCTTAACGTAGCTATGTACATTTTATCTCTCACCCTTTGTTTCCTATATTTCGATTAATGAATCAAGACTCAATATAGGATTCAAGCCAATTCGCCACGAGTTTTCTATCAGCATTGTACCTGATAAACTCATGCAAACACTATACACGCCGATATAGGCTGAAAAACGTATATAACGGTATACAACCAGTACGAGTATCGATCAGCAGCCACAGTCCGCCACGCGAATAATCGTACCACAACGGCCAGACTCATCACGGCCAATAATGAACTGAGGATTATAGTGGAAGGGTCGTATCTGTACTCTAAAATGCGGTATCTCACGAGGAGGTACTTGAAGCCATTGTTAGTAGAGCAGCCATCAGCACACAGGGAGAGGAATCCCACCTGAGAAACACAAATCCCGGCAGAAATATAGATTCTTGCTTTGGAACTATCAGCACGCCTTCTTCAACTTCGACTGCTGAAGAAAACTTACAGATAGTATCTCCCATTAGAATCGGCGTCGTCAACCTCCCCACAGCCTTATCACCAGGCACATCCCTCAAATCCTGCAACGGAATCGGCCACAGCATATACAACGTAATATATTTGATCCAATCCCAGCCCATCTGCGCCTCCGAGCCACCAATCGCCCATGCAGCCGTCAACTGCGCAATACATCCAGCACCCATACATCCATCCTTTGTCGGGCCAAAGTTCGCAAACCCTAGAAAATTATGCGCAATAGTTGTCGCGATCCATAACAAAGTAGGTTTTTCGACGCCTAGGTAAACGCTGTATCCTAGATATAAAAAGGTAAGTATTATCCAGCGGATTTTTGCTGCGCGAAGAGTTGTGGCGCCACTGGCGATGGGGCGGTCGGGTTTATTGACTTTGTCTTCGTCTATGCCGTCGATTTGGTTCGCGACGACGAAGGAGTAGAGGTAAAGGAAGCCGTAGAGGAAGGCATCTTTTTGTTTTGGTTCGAATGTTTAGTATCCTGTGTAGAAAGGGAAAGGGAAAAGAGGCGGACGCTGGGAATGAGGTTTCACGAACATGGTAATACGCTATAGATCTCTTCAGCAGAGGCTTTTCGGTATAGTAACGATGCCAACGTGAATGCTGGGACAGGCAGTAGACCGGTCCCAAGGTCTCGTCGCACGAAGCCGTAACATAATTCAAGTTCGTGCCACAGAATATTTCCCAATGTGGCAGGTTGATAGAATTTGGACTTGGGTGCTGGACCTCTTGTGTTTGACATGTTTGGCATCAATTGACGGAATTGACAGGAGTCTGAATTTATTTTGAATCGTAATGTCGGAGGTGCTGCGTAGGGGATATGCACTGGTGTCGAGTCAACATCGGATCCTACATAAAATATGGAACCTGTTCCTAAGATCCTTCTACAAGATATGCAAGATGATCAATGGCATTTTATACCTGCGACAAGCCTTTATCAAAGAGCACGTGGCATACGATGTAGGTGAAGCTGCCCACTACGTAGCGCGTGCTATTCGCAATCATTACACTCGTCGGGATGACACCGGACGAGTAATAATCTAGTGCCTCCACTATTCATGAAGAATAAAAGCTTAATTCGGTATATGGTGTGGCTTTCTAATCATCAAAGATATACTCGCAGCAATAGGCGCAGTACTATACGCAAAATTTTCAGGGCTAACAGCTCTAGTATGAGTCAGGTAAGTTGGTTTTAGTGTGTAGATGGCTAGATACGCTGAAATGGCCCCCAAGGAATAGATTAGTCGTCCCACTTTGTGTCGAAGAGTGGAGCTTTCTACTAGGTCGTTAATCAGCCTGTTTTGGACTTTTAGGGCTTACGGGTTGCATTTTGAGGATACGCAAGGACCCAGAGATCTGAGTATGCGTACGTATATACAAGTTGATGTGGACAGTTGCGAAAGAGTCCTGGGAGAAAAGTATAGATATGCCGTTATTCCCTTGAAATATAAATTGACTGTGAGTCTGAAACAGTCAGATCTACCTATCACGATATGTACAGTGGGTTCAACATGAAGGGATATATATAAACTTTAACAGAAAAGTAGCAATTACATCAAATCGCGAAAGCGGCCAGGATCATAACAAGGACGGCACCACCAATCCCAAGCCAGATCAGGAACCAGCGAAGCCACTCGAAAATATTTCCACTTTCCCTTCGTTCCTTTTCAGCAAAGTCTTCGTTAGCTTTTTCCTCTTGTGCATCTGCCTTTCTTTTCGCTTCATCTAGCTCTCTCTGCACATCAAGTGCATCCTGAACCACCCGCTTACCTCTTTTGAGTGTGTCTTTTGCTTTTTCGTAAGAATCTTCGTGATCCTCCTGGCGAAAATTTATCGTCTTTTCGAGTTCGTCTAACAATGATTGCACTCTCACAACAAGTGATACAGGCTCGGAACATTGAAGCTCGGCTTCTTTTATGACGTGCAAGTTTAATTCATCTACCTTGATTTCCAGCTGCTTCATTTCTCCTTCTGAAACATCATATCGTTTCAGTATTCGCTCAACAAGCGAGAGAAGTTCACTCACTACCCTCTCAGCTTCAGTAAGGTTTTGACTATTTAAGCGGATAGCCTCGAGTACTTCTTCTCTGAGTCTTGTTGCGCGAAGTTTATAATCGGTCAAGGCCCTACCTTGATTCTCACGGGCAGAAGAGAGCAGAACCCATACTGTACCCAAAGCGGCAACATTCGTCACCCAGTGAAGCAGGGGCAATGCAAAGCTAATGGTACCATTGCCAAAAGCTGTGGCGCCCATTAGACCGAGTACGTAAATTCGAATGTTGGATCTTGCGATATCAAGTGAGTGTTCATTTTCCACCAGCCGTCTATTTTGGTCGGGTATGGAATGTAAGATGAAGGCATTGTTTTCTTCCAAAATCTGGATATCCTCATTGTAATTTTCCAATTGCAATACTGCCAGTGAAACGTCAATGCGAGGTATTATCTCGTGACGCCGATCGTATTTTAGGAGAAACCAGGGATAAACGTGCTTGAGCCAGGCATCGGTAGTCGTTGTTCGTCCCACCTCAGCAAAGATACGTTGCATGCCATCAGGCATCCTCGCACAACGCTCAATTGCCTCCATGCCCGCTCTGGTAATCTCGCCTTTTCCTTGCATATTTGCTCTGATATATTCAATAAATAGTGCGGCCGTGCACGCCGCTATTGGTGTTGCAACAGACGTGCCAGTCAAGCGCCTTTCACCGTTCCTCAGCCAAGCCGAATTGACAGCCTCTCCCAAGAACTTGAATCTTGAGAAGCGATCATCATTCTGACAGGGATTAAATGGAGAGGATACTCCCTGATAGTTGCATGAGAATATTCCGAACACGTTCGTCGCCATTGCCGGCCATGAGATACCATCAATCGAAGCGCCTCCCCCATTTGAGACTGCAGCGAATATCAGCTTCTCCCTATAAAGAGCCTCTTTTATCAAGTCTGCTAATTTTTTTGAGGGTATTTTTGGGAACCCAAGAGACAATGATATGATGTCAGCATCCCATTCTTCGACGGCAAACCGTATGGCCTGGAAAGGTCAGAGCGAAGCATTACGCCAGGGTGCTACAGCATAGACCTACTTCAGCTAGAGCTTCAGAATCCAGAACTTTATTTCGTCCAACCACACCTCCAACAAACAGCTTGGCACCTTGTGCGATGGACATGATCGTGCAAGCAATGTGAGTACCATGTCCCACAGGGTCTGAAGATTCACCCAAGCCCACGAAGCTCTTCGAGACGAGCCTGTCTGGATTCCATCTTGAAGATCTCAGAATCAGGTCCTGGATCTTTGGATGATTCAGATCAATTCCGCTGTCCAGGACCGCAATTTTGACACGACGATCGTGGCTCGCAGGGTTACTATTGGGACGGTATTCGGCGAGACATTTCTCGACTGTCTTGAACTCTTGCCAGAAATTATCACTCAATCGCCTATTCTCTCAGTATTTTCATTAGCGCTGTTTCCACATGAAAGAAGAGCGTCTCGATAATAGAAGAAAGACCTACCCCTGGTCTTCTAAATCATGTAACCTAGCATCAGAAAAATCGAACACTTTACCGATAGAGCTCATCTTGCCAATTGCGATCCTCTCCTGTGAGAAAATGTTTATCGTTAAATGGCACGTCAAATTTTTGCAACCTCTTGGTCACGGTAACGGGCAGTCCGAGTTTTTAGTTCACAGCCGCTTCAGCCTTGTGATATCGCTCGCCTCATTTGAAGAGGAGGGCACTGCCACTTAAATTGGCGCCTAGCTATATCCTGTCATTGGTCGAATTCACATCCCTGCATGAATGTGTTTGACTCTGCCAGCATTAATAACAGGCTGTGTGGCTGTTTCGTGTCGGATATAAGATCAACATGTCTCTTAAAACGCGAAACACATTCTGCCTCTCCGCAATACATTCCTCTGAGCTTGAGACCTCGAATGCTGCATCATGAAGCCATTGTATATTCTCGTGCGAAACCAAGATTACGAGTACAGACCAAATGAATCAACTGGCTGGCTTAATATTGGATCCATTTTGACCAAACCGACGGAACCGGAGTCCCTGCTAGAAGGCTATTCAATCACAACCCCTCATGACGACGTACCAATCAAATCTACCTGGAAAGTAGATTTCCGAAGCGAAGACGAAAAGCGCAAGTCTCGAGGATATGGAATCTCCGCAGACCTGTTCAAAACCTTACCCGTTCCCATTGAGTTGAATGCCACTAGGTCTAATGAGAGTACCACTGTGAATGAGATTGGCGCCAAGCGACTCGAAACATACATTATGACACCCACAACAGCATACCTTGATCAAGTTCTGAGTACACCACCTGTTCAGGAGTACCTCCGCAAACACAAATACTTCACTAGCTTGTACATTGTGACTGGGATCAGAGTTGCAAGACATGGTAGCGGATCAAAGGCAAACAGCCATTCTAGCAAAATTCAGCTAGGCGCCAGCATTGATGCCGGTGGTATTTCAGGGGCTCCAGGCATATTGGATGTTGGACCTAACTTCGGCCGCACGAAGGAAATAAAGAGGAGGGAGGAATGGACGACATGTTCAGATTATATCTATGCCTATCGAGTTGCAAAGATCAAACAATCTTTGAGGGGAAACGGTCCCAAATTGACACATCACAAGGGAGAATTATACAGCCTAGACCTTGACTTCGAGGAGCAGAACTGGTCGGATGAACATATTGACCGTGGGGTTTATGTGGAGGATGAAGAATGGGCTAAGGCTGATGCCTTACCCATTGATAAGGATGACGATGGAGATGAGCCATGTAACATGATGTTTATGTAACGAAGCTAGGCATTTTTAGTTAGTCTTCTCAAATCTAAGAGCTGTTTGCATGGGAATATGCACTTTTCCACCTGAAAAATCGAGTGTTCGGTCGATAGTTCTGAAAAGATGTAAGGATACATAGGCAACTAAGCTTGTTTCTAGCTATTCATCAAAACTTCAACTAATTGTGACGATTGCTAATTTCCAAACTCATTATTGAACCGTAGATACCACATAAAGACCACAAGCTTTTCATCTAAGCTCAAAAAGAAGAACACATATACCTTGGTATTCGAATGATCACATCTGGCCTGAAGAAAGCCAGCCCCTAGCCAACTGCATATTCAACCAATTTTACATCCCACATGCAGAATACCTAGGTACCCAAGGTGTCTATAGAGCTTTCATTCCTCATCTTGCAATTGTTTGTCATATTCACCTAGTATAAATCGAACTCTTCTAATTAACCACATGGTCGCAATTTATGAAACGTCCTTGAAATCCCCGTCTTTGATAATCTTAGTACAAGGGAATAATGAATAAATTTACTCTTAAAGAAATATTATGTGTTTGTACCATTATATTCTTCGGGCAGCGACATGTTCTGACGGGGATTACCGTCGAACAGAGTTCTTTAGAGGTGCCGTTTGTAAGTCTTGCTCGATTACACGTATCGCTTGACCCCTCTCTGCCTTCATCACTACATCTTCATCTGTCTCAATTCATCCTTGTAACGTTCTCTATCATCGATAATATCCCCACGATCTGTCTTCACTTCATCCCACCAACCTCACAATGGCCATCCCTGAATTCAAATCAGAATGCAAAATCTGCCACGAAGTCGATACCCATTACACGCGCGACTGTCCCCAAAACGTCTGTTTCCGCTGCAAACAGAGGGGCCACTGGAGCACGCACTGCCCCAGCATCAAATGCTATGTCTGCGGTGAGACGGGACACAAAGCCAGTGCATGTCAAAAGCAGTGCGAGGTCTGTTTCAAGACGGGCCACAAGACTGAGGATTGTCATCACAAGGAMTCAGGTGTTACCTTCATACAGAATCCGATGAAAAAGAGGGTTAGAGATGTCTCTCCTCCGAAGCGTGAACCGGCGAAGCGACGCCAAATACCGGTATGTGAAACCCAAAATTTACCCTCTTCTGCTCTGGTCTGATTATTGACTTTGGGTAGATGCCAAAAGACTTGGAGGAAGCCCCAAAGTCGGATTCGAAGACGTCGAAGGAATATTCTGGTTCAAATGCCGAGAACCTCAGCAAACCAGACACGCAGCAAAAGGTGAAATCTCTTTTCAAGTCTCCTTCGAAGTATGGAAAGGTACAGTGTCGTCAAATACCGGTACGTAAAACCTTGAATTTACTCTCTTTTCTGCTCTGGTTTAATTATTAGCTTTGGATAGATGCCAAAAGACTTGGAAGAAGCTCCAAAGTTGGAGTCAAAGACATCGAAGGAGGATTCTGGTTCAAAAGAAGAGAAGCCCGGCAAAACAGACACACAGCAAAAGGTGAAATCCATTTTCAAGTATCCTCCGAATGTACAGGTGAAGCGACGCCAAACACCGGTACGTGAAAACAAAATTTTACTCTTTTCTGCTCTGGTCTGATTATTGGCTCTGAATAGTTACCAAGAAACTTGGAAGAAGCTCCAAAGTTGGAGTCAAAGACATCAAAGGAGGATTCTGAATCAAACGCAGAGAATCCCGGCAAACTAGACACACAGCAAAGAGTAAAATACAGTCTCATTCTTATCATCGAATTCATCAGAAGATGCGTCGACTAACGAACGACTAGATTCATTAACTCTCCAACATGGCTTTTCCACTTAAACTTCGAGCTCGCATATTGTTCCCCGGCTGAAGAGTGATGCACACGGGGGTATGGTCAAGGAACTGGGCAAAACACTTGGAGGATAACCTGAATGTAGCAAACGAAGACTGCCCCAGATAATTGACTGCGTTCAATCGTTCTGGTGACAGGAGCGTTCTCACCCATAGAAAGTTCGAATGAATTAGATACGATAATACTTTTCCATACTGTCTCATATCTTGGAAAAGGGTACATAGCGTGCAATTGACAAATCACGATGGTTTCCACACTACAAATTTTCTTAAGATACACACAAAGCCCTAATCTGATCAATGGGCCAATTGTTCAGAGCCGACGAGAACCGTGACAGTAAGTATAACGACTTTCGCACTGATTTAAAATTGTGTAAGAAAGCGTATCAATTGATACCCTCAAATAATGGAATATTCATTCGAGCGCAAAACACTCCGTATACTCCGTCAAGTAGGATAAAAAGATCGATTATGTCTGAATTGCGCTAGACATATTGGGCCTAGCGCAACCGCCAACCAAGCCCTAACGGGTCCCCTTCGCTACACCTCCTGGATCTCCATAACGTAAACCGTTCACTATAACTGCAAAAAGGAGACAGCAACAGCGCCAAAAAAGGAAGAGTTACGCATTGACAAGAGTGGGATTCGAACCCACGCCCTTTCGGACTAGCGTGCTTTGATCACTGAGGAGTGTTTGTAAGCCTTAAGCTAGCCTAGATGATTGTTAGTATAAAGGACCGGGTGTATCGTTATGAAAATTAGGGTACGTACGCCTTAGACCGCTCGGCCATCTTGCCATGAATGAAAATCCAAATTTTGCTCTCACATTCGAAAAACTTCTCCGTGGTGAAGAGTGGCTATGATCGCGTCGGGCGGGAGGAAAAGAAAAAGGGGGGG